TTGATAAATCATAAATCAGTCTAAAGCAAACAATAACTCAGCCATGGAATCGAATAGATATAACAAATTAGCCACCATATGAAAATCAACGTTGGCGAAAATCAGCTGTAATAAGCGTCGATAAAAACCCTCAATTTCTTCGCGATAGTTTTCGGAAAACAGTTTCTATCACGGAAATCACTCGCTATTGAACTTAGATGCGGGAAAAATGTCGGAAAATCCAAAATAAAGATTCGACACATACCTTAAACAAGTTGAGTTGAGACGAAATGGTCCCGACTTGAGGTGAGGCGACGAAGTAAAAGGTCCCGACTTGAGTAGAGACGAAATGCGACGGAGAGAGTTAAGAGTTTCGGCCGGAATTAGGGTTTCTTAGTGTTAGTCGGAATCGCGTTTCCGTCGGAGAAAGAAACAGTTTTTTTTTTTCGGAGACGAACAGTGACAGAGAGGGAAATCGAAAGGGTTCTCTTAATGACGTTAATGACGTGGCTTTAATTTGTTTTTCTTTTAATGACGTGGATTAACATAATTTTCGTTAATCATTTCTTAATTAAAAATGGATTAAAAAAAAAAAAACTAATCAAGGGTGTTAATTGTAATTACACAAAGACGCTAAACATATGAGTAATTTTTAAAAAATGTATGATATTCTAGTAATATTTGAACTTTTGGTTAACATCTGAGTAAATATTTCTTTCTTTTATGCTCATTTCCTTTCTCTCACGTTCATCCTTTTTTTCCCTTATACACTCTTTAGATTAATCAAAAAGAATCGAAACTATATTCTAACTGCACCTAGTTATATGGTTCGAACTTTGGTCACACGTGTGTGCGAGTGTCATTGTAACAACATGAATAGGTTGGAGTAGGTAAAGAGTGCATGATTGATGATGAAACAAAGGACTTTGGTAAGGAGGAAATGTCATTGTCCACTTGAGAAATGAAAGTGCAACAGTGACTAAATCTTGGTTTGTGACCATAAACAACAAAAAGCAAACCCACGAAGATTTCTAAAGTAAAATACAAATGAAAGACGCTCCCTCGAGAAACTAAGTTCACTCACTCTCTCACGCCCCTACGGGTCGGGCCATGCCACCATTGAATTCTTCTCTCTCTTTTTTTTTTTTAATGATTCCTTCTCTAAATATCATCTCATATATCACTTTATATTTCTTTCTACTTTTCAAGCATCCAAAGTTTGATTATTTTAATGAATATATAGTGTATCTTCTTCTCTAAAGACTAAAGGCAAAGAAAGAATCCATGTGCAAACTTTGTTTCTACATGTTCTAGCATATATTCCCCCGCATTTCTTTTTTTCTTTTGTTCCGCTTTAAGAACAAATGTTAAAATATGCTTTTGTATGTGCTCAAAGCTCATTACGTACTTGATTAATTAGTACTCGGAGAGGTAAGTTTGATATGAATAGATTGCATGTAATGGTAACATGTACGCAGAGAGCATAATGAAGAAATTATCAAAATAAGTAGATATGAAATATGGTTATAGATATGGTATTATTCTGAAAAAATTACTCCTAGGATCCTCCACTTTTTGACACTAGTTGAGAATAAAGCGAAGTCTTTCTGATTTTATTCCTAATCACATCCACATGATCTACATGCGCCTATATACTGTTAACAATACACACTCACCTACATGAGTATGTAATGTAATACTAATAAATCTCCTCATTTTCTATAAATTAAAATGAATGCAAATCATCATGTCATAGAATTTCATTGTTTTGTCTCTACCCCATTCCCATTAGTTGTCATTATCCATTTTCCTATAAGAAAATTAATGTATATTCTGTTTGATAAACTAAATGCTCGTGAAGTGTATGATACAAAAAGGGGTCTAAATATTCATGCGATAATTAAAAGGTATGCAGTTAATGGCAAACGCGTGTACCAAATAACAGGACAAGGATCAATTAAGATAGTAATTAAAAGATTATTGTCTTTACACGCTGATATGTAAGCTTAGGTCCCTTTGTGTCTCCGTGTGTCCTAATCAAAACCCGAAAGAGGATTAAAATAAAGAAAAAGTTAATAAACAATGATAAAGGTAATCCCCCGATGATTAATATGTCCAAATGTGTGGGCTGGTCATTATTTATTTATAATTAGCATTTAGCAGTTGCTAATCACCTAACCATAGTCTCTCTTTACTTTTGCATCATGTTTAGATTAAATAGTAGTGGGTGAAGCTTCTATTCTTTCTCGTATAAAGATATTTTGTATTTATATTCCTGTAATAGTTATCTTGTACGTATTTATAAGTCCATCTGGTTCACGCTCAGGTTGTCATGTCATATTGATGCTCTTACAACATACCATTTATATTCATAATTCATGTCATGAATTTTACAAAATCATGCCAACTTTTTTGTAAAAGGAAAAGAAAAGTTAATAAATAGTGACTAGTACGGGAGTAAAAGCAGTAACACATTTCCTTACGTACATTTAAGTGGAATGGTTTCAAAATCTGGAAAGTGATAACAGTGCATGCTTGATATTTGGATTTATAAAATATATTATGTCATATCAATGTATGGTTGAAAAATCGGAAAAGTGAAGTAAACTAAAATTATAAATAAACAAGAGAGGAGCGTCATGAGGACATAGAAAGTAGATTACGTTGTGACATCCGATAGATAAGTAAGGAAATAATGAGATTAGTGTAAAGCATATGAGACGTGGGATTAGTTCGTTGGAGGGCGAGCAAATAATGTCGTTGATAGAAAATAAATAAATCACATTACGTATATTAAACTAATTAATTAGAATGAAGAGGATGGAGACATTTTCTCGACGTGGGGTTCACTTGTGTCGGCACAAACTCAAACAAACCAACTTAGTTATAAGATTAAAACACACTTTTGTAAAAATGTTTTGTTTGCAGTAAGTTTTATTTTTTTCTTTTCACTTCTTATTTCCCTTTTTACTTGTAGAATCGTGTGCATACCTATATATATGGATAGTCAAAGATGGTATTTTTGTGTGGCTAATGTTTGAGGGGTTCGAGAGAGATAGAACGGTGTAACTACGTTATGGTTTCGTGGTGAGACCACTTTCTCTGACATGGAGACAGATCAACATCACATGTATGCTACTGCTCCTATTAATTGTTTCTCTTTACTAAAACCAAGATAGAAATTTAACACTATTTCTTACTTCTTTTGTATTATGTTTTGATATATATATATATATATATATATGTTTTTTCTTTTGTATTTTTACTGTTGTTAAAATCGTTATATAAGAAATTACTTTGTAGAATTATGCGTTAGAGAACCTTAATCAAGAAAGAAAATGTGTTACCGAAATTAGGGCAAATATGAGAGGGAGCTTACATTTTCAAACATTAAATACATTTTTTCTTCTTCTGGTCTTAAAATTAAAATTAGGCCTGGGCAAAATACCCAGAACCGAATACCCGAACCGAAAAACCCGAACAATACCCGAACCGAATCCGAACCCGATTTTTAAAAATACCCGAATGGGTCCTAACCTCCTACCCGAAAAAAACCCGAACCGAACCCGAACCGAATCCAATACCCGAATATACCCGAATGTACCCGAATACAAATATACACCTAAAAATATTAGTTATATTTATATTTATAATACCCGAAATACCTAAAATTACAATCATAAATCCGAATATATTAGGTATTTTAGATATTTTTGGTTATATTTGGGTAAAGAGTAACCAATGTATCTTCAAGAAATCGGGTATTTCGGTTAGATTTGGGTATATATGAGTTAAAAACCCGCACCCGACCCGAACCCGAAAATATTTCGGGTATTTTTGGTTATTTTCGGGTATTTTGCTTTTTTATTAAAATACCCGAACCGACCCGAACCCGAACCCGAACCGAACCCGAATTTTTAGAATACCCGAATGGGTCTTGACCCCCTACCCGAATAGACCCGATACCCGAAAAAAAAGAACCGAACCCGAACGGGTACCCGAATGCCCAGGCCTAACTAAAATACATGTTTCTTTTGTCTTTATACGTTCGTCGTTCAATAAAACACATACTCGATCCACACAACACACATGTTCACATGCTTTGTGCTCCCACAGGCCACACCAAAATCAAATCTCACCACTCATATTATCCTCTCACGTCTATTAACCTTGTCCACGACCATTATTTATTTCATGAATGTACTTTTTTCTTCATATAATGAAAAACATTTATATATGAAATTAACCTTTCAAGAAAAGAAAAAAATCATATATATACACATACGTGACACCTTACACGCATGCATACGTTACGAACAACGCACCGTGACAAAACTCATTTTTGAGTCCACGAATACGTATATACATCAAAAACACAAAAATTTCCCGCCAAAAATAAAAGATTTGAAGAGAAAGAAAAAACAAACACGTGAGTCTCACGTCTCCGACACGTGAAGTCACACACAAAGGAATCAAAACTCTTAAAAATCCAAAAAACAAATTATATATACTTCGCAACTTGATTTTTTTTTTTTTTTGATGAAGCTGAGGAAGGGTCCCATAAACTGCTGCGATCCATTAAGACAAAGAGCTCTCTGAAAAATCTCCACTCACAAATCTTTTGCAAACGCTCCCCTGTCTTATCCATCAGTACCTGTGAATGAGGACTCTAATGCAAATGCTCTTCTCTCTCTCACACACACACACTCACATGATCATATATTTTCTCTAACACGTGTGTGTTACCACTCACTCACTCATTTTGCTTTCTTGGGAATCTGCAAAGCCATTAATGATGAGCTTTGTCTCTCCCAACCAACCAACCAACCCCAAAACCCGCCAATTTACCCTTTCCATAAAAGTTGTAAACCAAAACTCTTATTCCTTCCCCTTGGTTGGAAAACTCTAATTTTAACTTAACTCACCCAATAAACACTTTTATCTTCTTTTCTTCATCACTCCCCTTATTATTATGTACTTGTTAAAAAATATACCCTACTTAAACAGAAGAGGTTTTTTTTCTTTCTAGGTTTTGTTTCTTTGGTAGTCCCCATATTTTAACTAGAGGTAGATTTTTCATCACCTACCCATGAATAGCCACTTAGTTTTCTCCTTTTGCAAGGAGAAGAGGATGAGAAAGAGGATTCATCACTTGGCCTTGTTAACGTTGATGCTGCCCTTACGCTTACTCGAAGCTTTGCTATCACTTTTGGTGTATTTAACCGGTTATTCTCTATCGCCATCGCTTTCATCAGTCTATAGCATCTCACTATCTTCTCCTGAAAGTCAAATATAACCAAAAGGCATTAATTAGCAATTTGTTACTCCCTTGTTCCATCTAAATGTGATATAACAATTCCTACTTTGCTCAATCCGTCACACCAAGTCTCGGGGCTCTCGTGGGGATTTACAACAGAGGATAGAGAAGGGAGCTCATTGGCAACACAGAGAATCGCAGCTGCAGCTATACTCGATGGCCAGTACTCAAGAAAGCTCGCTTCTGTAGTAATTGGTCATGTGTTAGAACCAACCCAAATTGTGTTACCTAATTGACATTATGGGTAATACAATACAACATTACGTACCCTTTATGTTGGAGAGTATAATCTCTGTAGCATGGGAGATAAAGAACCCTAGAAAGGTTCCCGAAGGATCGATCTTGTAAGCAAAGAAGCTAAGGAAATCGAACGGTGTAACGGATCTTAGTCTCCAATCTAACACACTCAGAACAAGAAGTTCCATTCTCTTTATCGTTTTTGCTTCAAATAAATACTTCACTCCTGCAACCTACATTTACATATACAGAGACATGAATTAAAAAATACTTTAAAACAGAGCAAATTCAGATTCTTAAAGAAATATATATATATATATATATATATATTTACCTGAAAATCGAAAAGAGAAGGAACGAGAATTTCCTCCATCTTTGCAGCTAAAGACAAGCATGCCACTGCTAAAAGTTGCATTGGCCAACCACTCGTTTCCTATTTTTCAGAAATTAAAGCTGATTAATATACTCATTTGATTAAATTACAAAACTTAACTCAAAATATTATATAGTAGAGGAGCGTTTTAACACTATGATTATAAAGTTTTCAATAAAGAGGATATATGAAGTGGAAAGTTTACTGCAAAAGTATACTATTATTATTATGTTAACGTCAATGAAAAATATAATTTAATTTATCAAAAATTTATAAAAAACTTCTAATAATATAATAAAAAACGAAATAAAATCCCCCTCCCCGCTCCTGTTCTATCGTTTACGTACATTCCAAATATCAGATTAATTTCTACTTAATTAATCGCGTCTAATTGGTGTTCTATACTGACTATAATTTTTTGCTCGAGTAAACATTTGTAAGAAAAGTCAATAAACATATCGATCCATAAAAAGAAAAGGTGAAATAAAACAATGACTTTTTTGGGTTGTTATTTGTCATATCAATATAATAAAAAACAGAGACAATAGTATTAACTAACGTTGACGTTTTAAAAAAACTTACCGGTAATCGACGAGCGTAAAGAAACCGGTCCATATAGTTAACGGCGAGGTACGCCGTTAAAGGCTGAAAGTTATAATACTCTTGTACCTGTAACCAAACAAAACCACAATACTGTCAAATAAACCATCTCAAAGATTCAGACAATAAAGATTCTCTGCATGTAAATGATTCGATCGGCGTATTTTAGCATCGACACACTTTCCGGCGGCGTATTTTAGCTTAGTTTTTTTTTTTTAAATGAGAGATAGAGAAAAAGTGAATAGCTCGCCTTGAGAATCCATGCGACGGATTCTTCTCTAGCGGAAGCATCGAGAGATTGAGTTTGGAATCTAGAGAGATAATCATGTCCAGGAACAAAGTGACGCTCGTCTTCGATAAAACAAGCTATTGAATCATCAGGCCATGAATCAACCTCGGAAGACGAGAAATCAACCGTTGATTCACCGGAAAACACACCGGAATCTTCTCCACATAACAAATCCATATCGTTAGAGCAATCGGAGGATGAAACTGACATGAGTACACAATCACTAAACCGGTAACTCTTCATTCTTTCCCCATAACCGGAGCTAGATAAACCGGTGAGATCTAGAAGAGAGAAGTGAAGAAATGTGAATTTGTGTGGAGAGAAGAGTGAAGGTTTAAGACATTCATTTGTTTGGATATATAAACACGAAACAGAGATTTTTAAGATTTTAATATTTTTTATTTAAATGAGTAAAGAAAAAAAAAAGTGTTGTTGTTGCAAATGAAACAGAGAAGACGGTTACGGTTTCCGTTATGCCCGAGAAAACGGGACTGTTGTCACTGTTTCATGAATCAAGACGGGGATGGTCCGATCATTGGGTTTTGAGTTTTGAGTTTTTTTATTTGTTGGTTTATGTTTTTGACTAACATGCGCTAAAGTGAAATGCGTAGGTTAGGGACAAGAAGTGGTGTAATTACGTAATACGTGGCAGGTTAAGACGTTGCATGAGAGTACATTACAGCTAATGTACGTTTGTTTGTACATTACCTCGTGAAGAAAGAAGGCCGTATTTTTGAAATTAATGGTGACGTGGAGTTTGTTAATTGGTGATTAGCTTAATGGGCCTGGGTTATGGAGCATTTTCTGTGATTTGGACCATTTTGTTGGTCGCTTAGAGAGAAACATTTTTACGTGTTTAGTTTGGAATTTATTGGTTAGCAGATAAAAAGCAACGAAAGATAAAATCAAAATTACAGAAGTTATTAAATTTTAATTCATTACGGTTAATCTAATCATATGTATCTCTTAATTAGAGTAAGTATTTGATTTGCTTGAATGCGATAATTTTGTTATTGTTTTGATGTGATTAGATGTAACACCCCAAACCATTTTAGGCACATGCCGGTTTCTCAATAGATTTGAAGCACTTTTATGTTTCAAAAGATTTTATTTTAAATGATGTTTTGCATTTTAATAAAATGCGAAAAGTTGACTATCCCTTATATATTAATTCAGAAGGATTCTTGAAAATTTATTTACGTGTTATTAACGAAATTGTGACGTATCGCTTTCATAGAGATTTTTAACCTATTTAAATATTTGTCCAATCTTTACTAGCATATATACATATTTTGCTATCTCACACATATAAAAAAATGAAATTCAAATTAAGTAAAGCAAATTAGGAAGCAAATAAACTACTCACAAAGATGTATATGATTGTTTTTATTTAAGTTAGAAAATAAATTATACTTTTCAATTATTTTACGGATAAACCGAATTTTAATACGGAAAATCGCTGATTTGAATAGAATAGAAAATATTTTAGATGTTTCGTAATTTATTCAGATTTTGGATAATAATACAATATATTTTATAACTAAAACTACAATCTATTTACTTTATTATCATTTTAATCTGAACATATATAGTGCGGATAAACTACTTAATTTTCTTTAGTTAACGATACAATAAGTATTTGATTAATGTTTTAGGTTGCGATTTGGATGTCCCTCGTATTAGTCGGAAAACATTCCAAATTCAGGTTAGACAGTGTGGTAATCTTTCGGAAAAATTCTACTTTATAGTCTTTTGGTGTATTTTTACCGGGACTAACGAGATCAATGATATAATATATATTAAAAGAAAATAATTAGGAGTATAAATAAGAATGGTTAATTAGAGGAAAGGAAACAGTGGTCGGGAGCGTGTGGGAAAGAGTAGTGGAAGTCCTTTTCTCAGAACCGGAGATTTTCTTCACATTCCTTTTTGTATCAATATGTCATATATATTTGGTCCCTTATTGGTTTAATTATGCCATAAAAGTGTTAAATCATTGGCCCGTTTTTATTAATCACTACTGTAGTTACTTTCTTTCACGTGTGCCTTACAAAATCTTTGATTTATACCATAAGTATTTTTGCTCTTTCGTCTTTAATTATACCATTGGATAAGATCTCGGTTTATAGTAATTAATCAATGATTATAATTCATCTCGATTTATAAAATGATCCCAGTTCTATATCCAAATTTTCGCTTGCCGTATAATATCAGGTGTAATTGTCTATGCAAATTTGCATAACATTTCCAAATATGTTCATACTGATTAGAATTAAAACTTATGGAATAGCTAATATACATCAATCACACTTCTGTATACTATGTAAATAGTTGACTATACTAAGTAAACAGTGATGAAGTAGATACTATAATTAAATTCTGCACAAAATGATTATGTTGGAGTCATTAAATAAAAACTGCCAAATATAACTCTCTATTGTTGACAAAGAAACAATTTATCTTTTTTCTTTTTTAAAAAACACTCTTGTTATAAAAAAAATCCATGGTGAAATTAGTTTGGAATTTTGTGTTTCTATCAAATTTCTGGTTATAAAAAAAAAAAAACTAATTTAATTTTCTAAAGCCAAAAAAGGCAGAAAAGCTACTAGCAACGAGATAAAGTAAATAACGTCGAGAAAATAACAATTCAAACTACATTGTACCATAGAAATTAGAAACAAATGGGACACTTTTTGAAATAGAAGATAATATTTTTTTGGTATCTTCGGCGGAAGACCTTCTTCATTATTTATTTGTTATGGCATATAGGTTGGTCTACTAATTCGTTTTCTCTGTTTAGGTAGACAATATTTAAAACATATGACTTACATTCAGATTTGTATTCACATTTACAGTTACATTAACATTTTTATCATGCATTTTATGTTTATTTATATATATTAACATTAATGAAGCCAAGAAATTGAAATCTGAAAGGAGGGAAAATATGCACCTCCCAACCTACAACAATTTATCAGACTGACACTACATTCTCGTGGTAGGGTTTGTCATTTTTGTTATTGTCTTATTTTCTTAAGGAAAATCAAGACGATTCATGGGAGCTATTGCCTTATAGTCAAAGGTCATTGTTGAATGGTTATTTCAAATCTAATTATATGGTACATATGATATCACTAGACATGATCTTATACTATCATCGTCACATTAATTGATACTACTCATTAAGAAATGTTTGTTTCTTTCTCCTGTAGCATAGTCAACTCGGACCCTATAGATATATCTCTTGGATATGTAATCATAATAATGCATATTTTTTTATATACAGTGATGACCATGAGTCCATGTTGAGTTACTAGAACTATAATGAATAGTTACCAAGTGGGTCGAGTCATTTTCAGCTATATATGTTTTGTTTCCTTGTTGCTACATTATATTGAATTAATTTTGGGGAAACATTTCCACAATATCCTTTTAAAAGGAGAACATGAAAATGAATTATCAAAACATTGAAAAATCGGTGAACTCAGATCATTGAAGCTACCAATTTCAATGAAATGATAATGACGCCTATATAATATTCTTACACTGATCATTGATTCATTATTTTATTATTCGAGTTCCAGACTCCAATTTATTATATAACAACATGAATTTTAATGTTTCACATTTTTTCAGTCTCGAATCAAAGATATCTACAAACACTTGCGAGATGAGTGATGAATAGTGACATTTTTCACGTACACTGTACACACAGTAACTAAAGATGATTGTTATCGTGTCCACTTTGTTCTCGGTTGAAGAAATTTTATTTTGTTTCTTAAGGTTGAAGTATTTAGTAAAAAAATATTTTTAAATTTTATACTGCAAAAACTAGAGATTATTTTGCTGATATTTTTTTTAAATTACATGTAGGACATGTGATAATCATAAGTTTTAATTTTGTTGATCTCTAAAACATGTTATTTTGCATACATTGAAAAAAGCATATATAGCCATAGCAAAAATAGCTAATTATATTTTATCAAAAGAAGAGAAGCTAATTATAATATAAACATGTATGGTTTGAGCCTTTTGATTATAAATTATAGCTCAGTTTTCAGTATCTCCATATTATCTCCTTATTAGTAAAAAATTTTTGGAAGAGAACTTATTATTATTAGAGTGTATAGTTAAGCAAAAGTCCCAAAAATAAAAACCTAGCTAGGAAACTATTCGTCTAAATCAATAATACACTAGTTCGAAACAATCTGGTACGAGTTACCATCGAGATTTGCACAGAAAAAAAAAAGTTCAAAGGGACCCTTTTTCATCTTTAATCTTTTTGGACTTTGGTCGGCGTTGGCCGATTATGACTCGCTATACCACGATTTCTGACCCTTGTTACGAAATAATTCTATTAGTCTCGATCCTCTTTTTTCCTTCATCTTTTGTTTAAGTAACCTCTCTATCTTTCTTGTTTAGTGGAATACAGGCTCCGATCAAATTCAATCACATGTCATCAATTTTTCCACGTCAACAATTAATTTCAGTTAGTTTGTTTCATGTATTTATATATATATAATATGTGATAAACATATAAACTATTTTCAACAACATGCAGATTTGAACCCTCAAGTATAATAACATAACATTAAAAAGAAAAGTAATAACATTACAACAATACAAATAGAAAACATTAAATTACAAACTTTAGTATTCAAATTCATTTCTATACATATGTTAATATGAAAAAAATTCAACCATCCTTATACCATTATGTTGATTTACTTTAGCGGTTAAGGAAATAGTTTTCGATGGTTCATGTATTTCTCATTGTATACCGTATTATCACGTCGTCAAAACTATATAAAAAAAGTCAAATGGTACGAAAATAATCCGTACTTAAACACGTAATAATGGGACGACATACATGACATATAACCAAAGGTAATAATAATAATGGGACATGCATAGAAGGATGAAAACATAAAAAAACTGAGGGCTGTCTTTAAGAACAGAAAAAAGCCTAAAATGGAATTCGTAGGATATTACAATGAAAAAAATATGACTAATAGATTCCAGAGGATATCACTTCGAACACTTAGTTAAAAAACGATCGACTATAGTACATACAATTCTTTTACTTTAACTAGTTATATTTTACAGTTGTATACAGTATATATATGCCCAAAATATGAAAACATGTGAAACTAAGTTTAATGTGAGAGTGAAGATGTGGCCCCATTAATTAATGAATTTCACATACGTTTTTCAACCTAATAAAAGTGAATTAGTTTCAATAATTTAGGGAAATCAAGTTTTTTTTTTTTTTATATATAAAAAAAGTTATGAAAGCATATCTTATAAACATACCTTTTCTCATAAAATATACGCACCTATTTGCGAACGAATTATTATTATGTACACACTACACTCAAAAGCTTAGTGTAGTTATTATCATTGTTATAGTGTCTAAGTTGCTGCTTATCTAACTACCCACTAAGTTTTTTTAGTTTGGTCTATATCTTAGAGCTCTACTAACTTTAATCGAGATCAATTAACTACTATGGCGGCTTGACAGACTGAGGCTATTCTTTAATGAAAATCTCTATAATGTATAATCCTTTTTCTAAGTTTTCTTAGTTATAGAAGATATCTATCGTGGTTTCAAACTAAGTGACATTATATAAACATGTTTATATCCTTAAAGTTCTAAAGTTACTAAACTTCCTAAAAGATGATAGAAATAGCAACCAGAAAAACTATATTGTATTGACTATTTGACTGACTTTAGAACTAAATAGTGTAGGCCAACTCAACCTAACATTAAATATTTATGAAGACTAATTAACAACAATGATATGGCGCCTCTTAAAATGAAAAAAGTATTGTGCATGTTTGACTATATAATAACATATAGTTGCATTTATTTATTTGATACAAATCTTTTATATCTCCTTGTACTACTTAAGTAATAGATTGATTAGTCGTTGGTGATGTTTAAGACCAAATCCTAAGACGACATATACATATATGTAACCCAAAAAATCTAAAGTCATTAACCGTATGTTTATAAGTATATAAGATACGTATACTACAGAACCACACACATGTGTAAACGGACCAACATGTATGAAGAAATGGTCCCATTGAGAAGAGATCTAATGACTTCAAATCAAGAATGGTCCATTTTCCAAAATAGACACGTAAATATATACAAAGCTTAATCCCCATCCCTCCAATGGGTCTACACACAGCCTAGCATTTTTTGTATTTTCTGCTCTGTTTTTATTTTTTAATAACTTTACAAAATTACTTTTAATTCTTATTATCTTCAGCTTTTGTTCTGTCATTTAGTATTTCTAAGAAATTCTCACAACTTCCATCCATGAATTGAACTGGGTCCTTTGATTTGTCACGGCTAATCAAATCAGCATTAGCACAAAAAAAGGTGTATATCAATGTGACCTTGAAGTTCATAAAAACATGGGGCCTTTGAAAGATGTTGTCTCACATATTCATACATATTTCAATAAAATCCATTACATACGATTCCATCTAAATTATTGGTCAGTCATGCTAAATGTAAGCAAACAACAGTAGCATTTATGGTGTTACTGTTACATCAAGTTATGACAGAGTATGATTGAGGCCAGATATTAACTTATGGGCCTAATGGATCATATTCCAAAGTAATAGGCTTTTAATAAGGCCCAAATAGGCCCATTAACGAGTTTGAAGACGCTTTGTTTGCTCGCTAGTCACTTCGCAGTTTCTTCTCCGGCGAAAGACAGAAGAAGAAGATAACGAAAAACGCAAAGCCATGAACGGAGCTACGCTCTGCAATTCCGTTTTGCTCCATTCTCGTTTTAAGTCATCGTTTTCCTTTAAGTCTTCTTCTTCTTCTTCTTCTGCATATCTGGTTTCTCCTTCGCTTAATACATCTAAGTATATCTCAATTTCTCATAGAATTCGACAAAGCTTTCGAGCAGTTATTGAAAAAAGAAGTAATGGGTTTTGTTCATTCGCTGTCAAAAAGCGTAATTCCGAGCTGATGGACGATGATGGAGAAGAAGAAGAAGATGACGATGATGAGGATTGGGGTGAATTTGATGAAGAAGATGAAGGAGAAGAAGAAGAAGATGAAGATGAAGGAGAGTTTTTACCAATGGATAAGATGAAGAAATGGTTAGAGAAAAAGCCTCGTGGATTTGGGTTAGGTAAAAAGTACGAAACTTCAATTGAAGATAAGTTGCTCGACGAAATTCAGCAAAGTTGGAAAGCTCAAGCTGCTAATCTCAATAAGCTTAAGAATGATCCTCTCAAGTCTCAACAGCTTAAGCGTGACAATAATCTCCTTAAAGGTTTCAACTTTTCTTTGTCCCACTCTTTTGAATTCGTTTTAGTTATATAATTTGGAATCTTATTTAGTTGTTGTGGATTGTTGTGTTGAAAAGGAACTGGAGAAACTGAAATAGGGTTTCGTGTTCGTGTGACTAATCTTCCTAAGAAGAAGAATGTTCATAGAGATCTTAAGGTTGCGTTTAAAGAAGTAAGTGGCGTTTTGAGTATAACACCAGCTGTGTCTGGGAATAAAAAGACTAAGGATCCTGTGTGTAAGGGATTTGCTCATGTTGATTTCAAAAGTGAGATTGATGCAAACAGGTATGAGAGTTGTGGTGTTTGTAAATTAGTGTTTCTATGATTCTATCTTTGGTGATGAGGCAAAGTTTTGGTTTTTATTAGGTTTGTGAAACAGTTTACTGGACAGAGCTTAGCATTTGGGAAGGTTATAAAGCAGATTAAATGTCAGGTTGTGGAGTTTACTTCTGATGAATCGGTATCGAAGGAAGTGTACTTAGATAACGGTTTCAAGGTGCAGAAGCTTCCGTATTCTGGTCTTGAAGGAGATTCTAATGCTAATGTTGTTGAAGAAGAGGCTTTCTTGAGTTCAGGGGAAGAAGAAGATGATTCAGAAGAAGAGCTATATGAAACGGAAGTGGAAGAAGATGTGCAAAATCATATCTCTAGTAGCATTGAATCTCCTCCCGTTGAACTGAGACGTGATTTGAAAACCGAGTTAAAGTTTGAGAAAGAAGTTGTGAAGCGAGAGATAAGAGAACATGAGGAACTAGAGACACCTTTAGTTTCATTCCAGGCGAATAAATCCGAGGAAGCTGTAGCGGAAACACGCTTGGATGATGAACAATCTGAGGAAGCTGTAGCAGAAACACTCTTGGATAATGAACTTGATGGGGATGATGTAGAAGAAGTCGCTGAAGAGAATCTTGAACCTCTGAACAGTTCATTGTCATCATCCTCAGAAGAAAATCAAGTAGCTAGAATCCGCAGGCTAGAGCAAAAGCTTCTCGGTAAAGAAAAACTCTTGGGTGGAGGAGTTGGCTTTGATAAACCAGAAGCGAAACCCGCTAGAGTCGAAGGGAAGAAGAAGGAGAAAAAGAAGAAAAAGATTCTTGTGAAAGGGCAAGCGAAAAAGAGCTCAAAGATAGAAATCCCTGGATCTTCAAAGAGGTAAAAAATGCATTATAGCAATCTTGCTAAAAAAATAGTTACCAATGTATAGAATCTCTACTTAAAACTGATTGATGTCTATAATTTATGCACAGGTTAAAGGTGAAGGAGAAGGCTCTCTTAACCGGCGTCTTAGTCAAGTATGCGGCTAAAGTTGCTTCAACCTCAAACAATGAATGATCGATCATCAAAAAGTGATCAATTTTTGTTTTGATATTAATCTTTATCAATTGCTGCTAGTAGTGAGCCGTCTTCGTTTTGTTCTTGTAAAAGTGTTACATGAATAGGGTCTAACGTTACGTGAGGATTTGTTATTTTTTTCCTGTACTTCTTCTTCAATTTGTGGAGACAACAACGTGCATAAACTTCATTTTCAGACTTAAAAATTGAAACTTTCCAGGTAATACAAACCGGATTTTCACTTGTCTTTCACGTTCTTTTAACCAGTTCAGTTCAATTTCATAGTTGGACAAAAACCGGAGGGAAGTTTTGGAACAGGGTCGAACCGGACCAGTGAGGCTCATCAAATTTCATATATAAAAAGCAGAGAAAGGGCTCAGTGATTACTGATTAGAGAGTTCTGTGAACTTCTTGGTAAGATGATTTGCAACAAAAATTAGGTTTTTAACGTGAATTTCACTTTTGTTTGTTAACGTACGCTTAAGAGATCCAGTCATGGGTGGAACATTGAAGTGGGATTATGATTACAAACTCTTTCTAAGGACTCAAGTTCTTGTGATGCTAAAGTATCTTCAGAGATGGAATCACAAGATGACACTAGAGCAGATGATTTGTTCCTCTTTTTCTGTATTGTATACTCTAGTTTAAAGAAATAACATGTTTGCTGATTATGTGACAATATCTAATAGAACATAACCTCCTGCACGACTTCCTCCAAGTGGGTCGATACCTATCAAGGTCTTTCGTCTCTGGAAGAAAATACTTCAGCTTCCATGCCAGTTGCTTTGCTGGAAAATCTTGCTAAGCCTAAGCGTATGACTATGCCTTTTCGTGAGTCTAAGCATATGCCTAAGCGTATGACTATGCCTTTTCGTAAGCCTAAGCCAATGCATAAGCCTAAGACTAAGCCTAAGCCAATGCCAACGCCTAAGCCTAAGCCTAAGCCTAAGCCAGAGCCAATGCATAAGGCTAAAACTATCCCTAAGCCAATGCCTTAAGACAATGCCCAAGCCTAAGCCAATGCCAACGCCTAACGCTAAGCCTAAGCAAAAACCTAACTTTTTTATTGCTGTTTCTTCAAGTATTCCCTGCAAATTGTCTCACCATTTTAAGGGTCCTTTATATCAAATCGTAGTAATTTGTTCGAATATATGCAGAACATTTCATACTCAAAGATCCTGATATCAACAAAATTGATTTCCAAGGAGCCAAAGCAACAAGCTTTCATTAAAAATGAACAAAGTTCTGAGTCAAGATCAAAGCCATGGAATAATAATAACAAACTAAAACAAAGTCTACACTTCTATTATTCTGCAATACATCTTGAACTAGCAAAGATTCATCTCTCAAAACCCAATTTAGCAATGAGAAAGAAAGAGCAAGTGTAACAACCTATGACCTTACAAAACCATAATCACCTTGTATCTTGAGCTCATAGATGAAACAAAAGAAGAAAAAATCCAACCTTGAAACAAATTTTAGATCATCATCACTCCAAAACAACTTTAGCACCAAGTGCTTTCAACTTCTCAAGAATCTTCTCACCTTCTTCTTTAGACAAACCAGCTTTCAAAATAGCAGGAGTCTTCTCCACCAAAGCTTTAGCTTCTTTCAAACCCAAATCAGTAAAACTCCTTAACTCTTTAATAATCTTAATCTTAGCAGATGCTTCAAAAGACTCCAACTTTATCTCAAACACTGTCTTCTCCACTTTAGCTTCTTCACTCACACCACCACCACCACTTTGACTCACCATCCCACCACCAACACCACCACCAGCTCCAGGTTTCATAACAGCGACAGTTGGTAGCTCCGTCATACCTTTCTTCTTCATTATAATCGCACCAAGTTCGGAGATTTCTAATAATGTTAGAGATGAGATCTCGTCTACGAGTCTGAATACACGATCTGTTGGTGGACTACGATGCTCTGTTGGATCAAACGTAGCTGGATCGTAATCTGTTGGGAGCTTTCTCTGATCGAATTCTTCTTCTTCTTCATCTTCTATCTTCGCCGGTTGGGTATAACTCCGGTAACCGCCGATTCGAGAAATGAGTGATAATCTGGAGGAGGTTTGAGATAAATGTTGCCTCAATCTGAGAACTAAGCTCATCTTTCAAAGTAAGGAAATTACTCTTCACCGATTACAGAAACAGAGGAATGGCAACGAAATGGGGTTTTTGGTTCATGTGGAGAAGATGCCCTAAACAGAGACATTGGGAAGAGTCTCTGAACAGATAAAAATGTCTAAAAGCCCACTAAAAATAGGCTAGGCCTAATAAGAACCCTTTTTGGCCCAACACTTTTTCTCAAGAACAATGTTTACTTTTGTTATGTTATGTTTTCTATTTTTTGTTTATTAAATAAATTTATGTCATTAATTTTTATTTATTTGCGAAGACCTTAGGGTTTAGAATCTATGTATTAAAAAAATATTGTCAACGATCATAAAATTATGATTATTTTTTCTAAATAAATCAAATATTAGACTATTACAATTGCTAATATATGCACATTTTATTAAAAAAAAGATCACCGATTTTTTTTCTTTTCAAACCACCTTTAAAAAAAGGTTCTAATTTGTCAAGAGAGATCAAATGATTTTCCAAAATCACCTAGGGTTGTACCAATTTCTCACAGTTGATGTTTTAAAGTTCTTTGTTAAGACGTCAATTTTGATATTTTTTATTCTCGTCTTTGTGGGTTTCTTTGTTGGTGTTGACATCTTAGAGTTGGTTGTTTTCTATGTCAGAAAGAATTTGGGGGAAATAAAGAGCTAAAGAAGGTTGAAATGAAGTATAAGGTTAACTGGCTCAAACGGTATGGCTACAAAAACTGTAAATGAATTTTGGTTTTGGATTTTTGAGGTTGTAATTTTGGATTCACTTTTAACTTGTACATAGCCATGGACGAATTCTGCCGGTCCAGTTCTTTGGTAGAGGTATTTTGGTTTTGGATATTTGAGTTTGTAATGGATTCACTCTTAACTAGGCAGACATCAAAGATTGTTCAAAGTAATTTCAAGTTTGAGTTTTATAAAAAAAAAAAAGCTAGACACATATATATGTTTTTTACTCTATGAAGTAAGGATTATTCTAAAAATATGTTCATAAACCCTAAATTTTCCATTTTTTTTTTTTTTTTTTGACAGCACCCTAAATTTTCCATATTGAATAATGGAAATTTATAAAATTTTGACGTATAATAAGAATGAAAAATGTTGGTGGTTTTAAATATAGGCGGCACATATAATTTATGATGTGGCATTATTTATTCTAAAAATAATGAGATCGTCGAGGTATGAGGTTTTCGCCGGAACTCATGTCTTATCGTCGAGGTATATATATGAGGTTTTCAACATTTAGATTCAGCATTTAGATAAGCAACTGATGTTTTCAAGGGTTTTTAATTTCATTTTATTGGTTTTAATAAACAACATTTTAGTTTAATGATAATAAATTTGAAAAATTCTTATTCAAATAACATCATTTTTAGTAGGAGTTTTAAAATCCTCATATGATTAAACAATGAACCAACTTAAGGAAAACAAAGCAGTTAATGATTAACAAAATATTATTTTTCTAATAGCTAATGTGGAGAATCAATGAAAGTTCAAAAGTAAACACACCTATTAGTATTCTTATTAGATCATCTATGATAATATTTTCATTATAAAATAAATATATTTTATCCATGATTACGAAATATTTTGAACGAGTAAATACATAAATAATAAAATATATAAGTATGATAAAATATGTCATAAACGGTATTATATAGTAAAATTGGAATTTTGTAACTCTTTTTTTCCTTCAAAAGCTACATTGAGGACCTCAATTTTTTTTTTTTTTTTGATATGCATTTGAATATCATTAAAGAATAATGAACGGGTTTGTAGAATATACAAAAGATTAACCTAGTAGCTATTTCTTGCCAAAAAAAAGAAAAAAAACAAGAAAGAGCTAAAGCAGCAACAAAATCCGATTGGGAAGGTTACTCATTAGTGAGCCAATTTTGCATTAGGCCACCAATGTCCTTGTGTGTTTTCCTAGCCAGAATTGAGTCCTTGATCTGCCTGTCCACTCTCTTGAAAATTTCATGCGGAGTTGAAGAGATACTTGAGTGAAGTCTGTTGTTTCTTTCGAACCAAATGGCATAGATAATGGCTTGACAGACTAGTCGACGGAGAGGTCTCGATGAAACATTATCAAAAGCTCCAAGCCATGTCGAAAAAGCAGTCCATGTGTGAAATAGAAGAGGTCTATATCCCAGCCTTTTAATTGCTAGGCTCCAAAGCTCTTCACTTACTTCACATCTTAGAAAAAGATGATCTCTTTCCTCAACATACTTTCCACATAAACAACAAGATGGCTGAACTTGCATTCCCCACTTAACCAATCTTGATCTAGTAGGCAGTCTATTCAGATGTGTGATCCACATGTGGAAAGCGTGACGAGGTATTGCTCCTTTGAACCAAACATTTGCAGTCCATGCTTGGGGCTCTCTACGTTGTCTTAGTGATTCCCAAGTCTTCTTTGCGGAGAACGAGTCTAGATCAACACCATCAACGTGCCACAAGTATAAATCCGGACCTGCAGATTCAATAGGTAAAGGGATGGTTGTTAATAAAAAATGAAGGTTTTCTGCCTCCATTGATCTAGCTGGTCGCAAATTCCATCCTGTGGCTGAGCACACCGAAGCTATAGTAGCATTTAAGGGCACCCTTGTTTGCCTAGGGCCATCATTTCCAAATATGTGAAAAAGAGGGCCAACTTCTAACCAAGAATCAAACCAGAAGCTAGTCGATCTCCCATTTCCCACTTTAGCTTTGATGAACCGTGAAGCAAGAGTTCTCAAATTGAGTAATGCTTTCCAAGTCCATGATGTTTGCTGTTTCTCATTAGAATTCCACATAAAACTAGTCTTCATTCTGTTTTTCTTCATCCAAAGAACCCAAAGTGAATTACCACCAGCATGAAGCAACCAAATCAGCTTGAGACAAAGAGTTTTATTCCATGTGTGGAAATTTCTCAGTCCTAAGCCACCTTCCTGTTTAGGCAAACAAACAACATCCCATGATACCTTTGCTTTTGGTTGTGAAGAAATGTCTCCATTCCATAGAAACCTAGAGCATAGACTTTCAATCTTCTTTAAGCACCCCTTAGGCAAAATAAGAGCTTGTAACCAGAAGTTCTTGAGGACCTCAATTTGAGGTAAACGCTAAATGGATTACATGTGACACATACATGAAACAGATCATAAAATGACGTTATTGTGTAACTAATGCTAACATAAAATAAATCTCTTAGTCAGATGAGTTGGAGTTTTATCGCTACAGCTTTGCCAAGATACATATGCAAGATGGAACCTACTTCAGACGTCACATTCTTACATGTTTTTTTTTTCTTCATGTAACTTGGTTAAACAGAAGAAAGATGATACTGTTATCTAACTGGTAGGTATCTCGCTCGAGAAGTCAAGATATTTGTTTCTCTTTAATGTCATTGCTTTTTCATCTAATCGATGACTCTGTTGAGCTTTTCACTTGTATTGTCAAATTTAGGGTAATAAAAACGTTCTCTTATTTTTTCTTAGACTTTGAACTTAACATCCAAAATCCGAATTTCTACAGCTTGAAATTGATTAAAACCCATTTCCCCAAATTAAGCTTGGCTGCTACATCATGTAACTTGCTCATCCACAACTCGATTCAGAACCTGAGCCATTCCAAGAGGATCAGAAGCAAATTCTTACTATTTTCCAACGTCAAAGATTACTATTGCAACCACATTTGCAGTAGCTTTTTTACGACAAACTGCAGTTTCAGTGAAAATCTTGACTAACGCGAACAATGTTTTTTCACGAACATTGGCATCCTCAGTAAAGGTATTTTCGGCTTTGGGAGGCATGGTGAGAGAAAGGGAAAATGGTTTGGATTTAAGATTGTCATATTTTAGCTATTGTACATATAAAAAGTGTGGCATTTGTAAAGATTCGTAGTTTATCGTAGATTTGTATAATTACTTTTAAAACTTTAAACAATATTGACAAATAATATGAGTTACAGAAAATTGCTAATGGTAATAACTAATAATTGTAAACAATAACAAACTAAATATATTTTATTCAAATAAATCTTGTCAATACAGAAGATAAACATTGTCTAATATATAATTGAAACTAATTACTTCAAGAGCTTATTACTTTTGTGGTTTAGTGTGTTTGATAGAAGGAATTATTAAGTTAATCTAGAACTCGATAAAATATGGTAAAAGCTAACACAACAAATTTGTCGTTAGGGAATTTAACCCAAGAAATAGTAAATGATTAATAAGACTATAGCAGGAGCTCTACCGTATAAATAAGCCCGAATTTTCAACTAAACAATTGTTGAGCCCACTCGAAAGCAGGACCCTCCAAAAATAGGCGTATGCCACTTAGCGTGGAGAGTACACGGTATTCTTTAGTAAAAGGCGAAAGAATAGTTCGCTTTGTACTCACCACATGGCTGCGTGCTTAAAATCAGTGGACCAAGGTCATCTTTTATATGCATCGTTCACTACTAACAAACTCTCATCTTCCCGATGTGGGACTCTATCAAACTACTTTTACTCTTACGCTTTCGTTACTTTCTCTCTATTGTTTCGTCTTTCTCGAAAACAAAAATATCCATTTCAGTTCTAAACTACAAAGCCTCTTTCTTCAAATTCTAATTGTTTTATCTATATTTAATTATCCCACTCTCAATTTCATCTTCATCCTCACAAATCTTCAAATATATTAAACTTCACGATTGATCCATCCTACTTAGTTTCCATTCCATCAGAAGCTTTTGAGATATGTATGATGAAAGAAATGAATCTGAGTATCTATAAATTCATTGAACATTATGAAGTGACTTTGAAACTGCCCCAAAGGGACCAAACTTCCATTACATTCACGTCCATATGAGCTGTTCCATCATCACAAATTCACAAGTCTGAGATCTATTCATACGATCTAGCCCAGTAACTTTGAATGACCTTCTACACTTTATTGTACTCATTTTATCAGATTGATCAAAAATACAAAACTATAGTTCAGCTGTTAAAAGGCTGCTAGCTTGTGAAAGCTCTTAAAACCAAAACAAGATGGCCCTTTGTTTTATAGGGTTAAAGTAAGAACTTGAGTCTAAAGCTTCTCCTCCGAGAGGCGAGATCGAGATAAGAAGGAGATAAAGAAATAAATTAACATGAAAGACGACGCTATAAAAAGGAGCCTAACGCTTCTCATTGACATTACGGGTGTAAGAGGCTACATTGACATGGGGATCTCATCGAAGCAGAAACCACAGGTCAGTACCATTGAACGAAATAGAAGAGGTGATCAGAAACTTAATCCGGGTGAGCAAGGCGATGATGTTTCACTTTGGAGAACAGGGGAGGAAAACTTCTCAAAGAAGTTCAGCTCCAAGGGGAACTTAAGGGAAAGCAAGCCAAGGAAAGACTGGTACAATGACATTTGGTTCCAACAGGCAACGCCAAAGTAATCTTTTCGTACTTGGATTGCCATTCAAAATCGTTTGACAACAGGGGATGGAATGCGGAGATGGAACAGAAGGCTGAACTCAGACTGTGTGCTATATCGACACCAAGAGGAATCCGGGAAACTTCTATTCTTTGTTTGTCAATTTTCGGCTCAGGTTTGGGGAAACATTGGCTTCGACGTTGCTGAGAACTGCTTTCTCCAAGGAATGGAAGAGCTTGTCGTCGTGATAAGTGACAATGAGCTTTGACAAAGCTAAGCTCTTTTATCCTGTGCAAAAAAATGGGACAAGCTAAGACAACAAATAGTACGATACGAACTATATACAAGAATGAGAAAACGTTTAATATGGCAAACATTTAACTATTGCTTAGGTCAACTCATAATAGAGCCCAAAACTTTCAACTAAATAATTGTTGGGCCCACTCGAAAGTGGGACCCTCCAAAAATAGGCGTATGCCACTTAGCGTGGAGAGCACACGGTATTCTTTAGTAAAAGGCGAAAGAATAGTTCGCTTTGTGCTCACCACATGGCTGCGTGATTTGAAGCTAAGGACCAAGGCCTTCTTTTATATGCATCTTTCCCTTGGAACAAACACTCAGCTTAGCGATGTGGGACTTTTCTCAAACTACTTCTTTTACTCTTACGTCGTTTCTTTTTTGTTTTGTTTTTATTGGACTACAGAATTATCCATTTCACTTCTAATTGCAAATATTTCTGACTCAAGTTCTAATTCTGTTTTCCCACTCTCACAAATCTTTATATAATTCACACTCTCACTAGTTCTAAATCTTCTAAGTAGGAATCCTAATAGTCTACTGCGAGAATCAATGGAGTTGGACTTAAAGGGTCAACATAAATGACAGATAAAAACCTATTTTACTTTCACGTTGAGATTAGTGATTTATTTATATCCCAACCAAAAGAGTGTTTGGATTACACCAAAACACCGTCGCATTTCACAATTAGGCTGCTTGGGTTAACAAATTGTATATCAGGAAAATGAAAAAAAATCCATAACAGAGAAGAATTACAAAAGAAAGTTCTGCTGCCTACAATCATCCGGAGAGAAAAGTTTCGGGTTGGATCTCAAAAAGTTATCATAATTTCGATCCGCATAGATGCTAACAAGACCAAAAAAGAGTGAGAAGCAGCGAGAGGCCAAACCCGTCTTGTCATCGCTACCTTGTTGGAAGAGACGCTATAGCCTGAAGAATCTTCTTCCTTGGACCCTGCATTGCATCAATACAATGATACCAAGTTCAAGAAATCTGCTAAAAGAACAGATCAATCTAAATTGTTTTAGATCGATAAGAAACAAAAGAAAAAGTACCATTGGTATGATGAGATCTTTTAGATCACTTTCTTTCATCTGCTTTATTGTGGTCATATCCACCTGATGTCATATTAGTCAAGTTTGTTATTGAAGAACAATGACAAAACAGAGCTCAGACAACAAAGAACCCATAAACTAGTACAATAACCAAAATCACAAAGCTCTACGATAAGAAAATAATGGCACACTTACTTCCTCTCTCTTAAAGGCAAGGGAGTATTTTCCAAGTCCAATTGAATTTAGAAAGCCATCAACTGATAGAGGCTCTTCCACCTGTTGTTGCACCAAGCAGATATACATGCCATATTATATAACATATGTATAAGAACAAGGCATCAAGTTTCGACTATCTGATCACAAAGGTTTATGGGTCTAAGAATGACACGAGGTAAATATGAAGTACTCACCCAATGTTTAGAAAGAACAAGAAGAGAGTAAATTCATCCAAAAATTGAGAAGAAGAATAAAGATCTTACAGAGAAGGGACTGGTCTGCATCATACTTCCAAGTGGAGGAAGCTGGCTCAATGGAGGCAATGGATGTTGGTTTGGGACTGGAGGAGGTAACATTGGCCTGGCGAAAGGAGCACCACTTGATGGCGCTTGACCATTTAGTACACCTCTAACAGGATATGGCGATGCACTCATATCATCAAGCATCCTGCTTCGGCCATGAAAATCCTCAATGTTACTACGTGGAGGAGAACCCCTGGAAGAACCCATGTAGCTTGCAGGATTCCTAGGAGGGGAAAAACCCCGAGAAGAACTCATGTAGCTTCCAATATTTCTAACTGGGGACAGAGCCCTAGAATTACTACTGAAGCTTCTGGTGCTCCTTGGCGGTGATTGATCCCTTGGAGCGCCAAATCTCCTTCCAGCATTTCTTGGAGGTGATCTATCTCTTGGAGAGCCAATTACCCTTCCAGCATTTCTTGGTGGTGATAAATCCCTTGGACTGGCGATGATCCTTCTACTATTTCTTGGCGGTGATAGATCCCTTGGAGTGCCAATTATCCTTCCACCATTTCTTGGAGGGGATGGAGCCCTTGGAATGCCAATGATACGTCCAGCATTTCTTGGCGGCGATCGACCCCTGGAAGTATCCACAAATCTGTCTGGAGACCTTCGTCGTAAATCATCCAGAGCCCATGCAGGATGCGAACTACGTGATGAAATCATCTGAGAGGAACCACGAGCAGTTCTTGATGAAGGTAAAGGAAGATCCCTCGGCTCAGCCATACGAGGTCTAATATCAAGGCTACGAGGAGGCTGCTCATTCCTTGAGAGCTTTTCGCGAAGATCCATAGTGCTGCCTTCATCGCTCTGAGCTCGTCTCTGGGCATTCTTTTGCATCAGTTTGAATCGGAGATCATTTTGACTGATCTGCAAATCTTAGTAACAAAGAGGGGTGGGTCAGAAATCAGCAAACATGTGCTAGTGTGTGTATCCAGTAATTCACATCTATACCATTTCCACTCAAACTTGCTTCCCCTCTTTGCCTGCATAAACAAAGAAAAGCAAAAACTTTAATCTAGAGAATGCCTTGCAGCAACAAGCAAGCAAAATCAAAACCCAAAAAAACCGAAGCTCAGAGCATAATCCATCAGTTCATAATGTTCATTCATCCAGAGTTCTCAATACTCAATTATTCCCATACACAAGGTCCTAGATTTCATGACAATAAGAGCAACAACACAAATTCAGAAGCTCCTGACATTCAATATGCAGCAGCAGTACACATAAGAGGGATAAAGTTAACACCTTTTACTGACCACCTCTTCTCCACCATAAACAGAACTATCTAACTGATTCCCTAATCTTTCTTTGACAGACCGCTTAGTCCCAACTCTAGGCAACTCATAACCATCATCTAAATCACTTGCAGCTCGATTCACCACCTGCAAAATAAAACATCACCAAAATAAGCACTTTTCTAGACTCAAAAACTCATTAAATCCTACACCAACTCATCTCAATAAAACAATTCTAAAGATTTCATTTTCCAGATTCACCAAATCAAACTCCTTTAACACAATCCTTCTACCAGAAAATTAGCTTACACAAAAACTGTGAGATAAACAAAAAAAAAAAACCCTTCAACGTACCTGACCGCTACGCCCTAGAGTTATAGTAACCCTACTCCGTCTCGAAGCTTCCGACATTTGTGAAAACCCTAGGAAAATCAACTGGAGCCAATTCTCTAACTTACAGTGAAACAAAACCACGAACAAAGACACCACAATCACCTCCTTCAAACCCTAATCATACGAAGCCAAATCTACTCAAAATCACAGAGAGTAAAAAGGTATAATCGACAGATACGATTATTCAGATATTCCGGGGGAAAATTTCCGATTAAACGGAAAAGAGAAAACAAATCGGAAAAGTTTTAAAATACGTGAAGAATCGGTGGAGACGAAGACGACGTTCGTGACGGACTCTTGGCTTTGATAGTGCTGCGCAGTGCGAAACCAAAGAGACCTGACTCATCTAGTGGCTTCACATGCTCTCATCAATCGGAACGAAAATTTTACGAGATAGGTTTGGATTTATACAGTATTTACACGTTTGACCCCATAGTTTGTTTTTATAATCATCATGTCCTTTTTTATTTGGGAATCTATCAAAAACAATTAAGCAAATCGAAGTATAATAAAATCTTTAAAAACTAATAAAAATAAGATTGTGATATTTTATTAATCTATAAAGTTATTAATGTATAGATATATAACCTAATCCCAAAAATCGATTTTAGAACCGAAAAAATGTGTTGATTTATATATAGCATCTTAAAAAAGGGATCAATGTATCCCAAACAAAGTTAACCGATTTCTTTGTCTCCATTTTCAACTTTTAATCCTTCACACTTTTTCGATCTAACTCATGTTCTAAAAATTTTAAATCCGACCAAGCATCATGAAATATTAATACAACTTGAAACACGACTAATTAAAAATACACAAAGCGGACTTGGACACAACAAAATTCTCGAAACAAAGAACAAAGTGCAAGACTAAAACCACCAAATTACAAGACACATCAAGTGAGCTCTTTCTTGGACTTGCATCAAGGAACATCAAGGCTGACGAGATATGAGGCCAAGTTTAACAAACTCAAAATGTGTGATGGCTTTAAACTTTAGGAAAAAAGAGCATAAGTTTGTGGGTTTATGTGTCCTATCACCGATAGGTCCTATAACTTAATTAACCATTCACTATCTGATAAGCTTTCTTCGTATGATATATATATCCAAATCCAACAATTCCACTCATCTTTGCTTCTCAAATTTTTTTGGTTTATACACTTGCGGTTTGTGAACATTTAAACTTTCACCCCGTACATGTATGCCTTCCAGGTTTTTAGTGCAAACATTACAACAATGGCTAATTACATTTGTTTATTGAAATTTGATTTTAACCGTCAATTTCAGAGTTAGTTACATTTGGTTGAAAAGAGATGAGCGTCATTGCAATAAGAAACATGGGATTCATATTTTTTTTTGTAAGATATTTAACTTTTGGTTATTTAGTTTTAGTGGATTAAATTTTTAATTTTAATTCATTTGCTTTAATTTTATTGGCCAACCTTACTTCTAGACGATAAATGATCCTCCAGCCAGAGACTTAGTTGGTTAGTATTTGTGTTTAAATTTAGCTAATTCCTTAATAAATTTATTCAAAAAACAAATGAAAGTGTCACAAACAAAACTATATATACACACTTTGATGCCTTTAGATTAATATTACACCAACAATTAGATTCAAAAAATGAATCAATTCATTGTTTTTATGTTAGTCATTTTGATGTATTTTTGTATGAATGAAGGGGCACAAGGTTATAACAAATTACGACTTAAAAATGAACTCAATCCTGGGAGTATTCTCAAAGTTAATTGCACATCCAAAAGCGACATTACGGGTGTTCACGATGTGACATTCAATAGTTACGCTGAATGGAGTTTCGGCGAGCATGAAACGTCAAGAACAATATGGCGTTGTCTCTTGAGACAAGGTCCTAAAATGGAGTTTCATCATATTTTGTGGAGAGCATATAGAGGAGCCAAGTTCACACGTAATAATCAGATACGCTTATGGATTGCCAAAGTTGATGGCATCTACTTAGAGAAAAACAATGGGCCGCGTAAGCGCATGTATGATTGGTACAAAACATAATATGTTATTCGTCAAACTAACTTCATTTATGAGGATTAGATTTTAATATATAGTTTTCTCTTATGAGGTAAGTCATTTATCTACTTTGGTGTTGGAATATACAACAAAAATGTAATAAAATTGGGTTCATTTAATATCTATGTATTTTGTGCTAATCTTTCAAATTATATAATATTATCCTTCTCTTTTGTATACAAGTTTTTTCAAGATTTTCTTTTTCAATTGTTATTCTTTAATAAAAGAAAACATAGCATATATGTAGTAAAAATGTTTTTAACGTGTTGGAAAATTGTTCGAAGAATTTCGTTAGTATTTTCAACGAAATTATATTACCGGAAACTGGTAGAAATTTCATCGGAAAAACCGTTATGTTAGCTTAACAAGTTTCCTACATAGATACATTCCGACTAACATCCAACAAAGGTGTTGGTTGGAAAGTAGTCGGAAAAGTGTAGTCGTTACCTGTGGGATATATTTCGACGAATTTTTGACAAAACGGATAGATGGTTGTCAAAAATAGATATCGTCAAAAATCTGCTTATTTAAATTTTGTTCTATACTAATTGATCCCGACAAATTTTAATGATTTATGTCCTCAGAAAAGATTCTTATATATACCTACCTCTGCTTCCTGATGCTTAATACGAAATTTGAATTATATATATCATAACACTGCATGTATAGTTAGAAAGTGGATGTACAAACATGAGGATGAAGCGACGTGAAATATTAGTAACGAGTACAAGGAAGAACTAACAGAGTTCATGAGATTCATATATTTCTATTAAGTTTTTAATTACTTACAATATAAATTTAAATCTTTTCAGGAAGTGGTAATCAAGAAGGGACGATGAAAAGGAGTGGGATCCATCCCGTTTGTCCAAGAAGAGAGTCAAAGTTCTAATTTGCAATCATACGAGAAAAAATATTAAAAATCCAAGAGAAGTATCTCCAATACAAAACAAAGTTTTCTGAGACGATAATAGAGGATCAAAGGTGATAGATCCTAAAGTGGTGAACGATGGTTAACTTGTTGCTGCACTGAAATCACTCTCAACAGATTTAAGCACACGGGTGATGGAATAGAGTTGAATCGATGGAGACTCTTCAACTGGACTAAGGTCATTCTTTGAAGTTTCCAGGGTATGATTGATGAGTAGAACGTAACAATGGATCGAGAGACGCCACACAAAATATGGAAGATCTATGATAAGTTTAGGACACCCAAGCTTCAAGGATTCACACACAAGAACGCTGAAACGTTTTGGGTATTGGACATAAGGTAATCTATATAATAAACAAAGCTAAGAAAATGTATATAACACGAAATCAAACATTGGTATAGGACATAAAGTAATTTATATACAAGTAGTATATGTGAAATCAAAAACTGTAGAAATTAAAGGAACCAATATCTGAATATGTGTGTATATATATCCCCATCCTTCAATAAAAAAAGAATAAGATATGAGGTAAATTAAATCAAACTAAAAGAATTCAAGTAAGTAAAAAAACTTTTATCTACGGTAAGAACCACAAGACCAATCCGACGGTTGACAACAAGAGACTGACAATTGTCGATCTCGATGAACCGTCGATTCTCCAGGCGGCACTGAAGCCACCAGTGTCTCGCTGGTGTCTAGTAGTCGACGGTGGAGATGTTGTGCCGTTGAAGTTAGGGTTCGCACCGTACAAGTATTGGATTCCTTCCACGTCATCATTGGTTAAGTCAACCTTACGTTTCCCCGTCGTGATCGTTGGATACATGATGGATTCTTCAACTGAAGAATGTCCTAAACCGAGAAGATGACCGATCTCGTGAACCGCTACCGATTCAAGATCAACCGCAGCAGTTACGGAGAGGAAACTGTCTAGGTCTCCGGACACCACCCAGTTCTCGTCTGCGTCGAGGTGGAATTTCCCGCTCGGAGGAGAGAAAGCGTGAGCTAAGGTTCCCAAAACGCCGTCAAAAGGCTCTCCGTCACCGTGATCGCCGGTGTAGAATCCGATTGTGATGTCGGACGTCGAGAAAGAGTCAGAAAGCGTGAAGTTCAACGCGGTGACGTCCGACCAACGGCCGAAAGCTCGTGCGAACACGCTCTTGACCTCTTCTGTCAACGGATTTTTCGGGTCGAACGCGTAGGTCAAGTCACGGCGGTTTCTTGGCCATCGTGGCTCGCCTGGGAACAACGTGTAGCGTTTAACCGCGTGCAAATGCGTGCGGGAGAAGTTGACCTCGAAGGTCTTTCTTCTCCCGCCATGCATCAAAGAAGTACCGTTGACCACGTCGGGATTACCGCAACGCGGGATCACGATGTGTTTAATGGTAAGCGCATCGAGCTCACCGGTAACATTAAGCCGGAAATTCCTCTGATACAATTCAACAGCGGTTTTAAGGATATCATCAAAATCATCGGTGAAATTTCCTGAAAACGTTTCAGGGATATAACCAAAACGTTGGAAGTATTTTTTGATGCGGTAGAGACCTTCAACGTTTTGGCCGTGGTGACAACCGGTGAAATTGGAGAAAGCGTCCCAGAAAACACGTGTAGTGTTACGTAGAGACGGTGGTATCGCGGTGGAGTTAGGGAAGAACCAGGCGGATGCAGGAGAAGCAATCAAGAAAAGCGATAAAAACCCGAAAACACAAAACCTCATGGTGGTTTTCGGATTATAGGTAGCCACCCAAAAAAGAAGAAAAGAAACAAATGGAGAAGGTAATATTTAGGATTTTAGGAGAGAATTTGAGAGAGAGAGAAGAGAGATTAAAGCTAAAAACAGGTAAATCAGTTTAGAAGATGGTATTTAAATATAAGATATATAAATTGAGGTCAGCTACTACGTTTGCGTTTTGTGTTGGCGGGTGAGAGGTCGTTGGGAATCGTTTGCGTGTTTTGTCAATTTTCTAGTTGTTTTATAAGAATAAAAATGGTGAATGATTCCAATGGAAACATCTATTGGTCTTAGTCACGTTCAAACTTTAGCAGAGGTCATCAAAAGAGAAGAAGACTTGTGCCACAGAAAGACTTGGGGTCCGGTTTAATATGTTAACCGATGGTAGTAAACCGGTTTGATGGAACTGAAGGTGGCGGAGTCAAACAAAGGCGTTGAACTAAGTTTTGTTTAGTTTTCAAGTGGGAGTTGGTTTGGTCGGAAAAGTAATCAACGAATCTTCGACTTACACGTTTTTAACGACGTCATAAGTTGATAGCTTCCTGGTAAATAATCCATAATCCATAGGTAACGTAACGCTGGTCCATTTAAACACTTTGTTTCCAAAGATTTTGTTGACAAATTCTTACAATTGTACCAACGAAGAGACTGAGGCAACATTGAATATGATAAGAGCATCATATAAAATATTCACATTCACACAAAGATTGTACTTAAAACGTGGATTACTTTCCCTCTAACTAAAAGGGTAAACTTAAATAATAAACCAAAAGTATACAAACACAAACAGACAGAGAGAGAGACATACATGTTAATTAATTTTGCTAACATTTAGAAGGCCTCTCATAATTAGGAGGTAAAGAAGGGCAATTCTGGTTCATGTTTGGATATGGGTCAATGGTGTTATAACCAGGTAACTCCATTCTGTATTCACCTAGAATCTGACAGAAGTCAAGCTTCTCTTCCTCTGTGTTGCACCAACTCGGTAGCCGAGTCTGGTTAGACTCAAATAACTTCAGAGTGTACGCATCTCGGATCTGAGAATAGGAAAGAAGAGAAACGCTCAAGAGTAATGTTAAATGGAAAGACTAGATATTGAAAGAAAAAAGAAACTCACAGTGAATTCCGTGACTTGAATGTGATCAGCGAGAGGGCCGAATACACCAGCGGCTTTGTACATTGCAAGGATGAAAGCAACACATGTTGTTGATTTCCCGTCGCTATAAACCCACTCATCCTGTTCAGGGATGGTGAGTAATTCATCAAATGACATTCCACGCCTCGCTGTTTCTTCAAGTATCCCATACAAATCCAGATCCTATACAACAGAAACTTATTAGTTAGCCTGTAATTCCTAATCCAGTAGAAACTGGTTTTTGTAAAGAAGAGTATAGATATGTACCTCAGTACCGAGTCGTTTATTCAGTGCCTCGTTCCACATATTTGCAGCATATGCGGGTTGTACACGAGTCCACATAGACATGACAGAAATAACCTGAAAGTTCAATGTCATTTGTTAATTACCATGATGATAATAGATCTTTAAGAAAATCAGAGATTAAAAAGTACCAAGTGAGCATCAAGGGGAGGTGGGTAGTTATCGCCTAGAGTGTCGATCCAGCTGAATATCATGTTGTGATATCCATACGGTTTGCCCAACATGCTACGAGCATATTCCCACGCAGCAGTATTGTTGAACTTTTCCCGGATAACAGGATGTAGAGGAAGCAAAGCAACTTGAGGATTTGAATTATCCTTCAAAGTCAGATCCCACCATTCATCCCAAGGAATCACAACAATGATTTCTTCACCCTATGAGAAAAAAGAGAGAGAGTAAATATATATCTCTCTCTCTATCGAAAAACCACAACATGTTTAAGAAATTTCTCCAAATATAAGTCTACCTTTTCGTTCTCATGTCCCGATTCACCAACCCAAAGATTCCCCAAATCATCCTTCAAACAAACAGCAGTATGACCAGCAAAAGCCCCAGTCACCCATTTCTCCAGCGTCTCAAAACCACCCCATCTACCTCTAATCTTTGACACCGCCAAGAAATCGCCAGAATGCACATCATCCGGATTAATCATTGACCGCCAAGGTTGAGACCGTTTCTCAAACGTAGCACCCATATGTTTCGTCAAGAACGCCAAATTCGCACTCTGTCCCCAAGCAGTATTGGAGAAAAGAGGTAACACATCAATCAACGAAAGCAACGTCCCAAGCATTCCTGATGGCATTAGAAACACTGAAACTCCATGCTCCTTCACCTACTCATCATTCATCAAATTACCACATAATAAATCACCATGAAAACAAACACCACACAACATCTTATTAAGACTATAAAGAACATTAACTAAAACAAAAACCTACATATTCCAACTCAGCTTTCTCTTCCCAAGAATCAAAGTTCAAAGTATGATCTCGAGCAGAGAAATAGTAGTCCCAAGTGATCCTGTATGGCGTTGCAAACACATAAAGATCCATACATGTCAAGCTATGTGCCTTGGACGTCTGCAAAAAAGTTCCCATATATCATCAAAACAACTCAATTTCAACCAGTAACTACACAACATTCTCCCAATTTTGAATTTCACTTGTCACCAAAAAAAGGCAAAAAATTTACGAAATTTGAGCATAGAAGCTTTGAAAGTACAACACTTTAGCCTCAAGAAGACAAATCATAGTATTAGGGAGCAAAAACAAGAACCAATTGAAGAAGAAGAAAGTGAAATTAACCAACTTTGAGATGAAGAACACCACCACCAAGTCCAGGGACATCACGATCACTACCGGTGATATCGAGACGAGCTTCATTACCATTAAAGCAAGCACCTTTCCACTCAATAGAAACGTTATTAGGAGTAACAGACCCGATAAAGACCGGTAACAAATCCACAGCGTTGTGGAAACTGTTCAAAACAGGCCACGAGACTTGACGAGGTAGCATCGGAAGAACATCGTCAACGCTAAGAGGAACCTTTAAGGATTGACCTAGGTCAACGCAAAAACCTAACCCTAGAAGAAGACATAAGAGGAAGAAGAAGGTATAAGACTGATGTGATGATGGGTTTTGAGACATTCGTGATCGGATTGGTTCCAAAGAAGTGATTTTGAGACTTTGTTTGGAGATTTTGGGGATTTTGGAGAAGAGGGTTTCGTGTTGTTATGGTTGAAGATGATCCATTTGGGATGTTTCAGTTTTTTATTTTTCTCTCTCTCTGTGTTTTGGATTTTTTTTGGAAAATTGGACTTTGGGGGAGATAAAATATTGAGTTAGTTTTGGATGTGGAAGAAATAGACAAACTGGTTTAGACTTTTCTTAGAAACAAAAGTTTGAAGATTCTTTGCTTTGGTTTCATCTTCCACGTAGACACGAACTTGGCATGATCCATAACCGGATTTGTAATTCAGGTTCGGTTTGGTTCGGTACTCATGTTCAATTGCTTTGCATATGAATATTGAACATTCCAGGTTAATTTTTGGTTGTATTGTGCAGTGTATGATGAAAAAAGTCCCAAGTTTTTACCTTTGACCCTTTTTCATTATTTCATATGACATCTGACAAAAATAATTGCAAAGTTTCACTAGAAATGAATAATGCAACTACATGATGGGATAAAAATATTCACCTAAGAATTATAAGACTACAATGATTGTATGTATGCACTTGATGGTCCTATGCACATAAATAACTACAACAACCAAAAACCAAATGATGTGACATTTTCTACATTCATTGTATAGATAATGTTGGTCCATAGACCGGTCCTGTCCCTCCCAGACCATAACAGTCACCAAACCACAGAGTCGATCAATAAGTTTGGAGAGTTTTACATTGCGAAGATGAAGCAGTTTGAGTAGCAAGGAATAAACAGAGGACTCTCCTCCACTGCCATTGGCTGTCTAAATGGATTCAACTCAATCTGCATTTCAAATATACATAACTCCATACATATCAATATGAATATATAAGAAAAAGTATATAGTTTCTCTGCAAAAACATCATTTTCCAACAAAAAACATAGGTTTGAATAAGTTAAATAGGATAATAATACACCTATAATCTAGACTTACAGGTAATGATAGAGGTTGTCCTGTGATGGTTTTAATGCAACAAGCCGCCAGATGACAAGCTTCTTCACAGTAATCAGAGAATACTGCTGGCACTTTTATCTCCTTTATCAGTTCCTGAAATTATTAACACCAATTGATGAATGAATTACAAATCTAGAAATGACGAATGTGATCAGCAGCTACTGGAAAAACTTACAATAGTTGGCAACCAACTAGGATATGCAACGATGCCAGCATTTGGAGCAATCACTATGTGAGGAGGAGGTGAATTCTGCCCAGATAAGATGGTCAATCAGAAATCAAAACAATTCAAGGTCCAATAAATGGATTTGACATTTGAGAACAGTATGTCAAATGATTACTGTTTTCCCCTAGACGAATAGAAAGGGATACCTTTGTTATGTCGGTGTAACGATCATGGTAAAATCCTCTATGGAGCTGTAACGACACAGCTGGAGAGCAGGCAGATTCGTTACCGGAAATTTCGCTTGAATAATTACATTCACATTCTTCTTCCATGCAAGGGGAATATCTGCTAAGTGAGATCATCTCTCCATCCCTGTTCACCAAGAGAGCAAAAAGAGAACGGTCCATCAGATTTATGCCAATACACACAAAGAAAAACCACAATATTGCCGTTGAACAGCTTTAAGAACTCTAATGAAAAGTGGTAAAAAGCAAAAAATATCTTGTGATGTAATTTACTTTGCGTAACTGAAAATATAACGAGTGTTTTACAAAACAATCAAATGGATTTTGGAGTGCAGGACTGACATATGTTGTGGAACGTCAGGTCCAACAAGCTCTACGTGTATGCGCAGACCAGGGAAGAGGGCTTGCAGCTCAGCGAAGACACCAAGTTGACCAAGCTCTTTCTGAGGGCCTTCAGAAGCTCAAAACTATCAGCAAACCATGTATCAGAAGTTATACCATAGTTTCTCTGGTGCATCTTTTGAAATATTTATATAATTTCCATATGCCAGTTCCAAAAAATGCCGAAGAGTTACAGAGTGAAACATACCAAGATAATGTATACGAAGTTCATCACTTATTTGGGGAGTCAAATTTCCCATCCCAATGACTTGAATTGCATGATATATCGTCAGTGGCTGAAATAAAAGCAAGCTCTATAAGTCAATAGTTTGAAAACCTCAAGCATTCTAGTCATACTTGCAATCACATTAATCATCAGAAGAAATGTTACCCAGTGGAGAAGTAGAGCCACAGGAGAATCAAGAGGTAACTTTCTCCACTCGAAATAATCAGTCCAACTGCATAGCTGTTTTGTTACTGGAGATAAAGGGCCTGTGTAATCCAAAATCAGAATTCTATAGGAACAAACTCTTTAAGTAAAACCATAAACAGAGAAGTAAATAAAGCATACCACGACATGGACAAGAAGAGCTCGGCAGATGCCAACCTTCATATCTTAAACTGTAAGAAAAAATAGTAATCAGCTCAATCTAAAATGGCTTCAAACCAAAACATGATTCTCACTAAATGAAGAGAACAAATAAGCGATCAAAACCTATCATGCGCCAAAGAACCGGCAGAAGCTCCACAGTTACACTCATACATCCACATTCCAACACGATGCAACTCCCTTTTGCTGAGAAACAAGCACCTGCTCTCATGTTTTTGACTAACCTAAGAACGTATAATCGAAAAAACCTACAACTTTGAGCTGAATTTTCATGAACTCAAGTCATTATATGCCACCTTATCATTCAAAGTGATCATAAACCTGAACTGTAGTTTCTTCTGTAAATGTAAATGGAAAATCATTTAACAGATCAACACGACGCATTTGCTCTTCTAATCTCTCACATTCTTCCTTGTGGTAGCTCCAATGTGAACTCTACAAACAAATCAAGATCCACTAAATTCAACAAGGAACCTATTTAATCATCACTTCGTTGTTTTCCAGAAATCGATTAGGTCGATGAAGAAGAAGGCTTAAGAGAGAAAAAGCACAAGTTAAAACCTGATGAGAGACGGAGCAATACGCTACAGCACCACACTGGCCACACCTCCGCGTCGGTGGACCAACGCACCGCGTCGCAAATCCACGCGCGGCACACTCCATCCGCCGTCGGCGACCAAGACAACCGCCGTTTCTTCCCGGGACGAAAAAAGTATTTCAGAATCTCGACAACACTTTTGACTTAAAGGCCCATCTTGTTCTAATCGTAAGGCCCATTTCGTTCTTATCGTAAGACCCAGTTTTGTTCTAATCGTAAGGCCCATTTTGTTTTAGCCTTAAGACTCTCTGTATTGTTTCTTTGATAGGAATTTGAAAACGTTGATAGATGAACAACGTGAAAATGACTTTAAATGAAAGACAATCATATGATGGTTGATATGTATATAGATACCATATATACAAAATCTTATTTTTATAATAAATAAAAAATAGATAATTAGTTTTAGTTAGAAAAAAAGCACTTATGATTTAAGCCATACAAATTGATGTCCCTTTGGTTCAACATTTCTCACCAAGTAAATACCATCAACTTTAGCAACCCAAGTACGTATTTGAGCACATCTTTTCTTAGCGGCTCCTCTGTATGCTCTCCATATGCTCTGATAAAACTCACCTTTTGGACCATGCCTCAAGTGACAAGCCCATACTATTCTTTTGGCATGAACCTCTTCAAAGCTAAAAGCATAGGACTCATTGAATTTCACAACTTGTGGACCTGTTTTTTTGTTTTGGTTGGATGTGCAATCGACTTTGAGAATATTACCACGACCGAGTTCGTTTCGTAATTCTAAAGTGTTTAGGCGGCAACCCGCACCTCCACATCGTGGATTCTGGTTATTAGGATTACTACACACAATACCTTCATTCAAACCAAAACACATAGTAATAACTAGTACAAATATAATAAGATGGTTCATTTTTGGCTATAAAATATTTTTTGGAATAATGTGAAACCAAAAGGCGTCGAAGTGTAGCATTTATAGGTTTTTTTTTGTGTGTGTGTGGTGAAAAGCTTCAATAATTAAAGTAGTAACTAAATTTAAACATAAATATGAACCAGTTAAATCTATGATCGAAGGAGCATTTAGTGTCGAAAACTAAGGTCAATCAATAAGATTATGAATTATAACTTTGAACATTAATGCTGACCACTAAAACTAAATTAACTAAAATTCTTAATAAATTTATTCATTAAACAAATGAAAGTGTCACAAATAAAAACTATATATACACACTATGATGCCTTTAGATTCATATTACACCAAAAATTAGATCCAAAAAATGAATCAACTCATTATTTTTATGTTAATCAGTTTGATGTGTTTTTGTTTGAATGAAGGGGCAGTACCAAACGATAACATTTTACGAATTCGAAATGAACTCAATCCTGGGAGTATTCTCAAAGTTAATTGCACATCCAAAGGCGATAATACAGAAGTTAAAGATGTGACATTCAATAATAGCGTTGAATGGAGTTTCGGAGAGAGCTCATTTTCAAGAACAATATGGAAATGTCTTTTGAGACAAGGTGAGTTTCATCATATTTTATGGAGAGCATACAGAGGAGCCAATGTCCGACGATTTCATCAGATACGCTTATGGATTGCCAAAGATGATGGCATTTACTTAGAAAAAAACAATGGACCGCGAGAGCGCATGTATGATTGGTACAAAAATTAATATGTTTTTCGTAAAACTAACTACGCATATGAAGATAAGTTTTTAATATATATTTTTTCTTATGAGGTAAGTCATCATTCTACTTTGGTGTTGGAATATACAACAAAAATGTAAATAAATATGGGTTCATTTAATATCTCTGTATTTTGTTCTAATCTTTCAAATTACATAATATCATCCTTCTCTTTTGTATACAAGTTTATTCAAGAAATTTTTTTCGATTGTTAGTCTTTAATACAAAAAAACATAGCATATATGACGCGTTTCCGACTAATTTCCGATAAATTCAGCAGGATGGAACTATGGTCGGAATTATAAATATATCGTCGAAAAATTGATTGAAAATATTCGTTGGAATTCCGTTGAAAAGTTCCAATGAAATTATATAATCGAAAACTGGTAGAAAGTTCACAGGAAAAACCGTCAGAAATGTGTTAACTTTACATGTGTCCTACATAGATACATTTCGACTAATTTCCAACAAAGATGTTGGTTAGAAATTAGTCGGAGTTACGTGGTAAAAATGTACTCGTTATCTGTGGGATATATTTCGACGATTTTTTGATGAAACGGATAGAAGGTTGTCGGAAATATATATCGTCTAAAATCTGTTTACTTAAAGTTGGTTTTATAATAAATGATTCCGACGAATATTCAAAGATTTATGTCGTCATAAAGTTTCTTTCATCTAATAGACATCATATGATCACTCGAACAAAAAATGGTATTCGCAAGCCTAATTCTCGGTTATATACAAAATACTCTAGATTTTAACCAAAAATCCAAAAAATGATCAAAAATATTTAACTAATGAAAAGTTCAAATTTTTAATGTTTTTTTTTTTGCCTAAGAACCCAAATTTATATCGTGCCGGGGATGTAGATACGAGTCAGATCCTATTTATTTTCCTCTTCTCAAAAAATTAAAAGAATGTTACATGCAGAACTAAAAATATACGATTCTTTTGAAATAATATTACCTTTAATTTTGTTTTTTAACCATACCTTTTTTTTTTACACGTCCATAATTCATATTCCGTTCGCTTTATTTATGATTAGCAATGTCGCATTACCATAAATTTTTAGTATTTTTGTCTAGCAATGGTGATGATCCACTATCATTGATGGATTTCATTCCCTATTCTTTTGACCGACTGAGATTACGTTGGAAATTATATATTCAGATAAAGATACAATATACTATAAAGTTTAGGAAACCCGTATATTTATTTATTCAGAAAAATAAGATGTCAAGTTTATACTTCCTCCGTTTCAAAATGTAAGACGTTTTGAGGTATTATTTTTGTTTCAAAATGTAAGACGTTTTCAAGTTTCCATGCAAATTATATATTAATTTAATATTTTCTGATTATTTATATTATGCAGTCTCATTCATGATTGGTTAAACTTTTTAAAAGTGGATATTTCTTAATCTGCGTGCTTTTAACTAAAACGTCTTATATTTTGAAACGGAGGGAATATATATTATGAATTCAATTGAGTTTAAGGAAAATCCTATTAATTCGTTTGGTATTCGGTATTTGTTAATTCTAAGGAATTCAATTTCCCGATTATACATTATTGCATTGAATGAAAATATGTGAATCCCAATCCATTATAACGTTCCCAAGTTCCAAACTTGCAAACCCACATTTTTGTCGATTTCATCAAATGTGAATTCATTTAATTTCCCATAGAAAACAGAAATTTGCACTTTCTTCTAAGTTAATAATAAATGATATCGTATCTAAATGGGAATGTTTTTGGCTTTTAGTTTAGACTTCCAAAGCGTCAAAATATTTCTAGAAAGAACACAAAAAATAAGCAACGCCACTACTTTTGGACAATGTCAACGATAACACATCAACCGCACCAGCTCCATAAAAGTCAAATCTCACGAAAACGATTGTAGTCAAACTACCTAAAACACCCTTATATTTACGTACAAACCAATCCCACTAACAAGGGTACATTCGTCATATCATAAAATTTATCACCGACCCGTAAGAAGAAGATGAAGTTCGAAGAACAGATCAACTAATCTCTGCTTTCAACTCCACATTAAAACCAAAACCTCCAAATTCCCAAAACCTACCAAAAACGAATATTTATTTATTTAAATTATCCTTAAAACGTCTTTGTTATTTCAAGGAAAACAAAGACGTAACTTTAAAATTTCAAGTTTTCTTTCTTTTTGTTTCCTTAATGATCTCTCTATCTCTCTAAATGAGCTAGATCGTTAATGGCTGCCATGTTTAATCATCCATGGCCTAATTTAACCCTAATTTTCTTCTTCTTCATCGTCGTTTTACCATTCCATTCTTTTTCTCAGTTTGATTCTCCACAAAATATCGAAACTTTCTTCCCAATCTCCTCACTCTCACCTGTTCCACCACCGCTTCTTCCACCGTCGTCAAACCGATCTCCGCAGTCAAATAATTCATCTTCTGATAGAAAAACAATCACAAAAGCTGTTCTTATAACAGCAGCAAGCACTATACTTGTAGCTGGAGTTTTCTTCTTCTGTCTTCAAAAATGTATCATCGCACGACGGAGGAGAGACAGAGTCGGGCCAGTCAACGTCGAAAACACTCTACCACCGTATCCTCCTCCTCCGATGACGTCGGCGGCGGTTACGACGACGGCTTTGGCTAGAGAAGGTTTCACGCGGTTTGGTGTTGTGAAAGGTTTGATTCTTGATGAGAATGGTCTTGATGTGTTGTATTGGAGAAAGCTACAGAGTCAGAGAGAGAGAAGTGGAAGCTTCAAGAAACAGATCATCACCGGAGAAGAAGAGGACAAAGAAGTGATTTATTACAAGAACAAGAAGAAAACAGAGCACGTTACAGAGATTCCTCTTCTTAGAGGAAGATCTTCTACTTCTCATAGTGTAATTCATAACGAAGATCATCAGACGCCTCCACCGCCACCGCCAATTCCGGTGAAACAGAGTGAACCAGCACCACCACCACTGTCAATTCCGGTGAAACAGAGTGCACCAACGCCACCGCCTCCTCCTCCGATTAAGAAGGGTTCTTCTCCATCGCCGCCACCACCTCCACCGGTGAAAAAGGTCGGAGCTTTATCATCATCAGCTTCGAAACCACCGCCTGCGCCGGTTAGAGGAACAAGTGGAGGAGAGAGTTCGAAACAAGTAAAGCTGAAGCCTTTACATTGGGATAAAGTAAACCCTGATTCTGATCATTCAATGGTTTGGGACAAAATCGATCGTGGATCATTCAGGTAATATATACACTTACACAACTCGGTTTCACAAGTTAGGGTTTTTAATTCAATCAACTGAAAAAACCCTAATTTTTTGTTTCTACATCTCAGTTTCGATGGCGATTTAATGGAAGCCCTGTTTGGATACGTTGCCGTGGGGAAGAAATCACCAGAACACTTCGATGATAAAAACCCTAAATCAACGCAAATCTTCATACTTGATCCGAGAAAGTCTCAAAACACAGCGATTGTGCTTAAATCATTAGGTATGACACGTGAAGAGCTTGTTGAAGCACTCATGGAAGGAAACGATTTTGTGCCAGACACGCTTGAGAGGTTAGCTAGAATAGCTCCGACTAAAGAAGAACAATCAGCGATTCTTGAATTCGAAGGCGACACGGCAAAACTCGCTGATGCGGAATCGTTTTTGTTTCATCTTCTTAAATCTGTGCCAACCGCGTTTACTAGACTAAACGCGTTTCTCTTTAGAGCTAATTATTATCCTGAAATGGCTCATCATGGAAAATGTCTACAAACGTTGGATTTGGCTTGTAAAGAGCTGAGATCTCGTGGCTTGTTTGTGAAGCTTTTGGAGGCAATACTTAAAGCTGGAAACAGAATGAATGTGGGTACCGCGAGAGGAAACGCTCAAGCGTTTAATCTAACCGCGCTTTTGAAACTTTCGGATGTTAAAAGTGTTGATGGGAAGACTACTTTGCTTAACTTTGTAGTGGAGGAAGTTGTTAGATCGGAAGGAAAACGTTGTGTTATGAATAGAAGAAGCCATAGCTTAACACGAAGCGGCAGTAGTAACAACAATGGTGGTAATAGTCCTCAGGTTATGTCGAAAGAAGAGCAAGAGAAAGAGTATTTGAAGCTTGGTTTGCCAATTGTTGGAGGATTGAGCTCTGAGTTTTCAAACGTCAAGAAAGCTGCTAGTGTAGACTATGACACGGTTGTTGCAACTTGCTCTGCTCTAGCGGTTAAAGCAAGAGACGCGAAATCTGTGATTGCAGAATGTGAAGATGGAGAAGGAGGGAGGTTTGTGAAGAAGATGATGTTGTTTCTTGATTCAGTAGAGGATGAAGTGAAAATGGCGAAAGATGAAGAGAGGAAAGTAATAGAGCTTGTGAAACGTACAACGGATTATTATCAAGCAGGAGCTGTTACAAAGGGGAAGAATCCACTTCATTTATTTGTTATTGTTAGAGATTTTCTTGCCATGGTTGATAAAGTATGCTTAGAGATTATGCGGAATATGCAGAGGAGAAAGATTGGGAGTCCGGTATCGCCTTCTTCGCAGCGGAATGCGGTGAAATTCCCGGTTTTGCCTCCAAATTTCATGTCGGTCAGAGCCTGGAATGATTCCGGTGGGTCGGATTCCGATATGTGAGAGTCCAGATTTGTTATATGTAAATACTACTAAATAGTAGAATCATTTTGGGTACAATTTGTTCCTTATAATTAAACAATTTTGCTTGAAGACCTTTTCATGTTTATGAGCATTTCTTCTTTAACTTTACATAGTACATATATATCCCACCTAACATAGCTCTTTTTTTGTTTATCAAATAACTTATTCTAAATTGTTTGATAATTGTAAATTGTAAACGTGAAAATGAGCGTTATACACTATAGTGTGAACTTAGCTTTATTGAATTTTTGATTTTTCTCAGAGCTTTAGATGAAGTAGGAGTTAGTAGTATTTCACCTAACATAGCTCTTTTTTTGTTTATCTATCAACTAATACTAAATTTATGGATAAAGCACGAAACTTTCAAATCTCTATAGATTAACTTACACTAAACAATTTGATGCTTGTAAATATGAAACTTAAGACGTTAGAGCACCATTATCGGTAAGCTCTTAGAGCATATCTTAGGTTTAAAGTGATTTAAATTAAATCATTAATCAACTATATAACTAACAAACGTTTCTTAGCTAAGAGTTATTTTTAACCTTAAGAGACAACACGTGTCGCTTCTTTCTTCTTCCACTCTCTCTCTCTCTCTCTCATGCGTTTGGCCACAATACAATGGCGACATCGGAGGCCATTCGAGTTAAATCGGAACCAATCGTTGGAGTCACCGATTTTATGACCTCCGGCAGTCCATCTCCACCGACACAGATCGTCCACGGCGACTTTTGGAACTACCGGCGAATTTTTCCGGCGAAGAGATGAATGGAGGAAGCATCTGATGCTTTCGAATCAAATGAGACACGCTCTTCCTGAACTTGGAATCGGCGTCGCCGCTTTACCTCGTTAGTGAGCAGATCTACAACAAAGCTTTGGCTCCTTCCTAATCATCTCACCACCACCAGGATCAGACTGCTCTGTCTCACTGAAGAGCATCGATCTTCTTCAGTGAGGTAAATCGTTAATGACTGATTCATTTTGTGTGCTAATTTTGAAATTTTTTCGTTTGATTGGAACGCAGAGATGCAGTTTCTCGTCTATGTTAATCATAATCATAGGTTGGAGATTGGGAATTGGGCCTCCCGATTAAATCAATCTTTTGCTGCTCCAACTGGTTCTGAAATTGTTGAGTGGTATGTGATACTGATAATTACCGCATCTTCTTATCCCAACAGTGTTTATATATCTGTTTTTTTTTTTGCAGATCTTGTACTTAAAGACAAAGTCTTTGTGTATGATCTTGCGCGGCAACGGATTGGATGGGCAAACTATGATTGTAAGTATATAATCTTATAGTCATGTCATTAAGGAAACTCTAGTCATCATCATCATCTGAATTAGATGTGATCATGGCATTGCGTTGACTAGTAGAGTTCTGAATTATACTTGGCATTTTGCAATCTGCGAGTTTCTTTAATAGCTTCATATATTGCTATTGGCTAACTAGACTTTGTAGTATATGGACCAAAACTTGTTTGTGTATATGCAAAGCATCTTCTTATGTGAATGAACCAAAACTTGTTTGTTATGCCTACATTTTGCTATATATCACACAAACTAGCACAAAACATTACATCAACCACAAAACCATGACTTGAATCAATATCTTCTTTTTCTCTGAATAACCAAAACACATAAATTTGATCAAGTGTTTTAACCAAAGAAAAATGTGTTTATCAAGACTTAACCACCAAACTTCACTTGTCTCTTCTCTATCTTTCTTTTCAAAAACACCAAACACCAAATTTTATTTTGAAAAATTTATTTCTTAAATATCTTGTATGTTTTAATTTTTTTAATTTGCAACAATTATTAAATTTTCTATAATTATAAATTTTATTTTTATATTAATATTTTTTTTTCTAAGAACCACATGTTAAGAGCCTATCATTAATCACACAAAAATCTTAACTCAAAAATACTATCTCTTAACAATCACTTTTACAAATAAATTACTTAAATATTGCTAAGATTATTTTCTAAGAGACTACCTATAATCATGCTCTTATAAAGACTATATGGTGTGAACTTTTTAATCCATCTTTATTGACTTTTTTAAATTTCACAATTTGTAAACAAAAGCAGAAGCTTTTTAAAACAAAAGTAGGAGTTGATTTTTGTTTATGAACAAAAACATATACATCTACCTTAGAGGAAGTTGGAGCTATCATTATTGGTTTCAAACTCTTTTAATAATTTGAGCTTTAAAGCAAAATGGTAACTTTATATTGATCACTAGTTCACAACACTTTCTCTGCCTTTTCCTCAATAGCAACGCGTAGCCAAGAAGAGGAACGTGTTTAACATGGACCAATCTTTATTAAGATAATAGTATTATCAATGTTTGCTTTAATGCTTATAAATGACACACTAAAAGTAATCATATTAACCATTCCACATATTTCCAACACAATTTAATCCATCATGTCTCTGTTTCTGAAGAAGTTGTTGTTATTCATTCTCTTCTTCTTCTACATGGCTTCAATTTCTCAAGGCTCCGACCCAACCGGTGGACAGTTTAGCTTCAACGGTTACTTGTATACCGATGGAGTTGCGGATCTAAACCCGGACGGTTTGTTCAAACTCATAACTTCAAAGACACAAGGAGGAGCTGGCCAAGTTCTTTACCAGTTCCCAGTCAAGTTCAAGAACTCACCAAATGGCACAGTTTCATCCTTTTCCACCACTTTCGTCTTCGCCATCGTCGCAGTCCGTAAAACAATCGCGGGTTGTGGACTTTCCTTCAACATCTCTCCTACAAAAGGTTTGAATTCTGTTCCAAATATCGACCCCTTCTCTTCCTCTAACCGTTCTGTTTCGGTTGAATTCCATACCGCTAAAAGCGAGAAACCGGATGGTGAAGATGTAAACGTCGTTGGTATCAATGTCGATAGGACGGAAACGGATAGAAATTGTTCGGCTGGTTATTACAAAGATGATGGTAGATTTATAAATCTAGACATTGCAAGTGGGAAGCCAATACAGGTATGGATTGAGTATAACAACTCAACTAAAAAGCTTGATGTTACAATGCATTCTATTCAGATTTCTAAGCCTAAGACTCCTCTGTTTTCGTTGCGGAAAGATCTTTCTCCGTATCTACGTGAGTATATGTATATAGGCTTCACTTCAGTGGGAAGTCCAACTTCTTCGCACTACATTCTTGGCTGGAATTTCAATAACACTGGAACAGTTTCAGATATAAATCTCTCCCGTCTTCCCAAAGTCCCCGATGAAGATCAAGATCGATCGTTGAGTTCCAAGATCTTGGCGATTAGTTTAAGTATTTCAGGAGTTACACTTGTTATCGTCTTGGTTCTTGGATTTATGTTCTTCTTGAAAAGGAAGAAGTTCTTGGAAGTGATTGAGGACTGGGAGGTACAGTTTGGTCCTCATAAATTCACTTACAAAGACCTCTTCATCGCCACTAAAGGTTTCAAGAACAGCGAGCTTCTTGGAAGAGGAGGTTTTGGAAAAGTCTTCAAGGGAATCTTACCGTTGTCTAGTATACCGATCGCGGTAAAGAAGATTTCTCATGATTCAAGACAAGGAATGAGAGAGTTTTTGGCTGAGATTGCTACTATTGGTAGACTTAGACATCCAGATTTAGTTCGTCTACTCGGATACTGCAGACGCAAAGGAGAACTCTACTTGGTGTATGACTTTATGCCCAAAGGAAGCCTTGACAAGTTTCTTTATAATCAACCAAATCAAATTCTTGATTGGTCACAGAGATTCAAGATCATCAAAGACGTTGCCTCGGGACTCTGCTACTTACATCAGCAGTGGGTTCAGGTTATTATCCACAGGGATATAAAGCCAGCAAATATTCTTCTTGATGAAAATATGAACGCGAAGCTCGGTGATTTTGGACTTGCGAAGCTATGTGACCACGGGATTGATTCTCAAACCTCAAATGTCGCAGGTAAGTTTGCGGTTTTGTGCACATTATTATCAATCAATCAAGATCTTTGGAAATATTGAAGGTTTTGTGTTGTTACTTTGGACGCAAGGTACATTTGGATATATATCACCAGAGCTCTCAAGAACAGGGAAGTCAAGCACAAGTTCTGATGTTTTTGCATTTGGAGTGTTCATGTTGGAGATTACTTGCGGAAGAAGACCCATTGAACCACGAGGATCACCAAGCGAGATGGTTTTGACTGATTGGGTACTAGACTGTTGGGGCAGTGGAGATATATTGCAGGTAGTTGATGAGAAACTAGGGCACAGGTATCTTGCGGAACAAGTAACTTTGGTTTTGAAACTGGGTTTGCTTTGCTCGCATCCAGTGGCAGCCACTAGACCAAGCATGTCAAGCGTAATCCAATTCTTAGACGGTGTAGCCACGCTTCCTCATAACTTGCTAGACCTTGTGAATGCTCGGATAATCGATGGAGGATTCGATGCATTAGGTGAAACAACTGAGTCTATGGAGGCGAGTAGTAACGTTTCCGTGGTCATGACGGAATCGTTTCTCTCTAGTGGACGTTAACTAATGATCATTTATATTGTAGAGTTGAGATTGTATAATGAGAATGGAAATGGTTGTTTCTCTGTTTCCATTAATAGTAACAATCGAAAACTATTATATTAAATCTGTTTAAAATACCTAAACGAATAATGATTCAATGGAAAATCGAATTGATGATCAGAAAGTATATTCTTTTGATCCTTCCAGAGTAGAGAAATTAGAATTAACTACTATGTATTAAGAGAAAACACCAAAATTTTATATGATTTCATAAGTTATTTGATGATTTATTTTACTTTTTTTTTTTTTTTTTTTAAATACTAGGAGGTTCTGGGCCAAAGCCCGTAATTCCCCCAGATCCGAAACCACGGCATGTAATTTTTCACAAAACAAGAATAAAGTAAATCGAATCTTTGCACAACTAACAGGAATAACTAATCAAATATTAGTGCAGGTAGGGTTGTTTCCAAACTTAGTCGCCTTGGTCTCCAAATCTGGCTCGAACCGCAACGTGGTGTCATCACAAACATAGCTCAAAACTCCTGTCATCCCTTTTCTACAATCCGTAAGAAACAACTGCGATCCGAACTTCACTTTCCTCTTCTCTTTGATATCCTTAATAATGTTTTCGCCAATTAAACCACCGATATCTTTTTCAGATATAGCTGCTGAAACCCTAAGTTGTTGAGGTGAGCCATATCTAAGATCGTTGTACCTATATATACGCAAGTGTTTTCAATCAGAATAATAAATAATCTTAAATAATACTAGAAGATTGAATTATAAATTTATATAACCTTTGTCCGGACGAAGTAACAAGAGTAATATTTTTGTAAAACAATGAAGCTTGAATGTCTCCTTGGAGACATATATAGTCATTAGGAAGGTCACTGGGGACCCTTATCAATAAATCCCAATTTGCACTGAGACGAGTTTGTGTAATATTATGCACCGTGAAATCCATAGAAGTTATTTCAATATTCGGCACAGGAGTTTCTTGGTTCGGAGCAATAAGTATATATACACAACCCACTACCACCATATATACACAACCCACTACCACCATATGACATCCGCAGGGGAGAGTGTCACCACCCATTGTGTACTGTAACTATTGATTGATTGATTGAAGACAGGAAAACGATGGAGAAGATTCGATTTGTATTGTCTTTTGTAGTAGTGATAGAGAATCAGAGATCATAACGAATTCGTCCTATCTTCTTATATAGAGTTGGTTTCTTAGCGTTAGTAATTAATAATTTAATATCAAGATACGCGATTTAAAGTTAGTAACCTTAGTTAGTAAGTAGTAATTAAAGTTAGTAGTGAAATCTGCCGATCATAGATTTTGCCATTTGCAATAATCTATATATAAAGATGGATTAAAGTATCAACACTTTCTCTATTAATAGATTCAAAATTTAAGAATATGCTTTTATCCATTGAATTTTTTTTTTAAATAATGAAATCTTCATATAATTATTTTTATTAAAAGTTTTAGCTTTTTTTATCCTTTGAAATGAAGTATGTAGAATTAAAATCATATGGTTAAAAGGATATACTTTATATATATATATATATGCTTCAAAGTGTAGGAGAATCCAAAGCTAGTAGGTTTCAAGCTCAAATGACCTTATTAAGCTAGATAGAAATAATAGAAAATGAGATTGAAATGAAAACCTTATTAAATCTTTTATTTTGATGCAAGTTAAGGAAAAGAAATATATCTTATATATAGGTTGTCACCAAAAACAAAATGATAAGAGATTTGATTTTATTAAATGGGAAAGAGTAAAATTATTCAAAATGGCATCTCTCTAGATTACATCTCTTAGACCATTACACATATTTATATAGAAACATATCTTGCTTAGGAACCCTAATTACATGGGCTTTTTGGACTAGTCGTGGATTATACTAATGGGCTTAGCTTTCTCTAATAAAAAGTTTACTAAAAAAAAGGTTTTTTGCTTATTATCTACTAAACCTGAAAAGAAAATAATTATTCATTATAGAATCAGTAAACATGTTGCTCTCATGCTCTGGAAAAACAAACTCAAAGATTTGCAAGTGAAATGTCAGCATATCCCTAGATATTTAGATTGATATATCATTCTTGATATCTTCATACTACATTTGTACGATTTCGTTATCTAATGTAACTCGAGTCATACTCATATGTTATTGGCTTATTTATTACACACTAACGAGACATCATCTCCAGGACTCTGATCGATTCAATTGCTGATATGATTTATGTCTAATACTCTATATTGATCATGTCTCCCCTAAGAAATTATCATTATTTTGCAATTGTCATGAACATTTGGTTCTATTCGTTTCTTTGCAAATGTAAAGGATCCTTTATTTGTTTCTATTAATAATACATGTCCTGTCTAATAACATATTATATTAAATTCTAGGAGATATGTTAGCAAAGTATAGCGGCGGACGTTCTAAAACAAAATGAAATATCAATTAACTTTAGAACTCATAAACTTTGGTGAAAACCATTTCGATGCTCTAAATACCATCCCGTAAAAAACAAAAAATCCTTGCAGCGTTAACAAAAAAAAAAAAGACAACAAACTAGTCAAAATTTAGTGCATGTAGGGTTGTTCCCGAACTTAGTCGCCTTGGTCTCAGAACCTGGCTCGAACCGCAAAGTGGTTTCATCACACACATAGCTCAAAACTCCTGTTGTCCCTTTTCTACAATCCGTAAGAAACAACTGCGATCCGAACTTCACTTCTCTCTTCTCGTTGATGTCTTTGATAATGTTTTTACCAATCAAACCACCGATATCTTCTTCAGATATAGAAGCTGAAACCCTAAGTTGTTGAGGAGAGCAGGATTTGAGATCGTTGTACCTATATATGCAAGCGATTTCAATCAGAATAATAAACAATCTAAAATAATACTAGAAGATTGAATAGTAAATTTATATAATCAACCTTTGTCCGGACGAAGTTACAAGATTAATGTTTTTGTAAAACACTGAAGCTTGAATGTCTCCTTGAAGACATATGAAGACATTAGGAAGGTCACTGGGGACCCTAATCAATAAATCCCAATTTGCACTGAGACGAGTTTGTGTAATATTAAGTACAGTGAAATCCATAGAAGCTATTTCTATATTTGGCACAGGAGTTTCTTGGTACGCTGCATAAACAAGAGAACTAAAAGCACCGACAAAAAGAATAAATATGCAGATTAATATGATCTTGTCCGAGTCTTGTAATTTTTTTTCTGTGTCTGCCATTGTGTAACGATTTGCTTATAGAGAGAGGAAGAAGATGGAAAAGGTTTTATATGTATTTAGTAGTGATATAGAGAATATCATGATTCGGCAACAAAAAAGAGATAATAATGAATAAACTACGTATATTATACACGAGATTTAGTTCAATCCTAAATAAGATTCGGGTATATACTACTAAGATTTTAAAAAATAAAATAACAACAACTACCGTTTGGAACTCCTTTTATCCTAAAATAATGAGATATTTTATTTTTTTTGAAGAATCATTGAGTTTGTTATTCAAGATAATAAACAAAATAAATGGTTGAACAACTTAAAAATAAAGAATTCAGGACTTTTTAAATTTGAAGATGTGTTACTGATATGGCTCGGTTCGAGAGGCTAACATTAGACTGCATTTTTCCAAACTTTGAGCTCGATACTGTCTTTGACCCAACCCATTCGAAGACATTAATGACAATCATGTGGGTATTGACATCTAAATTATGTAACCTAGAGTAATATTCTTGTAAAACAATGAGGCTTGTAGGTCTCCTCGAAGGCATATTCATCAGGGAGCGACATAAACTTCATAACTCAAATTAAGAACACAAAAAAAACCTTAAGAAGTACTCAAAACTTCAAAAGATGCACAAGAAACATAAAAGAGTAAACTAAACTCAAATCTTTGCAAAATTAACAAGAATAACTAATCAAAAATTAAAGCAGGTAGGGTTGTCCCCAAATTTAGCCGCCTTGGTCTCAGAACCTGGCTCGAACCGCAACATGGTTTCATCGCAAGCATAGCTCATAACTCCTGTGGTCCCTTTTCTACAATCCGTTAGAAACAACTGCGATCCGAACTTCACTTCCCTCTTGTCGTTGATATCTTTGATAATCTTTTTCCTAATCAAACCGCCGATATCTGCATGTACTGAAACCCTAAGTTGTTGAGCTGTGCCAGATTTGAGATCGATGTACCTATATTATATGCAAGCGATTTCGGTCAGAATTATAAATAAAATACTAGAAGATTGATTATAAATTAAATAAATTATATATAACCTTTGTGCAGACGAGGTAACAAGATTAATAGTCTTGTAAAACAGTGAAGCTTGAATGTCTCCTTGAAGACATATATAGTTATCAGGAAGGTTGCTAGGGACCCTTATTAATAGATTCCAAAATGCAATGAGACGATTTTGTGTAATGTTACGCACAGTGAAATCCATAGAAGCTATGTCTATATTCGGCGCCACAGGAGTTTCTCGGTTTGCTATACAAACACAAGCAATAATAAATGCACAGCCACAAACTAGTAAACTTAGTAAGATGAAGCAGAGCTCGTCTGAGCTGTCTCTTGATGTTCTTCGTGTCTCTCTCATTGTGTAACGATTTGATTGAGAAAGGAAGAAGATTGAGAAGGTTTAATAATTCTTATTTGTTTAGAATATATTCTTGTTTATATATCTTTTAATATTTTTATAGGCGATGAATATCTAGAATCGAATAAATATGGGAAAAAAGAGAAAAAATGAAAATTGACAAAAACGTAAAGGTAACAAAAAAAGAGAGTAAAATCAATTTTTTTCTCAACAATTCAGAACTTAGTGCATGCAGGGTTGTTCCCAAACGCAGTCGCCTTTGTCTCAGAACCAGGCTCGAACCGTAACGTGGTTTCATCACACACATAGCTCAAAACTCCTTTCGTATTTTCTCTACAATCCGTAAGAAACAATTGCGATCCAAACTTCACTTCCCTCTTGTCTTTGATATCTTTGATAATGTTTTTGCCAATCAAACCGCCAATATCTTCTTCAAAGATAGCTGCTGAAACCCTAAGTTGTTGAGGCGAGCCGGATTTGAGATCATTGTACCTATATTATATGCAAGTATGCAACCGATTTCAATCAAAATAATAATAATAAACAACTTTAAACATTACTAGATGATTGTTTAGCAAAAAACATTACTAGATGATTGAATTATAAATTTCTACAAACCTTTGTCTCGAAGAGGTAGCGAGGGTAATACTTTTGTAAAACAATGAAGCTTGAATGTCTCCTTGAAGACATATGTAGTGATCAGGAAGGGTTTTGGGGATCCTTATCAATAAATCCCAGTTTGCACTGAGACGAGTTTGTGTTATGTTATGCACAGTGAAATCCATAGAGGCTATTTCAATTTTCGGCACAGGAGTTCCTAGTGGTTTACATAATAGATAATTAATAATACAACAGACCATGAAACCAACACCACATAACAACACCTTGTCTCCTTTTTCTGTGCGTCCCATTATGTAACACGATTGATTGAAGAGAGGGATAGAAGATGGAGAAAGATTAATTTGTATTGTTGTAGTGATAGAGATAATAATGAATGCGATATATATACAAGAGACTTGGTAAAATCCTAAATAGGATTTGGATAATACCAAGAGAAAAAAAAAAAACACAACTCCTCTTATGTTTGGGACCTTTTTCATTAAGCTTAGATAACCAGATTTTTTTTATTTTGACGATTCAAATGTTTTGGGCTTAGAGCGGTAATAAAATAAGAATTAGAAGATTTTTAGGCTTGGAATTAGAAATCAAACAAATGTCATTTTAAAAATATTTTTAAATCTTAAGAAAATACTTTTTTAATTATTAAAACATGCAAAAACTAAAAAGTTTTTAATTATTCACGAAAGGGTTTTTTTTTTTTTGGGTCAACACGAAAGGGTTATAGTATTATTTACCAAAACAAAGGGAGCAAAGGTGAATTTTTAAAGATGCAACGAAAGTAAATAAATCTATAATAATAAGTATATATATTAAAAAAAAAAAAAAGACGAAGAGACAAAATTTCACAATTTGTCTTTTGTCTTCCTCTCGCTTCGACTAATTTTGCATCCTGCTGTTTCTTCCGTTCAACCGTAATTTCAAATCATAACCGGCGTTAACCGGACTTACTTTACCGAACCGGAACATTGATTTCTCAGATCATCAATGGGAAGACAACACATAACACTAGAAACAGAGTCGCGTTATTCTCAAAGCATTGGTAAGTCTCTAAACCTCTCTGTTTCTGATACAGAACCACACGTGGGAGCTAGTACGTGCGAAGTCAAGGTTGAATAAAGAGGAATCACATTAAGACGCGTGGCAGGGGACGATTGGATGACGAGAGAAGGCCGTTGCGTTTTATATGAGCTGTGTATTGCTCACTTTCCTTTATCGAATAATTTGTAAACAAACTTTGATTCTCTGTAATCGTTTACGAGCTGGGTTTCTCTCATCTTGAGAGCTGGCGATTATCGTATGGGTGTTTTATGAACATCGATTCGATTTGTTCTGAGTTTGGATTTGTTGATCGGAGATTTGATTTCGTTATCGGAGGAATTGTGGTTTTTACTGTATTAAAGGTATCAGAGCTGTGTCTTCCTCGGAAAACATGGCGATTACGAGAGCGCAGGATGGTGAACCAAAGGGAAAAGACGTTGAGGTTGGTGATCCGGTGGAATCTCGTATTTCACGATTGGAAGAGCTAGTTGCAGAGCAACACAAGGCGATGATGAAGCACATGACGGAGATGTTTGGTGCGATGAGTCGTTCTACACCTCCTAAGCTGGCGGATGATCAATCCAACTTAGATCGGAGTGCTCCGATGTCATCACAGTCGATGGAGAACAGATCTGGTTACTCCGAGCAGTTTCACGACCATCGCCACCATCCAGGACGATCGGAGGGGCGTAATAACTATGGGAATCTTACACGGTTGGGGAAGATTGATTTTCCCAGGTTTGATGGTACACGGATCAAGGAATGGCTCTTTAAGGTGGAAGAATTTTTTGGTATTGATTGTACTCCAGAGGATCTGAAGGTAAAAATGGCTGCGATTCACCTTGATAGTCATGCTTCTACATGGCATCAATCGTTTATTCAGTCTAGTGTTGGCCTTGAAGTGTTATATGATTGGAAAGGGTATGTGACACTTTTGAAAGAACGATTTGAGGATGAGTGTGATGATCCTATGGCAGAATTAAAAAAGTTACAAGAAACTGGTGGTATCGTGGAGTATCATCAGAAGTTTGAGTTAATCAAAACAAGGGTTAACCTCTCTGAGGAGTATTTGGTGAGTATATATTTGGCAGGATTGAGGATGGATACTCAAATGCATGTGAGAATGTTTGAACCAAAAACTGTGAGGCATTGTTTTTCCTTGGGCATGATGTATGAGAAGGCTCATCCAACTAAACTGGCCTCCTCTTCTTGGACTCCTAGAACTGATAATGGGACTGGTTTTGGGAAAAATATTAAGGTGGGAATGTCAAGACCAGAACAAACTACTAAAGTTGCTCTTAAACCAGCTACTCAACAACCTAAGAGGATGTCACAGCAGGAGATGAGTGAGAGAAGAGCAAAAGGTTTGTGTTATTTGTGTGATGAGAAGTATACACCTGAGCATTATCTTGTTCACAAAAAGACACAACTCTATAGGATGGAGATAGAGGATGAGTATGAAGACGCAGCTGAGGTGTTACCTGAAGATGAAGAATACATGCCTCAGATTTCAGTTAATGCTGTTTCTGGTATCTCTGACTATAAGACCATGAGAGTAAAAGGAACTTATGACAAGAAGATTTTGTTCATTTTAATTGACTCAGGGTCTACTCATAATTTTGTGGATTCAACAGTAGCCAATAAATTGGGTTGTACTATTGAAAATGCAGGATTGACAAGAGTGTCTGTAGCTGATGGCAGGAAGTTGAAAGTTGATGGTATGATAAAAGGATTTGAGTGGAAGCTTCAGACTACAACATTTAAATCAGATATTTTACTGATTCCTTTACAAGGTGTTGACATGGTATTGGGAGTTCAGTGGCTGGAGACTTTGGGACATATCTCGTGGGAGTTTAAGAAATTGGAAATGCGTTTCAAGTTTAATAAGCGCAGAGTTTTGTTGAATGGAATTAAAACGGGGTCTGTTAGGGATGTCAAGGCTCAGAAACTTCAGAAACTTCACGAGAATCAGGTTCAATTGGCAATGTTATGTGTACAGGAAGTTCCGGAGAAGGAGGATAGGGAACTCTGTACTCTTAACGCTGTGACAATGGATTTGGGAGAAGAATCTGTTGTAAGAACCATTGTGGAACAGTTTCCGGATGTGTTTATAGAACCTACTGAATTACCACCATTCAGAGATCAACATGATCATAAAATCAAATTGTTAGAAGGTTCTAATCCGGTGAATCAGAGGCCATATCGCTATGCTTTACATCAGAAAAATGAGATTGACAAAATAGTGGAGGATATGTTGACTGGAGGGACAATTCAAATCAGCTCTAGTCCCTATGCTTCTCCAGTGGTTTTGGTGAAAAAGAAGGATGGAACATGGAGACTTTGCGTTGATTACAGAGAGCTTAATGGTATGACTGTGAAAGATCGTTTCCCTATTCCCCTTATTGAAGATTTGATGGATGAATTAGGCGGATCACAAGTCTACTCTAAGATCGATTTGAGAGCTGGTTATCATCAGGTACGTATGGATCCTGCTGATATACATAAGACTGCATTCAAAACACATAGTGGTCATTATGAGTATCTGGTAATGCCATTTGGCCTTACTAATGCTCCAGCTACATTTCAAAGTTTGATGAATTCAGTTTTCAAGACTTTTCTGAGGAAGTTTGTACTTGTTTTCTTTGATGACATCCTCATTTATAGTTCATCATTGCAAGCGCATGTGCAACACTTGCAGAGTGTATTTGAGGTCATGAGGCAGAACAAGTTGTTTGCTAAAATGAGTAAATGCGCTTTTGCGGTAACAAGAGTAGAATATTTGGGTCACTTCATCAGTGCTTCTGGTATTTCTACTGATCCTGCTAAGGTCAAGTCTGTTCAGGATTGGCCAAAACCAATCTGAAGCAATTGAGAGGATTTTTGGGGTTAGCAGGGTATTATAGGAGGTTTGTGAAGGGTTTTGGAACCATTGCTGGACCATTACATGCTTTAACGAAGACTGATAGTTTTGTGTGGAGTGAGAAAGCACAACTAGCTTTTGAAGAGTTGAAGGGTGCATTGTGTCAGGCTCCAGTATTGGCATTACCTTTGTTTGATAAACCCTTTGTGGTGGAAACGGATGCATGTGGTCAAGGGATTGGTGCGGTGTTGATGCAAGAAGGGCATCCCCTGGCTTACATTAGCAGACAGTTAAAAGGCAAACAATTGCATTTGTCCATTTACGAGAAAGAATTATTGGCGGTGATCTTTGCAGTACGAAAATGGAGGCATTATTTGCTCCCTAATCACTTTCTTATTAAGACTGATCAAAGAAGCTTGAAGTACTTATTGGAGCAGAGGCTGAATACCCCTATACAGCAACAATGGCTTCCAAAATTGCTTGAGTTTGATTATGAAATTCAATACAGGCAAGGTAAGGAGAATTTGGCTGCTGATGCTTTATCTAGAGTGGAGGGTTCAGAGATATTGCACATGGCTTTGTCTATGATGGAATGTGATCTCTTAAAAGAGTTACAGAGTGGTTATGAGAAAGATTCCAATTTAAAGGCTATCATTGAAGCTATTAAATTGAAGAAGGATTCGAAGAAACACTATACTTGGTGTAATGAGATTTTAAGAAGGAAAGATAAGATTGTGGTGCCTGCAGATGTGAAGCTCCGGGACACAATTCTGCAGTGGCTACATTGTTCTAGTGCTGGTGGTCATTCGGGAAGGGATGTGACACATCAGAGAGTGAAAGGACTTTTTTATTGGAAAGGCATGGTGAAGGACATTCAAGCTTATATCAGAGGCTGTAGTACTTGTCAACAGTGTAAGAGTGATAATGCTGCATCTCCTGGTCTTTTGCAACCTTTACCTATTCCTGACAAGGTATGGAGTGATGTTTCTATGGATTTCATAGATGGTTTACCTTTGTCTGCGGGAAAATCAGTGATCATGGTGGTAGTGGATCGTTTGAGTAAGGCGGCTCATTTTATTGCATTGGCACACCCCTATAGTGCTTATTCTGTGGCTCAGGCTTACTTGGACAACATCTTTAAACTGCATGGTTACCCACAGTCCATTGTCAGTGATAGAGACACAGTATTCACTAGTGAATTTTGGAAGGAGTTTTTTGCTTTACAAGGTGTTACTCTGAAGATGACCAGTGCTTATCATCCTCAGAGTGATGGCCAGACGGAGGTGGTGAATAGGTGTTTGGAGACCTATTTGCGTTGTATGTGTCATGCTAAACCGGAAATGTGGAGCAAATGGCTTGCTTTGGCTGAATATTGGTATAACACTAATTATCACTCTTCCAGCCGTATGACTCCATTTGAAATTGTGTATGGACAAGCACCTCCAGTTCATCTTCCTTACTTGCCTGGTGAGTCCAAGGTAGCAGTGGTGGCTCGTTCCTTGCAGGAGAGGGAAAATATGTTATTGTTTCTGAAGTTTCATCTCCTGAGAGCTCAGCATAGGATGAAGCAATTTGCAGATCAATACAGGACAGAGAGGAATTTTGATATTGGAGACTATGTTTATGTCAAGTTGCAGCCGTACAGGCAACAATCGGTGGTCCTCCGCAACAATCAGAAGTTGGCACCCAAATACTATGGTCCTTACAAAATTCTTGATCGTTGTGGAGAAGTAGCTTACAAGTTACAGTTACCAGCACATTCTCAAATCCATCCAGTTTTTCATGTTTCTCAGTTGAAGATTCTGGTTGGCAATGTCTCTACCACTACTCAGCTTCCAACTGTGATGCCGGATGTTTTTGAGAAAGTACCGGAGCAAATTCTGGACAGGACGATGGTGAAACGTCAAGGCAGGGCAGCAACTAAAGTTTTGGTGAAGTGGGTCAATGAACCAGCAGAGGAGGCTACTTGGGAGTTTCTTTATGATCTTCAGAAGAAATTCCCTTCCATTGCTCTGTAAACCTTGAGGTCAAGGTTCTGTAAGAGGGGGAGATTTGATACAGAACCACACGTGGGAGCTAGTACGTGCGAAGTCAAGGTTGAATAAAGAGGAATCACATTAAGACGCGTGGCAGGGGACGATTGGATGACGAGAGAAGGCCGTTGCGTTTTATATGAGCTGTGTATTGCTCACTTTCCTTTATCGAATAATTTGTAAACAAACTTTGATTCTCTGTAATCGTTTACGAGCTGGGTTTCTCTCATCTTGAGAGCTGGCGATTATCGTATGGGTGTTTTATGAACATCGATTCGATTTGTTCTGAGTTTGGATTTGTTGATCGGAGATTTGATTTCGTTATCGGAGGAATTGTGGTTTTTACTGTATTAGTTTCTTGTATATAAAGTAATCAAGAAAGGAAGAGACTTTATGCCTGAAAATTTCCCAGAGACTATGTTGAATTCTTGATTTAGAAAGAACTTTTCAAAGGCAAATCGAATTTGATAATTTTTAATTAAGCATATATCTTTGACTCTTGCAGAGTAGAATATAGAATTAAGGGACTATATCAATATTTTACACTCTTGATAATTCTATGTTTTAGCACTCTTATTGAATGATTCTCTGTGTTGACTCTCCCTAAAGATGTTTTCTTGGCAATTATCTAGATCATGTTTCAGCTAATTATGATGATGTTGTTGTTTCTGGTGCTGTTCTTCTTCCCCAAGAATGTTGTATGTCAGGGACCAAATCCAAAAGGTGGAGAGTTCTACATCAGTGGAGATCTGTATACCAGTGGATCAGCATATATATACGACAATGGTCTGATCAGACTCACGAATTCTACACCACAAACAACTGGCCAGGTTTTCTACAATGACCCGCTTCCATTCAAGAACTCTGTGAATGGTACAGTCTATTCCTTCTCCACCACCTTCGTTTTCGTTATTGAGTTTCATAATGGAACTTTTGGAGGATATGGACTTGCCTTTGTCATTTGTCCCACGAGAGGTCTCTCTCATACTTTTCCCACCACTTATCTTGGACTTTTCAATAGGAGCAACATGGGAGATTCTGAAAATCATATAGTAGCGGTTGAGCTCGATACTAAAGTTGACCAACAATTCGAGGACAAAGATGCCAACCATGTTGGCATTGATATCAATAGCTTAGTTTCAGATAGAGCTGCTGTAGCAGGTTATTTCAAGGACAACGGTACATTTCGAAATCTCTGGCTTAACAGTGGACAACCTATGCAAGTGTGGATTGAGTATGACAGTAAACAGAAACAGCTTAATGTCACACTTCATCCTCTTTATGTCCCTAAGCCAAAGATTCCACTCCTTTCTCTTCAAAAGGATCTTTCTCCATATTTGCTTGAACTTATGTATGTTGGGTTCATTTCAGCTACAGGGGACCTAACTGCATCTCACTATATATTGGGTTGGACTTACAAGATGAATGGGACTGCTCCAGATATAGACCCCTCTCGCCTCCCGAAAATTCCTCGTTATCATCAGCCATGGATTCAGAGTCCAAAGGGGATTTTGACGATCAGTTTGGTTGTATCAGGAGTCATCATACTCATTATCTTGACTCTCAGCTTATGGCTTTTCCTGAAGAGGAAAAAGTTATTGGAAGTTCTTGAGGACTGGGAGGTTCAGTTTGGTCCTCATAGGTTTGCTTTCAAAGATCTATATATTGCTACAAAAGGTTTCAGGGATACTGAGATTCTCGGTAAAGGAGGTTTTGGGAAAGTCTATAAGGGTACTTTACCAGTGTCCAACGTAGAGATCGCGGTGAAGATGGTTTCTCATGACTCAAGACAGGGAATGCGAGAGTTTATTGCTGAGATCGCAACCATTGGGCGTCTTAGACATCCCAACTTAGTTCGGCTTCAAGGCTACTGCAGACATAAAGGTGAACTCTACTTGGTATATGATTGTATGCCCAAAGGCAGCCTTGATAAGTTCCTTTACGACCAAAAGACTGGAAATCTTGATTGGTCACAGAGATTCAAGATCATAAAAGATGTAGCTTCTGGACTTTGTTATTTGCACCAACAATGGGTGCAGGTGATTATCCACCGGGATATTAAACCAGCCAACATCCTTCTTGACGGAAGTATGAACGCAAAACTTGGCGACTTTGGTCTCGCAAAGCTATGCGATCATGGGATTGATCCTCAGACCTCTCATGTGGCAGGTACCTTTAAATATTCTGCTTATTTGTATTGGAGACTTATATTGACTTATATTACCAAAAAGGTCTTCTCACTCACAATGTTGTTACTTTGAAGGTACACTTGGGTATATTTCACCTGAGCTCTCAAGAACAGGAAAGGCAAGCACAAGGTCAGATGTATTTGCACTCGGAGTAGTGATGCTAGAGATTGCTTGTGGGCGAAAACCCATATTGCCACGAGCATCGCAAAGCGAGATGGTACTGACTGATTGGGTGCTAGAGTGTTGGGAAAACGGAGATATAATGCAGGTTCTTGACCATAAGATTAGACAGGAGTATGTCGAGGAGCAAGCAGCACTTGTTCTGAAACTTGGCTTACTCTGTTCTCATCCAGTAGCAACCATCAGACCAAACATGTCTAGCGTCATTCAATTCTTGGACAGTGTGGCTCAGCTTCCTCATAACTTACTTGAAATTGTCCAAGCTCAAGAAATTCATCGAGGAACTGAAACCTCAGGTGAAGCAGCTGATTCTCCTGAGTCCAGTTCTATTGCTCCCTTGACCTTCACTGAATCCTTTGCCTCTCATGGTCGGTAAAAATTTTAAACCGATATGGAGCTGAAAATGTAAGTCTGAATGAAGCTGATTGTAATAAGTTTGCAAGTGTGTAAGACGGGTATATACAAAAAAAAACAGCACTTCAAAAAGAAATAATAGGATTGGTATTCAAGTATGTTAATAACATCATCTTCACGTTTATAGTCTATAGACTCTGTTTCACAAAAAAAAAAAAAAAAAAAAGTCTATAGACTCTATACACATACATTGACACAAGACTGTATAATATTTTTCCTTACATAACTAAGACTGGTGACTTCTCTATATCGCAAACCTCATTTTGACTCTTTACCTCTTCAGTGTTACCTGAAAGTTTGGAGATATTTGATCTTTTTGCTGAAAAATGTTGGTGGAGCCCTTGGCTTTGCACTTCAGCCGCAGTACCATGAAACTCTCCAGGAGATCAGACAAAAACAATGCTCATATGTTACATCATAGTACTTTGTCTGAATAGCCTTTTGGGAGAGGTCCTTGAATGGATTTTTCTTTTTGATTTAGACTTTGCCTCCGAGTTTTGGCATTGGTTGCTTCTGTCTGATATTAGACAACAATACTCAGAGATCATACATTATATCAGCAGTAATGAAAAGCATGCAATACAGTTTTCTTCTGAGTAATACCTTCGGTTTCGCTTGTAAGTGTATCCTCTCTACAGCTCTTGTTCCAAGCCTTGAAGGCTGAATTTGAAGAATAAATATTAGCTATCGAGGAATTGTTAAACTTTTCATAGTAGAGGATAACGTGAACAGTTTGGTTTGCTCATAAAACACGTTACCTCCTTCTGTTTCTCGGCTGTCCCGTTGCTTTTTGATACAACAGATGAAGAACGGTGAGAGTTAGAACCTTTTCTCTCTGTGCCATCTGATTTTGCAAGCCTGTTTCAGGAAAACAACACAAATTTAGAACTCAAACAAGACATGATGAGTAATAGAAAACTCTAGATGCATGTCTATGTTATACCTGCTATTTTTCTGACCAGTTGTACCTAACCTCGGAACAGCAGTTGCTTTTGCAGGAACCTTGTGTAAAACATTGGCAGCATTAATCAATGTTTAGTTACTAACCAGCAGAATTTCCATCACTTGGTGAAATACTAAAAGACTATACCTGCTTTGGAGCTGTATCTTTCCCATCACCAGTAGATTTCATTTGGTCGAAACTCTTCTGAAAAGACTTAAAAGCACGTCTAACGATGTCTTTATCTCCCATTCTTTCCATGATCAACGATTTTCTTGTTGTTGGAACAGCAGTAGGATCAGAGCCCAACTGCTCCACATTGAGAGGAACTTGCAATGACTTTGGAGCAGTTTGTTTCTTTCTCGGTAAAGCCGAGACATTTTCTTTCTTTACTGAAGAGCGAGAAGTAGACATTGAACTGATTGTTGAAGCTGGCTTAGACACTCTTAGAGTTGAAAACCCTGGAGCTTTTAAGACAGGTGATGCTGCTTTATTTGTTGCCTTTGTCATGCTCTTTTCCTTGCTTGGTTGAGTTTTTGTACTTGTTACAATCTTGCTCGCTACCGGTTTCTTGGACACCTGATTAGGCTATAAGACCGAGACACAGTCATTTGAAGGAACTATGAGACATCATATATGAAATATAACTAGATGAGGAAGCTTATGGTGTTTACCTTGGGAGAGGCTCTCATATTGTTCGTTCGCACATTTTTATCTGTCTTCTTGATTGGATTATGATCTTTCTCTTTCTTCGTTTCTTTCATTGTCATTTCATTCATTTCGCCGGTATCCTTTGATGAAATATCGTCTTTCATTTCTTGTTTTACTTCCTCCTCTATACAAACTACCTCTTCTGCCTTCTTTTTATCCTCCACTTGGACAATCAATTCTCGGTTTTCCTCTACGCGAACAATCTCTTCAAGTTTCTCCTCCAACTTCAGGGTAGTCAGATCATCCCCGGCATCAACCGAGCTTCGACATTCCACGAAATCCATAGTTTCTTCAAGAGGCTTATGGTTACATGTCTCATTCACTTCATTAGCAATGCTAGTCACAAGCTTATCTTCTTCTGAAGTACTTTCACCGTTAGATCCATAACCAGCACTAAACTCAATCATCATTGACTCGTCATTGTCACTATTGTCTGTTTTTTCCCTGTTCTGAACACTTGGCCTGAAAGATGCATTTCTCTCCAATAGTTTCTCCTGCTCCAAAATGATATCAGCTCTCCTCTCAGCGATCTTCTTGTAGTGTGATTCGAAATAAGCCTTCTTCTGAGCTACTGATCCAGCAGTTGCACACTTCTCCACTTCTTCCAAGTACTTGTTTGGAGAAAAAGATGAAAACTTCTCCCATGACAGTGAATCATTCTCAAACTTACCAAACGAAATAGAAACTTGCAGTTCTTGATTCGATGAAGTTGCGGTCATTATCTGTTTATCCATCCACAAACAAGTCATTTAAACACCTAACTAACCATGACAAATCAAGAACCACACATATACAAAACAGATCATAGGGCATTGTCGCATTGACAAGTAATGTTAATAATTAAGCACAAATTAAGCATGACTCTAAAACAAACACATGTAATGACGTTGGAGTACTCAAATCGGTATTACCTTATCTTCACCACTGGCAATACCAACTTCCATTAATGCTCACCAGAAAGAATCCTAATCCACACAAAACCAAAGAAAATCTTATCACTTTGAAACTTGAACAAAACCAGAATCAACTTGGAATTGACATTTGAACTAAAACTATACCAATTTTAACATCCAATTATTTCAATGTACACTCTAATATACGCATATAGCAGAAGTATTCTAGTAAAGAAAGAGGAAAAACATATATAATCTTGGTTTAGTAATTAATAGACGCTTTCAATTTCAGCATTTTTTTTTAATCTTTATTACAGAATCGAAAACCCTCTTGGTGAGCAAACTCAGATTCTTCTGAAAAAAAAAAAACTAATTAAGTAAAGAATAGAGCTAAACCCTCATCAATGATTGACACTAAGAAAAGTTGGCATTTCTTTTAAAAAGAAAAACAGAAAAGGAGAATTTAGAGAGGCAATCTTATAAGATATAGCCCACAAAATTGTGTTAATTCCAAAATAATGATGGACATAAAAAGTTGTAAAAAGTGAAGATTCACCAATGCATTTCAAAGTTGGAAAGAGGACCTATCAAGAAAACTTATATAACGAATTATTGAATTTGTGTCGAAAATTCCCAATTGCAGATTTAAGAGAGAGAGAAAGAAAAGAAGAAGAGATCAGATCAGATCAGACACAAGGATGATAATGAAGACAAGAGACAGTGGGACCTTTGTAGGAAGATGGTAAAGTAAGAAGACAGTGTTTAGAAGTGATGTACTAACTAAACTAAGCGGGGACAAAAGTGATTATTAACTAGTTTAACTGACTAATTTTGATAAGTTAAAAATAGTCATAAAAACAATCAAAGTCAAAGGTACTTTCACATTCTTTTTCTATGTGAATGTTATATACAAAAAATTGTAATAAATCATCAATCATTAAACAAAAAGAAAAAAAAAATTAAAACAAAGAAGTGGGATTTACATTTTTACGCTAGAAAAACTGTCACAAGCTACCATCATGCATCACGCGATGCTTTGCACTCCTTCGGACCACATGTTTTTTGAACTCCAAGATAGCGGAGGTCTAGACCATGGTGGATATGATGGTAGCTTGTGACAGTTCCTCTAGCGTAAGAATGTATATCTCATGTATCCATAGTGATTTCATCATGCATCATGTATGTTTTCGTTTTAGATTACTTAATGACAATGCTTTTGTTTTTTTATTACTTAATGATAAACTTTTGTGTTAAAAAAAAAACAATAAACAATAAACAAACAACATAGTTATGTTGTAGTTTTCTACGAATAAAAGGAAATTTGTTCTTTTTCAATTTAGAATATTAAAACCACTCTTCACAATCTAGTTCTTTTTCAATTATCAAACATTCAATATCTATTTCACATGATTTTATTATATATTAAATACATATGCATGATTGACACAACCGTGGTTACTGATATTGAAATTAAAGCCCGCCAAATTACCAATGTTCATATCCTTATTCATGTTTGTGTATAATTTGTACACCACTTACATTACAAATTAAAATTTTTACCATCATGTAATTTTGGTATGCATTTTGAAATAAAACATTAATTACGGACCCATGCAACACATGGTGAAATTTTACAACTTATAATTTTAAAAATTGTGATATCTGAAAATCAATCTACATATTATTTTATTATTAAAATTTTCTAATTAATTGACTTTCGTTAATATATGATTAATATGAACCTATAAAATAGTGGTTCAATATAATAAAATATATAACAATGAAACCATTATATATAAATTCACCAAGTACAATCGAGATAATCACTGTATACTTTCTATATACAAAATGTAATTATTTTCTGATTATTGAATGTGTTAAAAACTTAAAACCTGAATTTTGATTTCGAATTTTCGTCCCATTCTGTTAACTCAAACATCCCGAATTCTTCTATGTATGCACAGCCCCAGCCCAAGCCAGACCAGCCCACTAACAGCCCCAGCCCAAGCCAGACCAAACCTTGCAGTTTGAGATGAGTTTTCTTTCTTAACCAAAAAAAGATGAGTTCTTGTTCTTTGAAGTATGACAAATGTTTGACTATATTGGAGCAGACTTTAATATGTGCACAGTTACAATTACAAACTTACAATTGTGTAGTTTGAAAACTTATGTTTCCGAGGAGCCAAGCCTTTAATGTCTCCATTCTTCTTCATTTATTTCAATTCACTCTCCTTCATTTTTGCTGACAGATTCAAATAACTATTTTCTTTACCATGCTAAGATACAGTCTTATATGAAATCAACAATGACATAGCTTAACAAATTTGGGTTTTATTTCATGCTAACAACACTTGCTACATATTCTTGAAAAGTCTCTCAACACAGATCAAACAGAACCATTTAGGGTAAAGAACATAACAAAATACAAATTCCAAAAAAGAATTCTCCTAACTAGTTCCTCATCAATAGCTTCTACAAACTTCTTCTCTCACAAGTCAATTTTTACACCACCAACAGTCAAAAAAGATATATCTCTCAACAACTCAACAATGTATTTGTAATAATCCAAACTACAAAAAACAAGTAAAAGAATGTTGTTTGACTTACACTCTTTTCACAAAAAGCTTGAATCTTCTGTTAACTCAGACAAAGAAGAGAACCCAAACAAAGACTGATCTTTAGCTCTTTCAATCTTATGCTCATATAAATCATACGGTTCCCATAAATGATCCAACGGACATGGTCTCTTCTCATCAAGCCTAACCCATGGCTTACCTTTACCACTCCAATGCAACAAACTCACTGGACCTTTATGCAAAGACCTACAACTTCCTCGTACATTGTCTCCTCCTAAACCATGTTGGTTCCATCTATGATCTATTGCTTCAACGTTACCTGCGAAGACTAAGAGAAACGGAGGCAAAGAACCCAAATCGTAGATTCTCTTCTTCTTTTGTATTTGCATCCAAGTTTCAAGCTTTTCTCTGTAATTACCTTCTCTCCATCTAACAAGATCCATCACCATCACACCCGTGTTGAAATAACAAGGCTTTCGACCCGAGAAGAATCCGGGTAAAGCCGGGTCGGACCAGAACCCTGAAGTGAAGTACTTTGTGAAGTTAGCGTGACAATACTCCGGAGCTCCGATGATTCGTGACTCTGTTAAACTCGTGTTCCAAAGCTTTGTAATGTCATCGACAACGATGATGTCTGAGTCAAGGTAAATGACTCTGTCCACGCATGGATCAAGAATATCTCCGAGGTAGTTCCGAGCGTAGTTCAATGGATTCTCTAAAGCTTGTCTGATTGAAGAAGAGATAAAGTTGATCACCGTATCTTCCCGGAAAATGTAGACTTTGAAGTTTAGCGACGGGAAAGTAGATCGGACGAGTTGACTCAGAACGCGTGGACTCGCTGGGTCAAACTCGGCAGCGATGAGATGGAAGAAGACGTTTTCTGGACACGACGCGTGGCGTAGCATAGAATGAACGGCTGCGATTGAGCCACGTAAGTACTCTGAGTCAAGCGTCATAGCTACATGAACTAACGAAGCGTCGCAAGACGACACGAAGTTCTCTCTGTTTGACGACTGAGACACGCACTCCTTGCCGTTTCTGTACTCCGGAGCTTCCACGAATGACCCGAGATCAAATCCATTTCCCACGGTGGTGGATACGGCGGCGATTCTTCCCGGAATCATCCGTATTCCGACGGAGAACTGTGGAATAAACACCAAGAAGACAACAAACGCTAAAACCGCAGATTTCATCGGAAAACGCAACCGCATTATCAGAAAACGCGGTTTCTCTAAAGATCTGCTTTTTATTCCGCTACTGGTTTAGCATTTTCCAGAAACTATAAAGCTTCTGGATATAATTACTCAAAGAGTTCAAGAAGATGAAGAAGAAGAAGCAAGTCTCTCTCTTTATTTGGCTTAAGAGAGAGATTTGGTTTAAGCGCGTGAATAGTTATGTGGGTTTAAAGTCGTTTTTAATGATCAATCCCAACGTAATTACCTATTCTAACTGATGGGATTAATCCAAAAATTCGGTAATTAATTTAAACTTTATTGTCTGTGGGTTGGTGTACCGTAAGAAGTAAATATTAATGGTGGCTTTTGGAACTTGTGATCAGTTTTTGCCAGCTGTGAACTCGATGGAAACAGCTGGAAGAGGATTTGTCTTAAAAGTTTGTATGGGCTCGATAAAGGAGATCGACGGCTGAGATTTAACGATGAGAAGACTTTTGATTGGTTTGATCAAAACCCAATTCTCACGTGCGCCGCACGCTTGTTTTCGGATCGGTAAAATATTAGATTTTGGATACGTAAAGAAGTAAAATTTGGATTTCAAAATTTTAGCAGATTAAGTTTATCTAGATATCGGAAAAAAGTGGATCTCAAAAAGTATTTTACTTTATGTTGATCCTTAGAAAAAAAAAAGTATTTCATGTTTTAACGTTTTTGTTGTTGGAATAACGAGTAAGGAGCGTGTCTCACTACGAATATTCTCGTTTTGTGGTGCCACTTAATTAATGTTTTTTTTTTTTCGTATTTGTCAACGTTTTCTAGTGTTGAGTGTGTGACTAGTGCCACTCAATAAAATTATCACAATATTATTCATTTGCTCTAAGACTAAAATCCATATCGTTAGTGCTACTGCCGCGTGCGCTGTATAATCCGTTTGATGCGAATATAAAACGATGAAAATGAAAAACCCCAACCAAACAAATTAGAAGCATGTAAAACACTTCCATCTGTAGGTTAATTATTTCTTAAACATATGAATCAATACTAGTAAAAAAGAAGAAGATATTGGTAAGTAATAGAAAGCAAAATAAATTGAAGTTAGGTGGTGGAACAATGATGTCGTTTTGGATACGGACGACGAAGGTAGATAGAGAGAGTCATAGAGATGCTTTTCTCTTTATTTTTATTTTTGGTATTAAAAAAGTGTTTGTTTGGTGTGTGACATTTTACGATTTACGAATTTCAAAACTATGCTTTGCGTGGCGAGTACAACACGGGTTTATTGAGTTTTGTCTTCACCTCTCCACTTGCTTTAGATTTACTACATTCCGACAGCTAAGTAGAAGACAAACAAAGCCAGTAGTAGTAATATGCAGAGCTCTTTGCCTTTTCTTCTTGTTTCTGCTCTTATCCTAACTCCGAGGCAAACTAAATTTATGCTTCATATTTTTTCTAAAATTAGACTTTTACTAAGACAAAGACATTTTCATTTTCAGAGGACCAAAAACGTCCTCATTTTATCCGTTTGTTGTCTGTGGTTGTTTAGAGAAATATGTTGCTAGACAACAACATTTGGAGACAATAATTGTCCCTTCAATTAAAAGAATCAACGTTTTGATAACGATCCCGAAGAGTTGTTAAAAAGGGAACAAAAAAGCTCTACACTTGAATTGAGTAAAGAAAACCAAAATGATTGGAGCAGGTTTTTCTTGCATTGTCTTGAATTTATTGAACCGGATTCTCCTGCAGGAGTTTGCGGTTATGATGAATGTAAGAGACGAGATATGTGATGGCGAATAACCGCGAGTCCGTGACTTAAGTTTATGGAAGTGTTGCTCTCAGTTCCTTTCTGTCGGCTCCAAAAGACAGCAAATTGCAAAGAGGAAATGCATTTCTCAGGAGATGAGTGGAAGAAGAAATGTTGTCCAAAGGATATGAAGGAATGCATACCTCAGCTCCGAAACCTTTTACGTAGATATTTGTGAAAAGCTCAGATGAATCCGGTACAGGGCTCTCCTGCAACAAATATTTAACACAAAGAATAAGTTTTGGTGGTGATTGGTACACAAGTAGTTAGAGATGGAAAAGGCTCTGGTTCTTACCTTGGCCTTAGCTACCGCTGCATCTACTTCTTTCCGCACTTCTTTCTCCATGTCCTAAAGTAAGTAAGACATTGGCTGAGGACCAATGATCCTTTGTTTTCTAGTCAGAAACTGAGAGAATTTTATTATGACAGAGGCAGATCGAGTAGATTACCTTAAGATATCTACCACTATTTTGTGTCAAACAAACTTATTTAGAGGAGAGTTCTAGAGATATCTACCACTATTTTGTGACAATTTATATTAGTCTATTGATAATGGACACTTGGACAGTCATTTTACATGGAAAGCATGGAATGCTTGTCTAGTTTAGATTCATTACATAAAATTATTGGAGAGTTATTCTGATTTGCTTTAGAGAAACAACAGTAGTAGTTTAAACCACAATGAAAGAAAATAGACTTCAAAAAATTTGTGATGTGTATTGACGGAAAATCATATTGCACACTCACAATAGGTCCATTCTTGAGCGCGTATTCTTTGGCAAACTTGCACGCTTGCTTCACAACCAGTGCATCCATACTATCCACCTAGTACAAAACAACAGAGGATGTTAACGACTTAGCCTAAAGTCACTCCTCCAAATAAGTAATGATTAAACTACAAAGATAGAGACTTTAAACAAAATCCATCCCGTCTATTCCTCCTGAAAAAGTTCTCATCCATCACTTAGACCCTTCTTATTACATAACATATAATATAAAAAGTTTGTCCATTTTGTGGAAATTCTGATCCTAAATATTTTGTGGAAATTAAAATATTTAAAAGTTGATTACGGGAACTGGAGAAGATTATGTATCAAAGATAAATAACTTTCACATTTAAAAAGAAAACTTAAAATATAGTTTTAAACTAGTAGTATATAAACTAGTATCTTATATTTGTCTAAAATACACTATCACTCTTAAACTTAGGTTACTATTTTTCCTAGACCTAAACAAGGGTAATAGAATGACCTTCCTTCCTCTCCCTTTAATGATAGATTTTAAACAAAACAATATTAAAACATGCATGTATACAAATTTTAAATGAAAATATATGTTAGTAGTTAGTTGACCCGACACCTACGGAGGTCTTGCTTGTTTTCAAACATATTTGATTACACGTTTCTCACGAGTTAATTTATTATAAAATTTCAATCATAAATAAAATACATCTAAGTAGATCTCTAGATCCATTGATATCGGTTTTGGTCACAGACTCATAGCAGTTAACTTCGTCTGTTTTCCTAATCCAAAAGTCCAAAAAGGAAATGGAGGCCATAACAACATATGGATCTCATTCTCAAGTCCTTAGTCGTTCTTGGCTAAACTTGTACTCTTCCTACAACTACCCTCTTCTTAAATCACTATCATTTTCTAGAAATCAATCTCCCAAAAAGTTGTGCTTAGTTCAAGCAACGACGAATCCAACAGATGATAACTCGATGACTCGTTCATTTATTCCACATCCACCAAGTCTATGGGGTCATCACTTTCTCTCTGCTTCCGTCAATCACACGGTATATACAATTTTATAAGCGCTTTTAGATATTCTTTCTAAGGGGGTGTTATTCAATCATGGAGTTAAAGTCAATTCTTTAAGGTTTAGATTTACTTTCTGATATTGTTTTTAAGAATCTGCTTGTGTGGATTTCAAAATTTCTGGAGTACATCTTGGATTTTGATTCTAATAATTTACTCATTAAACTTTAAAGATGTTTCATTTCAAATGATTTAATATATAAATATTTTACAAGTCTTTTAGTTTTGAATAACACTATATTTTAATGAAGTATTTTAAATCTTAGTTAAATAACACCAAACTTAAAATCTATTAAACATGATTTATAAAGCTAGATTTGGTATTGAATAACACTCGATTACTCATTTACTTAATAGAGATCATCAATTCTTTGCATGCAGGAAATGGATGATCTTTGGAGCCAGATCCAGGCACTTAAACCTATAGTGAATGCCATGTTGCTTCCTTGTAACGGTGCTGATGCAAAGCAGATAACTTGTTTGATCCACACGCTTGTTAGTCTTGGAGTCTCTTACCATTTTGAAGATAAGATTGTTGAATTCCTAAATGATGCTTTCGAGAATATTGAGGACATGATCACTGATTGCAAGGAAGATGATCTCTACACGGTTTCTGTCATATTCCGGGTTTTCAGATTATATGGTCACAACATAACTCCGGGTGAGGATCTTTATTACCGAACTAACTAACTAACTTGGTTGGTTTATGCTAACTTGTGTTTACGTTGATATGTGAACAATTCGAATATGTGTGTAGATATATTCAACAAGTTCAAAGGAGACGATGGCTATTTTAAAAAATGTCTAAATGATGATATAAGAGGCATGTTAAGCTTGTACGAAGCGTCACACTTTAGGACAACGACAGAAGATATCCTTGAAGAAGCAATGAGTTTCACACAAAAACGCTTGGAGTTATTTGTGGTAGGCGACAAAGCCAAACATCATCCACACATCACTAAGCTCATACAAGCTGCTCTGTATATACCTCAGAATTCGAATATGGAAATATTGGTGGCAAGGGAATATATTGGCTTCTACGAACTAGAGACTGATCATAATGCAATGTTACTCAAGTTGGCCAAGCTCAACTTTAGGTTCTTGCAGCTGCAATACATTCATGATCTAAAAACACTAACCGTGTATGTATAAACATATAGATAGATGCTTCATGTATTTAATATCTATATATATGATAGTTTTATATGATAAGGTATACATGTGTATGCAGATGGTGGAAGGAGCTAGATTTGGTATCTAAGATACCAAATTACTTCAGAGAAAGATTGGTGGAGTCTTATTTTTGGACGACTGGGGTTTATTACGAGCCACAACATTCAGCTGCGCGGATTTTACTGGCCAAAACCCTCATTTTGTTTGACGTTGTGGACAACACATTTGATGTATATGGCACTCTTGACGAAGTTATGAGCCTCGTTCAATCCGTTGAAAGGTACGTAACAAATTATATATATAATTTTGAATAATAATTGACTATATATATATAAGGCTATTTACGATACTTTTGTTAGATGCATTGAAAATTTGTGCAAATTATTTATCACTAATAATTAATTAATAAAGGTGGGATTCTGACGCCGGAGATGCACTACCGGACTATCTCAAAATTGTCTTCGGAACAATTTTTGACTTGTTTAAAGAACTCGAAGAAAATGTGAGACCAGAAGGAAGATCTTTTCCTATGCAATACGCATATGAGCAGGTACTGATTCATCTATTTTTAAAATCTAAGTAGCAAAAATATTGTCACTATATATAAAAGCTTCAGCGAAAAATAAGTAATTCTATATGCTTTCATGTGGAGTTTTTCCTAGATCATTAAGCTCTCAAAATTTAACAAAAATCATTTTTTTTTCTGTATTATTTATATATAATGTTTGCAGCTCAAAATAACCATGAAAGCGTACCTGCAAGAAGTTGAATGGTCAAGTACAGGGCATGTGCCAAGCTATGAAGAGTACATAGAGGTTGGGATGTCTTCGACCACAGGTGAAATGTTGCTAGCAATTACCTTCATCGGTATGGGAGAGATTGCAGGAGATGAAATCTATGAATGGCTGAGGTCAAGACCAAAACTCACCCACAATCTTATTGCAAAATCTCGTCTTAGAGATGACATTTCTACCTTTAAGGTAACCCAAGTCCTATAACCGGAGTACGTATATGAGCAAATGCTAATTATAAGAGAAAATGCTAATAAATATATGATCTTAATCATCATATATATATATATATATATATTTCACGTTTATTCTATTTTTATTTATTTTGTTGATAATTTTGATTCAGTTAAAACCTACTAAATTTATTTACAACTAAACTCTAATTTTTTTAAGAGTCCCAAGCAAAAATCATCGAACTATATGTATGTCATGTGTGTAAATGCATCAGGAGGAGATGAAGAGAGGAGATATTGCTAATGGGATCAACTGTTATATGAAGCAATATAGAGTAACTGAGGAAGAAGCGTGTGTTGAGTTTGAGAAAAGGATTAGTCACATGTCTAAGGTCATGAACGAAGAGTTCTTGAAGGCAGCCAGTTTTATACCACTACAAATTCTAAGGCCAGTTATGAATTATGGACGCTTAGGAGATGTGTTCTATATGTACGGAGATGGGTACACTTTCGCTGGAGAGAAGATCAAAGATTATATCATCTCTTTGTATGTAGATCTCATCACTCCTTAAGAGTCTTCAGAGTCTACGGGCGAGTCAAATTTGTATCCGCAGCCGTGCGCGACGGGGATAGGAGAAAACCAAAAATAAGTTGTTTCATTTTTAAGTTGTCTTTGTTCTCTTGAGAAAATTGTATGCTTTGTTTTTTTTTTTGGTAAGAGAGGGGGAGACAATTGTCTCCCACATTTTATTACGAACTAAATAAAAAAGAATTACAACCGAACATGACGTGGACTTTCTGTCCCAACCGAATCTGCTAGCATAATAGGATGAACTACACTAGGACAAGAATCAAATGAATGAAATCCTAACTGCAACGAGAACGCATAGTTCGCTAATCCGTCTGCAAGACGATTAGCCTCCCTATACACATGAGTAACCCGGACTATCCAGTCCCTTGAGAAAGAGCCATGGCACAAACGTACCAGGAATGCCAGCGGATGAGCATCACTTATCCCTGACTTTAGAAATCCCACCACCAACTCAGAATCCACCTCCAACTCCACTCGCCTAAAACCCCGCTCCCAAGCGATCAACAGGCCATAGTAGACTCCCCACAACTCCGCCAACGGAGCCGAACATATGCCAATGTGGAGCGCAAATCCACCTAACCAGCGCCCTGCCTCGTCTCTAATAACTCCTCCAGCCGATGCCGGTCCCGGATTACCCCGACTAGCACCATCCGTAGACACTTTAACCCAACCTTCCCCCGGCTTCTTCCATGAGATCATTCTCTCCACTCTCCCTGTGGCTTGTGAAGAGACCGTCACCAACTTATGCGCTTCCAAGACCTCCGTAGCTAAGTCCTTGAGAAAACGCACCCGATCACGACACTTACCAACCTCTCCAAACACATACCCGCACCTCCACTTCCATCCCCACCAAACCGCAATACTAAACAGAGTCGACCAATCCCCCGGGCTAGAGCCCGGTCTATCCCCCAAATTATCAAACAACCATTCTAGTAAAGATTTTTCAAAGAAGGCTTGTCTCTCCCGCGGCGGTACTAACCGTGACCAAATGCCTGCCATCGCCGGACAGTCTCTCAAAATATGGATGATAGACTCAAAGTCACCTTTACATACTTGACACACCGCACTATCTCCAATATGGCGTCTCACTCTCTCCACATTTGTCATTATCACCTGGTGACTTACCAGCCAAAGAAAGACCCGTATCCTCTCTGGTATCACCACTGCCCATATCCTCTTAAAAAACCGCTCCATACATGGTGTAGGTTCTGTCTCCCGCCTCAACAACTCATAAGCAGAACTGACAGTAAACTCCCCATTCGGGTTTCCTTGCCACGAAATCTTATCTTCCAAACCCAGCACTCCCTTGATAACAACTGCATTCAAACGGTGAAGCACATTAACCGGTAATACCTGCCCCAACCGCGCCATGTCCCAGCCCGAGCCCTCCGACCAATACTCCTCTACTCGTGCCTCCATATCCAATGCATCAATCGGGCCTGTAACATGTGACAACAACGGTTCCCCTAACAGCCACTTATCCGACCAAAAATGGATCTCTTTGCCATCACCCGGGACCCATCCTAACCCTTTGGAGACCACTTCACGCAGCCCCACTCCAATGCTGCGCCATGTCGAGGACCAAGTGCCTTTCGGTACAACCCAAGAGTTATCATGAACACCGCGAACCTTATACTTGCTCCTTAGGACTCTTGCCCATAAGCTTTCATTATTATTCAATAATCTCCAGCCCACTTTGGCCAGCAAGGCTCTATTCATATCTTTCGAAGCCCGCAGCCCTAAACCGCCCTCCGCTTTCGGTCTACAAACTTTTTTCCAAGGCAACAGGTGCTGCTTTCTCTTCTCCAACGTACTACCCCATACAAACGATCGAGATAACTTATCTAGTTTCTCGAGAGTCGATGCAGGCAATAACACCGAGCTCATGGTATGAACTGGAATCGACGACAAAACCGCTTTCGTTAAAGTAATTCTCCCCGCCAGGCTTAACGCTCTACCCTTCCAACCCATCAGCCTAGCCGAAACTCTTTCCAACACTTCCCCAAACGTTTCTTTATTAATCCGCTTTTGTAGCACCGGCATTCCAAGATATTTACCCAACTCTCTTGTAGAACCAATGCCACTCTCCGCAGTGATCAATTGTTCTAAATCCCGACTTACATTCTTCGAGAAAAAAATTTTAGACTTCTCCAGGCTTACTTTTTGCCCTGAGGCTAGGCAAAACGTCTCTAATACCTTCCTTATCACTCTCACCTGCGCCACTGATGCCTCTGCAAACAAAATAAGATCATCAGCAAAACAAACATGCGACAGTTTCGGTCCCCCCTGCGAAATAGAGATTGGTTTCCAATCTTTCCTTCCCACTGCAATCTCTATTTGATGGCATAATCTCTCCATACAAAGGACAAAAAGATACGGTGAAATCGGGTCTCCTTGCCTTAGCCCCCTCGCAGGCTTAAATGATTCTGTCTTCTCTCCATTCCACAACAAGCTCATTTCAGGCCCTGCAACACATTCCATTATCCGTCTTATCCACCCTTCAGATAACCCCGCAGCCTCCAAAGTCTCCTCCAAAAAATCCCAACGGATACGGTCATATGCCTTCTCTAAGTCTAACTTAAGCAGCATCCATCCTTTGCGCCCCTTCTTCCGCCTCATAGAATGAACTACCTCCTGCACCACCACTATATTATCCACACTCAATCTCCCAGGAATAAAACTTGCCTGCGCTGGACCAATAAGCTTAGAGATAACATTTTTAAGCCTAATCACCATCATCTTCGTGATTATCTTAAACAAAACGTTACATAAGCTCACTGGCCGAAACTGTGTTATCCTCTCGGGTTTAGCTACTTTTGCCAACAGCACTACCAACACATCATTAGTAGACCTCGGTAAAACGCCTGTCTCAAAAAAATTCAGCACAAAACTTGTTACCGACTCTCCTACTATCTCCCAGCATTGTTGGTAGAAAACCGGTTGATATCCATCCGGTCCTGGCGCCTTAAACTTCCCCATGCTCCGAATTGCCACAACAACCTCATCAGATGTGAAACCCTTGTCTAAATCCCTCTTCTCCTCCCTAGACAGCCTCGGGAACCCCTCTTTCGATAACTCCCCCCTCACTTCGCTAACATCATCCAGCGAATAAAGCTTCCTGTAATAATTCAGAGCTAACGTCTCCAGCTCCCCTTTATCAGCAACCCATCTATCTTCCGCATCCTTCAACAACTCTATCCGATTTCTCCTTCTTCGAATAATAGTAGAAGTATGAAAATAGGTCGTATTTCTGTCTCCCAGAGCAATAAACTTTTCTCGTGATTTCTGAAACCACAAAGTCTCCTCCTGTTCAAGCAGAATATCTAAATTCTTCACCAGTAGTTCCTCCTTAGCAAGCAGATCATCAGACGGAGCCACATCTAACAAATCCTGTACTGCTTTTATTTCCTCAACCAACTTTTCCTTACGCGTGTGGATATCACCAAACACCTGCTTATTCCATTTCTTGAGTTTCCACTTTAAACCTGCTAGTGCCTCAGGAGTTGACAGCCTCGCATCCCATGAAGTTGCCAACAAATCTTTAAATCCTTCATGACTAAGCCAGGCTGCTTCAAACCGAAACGGTCTTCGACTCGCATCCACACTCTGTGGCGGACATAATTGCAGATACAAAGGCGCGTGGTCCGAAGAAAGGAAAGGAAGATGTGACACTATTGCCTCTTGCCACCGCAGTCTAGCATGAGCACAACAAAACACCCTGTCCAATCTCTTGGCCACACATGTACTTTCCTGTCTACCTCTCCTCCATGTGAACTTGTTCCCTTTAAAACCCAAATCAATGAGAGAAAGAGCATTAATCCACTCACCAAATGACAAAGAATCTGCAGATAACCGTCCATTCCCTCCTGACCTCTCATCTAACCTCAAAATCGTGTTAAAATCCCCACCAATGACTAAAGGACCATCAATCCCACTTACTGCGTCCTTTAACTCATTCCATAACCCACTTCTTCTACTCACTGTTGGTGCTGCATATACTACCACCAAATGAATAGACTCTTCTCCATTCACTATTTTCGCATGAATGAATTGGTGCGTGGATGCCACTACCTCTACTTCCCCAACGCTTGACCTCCACAACAGCCACAAGCCTCCACTCTGACCCACGGCATCAACTCGAAACTGGTTTTCAAACCCCAATCTCCGACAAATCCTGCCTGCTCTCTCTCCTCCAGCAAAATTGTATGCTTTGTTAGTCTGTCTACAACCTACAACTAAATGAAAAAGGGAGTTTTTGATAATATAGTACTAAAACCAAATAAACTTTGTCTCGAAACTATTAAAAATCTCAAAACTCACCATAAAAATTTCCCGCATAACAATCTCTATGAATACGGGTTTCGACACTTACAACTAGCTAGGTCTGGGCATTCGGATTTCCGATCGGATTCGGTTCGGATTTTTTCGGATTTGGATAATCCGGGTTCGAATTTTATGACTTTTGGTTCGGATCGGTTTTCGGGAAAAAAACAAATAAAAATTTATGCAATTTTAATGAAAACAGATTTAATCTTACTAAAATTTGGTTAAATTTTGCAAAAAAATATAATTTTAACAAATATAACTAAATTTTTTCAAAATCTAGGTTATTTAGGATATTTTTGTTATTTGGTATAAAATTATAACTAAATATAAGTATATAACTAATTTTGAATATATAATTTTATTTTCAGTTTTCGGCTCGGATCGGCTTCGGTTCGGATAATTCGTGTATGAAATTTCATTATTCATTCAGGTTTTGTGATGATTCGGTTTAGTTTTGGAACCAGATTTTTCGGATCGAATTTAGATTGGTTTTAAAATTTCAGATATTATGTCCGGTTTTACAACAGTGAAACTTGGCTTTCTCCCCAAATCGACAAATAACTATATTTGTAGCCACTACCAAAAAAAAAAAATCTAAATTTTCTCGGAAAAAATAATAATTAATTGGGTGTAATATCCAAAAGCCAAAATGAAAAATCAAATCTTGAAAACATGAACACTCTTCCCGTCGTCTCCCTCACACCTTCTTCTTCCTTCTTCAAATTCTTCCATTTCCCTTCTCTGCACCGTTCTCTCTCTCATTCCCCAAACCTCTCTTTCACCAAAACCCTAATCCTCAATCCAAGCCAACTCTCCTTCAAATCCTCTTTAAATTCTCTCTCACCGTCGCAGTCTCAGCTCTCTGAGGAGTACGAGGAAGAAGACGACGAAGAAGAAGAAGAAGAAGAAGACGAAGACGAAGAAGAAGATGATGACGAAGCTGCAGACGAATACGACAATATCTCCGATGAAATTCGGAATAGCGACGACGATGAAGAAACCGAGTTCTCGGTGGATTTGCCGACGGAATCAGCTCGGGAACGAGTGGAGTTCCGGTGGCAGAGAGTTGAGAAGCTTCGTAGTCTTGTTCGTGATTTTGGAGTTGAGATGATTGATATCGATGAACTCATTTCCATCTACGATTTTCGAATCGACAAGTTTCAGGTTTTTAGCTTATTATCTTCTCTAAAGTTTCAGTTTTTATCATCACTCTTTGAAATTGATATCGTTTTTTTTTTGTGACAGAGATTGGCTATTGAAGCTTTTCTTAGAGGTTCTTCTGTGGTGGTTTCTGCTCCTACTAGTAGTGGGAAGACTTTGATTGCTGAAGCAGCTGCTGTTGCTACAGTGGCTAAAGGTCGTCGGTTGTTCTATACTACACCGCTTAAAGCACTCTCTAATCAGAAGTTTCGTGAGTTTAGGGAGACATTTGGCGACGATAATGTTGGTCTACTCACAGGTGATTCTGCTATCAATAAGGATGCTCAGATTGTGATCATGACTACAGAGATTCTCCGGAATATGTTGTATCAAAGGTATTTCCAACTTCAGCTCTCTCTCTCTCTGTGTTTATCTGGTTTGTTCGGGAGCTTCTTTTGACCCCATTTTTTGTGTTGAAATCTTTTAGTGTTGGAATGGCTTCTTCAGGAACTGGACTTTTTCATGTTGATGCTATTGTTTTGGATGAGGTTCATTATTTAAGTGACATTTCTAGGGGAACTGTGTGGGAGGAGATTGTGAGTTTTTCTTCCATTGTTTCTTTTCTCTCCTCCAAAGGCTTTTATCAGTTGAGTGTCTCAGTCGGTTCCTGTGTGAATATGATCAGGTCATTTATTGCCCGAAGGAGGTTCAACTTATATGCTTATCAGCTACAGTTGCAAACCCAGATGAATTAGCTGGTTGGATTGGTGAGGTGAGTTTGTAGACATTTTCCCTATAACAATGTACCTAACATCGTCTCATTTATCTTCTATTGTTGAACAACATAAATATTGTTTTGCTGATGAAGTACCTCAAGTTCTCGTAAACTACTACTATTACAACAACATCAATCTTTAGATTCTTTAGCTACTGGTTATCTAAGATGTGCTAGCTGCTTCCGTGTTTTGTTCTCAGATACATGGTAAAACTGAGTTGGTAACATCGACAAGACGCCCAGTTCCATTAACTTGGTTCTTTTCAACAAAACATTCTTTATTACCCCTGCTTGATGAGAAAGGGACAAATGTGAATAGGTAACTTGTTCAACTCTGTACTTTTATCACCAACATTTTTTGTAGAATCTTTCTCTTTGATAATGATTGGAGGAGGCTTTATTTAATTGGAGCAGGAAGCTGTCTCTCAATTATTTGCAACTGTCTGCCTCAGAAGCTAGATTCCGTGATGATGATGACGGGTACAGGAAAAGGAGGTCAAAAAAGAGAGGAGGTGATACCAGCTACAACAGCCTTGTGAACATTACTGATTATCCTCTTTCAAAGAATGAGATAAACAAGATTCGCCGATCACAGGTCTTACATTATCTAACAAACTAGGCATTTGCCGTTTCTTATATATTCGAATATGATTTTTAACTTCTATGATAAATTAATGACTGTGCTGAGTCTTGCCTTCTAGGTACCTCAAATTAGCGACACATTATGGCATCTCCAGGGGAAAGATATGTTACCAGCTATATGGTTCATTTTTAACCGTAGAGGATGTGATGCAGCTGTGCAGTATGTTGAAAATTTTCAGCTTTTAGATGATTGTGAGAAAAGTGAGGTTGAGTTGGCATTGAAGAAGTTTCGCGTTCTTTATCCAGATGCAGTGAGAGAGAGTGCAGAGAAAGGACTGCTTAGGGGAATTGCTGCTCATCATGCAGGTTGTCTACCTCTTTGGAAATCTTTCATTGAGGAACTGTTTCAGCGAGGACTTGTTAAGGTTGTCTTTGCTACTGAGACACTTGCTGCTGGAATAAACATGCCGGCTAGAACGGCTGTTATCTCGTCTCTAACAAAAAAGGCTGGTAATGAACGAATACAGTTGGGTCCTAACGAATTGTTCCAGATGGCTGGACGTGCTGGACGCAGAGGCATTGATGAAAAGGGCTACACTGTGCTGGTTCAGACTGCTTTTGAAGGCGCTGAAGAGTGCTGCAAACTTGTCTTTGCTGGAGTTAAACCTCTCGTGTCACAATTTACTGCTTCATATGGCATGGTGCTGAATCTGGTAGCTGGTTCAAAAGTTACTCGTAAATCAAGTGGAACTGAGGCCGGGAAAGTCTTGCAAGCAGGGAGAAGTCTGGAAGAAGCCAAGAAATTAGTTGAGAAGAGTTTTGGAAACTATGTGAGCAGCAATGTGACGGTTGCTGCGAAGGAGGAACTTGCTGAAATCGACAAGAAGATCGAGATTCTGTCATCTGAAATAAGCGATGAAGCAATAGATAAGAAGAGTAGGAAACTTCTTTCAGCGAGGGACTACAAGGAGATCACTGAACTTAAAGAAGAGCTACGGGAAGAGAAACGCAAGCGTGCTGAAGTACGAAGAAGAATGGAACTCGCAAGGTTCTCAGCCCTAAAACCGCTCTTAAAAGGGATGGAAGAGGGGAACTTACCATTTATTTGTTTGGAGTTCAAGGATTCTGAAGAGAGGCAGCAGTCAGTCCCTGCTGTTTACTTGGGACATATTGATTCATTTCAGGGTTCCAAACTTCAGAAGATGATGTCTTTGGATGAGTCTTTTGCGTTAAAGGTAATCGAGGATGAGCCGGCGGCTGATGAACCTGGAAAGCCTAATGTTAAACCGTCTTACTATGTGGCCCTTGGCTCTGATAACTCATGGTATCTCTTTACTGAGAAGTGGGTTAGGACTGTCTACAGAACTGGTTTTCCTAACATTTCTCTAGCGCTTGGAGATGCTTTGCCTCGAGAAATCATGAAGACTCTCCTGGATAAAGCAGATATGCAGTGGGATAAACTAGCTGAATCTGAACTTGGAAGTTTGTGGAGATTGGAAGGATCTCTAGAGACATGGTCCTGGAGTTTAAACGTACCTGTCCTAAGCAGCCTTTCTGATGAAGATGAGGTGTTACATATGTCCGAAGAGTATGATAACGCGACGGAACAATACAAAGAACAAAGGAGAAAAGTGTTCCGTTTGAAGAAGAAGATGTCCCGGTCAGCAGGGTTCAGGGAATATAAGAAAATTCTAGAGAATGCTAACTTGACGGTTGAGAAGATGAAACGGCTCAAGGCGAGATCAAGACGCCTTATAAACCGTTTAGAGCAGATCGAACCGTCTGGTTGGAAAGATTTCATGCGCATAAGCAACGTGATTCACGAAAGCAGAGCATTGGACATTAACACACACTTGATATTTCCTCTGGGAGAAACAGCTGCTGCAATCCGAGGAGAAAACGAGCTTTGGCTTGCAATGGTGCTGCGGAACAAAGCCCTGGTGGATCTCAATCCTCCTCAACTAGCTGGTGTATGTGCAAGTTTAGTTTCAGAAGGCATAAAAGTTCGACCTTGGAGAGACAACAACTATATTTACGAGCCATCTGATACAGTAGTAGACATGGTTAATTTCTTAGAAGACCAAAGAATCTCTCTTATAAAGCTTCAAGAGAAGCACGAGGTTATGATTCCATGTTGTTTAGACGTTCAGTTCTCTGGTATGGTTGAAGCGTGGGCTTCTGGATTAAGTTGGAAAGAAATGATGATGGAATGTGCAATGGACGAAGGCGATCTTGCTCGCCTGTTACGACGCACAATTGATCTCTTAGCTCAGATTCCAAAGTTGCCTGATATTGACCCAGTCCTGCAACGTAGTGCAGCAGCTGCAGCAGACATCATGGACCGTCCACCAATCAGCGAGCTTGCCGGTTAAAGAGACTACACATTAGCGCTATCTTTAGTGACGATCACAGGCAAAAAAAAACATTAGAGCCTGGGATGTGCAAGAAGTGCATATGTAAGGATTGGGGATACAAGAACAAATCTTTCATTCAGGTGATTAATGTTGGAAAGAATAGGAGTAAACAAAGAAGAAATTTGAGTTAATGTTACAACAACATACAAAAAGCTTAGCATGATGCAACACACTCTGTGTCTAATACATACGAGGCCTGCAGAGAGATTATAATTGAAATCGAAATCTGGAAAATCAGTTTAATAAAATATAACCGCATATAGTAATAGTGGAATTCTTATTCCCCGTAAAGAAAACCAAAGAAAAAAAGTTTACCTAAGTAAAGTTTGCAAACTTAACAATGAATTGGTGAAAGAAACAAGAAAACACTAAACAATGAAGTGGACTTTGGTCAAAAATTGAAGCATGTTGGGTGGTTCCCAAACATAGTCGCCTTCATCTCTGATCCAGGTTCGAACCGCAAGGTGACTTCATGGCATCCAAAACGCATATTTCTGCCATATTTCTTCTGCAATCCGTAATTAAAACCCGCGACCCGAAACGCACTTTCTTCTTCTCTTTGACATCTTCCATTAGGTCTTTCCCAATCAATCCGCTGATATCTTTTTCGGAAACAACTGCTGAAACCTTAAGAAGCTGAGCCGAACGGTATCGGAGATTGTTGTATCTGTTAAAACAGAGGATTCATTATATTTAGTTCTAAAACATAATATGAATTATGAAAAAAGAAGTATTTTGCTTACTTTTGTATGGATGAGGTAGCAATAATGACATTCTTGTAACGCAAGGAAACTTGAATATCTCCATTAAGACATATATAGCTATCAGGAAGATAGTAAGGGATCCTTATCGACAAGTCCCACTTTGCACTAAGACGTGTCTGTGTAATATTAAACACCGTGAAATCCATAGAAGTTAATTCTATTTCCGGTCTCACTGGTGGCGACGGTGGCAATGGGTCCAGAAATCCGCGACCACCAATATAGGGATGTTTGTATAGATAAACCATAAGGCCAATTAAAGCGGAGATCAAGGCTATCATAAAAACAGCCTTGATCACGGAACAACAACAGTCCTCGGAACAACAATCGTCCTTAGCTTGTTTATTGTGCGGTTCTTCGTCGTGATCCATTGTATGCGCAATATATTTTCGAGTGCAAGAAAAAATATGAGAGAGCTTGATAATGTTAAAGATCGTAACTAATGTCTTCTATAAACATGTGTGTGTGTATATATATAAGATTTAATACCATCTCTAAGAGTATGATTAGGAAAAATCTAAAGGAAAAAAAAAAGATTAATTAATGTAGGATTTATCCAACTCTTGTATCAAATATTTGTTTATTTAAATAATTCAGGTGAAAATATAAATTTGAAGAATTTAATATTTAATAATCAAATATTAGTTTATTTGAAGAATTCAGGTAAAACTATATATTTAAAGAAGTAAATATTTTTATAAATCAAATATTTGTTATTTGAAGAATTCAGGTAATTAAGAATTAACGTATATTTGAATGAGTTATGATATAGTCAGTCTCGTATGAATTGAAAACTTCTTGGGATAATTGTTGGAAAAGTAATTCTAAGATATGTAACGTATTTGTTTTTTTAATACAAAATACGTTAACTGAAAATCTTTTTTGAAAAGAATTTAAATATCTAAACATTAGATTTTAATAGCTCTAAAAAACTAGAAAAAAATTGACTAAAAAACTTCAAACCCTATTAAAAATCTAACAAAATCTAAATAACTAAATAAAATTCAAATTTATGATTCAAACAGCCTCTTTTTCGCAAACTTAACAATGAACTGTTGAATAACAGAAGAAGGAAAAAATAAATGAATTGGTGGCTGTGACATGGGCTTTGGTCAAATATTGATACAGTTCGGATAGTTCCCAAACACAGTAATCGCCTTCAGCTCTGAAGGTTCGAACCTCAAGGTGACTTCATCGCACTCATAACTCATAACTCCTGTTGTATTTTTTCTACAATCAGTTAGAGAAAACCGCGATACAAATTGCACTTCCTTCTTCTTTTTTATAGCTTCTATAATCTCTTTTCCAATTGAACTGCTAATATCTTTATCGGAAACAAGAGCTGAAACCGTAAGAAGTTGCGGAGTTTGGTATTTGAGATTGTAGTATCTGATCATATACAAGATTCAATTAGTTCCAAAAAAATAAAAAATAAAAAATAAAAATAGTACGTAGGAAATAAAAATTACTTACTTTTGAGGGGATGAGGTAGCAAGAGTAACGTTCTTGTAAAGGAAGGAAGCTTGAAGGTCTCCTTGAAGACATATATACTGACCAGGAAGATCATTAGGGATTCTTATGGACAAATCCCAATTTGCACTAAGACGAGTCTGTGTAATATTGTGCACTGTGAAATCCATAGAAGCTAATTCTATTTTCGGCACAGGAATCTCGTGAGAATCTTGTATGATTGCAATAACCATAAGAGCTGGAAGACCAATAATAGCAATAATAACCATCATGATGCTATAAGCGAGAAAGAACACGAAGGTGATCTGATCGCAGAACGAATCTTGTCCCATACTGTTACGCGTGCGATTGATTTTTCTGGAGGAAGATTTAGCTGATAAAGTTTGATAAATGTTTTGAGACTGTAGATGATTAGGAACGAGTTTTATATATAGAACATATAATACATATTATTTTGGATATTTTACTTTTTTTACAAGTGTTTTCTATTTCTTGATTTTGGAAGCTATCTAGTATTTCCATTTTTCTATATTCTCTTTTCTAAGAGTGCTTTCCTTTTTATATAGTGCATTTTTGATTTTTGTAATGGACGACATTACACAATATTTTTGATCTCTTAGCTCAGATTCCTAAGTTGCCTGATATTGACCCAGTCCTGCAACGTAGTGCAGCAGCTGCAGCAGATATCATGGACCGTCCACCAATCAGTGAGCTCTGTCTTTAGCGATGACCCAAAGGCAAAATAAACATTAGAGCCTGGGATGTGCAAGAAGTGCATATGTAAGAATTGGAGATACAAGAACAAATTTTTCATTCAGGTGATTAATGTTGCAAAGAATAGGAGTAAACAAAGAAGAAATTTGAGTTAATGTTACAACAACATACAAAAAGTTTATGTACACAATTATGGGAAACAAGACTTGAAGGCTTTGGCAGTTAATCCTTCGATCTTCCCCTCCCTCCCTTTTTATTTTCTGTGAGAATACAACAGGGACCAGAGGCAGCAACACAAGTAAGAGCCATCTTTCATTTCTTCTCTTCTGACAAAGCTCAATGCTGAGTATAACAAGCAAAGAATGGCAAGCTTTTTGTCTCCAAAAGAGTGCGACCTTGCTCTATTCCCGAGTGTTTGCTGGTGGTAGGTGAGATGTTATTGGCCAGTGAGAAGTTTTTGGTATCTTTGTATTCTCCTTTGCCTGATTAAAGAACCACTGCAAACAGAATCCTGTTTGAGTGGTAAACCGCTTTGGTTCAAAAATTTTCTCCTCTTAGAACGATGTAACACATCCTCTGTGTCTAATACATAGGAGACCTGAAGGAGATACCAGACAATTCTTTTTAAAAAGACAAGTTTAAGGTTTGTTATTATGGAAAATCAGAGTGGTAAGCGGGAAAAAAGGCACTGTACCTTTGAAGAACTGCAGGTTATCTTACATTCCAAACCGTTAATAATCTTAACTCCATCTGTGGTGCAGAGTTCATCGTCACCACCATTTTTACGCTTATTCCTGGGGGGAGAAAAGGAGAGAGCATCCCATTAGTGTCCCCTTTATCTTTAAAAAGATGGGATAGTCCTTAGTTAATCTTCTTGACTTACCGTTTCAAATAGATTCGGGGATTCTCTTTCGCATTAGGTTGATAGGAAAGGAATACATTGTGGAGGTAAGCTGCAAAAGTTGGGTCCATGGATATGGATGTCACATCAGGCTTATCATGTCCATAGTCCAGAAGCTGAATAGAGAGTTTGCTTGGTGTCGATATTTCCTGCGGAATAAAAGCACGATATCTTAAAGAGTTCCTTGGTCATGAGCTTGCTTGGTCCAAAACTGTGCAATGGTAAATAATTCTTACACATTCGATGCGGTATATATCCTCATCGGGAAGAAGCACACGAGCATTTTCGTAATAAACAGCATCGAGAAACTTTTCAGGCTTTCTGGATTTCTCATATGCATATAGCTGTTGTAATTTGTTGTCCATCTCATCAGCAGCTACTCCTTGGAGCTGGAGGATCACAATAATCAGTTGAATCATAAGTGACGAATAAAGAGATGAAGAATATAACAAAACATCGAAAGGGAAACCTACATGCTTGATGAGCTTGTAGATCAGTTTGTCTAATGTGAAGAGAACATATGACTGTGTCCCAATAATTGCTCGGCAATCATCTTCAAACTTTGAATTATCGGATGTGCCATCGAGCAAATTGTAGAGAGCATCCATGAATCTGTTCCAACACAGAAACTTCATGTATCAGCAACAACACAGATAGATGTGTCCTGTGGTTAACTGGTATAAAGAACCGCAAGGGAAAATCACCTGGCGTACGAATCACCGGGGTTTGTTGGATTTGAGGTCTTCCACTTTCTATCTGGAGATAATGAATTGACTTTTGCTGATAATATTCTATCATACAAAATCTGTATACAGAGTAACCACAAAAAGTTAGCCTCACAAAAGATTCCAACGTCATTGATTTGCATATTGAAAAAATGTTATGTTTACCTGATGAAGCCTGAAAAGAACATAAAAAGAATCATTCCCATAAAAGACTTGAGAGTTCTTCCGAGAATCATCTTTGTCCTTATCGCGCAAAGCTGGAGGAACATACTTTGCAAGAGGTTTCACATGTAGCAGGTTTTTTACTGAAATGGACAACACAGGCCTATCTCCTTCAGTATCATCCTGGGCATCAGACATACCTTCTTCAGCCTCACCTTCGCTTTCTGCCTTATTATGGTCCATATCATCTTCGCGATAACAATCTTCACCATCACCAGAGTCAGTTCCAGAAACATCACCGTTCTGAGATGTGTTTCCGCTGCCATCTGATGATCTTGGAGCACTTGCATCACCTTCATCATCTGCAGTAGCATCATTCTCCTTACTTTTGCTGAGAGCCTCCATGTCATTCTCTCCATGAACTGCAAAATTATCTTCCTCAAACTCTCCTGTTGGAGAAAGTTCACCCTCCTCTCTTTCGACTTTGGTTTCCCCAGCGAACCCTTCGTTAGATGTTTGATTATTCGATGTTTCTGCCAATGTCCCATTTGGAATTACTTGGTTGTCGCCAATCTGTGGGATAAGTAAGTAGTATATCATTTTCCTTTCTTGATAAACTCAGGACAAAGGATGTTATCATTTAAAGAATTGCAATCTCTAAGCACTAGTGTAAAGAGAAGGGAAGATTGTTTCAGATCAATATTTCAATATATGCAAGATGCACAATACCTCTACGCGTGGCCCATTTACGTGATTCGGCTTCAACTCCTCCGTTCCACTGGTTAATGCACTAGGTTTTGGATTACTATTGCTAAGCCCTGGCGAGTATAAAAGGAAAGGATACAACTCATCATCGAAAAACAAGAAAAAAAATCCATGAGAACTACCAAACAAGAGTTAAAGTTCTTACCGGCAATGGATAAATTGCTGATTTTTCCATTCCTTTGAGGTAACAATCCATCCACAGGCAGTGCATTTGAGTTGTGGGCACATTCAATAGAAACAGCTTCTTTGGTTTCCGGTCTTTCGTCAGGTGTGGTCAGATTCTTCGGCATTTTATCATTCTGAGTGTTGTTGTCACATGATAATAAGACATCTGAGGTTTTACTAGAAGTGACATCTTTATCCAACTCACTAGCTTGCCGCACTTGATTACTTTCATTTCCTTTTCGAGGGCCATTTGAACGCATAGAGTTGGCAATACTAGCTCCATTTTGAGGACTGACAGCATCTTCTCGGTCTTGGTTCGTAGACTTGACAGCATCTTCTCGGTCTTCGGCACCTTGAGGGCGAGAAGGAACACCAAATATTGGTTCCAAAAATTCTGTCCATACTTTCATTACCTTATCTAACTGTTCTGTTGAACACATTTCTCCACATGAATACTTGATCAGCTGATACAAATCTTCGTGAAGATCAGGATCCGGATAATCAAAACTCATATTGGAAGAAATGGTTCGTCTATTTCCAGCCGCAAGAGCAAGAAGTGCATCATCTTCGCCTCGCTTCTTTTCAGAGATCTCTTTTATCTCTGCCAGCAATGCTGCAGTGAAAGATAGTATTAGTATACATAAGAACTTCAAAAACACTTTGAAAGTAGATTTTACGAGAAATGGGTAACGAGAAAAACCTTTTGTGCTCAGATTCTTTGAATCCTGCTGTTTGAAATAAAAACTGCGATGATCAAGCGATCTGTGGTAGTTCTTTGTATATATGTCAGCCCAGACTTTGTTAAACTCAGTACGACACCTTGCCCACTCTTCTTGCTTTTGTTTCAAACGGGTTAGTATTACCGGTAAAGCAAGATATGCATTCTTCTTTAACAAATCCAACACATCGAGCCCGTGGTCACCATATAACCGTTCTATGCATCTTAGGTTTAGAGCTACAAGATAATAACAAAACAATATGCATTAGTCAGAAGGAAAAGAATTCAGAATATCAGCTCTGCTATAAGAGAAGAGCTCAATATACCTGTGAGGTGATCCTCGATGCAGATGGGAGTGTCGGTTTTCAATTCATTACTGTTAATTTTTGCCAATAACTCTTCCACTCTATTAGTAGCAGAGATCACAGACTCTAATAACATGTCTAGCTCGAACCTAAAGCACAGCAACAAACAAATATTTACCAAATCAAAACTATTCCAAGAAAGCACACAACAAATAAATATACATTAATAACTAACCTGTCATCTTCACATTTGAATAGGCTCTCTTCATACTGGTTCTTACGCATGTGTTTAAATGAATAATCTTCGCTTCCTGAAGTGACGGAGACCCAATGATCATTAAGCACTTGGCTACCAATCTCCATTTTTTGGCTTGCTATAGGAATTGGATACTGCAAGAAAACAAAATATGTACATTTACCTAATGAAGCGAAAAAGATAAACAAAGAGGTGAAGATTTGTTAGTGATTAGCACCATACATTCTTTGGAAGTCGCCGATAACTAGGTGTGCACTGTTCACAGTTTGAGAGATCTAGCTCACTGATAGGTTTAGCCCATTTCTGACTCGCTGCCGCCTTTTCAAGCCTCTCCTTCTCGCGGTCTCTTTCTCTATACCTTTCAATCTTCTCACGTTCTCGGTCTGTATCTTTGTCCTGTGACTTAGTAGGTTGAGGACATTTGCCTTCACTCCACAACGATTCTGTAGTCACAACAATCCAATGGTTAAGAGTCAATTCAATACGTCTGGAGAACAACATCACAAAAATAGCTAGACTTACTCTTAGACACGATACCAGAGAGTAATCCATCTACAGAAAGAAAAACAATAAAGGGTCAAATCTTTAACTGGCAGGCCTAAGAAGAGAAAGCACAAGTTTGCCTGATTATTACCATTCTTGTCACACTGAGCCAAAAAGACTCTGAAGGCTTCCATAAGGTCTGGATATACTCCAATTAAATCGCTCACCTAATACAAGAATATATATGTTCATGAGTCATTGACAGGTAAAGTCCATAACATTTCTCATAATCTTCTCCAATTTAACCATGCAGTGAGAAACTTTAAGTCAGCATAAAAGCATACCAAAGACTGCAATTCTGGTTGGCTGATTATCTCCTTTGAATAGAGATTAAGACATCGTAAGAACTCCTGGTTTTCCGCGGTATCAAGCTTTGCCTTCACTCTATCAACAAAAGCAAGTTCTTGGCTATGACCTGTCATCACATAAGTCAATTCAAGAACACAACAAATAGCAGAGAAGATGAACTCACTACTAACTTTCTCAGAAATCAATTATGACACCTTTTTCATCATAAGTAGATGAGCTGGGAATGGCTCCAGAAAACTTGTCTCCTTCCCTAGCTTGATTTGACATTTCAGCAGAATCATCATCCTTTAATATCAATTTCTTTTTGTTGTTGAAGAAATGCTCTTTATGGCTATCGTGTTCTAGACCTCTGTAATCTTTCCTATCTCTGTCATCCATGTAATCATTCTTTTTTTCAATGCGTCTCACTTCTTCTTTACTATCTTTCAACAAAGATCTTTCATGGTCTACATCCATATGTTCGGTTTTGAGGGCACGGTCAGGATGCGAAGTAAAAATCCGGTCCTTCTGAAACAATATCCAAACAAGTGATGCATCTAAGAATCGAATTTTCGATTGCATAGTAAGCGTAGTGAACAACTAAACAAAGAAAAAGAGAAAGAAACCTTATCAAGATCTATTTGACGCATGTTGGGAAGAGGCTTAATGCCTCTATCACGTACTGGCATTTTTAGAGAATCATTAGTAGATGCAGTTGCTGAAGTATCAGGGAGAAAGTGAGTGAATTCCACAAGCAAATCGTGATGGTCCCGAAAAAGGATGGCCACCTACAAGTTAAACATATCAAACTAAGACAAAAATGACAACCACAACAATGAATAAAAACACAGTACCACAAATGGCTACAAACACACACCTCTTGGTAAACCTCAGTAATGGACTTGTTTTCCTTTCTATACATGTTCAAAATGTCTAAAAACGATTTGTATACACGATCATCGCCTTGAAACCTTGTCTGCAGATAAAATGATAGTTAAGAAGCTAAGTAGCAAAAAAAAGGGGAGAAGCACCAGATCAAAATATTCTACCTTAATCTTGTTGACAAAACTAATAGCTTCCTCAAACTCAACAGGCTTCTTTGGCGCAGCAGGTTGGTCATCCTCGGGTCGGAGAGTTATCTCGAAACCCTTTGGCAAGAAAGTATTGAACCCCAAAATCAATTCCCTATTCCCCTTGAAGAGTTCTTTCACCCTTAAGATAACACCAGTAGTATCAACTCTACAATCACAAAAATAACATCAGATTCAAAATCGAACTAAAGAGAGCAAAAAAAAAAACCAAACATTATTAACAAGAAGCAATAAAAAAAAACTATACCTCTGAGCTTTAAAATCTTTCATAACCTCAAGAAACTCATCGTATTTATCACGTTTATCTTGAAACTTATCCTTCACAGCCTTGAGATACGCAAGTGCATCATTTGTAGTTAGCTTCTGTGCACTACTTCCTCCAACCATGGTTTATAATTTGCCAGAGCTTCATTAACCACAAAACCAAAACATTTAGCAGCAAAATAGATCACTGTACATCTCGAAGCAAACTCAATTCACCAACCTAAAGACTTTAAATTTGAGCAATTCGATTGAAAATTTAGCATGAGGAGGAAACAACAAGTCATCGAATTTGAGGATTCATGTAAAATTCAATCTCTCAACTTCAACTACAGAGCAAAAAAATAAAAATCAATCCTTTTGATCTTTAATCAAGAAACCACATCTTGAAGAACAATCCAAATAAATCGAACTCTGCAAAACAATCTTAAACTAAAGCAGTAGATCTAGCAAGTAAAGAACAATCAAAGCAAAAATCGAGAAAAGAGTTAAAGAAACAATGAAGCAGAAAAATTCGATCTTAAAACTTAATCATCAGATTAATTCACATTACGGCGCTTCAAGATAAGAATTAGAAGAAGAAAAAAAACGCTTCGAAAGATAAAAAAGAGAACGATGATCGTAGAGTTACCGAATTTCGCAGAGACACAAGTCTACAAGCACAAGCTTCCTCCTTACCGCACACGGAAACAAACCCACAAAGACAAGACTTTAAACCAAATTTTTGCAGACAGAACTAAAAAGAAATAAGACACAAGTTAAATTTCTTTATGGTGAAGATGAGAGAAGAGACTTCTCAATGTTTTTATATATTTTAAATTTTTTACTTCTTCTTAAATGTATTGTAATTTATTTTTGGTTATTATATGATGTGGTGTAATAATTATTGTAGTATTAATTAAGACCTTTTTTTTTTTACTTAATTACCCAAAAGAAAAAACATTTTTCCTCTTATTGTTTCCTTTTCCTTCACCATATATTATTAAATTTATTATTATGAAACATAACTTTTTTAAAAAGGAAACTTATGTAGTAAATACGGTAGAAACATATATTGTATCGATGATAGGAAATAAAGAATTGAAAAAAATATGAAATACAACTTAGAGACAGCCGTTGCTAGGTTGCTTATAGGTAGAGTAACCGGTTATAGCCGGTGAGGTTAATTGGGGGATTAGGGCGCAGGAGCTAGAGGATTGGATTTTGGTTATTTTGGGACCTTGCAATTCGGGTTTTGTGTAGTGGTAATTTTGTTATTTTTGGGTGATGGTGAGGGTATAATAGGAAGGTTAGGAAAATTTAACAATCAATGTCATGTGCTAGAATTAGTAAATTCGAGGCTTTTTATGATCTAGAAAAGAATTTTCCCAGTTTCTTTAAGGTGGTTTTCTGTTTTTTTAAGGTTAAGTAATTAGATATTCCAGTGAAAAATATTATTGAATCTCGTGTTGGTTCAAAATTTAATTTGATGATCGGACTTTGCTAATAGTCTTGAAACAATAGTTAGGTGAAGAAAACAGATGTGGATAATTAGTGGTGTACATTATGTTCATATAATTAAAAAAATTAGTGACCTTCTGTCAAAATTGGGCATTTGGTCTAGTGGTATGATTCTCGCTTAGGGTGCGAGAGGTCCCGAGTTCAATTCTCGGAATGCCCCTTTGGCTTTTGCTAAAAATTCTTTTTATCTTCTCCTATCCCAGTTCCCTTAATTTTGGGCCAAAATATTAAAATTTTGCACAGATTTAGTTAACTAATTTGTTCGTTAACGGCCCATATTGTACCTTCAAAAAAGCCTTAAAATATAACCGCACATATTAATAGTGGCATTGTTATATTGGTAAAGAAAACCTTAGTAAAGTTGTAACCAAACAAAAACAGAAAGAGAAAAATACCTAAGTAAAGTTTGCAAACCTAACAATGAATTGGTGAAAGAAACAAAGAAACACCTTTGACTAAAAAAAGAAACAAAAAAACACTAAACAATGAACTGGTGATGAAGTGGAGTTTGGTCAAAAATTGATGCATGTTGAGTGGTTCCCAAACATAGTCGCCTTCATCTCAGATCCAGGTTCGAACGGCAATGTAGCTTCATGGCACCCAAAACCCGGCCCATAAGTTCTGCCATATTTTTTCTGCAATCCGTAAGAAAAACCCGCGATCCGATAAGCACGCGGTATCGATGAAACAACCGATGAAACCTTAAAAAGCTGAGCCGAACGGTATCGGAGATCGCTATATCTGATTATAGAGATGATTCAATTAGTTCTAAAACATGAATGTAAAAACCGTATAAATAAAAATAATAAATATTAGAAAGTATTATATATTATAAAAAAAAAAAAAAAGTAAAAGATTTGTAACTTGGGAAAGGAATCGAGCTCCAAGGAAATTTGTATATTTAGGCGACAGATATTCTTCGACTTTGATTCTTATTTCATTCTCTCCACACAACTAAAGTTTCATGGTTTTATATTAGAATGTCCAACATTGCTTGGGATTAAGATCTTTGGGTAGTATATAAAGGATGTGGTAATCCTTAACTCTTGAGCTAGCTTTTGGGTTAAGTTAGGCCACATTCCTAATATGGTATCAGAGCCAGGTTGGTCCAACAAGCAAATTCCCACAAAAATGGTTTCCCACCTATGTGGCCCATATAAGTGGCTTGTCTTGTTGTATTTCCGAGATGTTGGGCTTGGGCTGTTCCCGTTGGGCCGTTTCCCACCCACATCTCGAGGAGGCCTATTAGAATGTCCAACATTGCTTGGGATTAAGATCTTTGGGTAGTATATAAAGGATGTGGTAATCCTTAACTCTTGAGCTAGCTTTTGGGTTAAGTTAGGCCACATTCCTAATATTTTACTTTACCATATGTTCTAACCGAAACATAACTGTTTTGACGTGCTCGGTGCTTCCCAAGCTACTATTTTGTTTACTTACCATGAGAGACTAAATATGGTTAATTTCCAAAGAAATTCAAACACAGAATTTGAAAACTTTACAATGAACGAAACATATGCAAAAAAAAAATCAAAATCAATGAACTGGTAGTGGTTACGTAGACTCGGTCAAAAGTTGATGCACTTTGGATGGTTGCCAAACACAGTAGCCTTCATCTCTAATCCAGGTTTGAACCTCAAGGTGACTTCATCGCACGCATAGCTCATAAATCCTGTCGTCTTTTCTCTGCAATCAGTAAGAGAAAACCGCGATCCGAATTGTACTTCCTTCTTCTCTTTGATATCTTCCATAATGTCTTTTCCAAGCAAACCGCCGACATCTTCTCCGGAAACAACCGCTGAAACCTTAAGAAGCTGAGGATTGTTGCGTTTGAGATTGTAGTATCTAATAAAGAACATTATATTCAGTTAGTACCGAAAATACGAATATAATAAACAATATAAAAGCGGTTTAAAAAATCATATAACGTCCTTACTTTTGTGGTGATGAGGTAGCGAGAGTAACATTTTTGTAAAGAAATGAAGCTTGAAGTTCTCCTTGAAGGCATATATACTGACCAGGAAGATTATCAGGGATCCTTATGGACAAATCCCACTTTGCACTAAGACGAGTTTGTGTAATATTTTGCACCGTGAAATCCATAGAAGCTAATTCTATTTTCGGCACCGGGATTTTGCGAGAACCCTCTTTGATTGCAAACGCGAGGATAGTAATATATAAACCAACGATCATCACACAAACGATAAAGCACACGGTGCAGCGATTGCATTCCATACTGTGCGATTGATTATAGAGAGACAAGAAGATTTTTTGGAGCGGAAGATGAAGTTGAGAGAGTTTGATAAATGTTTGAGATTGTAAATAATGCCTTGTATATGATTAGGAACGAGTTTATATATAGACCATATAATACATATTATTGGGGATATATTTATATTTCTTGATTTGGGAAGATATCTAATATTTCTCTTTTTATATTAATTGGATTGTCTTCCCTAAATCTTATAATGTTTACTATATAGTTTAAAGAATTAGAGATATATTATAATTAAAATTCAGAAAACAAAAATAAAATAATTTAGTAAATAGTTTTTACAAATATTATTTTAAAAGTAAATTAAACTTTTCATATTATAAAAAAATTATATACTCAAAAATATTTTTGAGATTTTTTATTTTGTCCAAATGTTAGATTATAAATTATAAATTTTAATTATATAGTAAATGTTATCTAGATTTTGGGTTGATTTAGTAAATATTTTGGATAGGGATGCCATTAAGCTTGTTTGTGAGACTCATCCAAAAAAGAGCTTTTGTAGATTTCATCGGGTTAGCTAGGTCGAGGGACACAACTTGTGCACTTCTTCATTCAACACTTCATCCGATGTTGTTTAACTAAACCTCGAGTCAAACCGAAGAACAAAGTAAACAATTATCCGTTTGGCTCGTAGTTATGGCCTGCCTTTACGACTGTTTCATAGAGATCTCCGGAGGTTGCAGGTTTTAACTTCTTTCGACTATCTAACCACGGAAGCACATTCAATAAATTCAAACAGGCATCTTTCGAATTTGTTTTTAGCTAGGTAAGGGTTACGTTACGTACTTACGTTCATGTGTTTTTTTTTTTTTTTGTTAAATATGTGAATTTTCATTAGATGAAAAGGATCGTAGAAGCTACAATATTCTAATACACAAAACATTTTTCCTTGCCAAAATAAGAGATAAAAACAAGGAAGAATCTAAAACAAGGAAATATGACTAGAAATGAATCTAGTCATACTTTAGCCATGACTCGCATAAGGTTTCTTAAGGTCTTGCGTTTTCTCTTTGCAAGAATTGCATCGTGAATCTATCTGTCTAGAATCACTCTCATAAGGGTTACGTTCATGAATCATAATGAATGCTATTTTTCTATAAACGTTTGATAAACATATATAGAACCACTCTCTGAGTCACATCAACATTAACTATCATTTACTATATAAAACAGATTCCTTTCAACCATATCGACATATCAGCGTACAAAGTAAGATTCAGCTCAACCAACTTTTAGTAGAACATGCTTCCTAAAAAATAATATTAAAGAGATCGAATTCTAGAGGTTGACTCGTTTTCTTAATTAATATTCAAAAGGAAAGACCATAACATGAATGAATAGCCATATATAAAAATTAGGTCACACGCCAAAAATAAAACAATGAACTGGTACGGTGATCATGACATGGACTTTGGTCAAATATTAATGCAGTTTGGATGGTTCCCAAACATTGTCGCCTTCATCTCAGAGCCTGGCTCGAACCGCAAGGTGGCTTCATCACACTTATAACTCATAAGTCCTGTCGTTTTCTTTCTGCAATCCGTGAGAGAAAACCGCGATCCGAACTGTACTTCTTTCCTCTCTTTGACATCGTTAATAATGTCTTTACCAATCAAACCGCCAATATCTTCGTCGGAAACAATCGCTGAAACCTTAAGAAGCTGAGGATTATCGTATTTGAGATTGTAGTATCTAATCATATAGAAGATTCAGTTAGTTCCAAAATTACGAACAAAATAAAGAATTTAAAACCGTTTAAAGTAATAAAAAATAGTAGGAAATAAATTGCTTACTTTTGTTGGGATGAGGTAGCAAGAGTGACATTCTTGTAAAGCAAGGAAGCTTGAAGGTCTCCTTGAAGACATATATACTGACCAGGAAGATCATCAGGGATCCTTATGGACAAATCCCAATTTGCACTAAGACGAGTCATTGTAATATTTTGCACCGTGAAATCCATAGAAGCTAATTCTATTTTCGGCACCGGGATTTTGCGAGAATTGTCTTTTGTCATCATAAAAACCAAACCACAAATACCAAAGGCTATGAGAAAAGAAAAGAAGACTCTCGCTCCTATATTTTGTTCTTCGTCTGCCATTCTGAGTGATTGATTTAAGAGAGACGAGGAGATTTTTTTGAGTTCAAAAAGAAGATGAGAGAGTTTAATAAAAATATAGATTTACTGTACAACAAAAGATAATTTTTTAAGAAAATGAACTTTAACCTATACTTGATTATATAATATGTAGGGGTGTCAAAATGAGCTCGCTACTCATGAGCTCGCTCAGCTCAGCTCGATTTTTCATGAGCACGAGCTCTGTTTTTTAGGCTCATTTAATAAATGAGTTATGTGATCGAGCTTTTTTTAGATCGCGAGTTATATGAGCGAGCTTTAATGAACATGAGCTAGCTCATGAGCTGGGTTTTTTTAGAAATATATATATATTGTACATATATACAAAATGTCAACAGAAGCATATATATATTTTCAATTTAAATTAAACAAAAATAGAATTATTCTATTATAAAATTTGTGTTTTGAGGTTATTTTTTTCTTGGATTTATTTTCATTATTTTACTTTAGAATTAATTATGTTATTAGAATTATTTTATTTATTTTTTAAAAAAAATTACATTATTTTTGTTATTATATTTATTTGTTATGAGCTCGCGAGCTAGCTCATTTAACTCGCGACCAAGATGATCTGAGTTCGAGTTTATATATTAAAGCTCATCTAATAGATGAGCTGAGCTGAGCTAGCTCATGAAATATCCGAGCTCATCATGAGCTGAGCCGAGTTGAGCGAGCTAGCTCATTTTGACACCCCTAATAATATGTCATTAAAATATAGTTAAAGACAGATTTGTTTTTAATTAATTAAGGATTTTTCTCATTTTATTTCCATTTTTTTTCCTCTCTTTTTCTTTTTGGAAACTAGATTTTCTATTTAATTTATCCTCCATCCTTTATTATGTAAAGTTTGGTGATATCTGATGATTCAATTGACACTAGTCGCATTCGACTTCTCTCTTGTTAGCATCGCATCTGATTGAGAGCTTTGGTTCCACGGCTGAGCCACCTCAACACCTACCAGGCTAAATGGCAATCTTTTGTTTGTTTGGTTTGGTTCAAGTTATCTTCTTGTACCGTTTCAAGCTTGTTGTCGTTTATTTCAGAATTTGTAATTCGCCGCTTTTTCTTTAAATTAATGCATCAACCTTTAACCAAAAAAAAAAAAGTTTGGTACATTCTCACTAAGTTCATTGTATGGAACTTGTGTTAAGCATAATTGTGTAAGTAAATTGATATATAAGTTGTGTAGTATCCATATTATTCATTTTAAATAGTATAAAACAACTTGAAACATAGAGTAGTAGTTTTACCAGTTCAGCAACAAACTAAGGATAATGCCCATTGAGTCAAGATGGAAGCAGATAAAGTGGCTTGAACCACAACTTTCATGGCTTCATTTGTATACATAATGCATCATTCTTCATCCATAATGAGGAAGAAACTGATGAAATTCCTCAAGCAAGTCCTGATGGCCTTGAAAAAGGATAGCCACCTACAAAATAATTCATTTCATTAAACTCAATACAAGAAAAATGGAAAAAGAAAAGGTAGTGAAACATATATATACCTCCTGGTAGAGCTCAGCAAAGCTCTTGTTTTCCTTTTTATACGTTTTTAAAACGTCTAAAAATGACTTGAATACATCATTGTTCTGAAATCTTGTCTACAGAAAAATTGATATTTAAGAGTGTACAGAAAATATTTCTAGTAGGGCTGCAAAATAAAGAGCAATAGAGAAAATCTAAATGATGTAAACTGAAATGTTTACACCGGAACTAAACCTTCAAAGATAAATCTAATATCATAAAAACTTAAAATTCTAACACTAAAATATAAACAAGTCGATTCATTTCTCTAAATTTCAATGATTAAACCTGTTTTTTTTTTTTTTAGATTTTAGATCTTTTTGGATCAAAATAATCATAATCAAACTCTAATTCCTCTTTACTATTCTGATTTTGCGCAACTACCTTGACCTTGTTGACAAATTCATATGCATCGTCAAAGTGAGCAGACTTAAAATTTGATGGACGTTGGTCATCTTCGAGTGTTATCTCGAAACCCATTGGCAAGAATGTGTTGAAACCTAAGAGAAGCTCTGGTTGCCCTTTGAAGAGTTCTTTCACTCTAGATATGACATCACATGTATGAGCTCTACAATTAATAAAAAAAAAAGAAATCAAATTCAGTTTACCAATATATATATATATATATATATATATATATATATATAAGAGCTGAAACTAATGAAAGAGCAAAACCAATCATTATGAGGGAGGAAGAAGAAAAATATACCTTTGAGCTCTGAAGTCCTTCATGACCGAAAGAAATCTCTCATATTTTTCACGATTATCTTGATATTTATCTTTTACAGCCTTGAGGAAATCAAGTGCATCATTTGTAGTTAGCTTCTTATTTGCAACCATGGTTTTGAAACTGACAACCGGCAAGTGCTAGCTTCATTATATAGAGAAAGAGAAAATAGATCAATGTTCATATCACTCCCAATTAAACAACTTTGAAAATCAATCGCAAGTCTTAAATCTCACGAATTCAAGCAATTAGAATAAGTTCAAAGAAACAAACTCGAAATTATCCTAAATACAAACAATCAGCAGATCTAGCAATTAGAGTCATAGAAAACATTGCAAGGGAATTTACAGCTATCCACTGGAAGATTTGAATCTAACTTACTCCTCAGATTATTTCAATTTTCACACTATATTCTGATCTAAGAATTACACTATAGAAACAAGATAGGATCAAAGTGAAGTGGATCGATCAAAGTTCGCCAAGACACAAGTATAGATGGGCACATTACCTCACACGTAACAGGCTTACAGGCAGATACAAAAGACTTGTTCATTGACACAAAGAAAGTCGTAAGGTTTTAGGTTTATAAATAACTACATGATGCATATTAAGAGACTTAATATTACGTACGTTAAGCACAAATCTTTTTGTTAACATAACGATTCGATTTTCTCACATTTTATGGATTTTTTCCTCTTTTTCATTAATATACCAAAAAAATGAAAAAACTATTCGTTTATCCATTTTACCAAAAAAAAAACCCTACTCTTTTATGAGTTTTATCCACTATTCACAAAATCGATTTGGCCGAACCGAAGTTTGGATATCTCGATTCTTGTTTGGTTATTAGATACAAACCAATCAGAAGATTTAATTAAGAGATATGATTATCGGTTTGGTATGCTAAACGGACTAATTAGCCAGAATTTTTAAAAAAGAAGGAATTGTTTCAGCCGTCACCGTCTATTTCGTTTCAATCTACTTTGTTTCGGCCATTTCCGTCTTTGTTTCAAATACCATTCGACTTCGTCTCAGCGTCGTCGTCTTTGTTTCACCCATCGTTAGGTGACGCCTAGACGACCTCTTCGGTCACTTGAAATTATATACATTTTGGTTTGATGTGTTTCTCTAATTTCCAACTACATAATTTAAATTATAAGTTTTAGCTCCATGTATATTGTTTGTTATGAATTAAATAAATGTTTTTGTCTAATTTTTTTTTACGATTTAATATTTTTTATTTTTCTAATAGGTAATTTTATATGATTTTAATTTATAATATCATATTTATTATGTGTTATGTTGTCCACGTCTAAACCACCTAATATCGTCTAGGCTTCGATTAGGCTTTCTAGACGCTAAGCGTTGGGTCACCGCCCGGTTAGCGCCTACCGCTTTCTTGAACATTAAATTTTAATCTAAAGAGTAATAATTTAGGGAACCCACGATGGATTGATGTCGATAGATAAAATTTGAAGATTAACAATTCTTTTTCTTTTACTTTTTTAAGCTGAAAAATAAACTTAAAAAAGGCTGTTCGGAATTTTTGATGAATCCAATGCATTGATAGAAGAATGAAAATGTAACGTTGGATGTCAATGTGCTAAAAATTTTTTTTTTTTTTAATTAAGAATACTTTATAAGATTATTAATTAAAAGATCAGTCCATATATCAAAACACAAAAGAAGAAGATCCAACATTTGCAAACTAAACAACAAATATTTGATTAAAAGTAATTAACGAACATAGTGACAAATGGGTGCGTCGTTTCCAAACGCAGTTGCCTTCCTTTGAGAGCCAGGCTCGAACCGCAACACGGTTTCATCACATGTATAGTTCATCGTCCTCCCAGATCTGCAATCCGGAAGAAGAAACCGCGATCCGAACCGCATGTCTCTTCCTTCCTTAATATCCTCCATAATGTCTTTCAAAACCACACTATCCATATCTCCCTCGGAAGCAATTGATGAAACATTAAGCAACTGAGCCCAATCTAGTATCAGATTGTAACTGATCGAACATGAAAAAAGAACAAAAATATTTGAGCAAAGAAGTTAAATCGTTTAAGAAAAAAAAAAAGAGTATAGAAATTAAAAAGTGTAACCTCTCTAAGGATGAATTAGCGATGGTAACACCTTTGTAAAATATGAATGTCTGAAAATATCCTTTAAGACACATAAAGTAACCAGGAAGGTCTGGAGGGAGCCTGATCACTAAATCCCATTTAACACTTAGACGAGTCTCGGTTAAATTAAGCACCGTGAAATCCATAGATGGTAATATAATATCCGGGACATAGTTTTGTATACGCTGCTGGTCTTCACGGGATTTTTTTTCTGTTGCATAGAAGACATAAACGATGGTTCCAAAAACTATGATCAGCATAAAGAAACAGAAGAGAGACGTCTTCACTTTCTGTTTTTGTTTTGGTGTAAGTCTATTCCATAAAGAGGGCGATTTGGGAGCTAATTCTTCGTTCCCATGATTCATTGTAACTCAGAGGAGGAAGAGAGAGAGACGTGTATATGTTATATATATAAGTTATAACACACCAGATTTATTTCTCCTTTTTGTTAAGGTTAATATAGACATGATTTGATTTTGGTATATAATTTGTAAAAAATTACTTCTCTTAAAAAATTACCTTTCGTCTTGGAATACACCATATTTGGTACACATTGTAAATAACTTTTCTTCTCTAAGAAGTTTTTAATTAAAAAAAATTGTAATCTTACCTTTATATTATTAATTCAAAATACATAAAACAGAATCAAATATCGTATGATTATAATGAAAATATACATTAGAAAAATGTATATTCCATTGAAGCCAAAAAAAAAAACACAAAATTTGTAATCTCCTAATATATCAATGTTATTACTTATTCCAAATGGACCAGATCCTAGATTTGCAATTAACGTGGGAAACTGAATTTTAATTGAATTTATTTTTACTAGGATTTTTTCCAAAAAAAAAGGTCCTCTTATAATATTTTATTTATATATGCATTTTAATATTTTCTCGATTTTAATTCTTATGGAAATCTTCTCCATATATGGTGTGGAGAAAGATGAAACTTAACATATTGTTCTTCTAATGTAAATCTCAAAATTACCACATTATATGTTTATTAATCCAAAATTATCAACTATAATCCAAAAAATATATTACAAAATTTCGATTTAGAGTGAAAATGTAAAACTGGATGTCTGAAATAAAAATAAAACTTGGATGTCCGATGAGCTATAAAAAATTTCCGGGTCGAAAATAAAGTATTCTAATTTATATAACAAAATAAAAACTAACTATCGTAGTTGCAGATGAATTATATGTAGAATTAATTAAGCTGTTAGTCTGATATATCAAAACGCAAAAGAAGAAGATCTAACATTTGCAAACTAAAAAAAAAAAGGAGAAGCAATATTGATGAAAATTTACTTAAGGGTGATTATAGTGGCATATAGGAGAGGCTTTTTCAAACTCAGTTGCCTTCCTTTGAGAGCCAGGCTCAAACCGTAACGCGGTTTCATCACACGTATAGTTCATCTTCCTTCCAGATCTGCAATCCGGAAGAAGCAACATCGATCCGAACCGCATGTCTCTTCTTTCCTTAATATCCTCCATAATGTCTTTCATAACCATATCTCCCTCGGAAGCAACCAATGAGGTATTAAGGAGCTGAGCCCAATTTGGTATCAGATTGTAACTGATAGAACATGAAAAAAAGTTAAAAACAAAAATATATGAACAAAAGAAGTCAAAATCGTTTAAGAAAAACCAAAAAAAGAGTATAGAAAAAAAAAAAAAAAAGATGTAACCTTAGAGATGAATTAGCGATGGTAACACCTTTGTAAAGTATGAAAGTCTGAAAATCTCCTTTGAGACACATATAGTAACCAGGAAGTTCTGACGGGAGCCTGATCACTACATCCCATTTAACACTAAGACGAGTCTCGGTTAAATTAAGCACAGTGAAATCCATAGATGGTATTATAATATCCGGTGCATAATTTGCTATACGTTGTTCTTCACGCCGTTTTTCACGTCGGCTTTGTGCTGCATAAGAGCAGGCCCAAACGATGAATATAGCGATGAATATAGCGAATAAAGATAAGACGAAACACGTGTACACATTATCTTTTTGTCGTGGTGTAAGTCTATCCCATAAAGTGGTGGATTTTGGAGCTATTTCTCCGTTTTCAATATCCATTGAGAGAGAGATTGAGAGAGATAGATTGAGAGAGAAGACCAGATGTACGTAGCTTTTTTTGTTAGGGTTAATAAAGAACAAAGTTGGTATATATATTGTTTTTAGAAGATTTCGATAATTACATATCTAAATTTTTTAAAGATTTCGATAATTACATATCTAAAAATTTTAGATTTTGGTAAATAACTTTTTTCGCTAAGAAGATTTGATTAAAACAAAAAATAATCTTAGCGTTAATATATTTGTAATCTTAATAAAAATACATAAAACATGCGAGAATCAAATATGATCAATAATGAAAATACTGTATTATCACATTATATAAAATTATTTTTTTATGGCAAAACAAATATGATCAAACCCCATAATCGATAATTTATAATATGATCAAACTTGGATGTCCAATTTATTATAAAGGAATTTAATAATTGATAATTTATAATACGTTGGTAGGTTCTTTATGTTGGGCTTTTGATTATTGGGCTATATTAATTGATATGCATAGAAGACTGAAAAATTAAAAATCTATCCATGGTTATCTTTTTATTAGTTCTCTTTCCTCTGACTCAATTAATACCAAAACTACCCTTTCTTTTGTGTAACCGCTAACAAAAATAATAACCAGATAAATAGTTTAGTTCTAACAGTAAAAATAACATTGTTATTATCGTCGAAAATACTATTCGTCATCGGAAGAAATAAAGAAATAATGATTTGTGTGGTTATCTTTTTTATTAACAATGTAAATCAAATTGTATCACGATAACTAAAAAGTAAAAACACTGTTCACCCAAATATCGAAAACTCTATTCATCACGAAATGTAATAAAAAAATAGTGATTTTGGTGATTATTTATGTAGTTAGTAATATAAATTATATTATATCATGATAACTTTACATGTTGTATGGTAAAATTATATTTATCGTGCTAATATATTTATTATATGATTGTTATCAACAAACTTTTATAATAATATGTTTATTTATTTCGATAATTTATTCATTTCTGTTAACTTATGCATTAGCATATTTATTTATCATGATAATTTGTTTATCACGGTTAACTTATATGTTATCATGGACGTTAAAAATCTTCTTCTCTTCTCGAGTATCTTCCTCCGTCATCATGTCTTCCAGATTTTTTTCTTCTTCCATTGTCACTTGCAACTCCATCCCAAGTTCACCTCATCACTATCTCTCTTCTTCTTCTTTCCCCACCTCTTCGTGCTCTCCATTTTTACTTTAAACTACAAAACAATAATTTTCATCCCCAAATTCTTTCCCCACATCTTTGTCCTCTCCATTTTCACTCCGTCTTCTTCGTCCTCTCCATTTTCACTTTATTTGTGTAAACGCTAACAAAAATAATAACCAGATAAGTAATTAGGTGTGTAGAAGAAAAGAGTACATTTTGTGTAAACGCTAACAAAAACAATAACCAGATAAGTAAATAGGTGTGTAGAATAAAAGGGTAAAAATGTCAAAAGATCAATCTCTCTCTTGTCCACTTAATTAAAAGAAAAGCATGCATACCTACTTAATTATTTGATCTTCTGAGCATATCCATTGATATTTCCCTTGATTATTTGAATGTTAATGGTAGGATGTGGCCAACTATGTATATAACGTACAACCCTAGTCTCTTCCAATAATGAGTGCCACAACGTTAATTAGGACTTAATCCAACTTGTTTGGCTAAGAGCAAAAACAACAAATGCTCATATAGTCATATACGTATCAAGATTTTACAATTTGAGATGTTTTTTAGCTGCTTTATTTTATTACCTACCTGTATCTTTACCGTTCTTTACCGCATCTTTTTTCTAAATCGCCAAAACATATTTTTACTACATAATTTCACATTTGATCATCAATTCGTTAATTAGTAAAACTTGAGCAAATTCTTTTAGAATTTTCGTTTTACTAAGAAAGTATTTAGATCAATTAAGAAAACAGTCTCGAATGATATAAATGCCTATTATTAAAATTTTGAAATATACACATTAAGTTGTTTAATTGTTTTACCTACCGCCGCATCTCAAATAAATAGTAACCAGTTGTGTATACCAAAGTATGTTCTAGTCATGAAGATAACGACAACTAGAAGCAACTAATCAACACCTTAATCTTTTCTCGTACTCGATCTCGTATCCCAACATATTTATAATAATCCTTTTCCGTTCACACCATACGTCCATGTATATATATTAATGAATGGTGCCAATAATTAATACTAATTTATTTGGAATTAAAGTCCAAGAAAATATATAGTTTTTGGGACGCCTTTCTCCTTAAGAAATGTAATTTCGAATTATCCGTGTAAATTAAAATAATAAGGTCATGGTTCTAAGAAATGTTCTTGATATCGATGATTATTGATATACACGATTTATGATTCGTTTTTGAGATCTTTAAAAAAAAAAAAAAAAAATTGAGATCCATTATCTCTAATGGACGCTCAGTTACATATGATAGTTTTTATCGATGTTTTGTTGATGTAAGATATCACACAAATACGAATTGAGTCTTTGGAAAAGTAAAAAGAATCTCTATTGTAATAGACAAGCCCAAACTTAGGCGAAATGGTTTGGTTTCAAAGAGTTATCTTGTCCGAATAGCTAATTAAGGTCGAAGCCGAACAGAAGATAAAATAAGACGAGCTAAAAAGCTTAGGCGAACGGAAGTGTACTCTCTCTGAATTAGCGTGAATTGCGGATTATACTTACAATACTTTTCATTTCAGTATTTATCGCGCTTTAGGGTCAGTCCCGTCCCCTGTCAATTTTCGAGAATACCCCCGCTTGACCTAATGACATAGCTTCGTCACTGGGCCATTTCTCGATATAGGCCACAATTCGGATCGGACCTGTTCTCATCCTCGGGCCATTTCGGATTGGGCTTTTCTTGAAGCCCAATTAGATCAAAATAGATCCATCCTCTAACAGTTTTTGTCAACATCATATATATACATATATTATAACAGTGCAAATATAACATTTCATATATATCGAAATTTTGTTGGTTTCGAGAATGACATTCATTTATCCCAGATCTAGTTATTGCTCTAGCTGATGCTATGATATACCTTAAAATGTCTGTGCATTTAGTTCCAGATCTATTTTATGAATAGTGGTCTACACTATCAGCTGGAAAATCTTTCAAAATAATGAACTAGTCGTTGGTCGAAGAACTCGTAAACAAATGTGAGACTCATGGTCATGGTCATGGATGAAGTCGATCAAGCATTATCGGGTAGAAACGTATTCTTTTTACGTCCAAAATATATTATTTTTGCGACCTATATGTTTTCTTTATGTCATATATTCATTTGATTTTAATTCTTTGTCATTAATTGTTATTACTATTAATCATTAACGTCAAAATAGTTGGTGCATGTGTTATCAATTCGATTTAATCTGCGTGAATTGGTGGAAGAAAAACATGTTGGAGGACATCTTTATGAAAAGGAGAAGATTAAGTAAAAGAAACCAAATTTGATTGAAATTTTAAAGGGGTTAAGAAGATGATACGTGGGTCCATGTTGTGTTATCTTCGCCCAGCATCACTTGTCCGCACACCACAAATAATCTCTTCCTTTTTCTATTTTATTATATCCCAATATAGATTGGAAAACTATGCATATAATTTGGTAAACTACAAATATCTTTACCATCCAATATACTAATATAGTATGATGTTTTCGAATCTTTATTTTCTTAGTTGCCACCCAAATTTCAAAATTGTAGTTGTATTGCAGAAAAGAAAAATTACTAATATCTTTTCGGACTAAAAATATTATTTTATATAAAAATAGAAAATTTTCTAGATACCAACGATTTTGAAAATTAATTATGCTTTGATGGACTACAAGATGCATCACTAAAAAAATATAAGTCATTATAATCTTTGTCTCTTCTGAGTATCATCTATGATATCTCTATCAATTCATGCCAGAGACCAAAAACAAAAACAAAATAAATTAAGCCAACAAGAATGAAATTCAAACTCAGTAAAATAGTTTATAACTAAACGAAATGTATTATATTTTGGTATAAATTTTTCACACTAATAAAATTTTGTTTTAAACTAAAACAACATTATAAAGTTTTTATAAAATTATTCTAGATCAAATTATATTGTGATGGCGCATGTTTAACACCTATTATGTAATGACTTTGCAAATCAAAATGTATCATATTATATATTTTCTAGAATTGTTTTCTGATTATCACTTTCTACATGCATGTTAGACAAAGTAGCAAAACTGTGTTCACATAACTTTAGGGAAAAAGTTAATCAAATAATACATTAAAAAATACATGTCTCAATTGAAATTTTAATTGAAACCATACAAAAATATATAGACAATAATTGTGAAATGTTGATATAGGGATTAAATATTATAGTTGGGAACAAGTGAATATTGGGTGAGGGTAATGGCCCATGACAAGAATGAATGAAGTAAGTGACAACTAAATCTTTTTCAACAAAGAAAAGGTAGAGACCGAATATGCCTCCTTCACCGTCCATTCACTCTTTGTTCCCTCCACCACTCTTTTCTCAATCCATTTGTTGTCTTCTTACTTAATTTTAATACACTGATTACAACTTTGGGTCTGACCATAAATTTAAAAATTTTAAGAATCAATCATTCGTATATGGACGATTTGTTGATTTGGATTACACTGCTGGAAATTCTGTCTAGTGATGTATTAGTGGATAGATTTGCTTATATTGTTCGATAGCTTCACAGTCAACGATTATTTTGACTCAAAAAAATCGATATCGAAAAAATGATGTTAACTAAATAAAAAGAAAGATAAATAAAAAGAATATCATTTTTTTTGTCTCTCCATGTTCATCATATCAAAATTGTTAAAGCGTTGAACTCTATATCCGATCTAGAGCACAAGCAAAGAAAGCTTCAAAAGTCGTTAGCTCGTGGGAACTTGGTTTGTATGTTAATATGATTTTCCTAAGATAATATAAACATAAATGTTGCAGTCAAAACATAACTTGTAAGTATTTGTAAAACGTAGTCGAAATGAATTTGCTTATGTATTATATTTATGGCATGGGATTATATGTATGCAACATAGATTACCCTTATGTGTTTTTTTTTTTTGCAACCCATAATTTCTTTTTAATCATATGCTAATGGATTATGTATGCCATTAAAAAATATCAATTACATACTTTATAAACACTAAACAAAATACTAATACAAACTTTCACCTAAGAAAACAGCTTTAAAGTTTAAACCGAGAGAAATTTGTTACTATGTATATGTTTTTGGATTTGTTTTTTTTTTGTTGTTAATTTGGAGAAAAAATATATTATTTTGTGTATGGTGTCTATTGATTGATTTCCACAGAAGTATAGGCATTTTCTGTTATTGGCAACTAAAACAAAGAAAAGACATTTTCCACTAGTTATGTAATGCATCTTCGAAATACCCAACGGACCAAAACTGTTCATCCTTTCCGTTTTTGATATTATGAAAAGAAATATTTTATATGTTTTAATCGCTAAAAACGAATATTATATAAATGTGATTGGATGTCAAAAAAAAATATGAATGGAGGCTTTTCATATGATATATCACTATCAACCAATCACAGTACATCTTTGGTAGAAGGTTACTGATGCACGTACACTACACATACGACGTTCTTTATTTATTTCCTTGCTTATATATAGTTTATGATTATCGATGGTAACCACTGTGAGAACTAAGTAAAGTTAATTGATGCCAGTATAAATTTTAAGTTAAATTACTGAATATCAGAACCAACAAAAAGAATAAAAAATAAATTAGATAGGCTGCCTTTTAAGAAAATTGTAATTGAATTAACCATATGTTCTTATGAAATATGTCCCAAGTAACAGAAAAAAAAAAAAGGTTTGGCGTAATGCTCCTATACCATGGGTTAGTGCTCTCAAGCAGGTCATGTGTACACCAACCATAGCAATTTTGGGTGTTTGCTTTAACCCAAAAAGTAAACGCATCGAATCTTTTTTATGATTTCGATTAATAATGATAAAATTTGGGACAAGTTCAATTCAAGTGAGGAAAACGTGTCTGTGCCTTCTTGGTAAAACTAGCATTGAAATTTGACACGCAGTTGCTTACACAATCAGTAATTCCATTAAAGTATCCAATTAATTTGCATTTGAATATTTAACTATACTCGTCTCTATCAATAATTGTCAGTTTGTCGCTTAAAAAAAACAGTAAATAAGAAACATCTAATGAAAATTGAATGGTCATAGCTTTATATTATAGAAGGAACCAAAGATTCTTCAATCTATCATCCACTCAGAGCTACGTGGACGGTCGATATATTGGATTATAAAAACAAAAAAATAAAGACAAAATTGTACTATATATATGCCAATTGAAAACAGTATTAAAAATAAATCAATAACAAGATAATTTCTTCTCCCAACGGATAAAATAAAATTTTAGTTATTTTGAATGATTTTACAGGTTTTATTAAATTATTATGGGACAGGTGATTTATTTTCGGTAACATGTTATTTTCTGTATATACATATAATTTGGAGAATAAAACTTGTATACGAGTTTACTCATAATAATATAAGTGTTACAGAATGTAAAATGCAATTTTTTTTGATACCATATTATTTTAATATGTAGATATCCAGATAATCAGAGCGATTTAGATTATATTTTATTTTAGAGTTTTATATCGTTACTTATTTCGATAAAAAATATAAAATACCAAATTTCTATTTTAAAAATGCATTACAAAATAATTTTTTCAAAATTTTAGTAGTTTGCTATATACCCTAAGCAAATTTAATAATTTGTCAGTTACCAAAATCCTTTTATAATAGAGTGGTGGAAAATAACAAGTACATCGAACGGTCCAGCTTTCCTCTTTTTTGCTTATTGTTTTGATGCAAAGTTGTTTGTTTATCTTGAAAATTACAAAGCTCAGTAATCTTCTCTGAAACTTCATACACTCGCCGACAAAATAAAAACTTCATCCACTCGGATTTCTCGTAACTTGCACTATTTCATTAAACTATTCACAAAAGTCCACGAACCTTGCAATTGGTCACAAAATTTAAAATACTTATATACGTAACGACAACGTATCCATAATTTTCTTTAACGATCAAAAACTGGCCACGCTTAACACTTCGACTCGATGGTGAAATTAACTAGGGAAATGGAGAATGGCAAAGATATTAACAAGTTATTATAATTTTTTTATCTTACGAATTTAGGAAAATAGTACTAAATGAAACCCATATTGCATTGATTTTGGCATGTTTCACTTACAACAAATAAATTCGATTTATTTTTTGTTATGAATAAGATATAGAGAGTCATATTAGGTTGAAGAGAACATTTTCTTATTAATATGTGTGAACAATGATAAAAAAATAATAGTTTTGGTGAAATAGATGGAATAAAAAATATCGTAAGACTTTTTGGAAAATCAACGGTAAATGATAAGAAAACTCTAAAAATTACCACCAAAAGCACAAAAAAAATATGAAAGCCAAAAACAAGTGCTTAGAAGTGGTAAATACAAAGAATAACCGTCGATTATTTTCTTCTAACCGCTATTCTCAATTGCTTCATTCCATCCACCCGTTACATTCTTCTTATCGTTTTATCTGAATGTTTGCTTAATTAATAATTTTCAAGGCGGTTGAACTCCAAGTCTAACCACCGCGATTTGAGGTTACCAATTGAAAAAAAATTGAACAAACAAGGTCAATGAAAAGGGAGATTTTTTTTCTTTGGGCCAATGAAAAAAATAAATTAAGGTGGACAAAAGAAAATAATATAATTGGACAAAACAGAGTCATTTGATTAAAACAGAGAATTATAAGGTCAAATGTTTTTGTGGTGAGCTCTCAAAACCAGACATAAAAGAATCATTCCCATTTATAAACAAACCTAAACCTCTCTTTTCTTCTTCTCTTTACCTTTTTCATTCCAAAATATCTCTCTCTCTATCTCCAATCAAGTGTTGCTCTCTTTGCGAGCAGCTTCCATGTCGCGTAGTTGCTCACAGTGTGGAAACAACGGCCACAACTCTCGCACATGTCCAACAGAGATAACCACCACCGGCGACAACAACGACGGCGGAGCAGGAGAGAAAGCCATCATGCTTTTTGGCGTCCGCGTCACGGAAGCTTCATCATCTTGTTTTAGAAAAAGTGTTAGTATGAACAATCTCTCTCAATTCGATCAAACTCCTGATCTCAACCCCGCCGATGACGGTGGTTACGCTTCAGACGACGTCGTTCACGCCTCCGGTAGAAACCGCGAACGCAAACGAGGTTATAGAAGTTTTTTTGGAAAAGAAAATATTATCTCTGTTTTTTTTTCTTATTTTTTAGATTTTTATTTTTGGATTTAGGAACTCCATGGACAGAGGAAGAACATAGATTGTTTCTTACTGGATTGCATAAAGTTGGAAAAGGTGATTGGAGAGGCATTTCAAGAAACTTTGTTAAAACTCGAACACCGACTCAGGTAGCGAGTCATGCTCAGAAATATTTTCTCCGGCGGACTAATCAGAATCGTCGTCGTCGTAGATCAAGCCTCTTTGACATCACTCCCGATTCGGTAAAATAACGATTCATTCTCAAAATCTTGAATTAAAATCAAGAATCTGTGAGAGCAACTAACATACGGTTTAATTGTCAACAGTTTACAGGTTCTCCAAAAGAAGAGAATCTTTTGCATACTCCATTAGATGGATCAAAACTAATCCGTCCAGTTCCGGTTCCGATTCCGATTCCTCCGTCGCGGAAAATGGCAGATTTGAATCTTAATCAGAAAACTCAGCCGACAACGGAGATGTTTCCGTTGTCGTCATCATCCAATGAACAGAAGGCACGTGGCTCACGTGCCTCGGGGTTCGAGGCGATGTCGAGTAATGGAGATAGTATAATGGGAGTGGCTTGATGAAGAAGATAATGTTTTAATTAATTTATATTGTATAAGATAAGATCTGAATGATGGTTAATGTGAAATTTGAGAATTAGGCTAATTAGATACTTTGATGATCAGACTCAAGTGAGTTATTAAAGTTTGAATTAGTGTGTACATGTTTTTTGCCCTTTTTTGGGGAAGGGAGAAGGAAACTACTTGTCGTTTTTGTTGTTTGTATGATTATATGGATGATGTTGTAAAACAACAGGTAGTCTCTGTGTTGTTTTGGTCAAGACTTCATCAGATTCAGAAGTGAAGACTACTTCAAGCTTAAAATAGTTATATGGAATTTAATTTAATTGTGTCAGTCTCTTGAAAAGTTTAAATAGAATGGTTATTGGGTTAAGGTTAAGTGTATCTGATTTTATTGTAAGACTTTTGTCCAGTTCTTTGCCGTTTCTTTCGGGGTGTGTTGTTGATATAATGTCACATTCATGAACCAAACACAGTTATATAACTATAGTAACAGTACGTTTTTTGTTTTATGTTTGACGTCATTTGATTTTATTGATGTGTCTTTTTTTGTTAAATTATTTATGTTGTACTCACATCAGAAGTGTAGATAAATCTAAATTAGTATATAAGGTACGTGAACATTTCCATTAAACTACCAGTTGACTTTAACGTGAAGACTTATGATTACTGAAAATATTTAATCTCGTTTACACAAACTAAAATATGCACTTTAATTAAACACAAACCTGACCACAACCATTTGCAGTTTTATACCCTTCAACTTCAAATGAAAAAAAAACTTCAAATGAAGCCGAAAATTTCGTCAAACTTATGTTATGATACTATGAGTAGTGGTAGGTTTTCGATAATATGGTTTACAAAACAAAACTAAAGTCTTGTAGAATGGTCCATGTCTATCGCATGATCTTTATTCTTTAGTCTAGAATTCTTTCTTCATGATAATTTTTTCAAAACAAAAGTTTGTGTAATTTTTTCAAAACAAAAGTTTTTCAAAACAAGAGCCCAATGCGATAACAGTTCTATTCTATCGATGAATGCCCATTACATACATTTAGTAAAGTAATAATGGGCCTAGATAAGGTGTAACCCATGAACTCAATCGGTGAGTTACGAAGGCTTATTGTAATTTAGTGTATTCCCCTTAAAGACCAAAAATGCCACTGAATTTCTCCACACAAAAAAAAGAAACACAAAACAAAATTCAACTATAGTCAGATATACTCGGATTACTACTTCCAAATTCCAATATCCAAAACATTTCAAGGTTAGATAGAACATGTTTTAACAAAGAACATTCCAAAAATGCAATCATATCAAAAGGTTAGACAAAAACATTTTCAACAATTATGAATGTCCTACACCAACAGTTCAAACACGTTTTATATTTGTTTGGTCAAATTAAAAAGAATTGTTGGTACAATTCTTAGCCAATTACTAAAGTTTCTAAATAATCTATACTTTCACAAAACAAGAAATAAAAATTGATTCTTGCGCAGAAAGTGCTTTGGTACCTACCTACTTTTACTAAAATCTTCCAACTCTAAAACTGCTCTCAAACGACACCGTTTAGTTACATATAACTTTACTTGTTTTTAAAGTCACCAAAAGTTTGAATTTTTATTTGTGCCACCCACAAAGCTTTTCTCAAAGCTTAAAACAGTCAATGGCCGTCCTTCCGCCATAAAAGGAAGAAAAAAAAAAGCTTCGCTCTTTTCACAAAACCCTAAAGAAACAAAACAAACCCATCATGAAAACGATCTCAATCTTCTTCTTCATCATCTTAATCTCATCTTCTTACGCCGAAGACGACGTACTCTGTCTCAAAGGCTTAAAATCTTCACTCAAAGATCCTTCAAATCAACTCAACACTTGGTCTTTCCCTAACTCATCATCATCATCTTCGATTTGCAAACTCACCGGAGTTTCTTGCTGGAACGCTCAAGAGAATCGGATTCTCTCTCTTCAGCTTCCATCAATGCAACTCTCTGGTCAAATTCCTGAATCTCTTAAGTTATGTCGGAGTTTACAATCTTTAGATCTTTCCGGTAACGATTTCTCCGGTTTGATTCCTTCACAAATCTGTTCTTGGCTTCCTTATCTTGTTAGTTTAGATCTCTCCGGTAACAAACTCTCCGGTTCGATACCGTCGCAGATCGTTGACTGTAAATTCTTAAACAGTTTAGCTCTAAACAAAAACAAGTTAACCGGTTCGATTCCTTCTGAATTAACCGGTTTAAACCGTCTCCGGCGACTTTCTCTAGCTGATAACGATCTCTCTGGTTCGATTCCTTCTGAGCTATCTCATTTTGGAGAAGACGGTTTTCGCGGTAATGGCGGACTTTGCGGTAAGCCATTACAGAATTGCGGTTCGTTGAACGGTAGAAACTTAACGATCATTGTAATTGCTGGAGTTATTGGGGCTGTTGGGTCGTTGGGTGTTGGATTTGGGATGTTTTGGTGGTTTTTTATCAGAGACCGGAGGAAGAAGAGTGGTTACGGTTACGGTTATGGCGCCGGAAAATCTAGGGATGATAGTGATTGGATTGGTTTGTTGAGATCACATAAGCTTGTTCAGGTTACTCTGTTTCAGAAACCAATTGTGAAGATTAAGTTGGCTGATCTAATTGTAGCTACGAACAATTTCGATTCCGAGAATATCGTTGTTTCGTCGAGAACTGGGGTTTCTTACAAAGCTGATTTACCTGATGGGTCTACATTAGAGGTTAAGAGGCTTAGTAGTGGTTGTGAGCTTAGTGAGAAACAGTTCAGGTCTGAGATTAACAAGTTAGGTCAGATCAGGCATCCGAATTTGGTTCCGCTTCTCGGGTTTTGCGCTGTGGAAGACGAGATATTGTTGGTGTACAAGCATATGGCTAATGGGACATTGTATTCTCAGCTGCAGCATTGGGATATTGATTGGCCAACTCGGGTTAGAATCGCTGTTGGAGCGGCTAGAGGGCTAGCTTGGTTGCACTATGGATGTCAACCGTTGTATATGCATCAATACATTAGCTCAAATGTGATTCTTCTTGACGAAGATTTCGATGCTCGTGTTATTGATTACGGTTTGGGGAAGCTAGTGAGTTCTCGGGATTCTAAAGATAGCTCGTTTAGTAACGGCGAGTTAGGGGAGTTTGGTTACGTTGCGCCTGAGTATTCGAGCACTATGGTTTCGTCTTTGAGTGGAGATGTGTATGGGTTCGGGATTGTGCTTCTTGAAATTGTTACGGGACAAAAGCCTGTTTCGATTAACAACGGTGAAGAAGGGTTTAAGGAGAGTTTAGTGGAGTGGGTGAGTAATCATTTGAGTAATGGTAGAAGCAAAGATGCAATTGATAGAAGCATTTGTGGTAAAGGATATGATGATGAGATCATGCAAGTTTTGAGAACTGCGTGTAGCTGCGTTGTATCGAGGCCTAAAGAAAGACCGTTGATGATCCAAGTTTATGAATCTTTGAAGAATTTGGGAGATCAACATGGTTTCTTCTCTGAGTATAGCGATGAGTTTCCACTCATCTTTAACAAACAAGAACACTTAAAATGAATGAGAAGGTTTTCTTACTTTCTTACTCCAATTCGTTACCACTTATTTATCTACCGTTCTCACTTTTAACCGCGCTTTTTTGTTTTTCTGTTTCTTTTTTCGTGTGCTGTATAATTCTGTACATCATGTGATGCATTGTGGTACTCTAAGAGTGTTGTAACATTAACATAACATCTGATGAAAATGACAAGAATTGTTTTGTATAGATCAAACTTTGAAGATTGTGATCCAAAAAGTTTATCAAGTGATTCTTTGAGCTTGCTAGTTGTAGATTATTGGTGTTGAACGATTTGAAATTCGATTTCAAGCTCATTCTGGAAAGCATTATCCGACGCCGCTTCTGTTTTTCCTGATGATCATATGGATAATTACAGTATATACAGTACTCTATAAATTAATAGACACAATTAAATAATAATTTTCTCCAGTTCAAAATTTGTCTAGTATAAAATTGGCAAAATTCGATAAGATAATAAAATAATATTTTTTTGGAACCTCTATATAAATATATGGTTTCATTAATATCATAAATTAATAATTATATAAATTTACACACACATATATATATATGTATTTATATATAAGTTGATATAATAATGTATGTTTTTAATTAGTGTTTTTAAGAAAATTAAATTTTTGTTAGAATTCATCTCTAACTTTTAGTATATAAAAAAATTGTTATGTTGTGTTGTCAAATTATAGTGTTGTAGTATTTTTTATAACTATGTCATAAAAAGAGCCAAATTTTTCAGCAGGTTTTCAATTTTTTAATATGTATTATTTTCATTTTGATAGTCATATAGGTGTTAAAGTACGACATCGCGATGCGTTATTAATATAGAAGAATCTATCGTTTGTATAAGTGAATTCATCTAAAATTTTTGTAATTTATTTTTGAAAGACCTTTTTTCTTCTAACTATTAAAATTTCAAATCCAAAACTACAGAAGTATATAACATCCAAAACACTAATTTTATTTAGATAAAAATTGTCTCAATTTCTTTTATAAAATTCATAAATATTAAATACTTTTATAAATTAATAAATATTAATTAATTTTATAAATTAATAAATATTAATCTATAGATAAATTAATAAAATAGCATAGTCCCAACATTAATAATCTATATAGGTTTTACTTTTCTGATAGGATCATAGGAGAAATGAGTGTTTTTGCTGGGAATTTAGATTTATGTTTGCCATCTTAATAATTCTTACAGGAAACTTTCCAATTTAAAAAATATGAACTATATGGAAATCAAAAGGTAAAATATTAGTAGAAAATTTGGAAAAATGATACAAAGTAGAAAAACTGGAAACTGTATATATGTATATCAAAATTTTGGCATGCATGAAGCTACATTATTACATGTTTATAAACACAATATTTTATTTTCCAATCCTCCATAAAGTAAATTTTCCGTAAATCTCAATAATTAACATTTATTTCTATGTATCTAGTTATATATGCACACTTCTTTACACACAGGACAAGAAGCTAAGTTTGGATCTTTAAATATTATAAAAACAAAACAATGTCGAAGATTTTGGTCCTCATAGGAGCTGGTCTCCTTTTAATCCTTTCAATTGCTATTATGGGCTACTTATTTATGAAGCACGGTCAAGAAGAGAAGCCAGATGTTTAATTTAAAGGTCATGTAGTTCTTATAAAAAAAAAAGGTTATGTAGTTTTTTTCTTTCTTTCTTATTAGAGTGTTGCGATGAAACTATATAAACCTTTTTGATATTCTAATTGTGTTTGCTCCATATTATTATGAGGTCATCTCTCTTAAACCAGTTTTAGTATGTTTTAATTTTTTTTTCATTTAATTTATTCAAGAGAGTTTATGCTCAGCATGATGTGGATGATTACATTTACATGACTATTCTGATTACATTTTTTTTTTTGTGGGCAAAGACAATTCTGATTACATTACTAAAGTTTCTTCTTGTTATATTATTCACACAAAGAAAGGAGATTCAAAACTCTGATTAAAAGTTGAACGTGTTCAAAGAAACAATTAAAAGTAAATTCTTGATATGGAAGCAAGATTTCATAAAAATAAAAATATTTCAGGTTTACAATCGATGATTATACATTGTGGTCCAATAGAAGGAAAAAAAACATGGAAGCATAAACCACTAGAATTCGGTCTATCCACTCAACAATATGAAGATTTCTTAGATTATAAATCTATTCCAAAATATGAAAATTTCACCCGATCGAAATTTCGGTATAGATATCGAATACTTAACCACGTCACAATCGTAGTTTTTACAATATGATTTTGAGTTATTTAGAATTAGTGAAAAACTGATCACATCATAATAGTTAGTGAATCACAATGTTATGAAATCGCTTTAATTGGTAGATCGATTAGGTTCCATCACACCGTAACTAAATCGGCCACATTGCTTATGTGGGTTTCCTTAGTATCAATTGAAACTATTGGGTTCAATTTATAATTCTATTAAGTGAAAGGTTTAACTGATAAATAGTAAGTAATATCAGGGTGTTTCTGTAAATAATCATATTCTCTTCTTCGAGTTAATTTTTGTTTCTACGAAGACGGCGAAACACGAAGAAGAAGAAGAAGAAACAGCAAAAATGGCTTCTCAGAGTTCTTCACTATTTCTGGTCATCTTCTTCATCTTCATCTACGCTTCTTCAATTTCATCCTCTCTTCTCGCCACAGCACATGAACAGTTTCGTACTTACAATTTCCTTCAAGTTATTTTGAATCTGACGATGATCGATCTCGCTTATTGATCTGACTCGTTTTTGATTTCTCGATCTCTACAGTGACGGAGATGAAGAGATCAGAAGCGTTGGACGGAGATTTCTTCTAGGTTTCAAAGAAACTCCAAAAGGAAGTAATATCACCTTCGCATGTTCTCCTTCAGGTCCTTGTGTTTCTTGCAATTCCTCCGAAAAGGTTTTTCAAATCTCCTCTCTAATTGGTGTTTAATTCAATCGATTTTGCTTAATTTGCTCTGTTTTGTTATCGGATCTATATGATTTAGATGGATTTTGGTGATTTAGGGTTTCAGAACTAGCTTAATCAGTGATTTTGGTGATTGATTTGGATTAGGAATTAGGAATCTGAAGAACATTTTATATGATCTCTTCTCTTGCGAAGTCTCACTGTTTTCGTTGGTGTGGTTTCTTTTGTAGAGAAAAGAGAAGTATCGTTGTAGTGAAACTGGGTATCGTATTCCATTCAAATGTAAAGAGATGAGAGAAGAAGTGGATTCACATAAGAAAAATGGAGAAGAAGAAACAAAAAATGATCAATCGAACAATGACGAAGAAGCGAAACCGAGGAATCTGCTGGATGATTCACCAGCGACGAAAGTGAAGTCTCAGTCTTACAAAACTTATCGAAGCTGTGTGCCATCTGCGGATGAGGAGAAGTTATCAGTTCTTGGTTTTGAGGTACAGAGAAACACTTACATTTCAACAAGTCGTTTTTTGTAGAATTTGTGCTAACGTAGATCATTTGAATAAATGGACAGTCGATTATGCTAGGACTGTTCTTGATAAGCGGAGCCGCTATATACATCAGAAAGAGACAGACAGTACCGATGCTTGGGGTATCAAGTGGAAGATCACAAAGCAATTCTCGGTTTTAAAAGAAACCTTTCTCGGTATGTAAAGCTTTCATCTACTCACCCAGAAACAGATTTAACATTTGTCATTGTCTGTTGAAAAGACGAGAATATGCTTGAGTGTATAGAATAGCTTTAGGGTATATGACAAACATGTTTGGCTTTGATAATATAACTTTGCTTACCGTGTCTGAACTTTAGAGAAAACATCGATTACAATGAAAAGATGTCCTCACTTCTCTTTAGACGTTTGCCGTATAGTATGATTGCTTGGTCTTGAACCTCGGTGATGAGCTTGTTGGTAGGAAGAGGTTAGTGTAACTGTGCAATAGACTAGTTAAAGTAACTAACATATCATCCTTGAGGCCAAACAGGATTTGCACAAAGTATTAGCATTAAGAAAGAAACCAGGGTTGCAAACATTGATGACATGATTTTACAAAATTTGCATATGTGACTCGCCATATTTGTTCAAACACTAATACTAATCCTAAGGAAAATTTTGAAATCTCCAATTTAATGTTTGTTTTTGTCAGACTAGTGTTAAAACCACGCCGACAGAAACAATTAGATTGATGTTAAAACCCTTTACAGTTACACGTCAAATGATAGTCCTGAATAATATGGTTGATGAGCGTGGTCAAGTGATGGCGCCTACAAAAATCTCCAGATCTTGGAGTGAAAGGATAACACTGGTTTGGTACGTCAATGTGATCTTGTGCATTTGTTCAGTACATAAAACTTACCAACTAGCCCTGGGCATTCGGTTTGATAAGTTTGACTTTGTGGGTTGTTGACTTGTCCACGATCATTAGAGCTAAAAGTTGTATATGGTTCGGGTCCTCATGACATCCTCATTCAGCCGCCCCCACGAACTATTTCATGGTTTTTCTTAAGATTTGTTCATGGCTTCTCATCATTAGCTGATTAGGTACAAAGAGTAAACTCGGTTCATGGCCCCCAATCTATCCGCATGACCGGAACTTGGGGTCGTAGAACCAAAATACCTAAATACATTGATTGCACCGAGGAAAAGTTACACTTATCAATGTGCCTAAGAAATGTGGACTCACGGTCAACGACAAACGAAGTTTAACAAAGTCATATCAGTACTAAACTTAGACGATACTATGAAGGGTAGTGTCGCACCGTCAAAATTGATTTGTTGTGAGCCTGTGACTGTGAGTGGGAATATAATAATATATAAACAAATCCAAAAGTGATGTTGCATGTAAAAAGGGTTTTAAAAACTTGATATGGTTTGATGAAAACTTATCTTCAGTATATTTAGTTTATCGTGAAATTTAAAATTGTGAGCGACGATAAAAATATATATATACCGAATACTAGTCAACAATGCTTCTAAATTCTCCGAACGAATTTTTTCGTTGGACAATGTTGAAGTCCGCATAGCAAGTAGAGACTGTAGAGAACCGAAGGATATAGAATCCTCTAGATGGAAGTGGTCACCACGTTAGCAATGGAGCTTGTTTACAAATTACCTTTTTAGTATTTTAATATGGTTTATGAAAAACTGAATATGTAAGTGCCATTTTTTGGGTTACTTCGACTAGAAGCTTGTGAGTAACACAAAGGCATAAGATTCTCAGGACAAATATACATGAACTCTTTTAGGAAAGGTAATTTGTTTTGAAGTGGGATTCATGTATAATCGTAGCAAATTTGATCGATGAGATGAATTATGTACCATATGCTTCATTGGCCCTATATTTATATAAACTATGGGATAAATTATGGCTGCTATGTGACAGTGCTATAAAATATATTCGCAAGGAACAATTTTTAATCATGGGTCTAGTCAATCTTGTCACTCTCATCTTTATTTCAGAAAACTTTAAAATATGCAAATCTTAAGATACATAAAGAATGGTTAAGGTGATTAACGCATAATATGTTTTGTTAGTGTAAAAATATTGCTAATATCTCGACAGATCAACATATATTATTCGATGTTTTGCATAGGGGAACTCTTATATTGATATATTATATTATAAATGGTACTAGACTACTAGATACATAAAAAAAAATACGGTGAGGAATATAATAAGCTTGATCGGAACTATGTAGATACTATATATTATGTATTGTGCAAAATTCGACATATGTACACATGCGTATACAATTAATTATTATAGAAACTGAATTTTGTGAAATGAATAATATACCTGACAATAACTGTTACATGTTTATAAAATATGGTTATAAATTAGGTATGCATGGCATGGTTATGTCAAATGTTTATGTGCTTAGCTTTACTTTTTGGATACGAAAGAGATGAATTGTACGTGAGGAAAGTACGAGGGAACCCTTTGTCACGTGTACTACTAATATCATATGAGTATATTAATTTTAGTGATTAAGAACATAAAACTGCATGAAAATACACGATAATTAAAATACTCATTTGATGTATTTAAAGCGAAGGCTGGTAAATAAATTCCCTTCATGTCACGTTTCGGACCAGCTGTTCTATATTTCATTCTTTCTTTTTTGGTCGTATTTTTGGTCCTTTAAAAAAAAAAAGAATATTGCGTTTAATAGATAGAATTATATCTACTGGTATATATATTTAGATTATTGGGACGAAAAGAGACGACATAAAAATACGGATTCATGCTTAAAGATAACACTATTTATATATCTCACAGAAATATATAAAGATTCATAGCAGAAATTATTTTTTCTCTCTCTATCCTAATGTTTCGAGTAAAGTTTACAAAACATATTGAACAGAATAAAAACCATCGAACATATAAAGAACACCAACCATCCTAACTCATCCAAAGTGATAAGACTCTCTCTGTCTTTCTCTCTTTCTCTCTCTCTCTATCTCTCTTTCTCTTGCTTTTGTTGTCACTAGCTCATCTTTGTTCTCTATTATAGTTTCCATTCAAGAAAATCGAATATAAACCCTATTTTACTTCGATCAATGTTAATATCTGCTTTTATTTCAACCAACCAACGAAGATAGGATAAATAAAGAAAAATTCCACAAAGGCTTGAAACCATGCGAAATCACCATTCCATGCGTCTCCAACTGTTGTTCCGTACACTATTTACGGTTGGTTTAGTCACTCTTCTTATGATCGATGCGTTTGTATTACAAAACAAGAAGGAAGCCGACAAAACAAAAGAGATTACTACAGCTGTGAACATGAAGAACTCCGATACCAAGGATATACAACAAGAGCTTGATCAAGATGGTTCAGGAAACGGCGATCTTAGCTACGTAGCGGGCAAAAGAAAAGTACCTCGTGGACCTGATCCTATACACAACAGGTTCTTACTAATTTCTTGTTTATTTAAGTATAACTTTCAATAAATCCTTACCCCTACATATATGTGTCTTACATGTTTCCTTATGATTTTTTCATTATACATTCATATTAATTAGGTCTAGGGTCAAGGGCTAAAACTCATTACATGTACAACCCCATATTATATTCCCTTGTGTTCATATTATACGCGTGGACCACTTGGTCACTTGCATTTCGACTGAGGTGTTTAACATGTGGTGAGTTTGAGGGAAAATCCTTATCAAGGTCATGCTCATCGATGCTTCGACAGACCCGGATATGGTCTAGATATAAATTCGATGTTGAGACTTGAGATTAATTAATGACATTTAGAAATGATTATATTAGAAGAAATCAAGCAAGCTAACTCGTTGATATATCTATATGCATATTAAATTAAGTTTTTATTTGGTCACAATATATATACTTCTAGCACAATTTTACTATAAAAACAAACACTTTGTTTCTTTTAACTAACTCAGATTCGGTGAGACATATCACAGAAGCTCGCAAAAGGCTGTCTGCTAGCTTTATTCAGTCTTTACGTTAACAATCTGTTTTTAATTATTCACTATAAGATGGCTTCTTTTAAAAACTTTTTTTTCCTTTATGGAAGCTTTATAAAGCTAATTAGCCCTTTGAACACTCTCTTTTCCTCTATTTTTTTCTTTGTTAACCCACTTATGATCGCAATTGATTATTTTTTGAAAACGAAGTACTCATGATGTAAATTGTATTAAAGTAGTCAATTGACTAAAATATCAATTAATGTTGTATTATTTGTTATCGTTTATACGAAATTAAAGGAAATCAATAAAACACGAATTGGATTAAGTAATTCTATGTTCTGTCTTAATACAGGAGAGCAGGGAATTCAAGACGACCACCGGGGAGAGCATAAGTACGGTGAAAGCTTAGGGAAGAAGCAGATAGAGAGAGAGAGAAGTATAATTGTTGGCAAATTAATATAGGTCTTGTAATGCTGCTAGATTCTCTTTTCCTTTCATTTGGGATCGAATCTCTTAAATATGCTCAAAATATTTGTGACCCTACACTTCTATTTTTTTTCTAATGTTTGTTTTGTTCCTAGTGAAGAAATATATATTGAGCTAGTTAGGGGAGGTTTAAAAAATGAAAAAAAAAAAAAAAAAAACTGATTATCAAAAGGATTTCAAGAAAGAAAAGAAGAAGTATACGTACGTACATGCAATGCAATCCTGTTTTCTCACACATTGCACGAATATATTGGATTGTTTCTAATTTGATCCATCATCAAATAACGTTTAGTGCTTTATTTCCTTACTCACATTATATTGTATATTGGGTACTTGCACTAAATGATCGTGAACATTGATTAACTTAGGTAAATAGTTATAGACTTTTTTATGAGCAAAAAGACAAAAATGAGTACTATATATTTTTCTAACTAACATGCTTTCTTATGTTTAATATAGTACCCTATATATGTTGTTCTAAATTAAATAACATGCTATTTCAGAGTTGATAGACAAAATGACATTGTATTTTTTTGTTTTTTTTTTTTCTGATAAAGAATGACATGGTATTTTAGAGATAGCACAAGTTTTTTTAAAAACAAATAAAAGCATCATAATTATGTACCTGATTGACCCTTGTATATTCACGATTAGAAATCGTAGATTACAAAAATACTTGCACAAAATGGTTCTATAGACAAAATATGATTCTTATCACATGTTTTGAACGAACAAAAAATGAAGATGGATTTTTTTGTGTGTAAAGAACAATTGTACTTTGAAAGAGTCTTATCCAATCATTAAAAAAATTATATGTCGAATCCATTATTATTGATGTATTCTGAAAGCATATATTCTTGCAAAGGGGGGAAATTAAAGCGATGTCGACAAGGATTGGATACATAAGATATTAATAATTTATAAATGCATTGGCATATTTACATACATTTTAAAAATTATTATGAGCTTTAATGCCAAAATTTAAAAGGAGAATGTGTGTAATGGTTCTTCTAAATAAAGGAGACCACATTGCTTCTTTGTGTTATGCTTTTTCCCATCTTTTATTCTTTTGTTCTTTTGTGGGGTTAACTCTACCACTACTCTTTCTCTCTCTCTTTTTTCATTTCTTTTCCATATATTTATAAATTAATTTTAGTAATCTTGAAAGATAAAAAAAACTAGTAAAATTGGCTTACTAATTTACTACATCACCAACGTACACAACACATGTATAAAAATGAGAACCAGTAATATTTTCCATTAGGTATTCCCATTTATGGTAGTGCATGACTAGTTATGAAATGAGAAGGTTCTTGAAAAAAGAATTACTAATAATGTAGATTAATTATTTGCAAATAAAGAAACGCATGAAGATATAACAAAAACTTGAGTTATGGTTCGGCTCTGTAAAATCTTCTACTACTTTTTTTTCTTTTTGATATACAATCTTCTACTACTTTAAACATCCACGATACATTTTGATATATGAAATGTCTTCTTCCATGGAAACATGAGTTCCAACTTATAACATGGTTTACAAGTAACTCTCGAACACATGCGCATGGTCAAGCAAAATATCATTACTTTTTTTCTGAATTAATTGAGCAAAAATAAACATAGATATGACCTCTACATGTTCATTTTTAAAGTTCACAATTTCAAGAGTTTGAATATCTTTAATTTGAATTATTACCAAACGCATTAGACAGACTTAACAGAGACACAATAATCAATCAACTTCTTTTTGTCTTTTTTTTTTGGCTTCCAGTCTTCAAGATTCAAAAGTAACTGAAGACCAGTCTTAAAGCTGAAACATTTGAACTATACATACATGACGGCTCCTATCGTTCTAGAAAATTTAATTCAACAACAATAATTCATAGTTACTTAATTAGAAAAACAACAAAAAAGTGAAAGAATAAAGGAAAATTTTAACTATGATAGTTAGAGAGACATATAAGATCTAAGGGAAATGATAAGAAAGAAAAATATTGATAAGAAGTAACCTGGTTTGAAGAGAACATATGTTACTATGCTAGAACGGTAGTTTTAGCCTTTTAGGGTGTTATATATAGAGGCTAACTTTTTCGACAAGGTTAACAAATAATACTCTTTACATTTTCTCTTGCCACATATTTTTTGAGCGAACATTTTCGCATGTACGACAAGTGAATAGAAGTCGGGATAAGGTTCGGCGGTGTGAGCTTCGACTAGGTTAAAATGGCGATTAGGGTTTAGGAATTTGGAATTAAGATTTAAATTTACGGTTAAAGGTCAATGAGTTTCGACGAAAGCTTTATACGATGGTTAGAGATGAAAATTTTGACCATTCATTCATATGAGGAACTAAATTGTTGTTCTTTCCATTTTTGTTGGGCCAAATGGGCTAGTTTGAAGAAAACCCACCTATAAATGGGCCAGAAAAAAATGAAAGCCACGTGTCATACCCCCACAATGGACTTTGACTCGGTGCGGCTGCCGGAGAAAATAATTAATAATCAATTCCGATGAAATTTAAAAATAAATAAAAACTAATTCCAACAAAATTCATCAACGACAAGAAAACAAAATACAAAGTTCCAACGAAAATCGAAATTCACAATTTCTCTTCTTCTTCTTCTTCTTCTTCTTCTAAATCCATGGAGTGATGATGATAGAGAGATTGAATCCAAACACGAACCGGATCCAAGATTAAAGAGGAATCCGGATTGTTTAAATTCACTTAGATCGGAGAAAGATGCCGCCGGCGACGGGAGATATCGATCGTCAGATCGAGCAGCTTATGGAGTGTAAACCGTTATCTGAAACGGAGGTGAAGATGTTATGTGAGCAAGCGAAGACGATTCTTGTGGAGGAGTATAATGTTCAACCGGTTAAATGTCCGGTTACCGTCTGCGGCGATATCCATGGCCAATTTTACGATCTGATTGAGCTTTTTCGGATCGGTGGTTCTTCTCCTGATACTAATTATCTTTTCATGGGTGATTATGTTGGTGAGTCTCTTTCTTTACCTTTAGCTTTTTTAGGGTTTCTACATTTTTCACATCTCTTGATTTGGATTTGGGTTTTTTTCCCTAATTTGATTGGTTTTTGATTTTGATGTTGACTCATTGGGAAGTGTTTACCATAAATGGTTAGATTATTGTTATGGTTTTGATTATTTATCCAAAAGTTTTGATTTTGGAAGATTTTGTCATTGAAAAGACCAAGCTTTTGTTTTAGCTGTTAACTATACTCAGTGCCTCTACAATGGAGTAACTTGACTTTGAGAGATATATCATTTTAATGTGATTTGTGAAGCTTCGTGTGTTCGAGTTCTCGGATTTGTATTTCTCTGTTTTCTGGTAAGTTGCTTAACTAGCTAACTAATGGATAATTGTTAACTTGTGAAGATCGAGGGTATTATTCTGTGGAGACGGTTTCGCTTTTGGTAGCGCTGAAAGTTCGCTACAGAGATAGACTTACTATCCTAAGAGGGAATCATGAAAGCCGGCAGATAACTCAAGTGTACGTAGTTTCTTTACTAAGTTTTGTATTCTCAGCTTCTGTGAGTTCTTGGTTTGAGGCTGTCCCTATTGTTTCTTGCTGATTGTTTACCTTTTTTCAGGTATGGGTTTTATGATGAATGCTTGAGGAAATATGGGAATGCGAATGTGTGGAAGCACTTCACTGATCTTTTTGATTATCTTCCGCTTACAGCACTCATTGAGAGTCAGGTATTAAAACTAATGAGCTTTTTTCAACTACCTTAGACAATCTCCTATCTGCTTCTGCCGTTTTCGACTTAACTACAAAACTCTTTTTTTCCTGTAGGTTTTCTGTTTACATGGGGGACTTTCACCTTCTTTAGATACGCTTGACAACATCCGATCTTTAGATCGAATTCAAGAGGTGAGTTCCGAAATCCAAATTAACAAAGGCTGCACCTTACTTGATGTTTACATAACGAGACTAAATTTTTTTGTGTTGCCTCTAGGTTCCACATGAAGGACCAATGTGTGATCTCTTATGGTCTGATCCAGATGACCGATGCGGTTGGGGAATATCTCCTCGCGGTGCAGGCTACACTTTTGGACAAGATATCGCTACTCAGTTTAACCACACCAATGGACTCTCTCTGATTTCAAGAGCCCACCAACTTGTCATGGAAGGTTATAATTGGTGTCAAGAAAAGAATGTTGTGACTGTATTTAGTGCCCCAAACTATTGCTACCGTTGTGGCAATATGGCTGCGATTCTAGAGATCGGTGAGAACATGGACCAGAATTTCCTTCAGTTTGATCCAGCTCCACGTCAAGTTGAACCTGAAACCACTCGCAAGACTCCAGATTATTTTTTGTAAGTACCAAAAGAACTAAAGTTGCAATTCCACACACTAGCTGTCTCTTTTGCTTCTATTCTTAACCAGTTTTTGTAATTTCATATTCCTTATGTCTATTTCTGTTTGTTAAATTCTCCATTGTCTTTAAAAATCCGGAATTTTTTTTGTGCATCTGATACGAAACCGCTCTATCACCGAACCTTATTGAAGCCAACTTTGTACAGAGAAATGATGATCCTGTTACACAGCGAAAGCCCTAGCTACGTAGATATAAATATGACTAAAACAACTGTTGTGGAGAGGTACAGACAATAAACAGACAAGCTGGAGCTGAGATCTAATCTAAAATAAAAAAACTCAGATCAAAATCAGATGAATCGAGAATTTCAAGTGCTTTCCAATTCGCTTTGGATCCAATCTTGTGCACACATCAAGGCCTGCACGGTACTTGGTCTAAGCGAACGCCAGGTTTCACTAACCTGTCTCCTTTGACAAGTTTCAAAGGCGTTTTCTGATGATGATACATTCGACATTGGAACCGCTAACACGTTACGTGCCATCATGGAGAGAATTGGGTACTTCGGTGTGTGAACTTTCCACCAGTTTAGGATGTCGAAATCTGAATTCCGGGGAAAAAGCGGCTCTTCTAGATACTTTTCTAGATCCGATTTAGAGTCTTGACCCGGTGTAGTAGTTGTATTGTTAATGTACCTATCGAATTCCATGAGTCTATCATCAGGCTCTTTCCCATGGGCAACACCGTTTGACCGATGCTGATGATTCTGCCAACCAAGGGCTTGATCTGACGATGCTAATAGCGATCCTACAGAATGCTCATCGTACAGCGCTTTGATGCACTCAGAAATATCTTCAATGAGCTCTGAAGCACTAGTACCATAAAACAGAGGGTAATAGTATTCAACCAGCTTCATTTTGAACCGCGGGTCTAATATGGTAGCAATGGCTAGAACCAGGTAGTTTTTTTCCCAGAAATCGTCGAATTTCTTTCTCATGTTTACAGCTAGAGAGCTAATGAAATCATCCGGGTTCTTGGTCCATTCAATTAACCGGAGGTGTACATCGCATACCTCTGGGAAGTACATATTGGCTGGTAAACAACTGCTCTTTGTGAATGCATTTATCACTTCAACAAAGACTTTCAAGAACTCAACAATTGTTCCTAATCTCTCCCATTCCAAATCAGATGGACATAACACGGAATCAGGATCATGTTCATTCATGAGTGAAAACGCGCTCTTTTGCTCCAAGGCAATCTCCAGCATGGTACATGTTGAGTCCCACCTCGTTGGGTCATCAATGCATAGGTTCCTTTCACTTTCAGCTTCAGTTTCAACTATCCACTGATTGAATCTATCTTGAATAGATTCTGAGCTTTTAACATACCTAATGCTCTCTCGAATCATGTTTATTATGTCACAACAAGTTTGCAGGGAATCTTGAGCCATCTGGTTAATGACATTAACTCCACAGCTCACATCAAACAATTGCCCGTAACAGTAGAGGAACTTGTTCTGCGATAACCGGTCTCTGATTTTGTTAGCTACGTTTTCACCAAACGGAGGAGAATGACTAGACGCCATAGAAAACAACTTCCGGTCAATATCCCACTCCATTAAACATGTCATTATAACTTCAGCAAGCATTTCACCAGTATCAGATGGATCAACCATGAAGAAGTTCAAAACTCTCTTTTTCAGTTCCCATGTTTCATCAATATAATGCGCTGCCAAACACAAGAACTCATCAAAATCATCCGAACCACTCCACACATTGACACTAATACTAATCTTTCCAGGTAACTTATCCAACGCTTCGAAAATCTTGTGCTTCTCTTTCGCATAAATCTCCATACAATCAGATTCAACTCTTTCAAACGCAACAAGCTCAAATAAAGGCTGTAAATTCCCAATAAACATTCTGAATCCAACATCTTCAACCATACTCAACGGATATCCATGTAAGATAATCATCCTTGCTAAATCAAACCGACACCGCCTCTGATCCAAACCAGTACTTACAACATTAACATCATCATGTTCTTTCTCATTTTCATATCTATTCACTACACTAAGCACTTCTTCATCTTTTCTCCGCTCATTCGCTAGCTCTTTCTTCTTCCCTCTAACGAAATACTGCTCAACACCGTTGTTACTACCATTACTTCTCCTCCTACATCTAATCAAATGGTTCCTCAAATGCGAAGTCCCGCTCGCGCTCGAGCCGCTAAGCCGCTTCTTACAATGCCTACAAATTGCAATGAATGTCTCACCTTTTCTCACTCTATCAAAATCATTCCACACAACTGATTTCAATCTCCCTGATTTCACAATCACTGCATCTGACAAATCCAACTCATTGTTTATCGTCAGTTTCTTCTGTCTCCTACACATAAACAAATAGCAGAATTTCACAACGAAACCTAAAATCTCATAGTTTTCATTTGCATAAAGCTTTTAAGAAATTGTCAAAAAAGTTAGAGTCTGAGCTCTAAAGAACATTTACCTCTTCATTCAAGTCGCTTCGTTAAGCTTCTCACTGGTGGTTTAACGGCGGCGAAGTCTCTCGGTGTCGGTGGTCGCGGCGGTAGGGTTTTACGAAGAGGAAAGACAAAAAAAAAAGCTGAAAGCTTTTCTGTGAGTGAAAGATATTTTTTTGAAACGGCGAAGAAAAAAGTTAATTTACGAAATGGGACCTTACATTTATGTACCTTTACAAATGTAGCCTAAAGTTATTTTACCAATTTAACTCGCTCTTAGACCATACGCAGTGGACCAATTCTCCGGGTGTAAGTCGTCGAGTGTTAGAATAAAAAAAGAGAAAAAAATGCAAATGTTGGCTTAGATCCGAAACTCGGGTGTTAAGTTACACTCAGGTGTACCGATGACGTGGCTTACTGGGATTGGTTACCTTTTTGGGTTAATGAATTATTCCTTTCTCTCTCATCTATCTCTCTCTCTCGGCGAAAGCTTTAACACAAAAAGTTGATTTCATTTCAGCGTGCTTCCAACGTGTCCCTATTCGTCTTAGATTATTTTATTAATATTTCCCCCCATATTCATATCCCCAAGGATGTCCCATTGCTGTTGCTCTTAGGCGATCGAAAAGTAAAATTTATGAAACGGTACCCTACATTTATGTATCTTTTCAAATAAAGCCGAAATTAATTTGATTATAAAACAGGTCCTTAACGACCAAAGTAAAAACTACGAAACAATACCTTATGTTTATGTATACTTACAAAAATAGCCCAAATGTATTTAATTATCAAAAAGGTCCAATTTTTATTTACAATCACTCACTGAAATTACTTCTGGCGTTACTCTCTCTGCTCACCAATGGCCGCAGCTACAACAACAACCTTATCATCATCTTCATCATCGCTAAATCTCATCAATGCCTCACACAGATTTGTCTCTGTAACTCCTTTCTCTTCTAACTCAACCTTCCTCCGCGGTCGTATCCGCCGCCTAAATCGCTCATTCGCTTCGTATAGCTCTCAGGTACGTCTGATTATCTCCTACTCATCGAATTCTGTAATACGAATCCGAATTTACTCAATCTCTTAATTCTTAGTCACGTAGGCGATACGAAGGAGACGATCGATTCTTCGGCGGTGGTGACAAGTACGATGTTGTTCCTGATGACGACGGATTTAGCGACGATGATAATGAAGACGACGAAAGAGAAAGCAGTGTCGATCTTTTGATTAGATTCTTGAGAAGTATGTTCAAGAAAGTCTCAAAACGAGCTAAAAAAGCATCGCGACGGATTTTGCCAGCAGCCATGTCTCCTCGACTCGTGAGTCTCTTCTTTCTTCTTCTTCAGAATTTCTTTGTTTCTTAATCCTCAAGTTTCTGCTTTTGAAGCCTATTAATGGTTTTATAGAGTTTCTTTATATCAAAAGTCTCGTTTTGTGATGCACATTGTTTGTTGATTCCTCTGTTTTTATGATTGGCAGGTGTCTTTTGCGGTAGATGGGATATTGTTATTGGGTTCACTATCCATAACAAGAGCATTTCTTAAGGTAATCTTTACCTTTGATTACTCGGAGTCACTCAATGGTGTATGGTTTGAGTTTGTATTGTGGGATTGGTTTTGGGGTTCCTTGTTTCAGCTAGTTTGATCAGATTGTTAGAAATTTTACAAGATAGATCTGAATAGTTGTATGTGTAGCACATCTTTACCGTTGTTTGGTTAAGCTTTGTAAAATGTTGAAGGATTAGGGAAATTTTAACCGTTTGTGAATTAGACTAACTTCTATTAGTCAAGTGTGATCTCATGGATGTGTTGCTAACTTTTATGGAAGGTAATATGCAATCTAGGAGGAACTGTGTTTACGGTGATTCTGCTGATCCGGTTGTTCTGGGCGGCAGCTTCGTTCTTCCAGACTTATGGGAACTCTTTTGGACCAAACCCGGTAACTTAAAACCTTGTTTTACTTTCATTAATTTGGGTGTTAGATGTTGTAACTCATGTCTTGTTGACTCGATTTGTAAAGGAAAAATGTAAGATAATTGTGTACATATGGGGAGAGTAATCTAGTTATTAAGAGTAAGAAGATTTAACTATGAAGATAAAAGACTATGAAGATAAAAAAAATGTTTTCGGTAATTCACCGATAAATGGGAAACAGTAAACCGAGGATTAAATTTGCATAATTGCATACAATTTTATAAAGTATATAATATCTTATAATTAAATATTTTAAAATAATTTAGCTAAAATGTAAATTTGCATTTTAAATAAAAAAATTAATAAACTTAATTAGTTTATGCAAATTGAGAATATATGTATATTGACAATATATTATGCTCTTCCATCTGAATTGAACAGCTCTTCCATCCTCCTCTTTCCCCGGGCAATATAAATCGATCCTTTGTTTGTTTTCATATTAACCAAAGAGAATGTATTATGCTTGAATATAGATAAACCATAATTCATAAATGCAATGACAGATCTTCTTTTTTTTTTTTTGATAAAATGCAACATATCTTTTTGTATGACGTAAATATGTAATGTGTCTCTCTTGATAATGTTAATTTCAGCAAAACCTCGTGAATATTGATAAAATAGTGAGATCTTGGATACAATCTTTGTGTAGTTTATGAAATAAATGACCCGGGAACTAGAAAAGACTTTCATTATCTGCTAACATGCATATACCTAATGTCTTATTTGATTTTTTTCCTAATTCTATAAAATGGTAAAATGATTGACCTAAACTTTGTATAGGGCAAGTAAACTGATGAAGAGTAAAAAAAGAAGAAAAGACGCCTCTATTTACCAACAATTTGTTGGGAAAACACTTTTTTTTTTCGTTCATAAACGGATTTTATTAAACGGAAAATAAATAATACAATATAATCATCCAACACGGGTATATGCAACCAAGAAAGGGTTGGGCTTGGGCATGTCTTTTGTCCTCGTACCTCGTATCATTTATCTGATTTTGTAAGAAAAGACGAGAGACGTCCACAACACTAAATAGAGGCGTTGATCAGCCGGAGCCATTGGGCCATATGCATGTGGGTCAACTCATTTAATACCTTTCTTTCACATTGTGGTCACTCAGTTCGTAGTAGTATTGTGGCCATACGACAGACACGCGACACGGATAAGAGAGGTCGGCACCACCACACACTAGAACGTCTTGGAGTCACTATAGCTTCATCTTTGACTTTCATTGTTCTTTGTAGGCAACTTATCCAAATCAAAACATATTATCAGCAAACGCGGATTCTATATTTAACATGTGTTACGAAAGCGAAAAATATAGTTTGAAAAGTTCAACTTATACCAATTTGACATCAAACAATTTAATAAATTGGTGAATAATTTAATATTCAATCTATTATGATGCGCCGTCAAAAAAAAATCTATTAGGATGCTCAGTTGAAACATATACACGAAAGAATATGAATTTTTAAAGGGGGAAATAAAAGACAATCTTTAAAGTTTTAACTCTTTTTGACTTTTGAGCAAATTTTTTATACAATTTTTTTGATTTTGGGACTTATTCGGTTAAAACATGGATAAACTGTAATTACGATTTTTTTTGTTAAAACTGCAATTAAGATCTAATTAGTTTAGATTGTATAAGTTTTGGTTTTGTATCAGTAGTTAAAAGAAAAATATAGACAACACACACAAAAAAAAAAAAAAAAACTATGGCTCCGATTGGTAACCAATTTTGAGGAAAAGAATGAGTAGGAATGTCATGTTCTTTTTGTTCCTCATTTTTTTTCACCATTTATACGGAATTTTTGTTCCATTTTCAGACATGTGGGTCCTACATTTTTCCTCTTCATTCCTCAAAAAAAAAGAATGATAGAACAAAATTGTTCCTCCCCAAAATTGTAGAGGAACAACAAGGAACAAAAATTTAAAATTCGTTTTTAATTTTTAAATAATTTTAAAATAGCTTTTTTGATAATATTTATATTTTTGTACATAAATAATTCCTATATTTTTATTATATATTTATGTATAAAAAAACTTTTATCAAAACTTTAATTTAAATGAATCTTATGACTTTGTTTTAAATTAGTATTTATACTAAAATAAATAAATAAATGCTTTCAAGTGAAATTTATATTATTTTAAAATAAAATATTTGAATTTATACTATATTTCGTTTCAAATTAAAATAAAACATTAATTTTAAATAAAATTTATAAACTAAATAAAATACATAATTTTTAATAATTATTATGTTAAATATTTGTTCAATTTTTTGGTTACCATTTACCATAATCATTTGTTAAATTCTTATGTTCCTTTTGGTTCCTGGTTTTGATCATTTTCCTTTCCTTCTTGTTCCTTTTCATGTCTTTTTTTTCCTGTTCATATTGTTCTTTTTTTTTGTCACCAATCGGAGCATATAAGTTGAAGAAGTTTCAAATATATTTACTTTCCGGATAATTTGACGCTACAAAAAGTGAGAAACAAAATGACTCGTCGTCACTCTGAGTTGGTAGCAAAGACGCGGAAGTTGGAAACACAATCTTTATTTATCTAGGGTTTATTAAGTCATACATAAAGTAATTCCAAGTCTTAATTGAGATTTTGTTTAATTATTACTTTTTCCACAACTCTCGGTACATTGTATTGTTATCTTCCAAGTCTTGGGCATCAGAGCCACATTGTTTTTTTTCTTTCATAATAGTATAATAGTATTATCTCTGTGGAAAATAAAAAGTAGCAGTACACTATAGACCATGAAATTTCAAACTCTTTCATGCCGTCAAGGGCTCAACTAATTAAGTAATAATTACTCCCCAAATTTATAGCAAGTACTAAATTTTGTAACAACTCCTAAATTACTCATACGACTTTATAGATTAAACATCTATGAATACGAAACCATGGAAACATTTCACAACAAACTTTTGATTTCAATTAAAATATCAAATTGGTATACGGCATGTGTATATATTTGTTAATTTACGTCATGTATATCTCATACGTACCAAATTAAATAGTTTCTGTCAATCATATTAGAAATTGTAAAAGCTACTTTGATTTGAATCTGAGCATAATCTTATTGAAAAGATTTTTGTCGTCTTTGCTCGACGATCATTGACTTACATTACAAGATTTGATCTGACAAAAAGGAGAAGAGATTCCGAAAAGCTTCCCTAGGTTAAGGTCCAAACTCAAGTTAGGACGGGGAACATTACAGATGTGTAATGATTTACCCTTGACTGCTAATAGATAGATATACACACACTGAAAGGGATAACATGAACTTGCGACTTAATTTCACAATAAGTTAAACCATAGACTGACATTTTGGTGCTTATAATAGTCAAATCAAAGACATATGTATCCATAGATATGATACATTTAACCTGTTAGTCAAGATTAACCTTTGAAAAATAATTATTTATGAGTTTTTAGAAATGTATCATTATATGTTGATATTGTCAAACGTTAAAGTATGTGCAAATATCTTTTGACCCAGACGTAACTATAATGAACACGAACCGGGTAAGTTAGTGTGTACGTGTATTAGTGTGTATCCAAAATCACAACTACTTCCCATTTTATTTAATGCATGTACAATCATAGACTTGGCTCTCACATCAGATAGAGTTTGTTTCCAAAGTATCTAATAAAACTAAGATTAAGGCACAATCGCTAAATGCAGAAAATTTTGTAGGCAATTCTCTAAAATATCATATTTTTAAGTTTGTGTATTAAAAATATCATCACTAGTTTATTTTCTTCTAATAATACCACAAATTTAATATTAAAATGAATATAAAAAATTAAAATGGTGAAAATAAAAATCCTAAATTGGAAAAAAAACCAAAAAATAGTTTTTTTATTTTATTTGTAATTCATTTTAGTTGAACAAATATTTTTATACAAATTTTTTTTGATATTTTTGAAAAAATAGTGATGCTACTTTTGGAACAAAAACTCAATAATAAGGGAGACTCACAAAAATGCCCCTTTTTCAATACCCCTTTTCAAAAATGCCCCCTTTGGCTGTCCATTTTTAAAAATACCCCTTTTTATGTACAAAATGACTAAATTACCCTTCTTTTAATAAAATATATCACAAATATATAAGGAAATATAACAAAATTAGGTCTACAAAATACAAAATATTTTTGGCGGGAAAATTGATCCCGCAATTTTTCCCGCCAAAACACTTGTAAAACCTTGTAAAAAACCTTTAAAATACCTTGTAAAATTTTCCCGTAAAATTTTTCCCGCCAAAAAATTTTCCCGCCAAAAAAATTTTTTTGCGGGAAAAGTGATTCCGCAATTTTTTTGGCGTTAAATTTTTGGCGGGAAAATTTTTCCCGCCAAAAATTTACAAGGTATTTTAAAGGTTTTTTACAAGGTATTTATAAGGTTTTACAATGTATTTTAAAATGTTTTACAACGTATTTACAAGATATTATAAGATTTTACAAGCTATTTTATAAGGTTTTTACAAGTTATAAGGTTTTACAAGTTTTTTATAAGGTTTTACAAGTTATAAATACCTTATAAAACCTAATAAGTACCTTGTAAAACCTTTTAAAATACATTGTAAAACCTTACAAAACACTTGTAAAAATCCTTTAAAATACCTTGTAAATTTTTCCCGCCAAAAATTTTCCCGCCAAAAAAAAAATTGCGGAATCACTTTTCCCGCAAAAAAAAATTTTTGGCGGGAAAAATTTTACGGGAAAATTTTACAAGGTATTTTAAAGGTTTTTTACAAGTGTTTTGGCGGGAAAATTGCTGGATCACTTTTCCCGCCAAAAAATATTTTGTATTTTGTGGACCTAATTTTGTTTCAAATAAGGGTAAAATGGTCATTAAAAATTAAAAGAGGGCAAACTTAAAAATGGACTCTCAAAGGGGGCATTTTTGAAAAGGGGTATTGAAAAAGGGGCATTTTTAACAATTTCTCCAATAATAATGTATTTTATGGTATTTCTTAAAATTTGCGGTGACATATAATACAATTGTATTTTTTACATAATTTTTTGACAACAAAGTAAACTATTGATCAGTTAATTAGTTATGAAATTATCTGAAAAGTATGATTTTTTTAATCACTTGATTTCCGTATGAATATCGATAGCGAAAACGAGAAAACATGGGAGGGGATACCAAACTAACATAGCATTACTAATGATTAGGCCTGGGCACGAAGCGGATATCCGAAAAATTTGGGATATTCGTTATTCGATTCGTCTCAACCGAATACTTGATTTTGATATCTGCTTCGATCCGAAAATTTCCGAATATCCGAATTTTTTTGTTATATTTGCGGATATCCGCTTCGATACTTCTGCACCAAATAAAATCCTAAAAAGCTAAGCGCTCGCATGTAAAACTACAAAGAATAAGATAAAATTTGAGAAAAAAAAATCGTCGCAGGATTCCAACTTCTTATTTTTAAGGGATATTGATTTTTTTTTTAATAAATTCTACTTCACTAATAAAAACTATTAAATTGTGTCACAAACACAAGTCCAAAGGATAAAAAATTGAGTTTACAAATACAAACCAGAAATATATTATGATATGCATATATATCATAAAATTTTTACCAAATATATATATATATATACACACTAATATATATCAAAAATACGGATCGAAGCGGATATCCGACTTTTAAAAAATCAATATTTGTTATTTGCTTCGGTTTTTACGAATACTATATTTTCCTATTTGCTTTGCTCCAAAATTTTACGGATATTCGGATTTTTCGAATCGAATCAAAACGAATAACGAGTCGAAGCGGATCTAACGAATATTTTGCCCAGGCCTACTAATGATAATGTAAGCAACTCGATGATACTCTATGATTATTGAATTCTTTGATTGCTGATTCGTCGAACAAAGATCGAAAACAACAAGGGATAGAGGAAGAAAAACTCTCACTTTATTAAGAGTGTTTTTATCTCAAAACTCAAAAATATTCAGTGCATGTTCTATGATATATTACGTGATGAGGTTGAAATATAAAACCCCATTATAAACTCAAACCCCATTCATGTTCTAGATTTGAAGGATCTCTCATAGCAAACCGGAGTTATATTAATTAGGAACAAACTAAGAAAGGTTTGTGGGTCAAAAGTATTTCCAACAAAGTTTGAAGATGAAAGCTAATGGCTGAGCCTCGTTGTTATATAAAGTGTTGACTGTAATTTGGAACACTACTTGGAACATAGTTATTGCTGATATTTTCCACACGTTTTGGTTTTGGAAGATATATGAAGTCTAAATAGACTATATATGGCCATGAATGTTTCGGGGTTTTTAGACTATATATAGATTTTGGTTTTAAGAATTTAGATTTTGCAAAAGAGAAATTTCTTTTGAAAAAAATGGAAAACAAAAAAAAAGTTTCAATCCACGGCAAACATTTTAAAGACTAACAAAAATGGGTTTTTGAATTTTGTTAAGAAATTTTTAAAAACTCTCAAAATTTAGATTTCCTTTTTTTTAGGGAAACCGTTGTTCTCGAAATTTTGATTGGATGATTAAATTTGATTTTCAAAAATCATGCTAGAAACTAATACACATCCAAGGCTATATTTCTTCTATTCCTTATTAATCTACATTCTAAAAAAAATGTTGTAAATATAAATTTTAGTTCTTTTTAATGTAATTTTAATTAGTTATTAATAATGAATTGTACATTTAAATAAGAATAATTGAATACTATTGGTTTAAAGTTGAGAAAAATTGTTAATCACAAAAAATAAAATGCATTTATAATTAATTATAATATCTTTTCTTAATATGTGTAACAAAATTTAAAAAATGTATTAGTAAAGAACAGAGAATTGTGGGAAATTTTATAATTTTATAGAACTTGAAGTCTAATATAGACTACTTAGCGCGAGAACAAAAAAAAGAGGGATTTAAATTCTTTCGAGCAAAAAAAAAACAACTACTTGGTATTATTGTGTCCCACTATTAACTATTTAGCAACGGTACAGATCAGGCAACTAATCAGGACTCAACACACTTTCCTGGACTCTCTTGTCTCTTTGAATCTCCTACCGACCCCAAAAACCTTCTCTTTAATTATTTATTATTTAATATTCATTAGTTTGTGTATTTATTTATTATGAGGACATGCATACCGAAGCTTTTTTTGACCGTCATGCGTGCCGTAATCTAAGAAACGAGAATCAAATTTGAGCACGTCCATATATATATAGACGCCAAACATAGAGACTAAGCCTCATCAAACCACAGCTATTCAATTCCTATCCCACAAAAAAAAAAAACACACGCACACAAAAACAAGAGCTGTGAGTTTGATCAATCTCGTCAAAAAGTGTAACACATGGGTCTAATGAATGGTTCAAAGAATGATGAGTACGTAAAGCTATTAGGAGCATGGCCTAGCCCTTTTGTGCTGAGGACTCGGATCGCACTTAACCTAAAGAACGTAGCGTACGAGTATCTAGAAGAAGAAGATACATTGAATTCAGAGAGCGTTTTAAACTATAACCCCGTCCATAAACAGATCCCTATCCTCATCCATGGCAACAAACCAATCCGTGAATCCCTCAACATCGTCATGTATGTTGATGAGACTTGGCTCTCCGGTCCTCCCATCCTTCCCTCTGATCCATTTGATCGCGCTGTGGCTCGCTTTTGGGACGTCTATATCGATGAACACGTAAGTCATGCATCCATGGAGAAACTTTCTTTTATATAATGTTATATGTTTCATGTTTGTCTTAATTAGCACTCGTTTTCTTAAAATGATTTTAAAACGAAGATCTATATATATGAGATTGTACCACTTGCACACCCTTTGATAAGAGTCTTCATCTATTAAAAAATTGAATGAAAAATTTAACATGGCTAATTAACTTTGAGTTGAAATTCTGATTAAGTTTTATATTTGTCACAAATATTTAATTTAGTAATGTCTTTCCAACTGTTTAGAATTTAGTATTAACTTCCATAAATCATAAAATTAATTAGTTTCTTTCCTTTTTGATCTTTTATATAGTGTTTCACATCAATTAATGGAGTGGCAGTAGCAAAAAACGAGGAGGAGAGAAAGGCAGCGATAACTAAGCTAGAGCAGTGTATGGCTCTATTGGAAGAAACGTTTCAAGAATGCAGCAAAGGAAGAGGCTTCTTTGGAGGAGAAAACATTGGATTCATTGACATTGGTTTCGGGTCGATGTTGGGTCCTCTTAAGGTTCTCGAGAAATTTACCGGCGTCAAGTTCATACATCCCGAAAACACACCAGGTCTTTTCCTTTGGGCAGACAGATTCTACGCACATGAAGCAGTCAAGCCTGTCATGCCCGATATCGAAAAACTGGTCGAGTTCGCTAAGCTCAAGTTCAATACTTCAATTTTTAAATAAAAATCAAGGACTAATGATAATTATTTTTAAATATATATATATATATACGACGAACAAATTATCATAATCGAGATCGAGGAATCAAATGTATTCTCGATTAATTAGAAGATGCAGTCAAAAAGTTCTTTCGTTTTTTTGTTTTTAAATTAAATGTATGAGATTATGAATTTGGTCGTAAAAACGTGTATGTTAAAAAATCCATTGAGCAGCGAAGCTTCGCCACAATGAAGATAATCTATAACACGGTAACACCATTGACATTAATGGTCTGTTATTCTTATGGGCCAACTAGTCAGCGTAATAAAAATACCTGAACCGTGTAAATTATAAAAAAAACTAGTTCACTCACACAATTAATTATTCAGATAGGGACGGTCCTACAATAATAGTGTACGTTAAATAATAACCAAAAATCCGATTATACAATTAAAGACAAAAAAAGCAAAAGAGTAAACGTTTTGTACATCATTTTCTTTTTCAGTAAATAAGAATACATGTAATATCTATATATACATTTTTGGAGTACATTTAGCAAATAAATCCTAGAGTTCCACCTTATTTACGAGTCCATGCCATTGGCATTTATTATTTACTTTTACAAAATTTAAATAAAAGATATTAACCAAACAATATCTTGCCTAATTTGTTTCTAAAAATCTCTACACAATCTTTCCATATATCTTCAAAAAAATTTATAGCAAATATTTATATTAACATTTTGCATAGCAATAAAAATACTAATTTCTAAGTATCAAAATATTCATATAGAAAAATTATATACACATACAAGAAAAAAAAATAGATCTATCCTCATTTAAGCCGTTGCTTTATTTAAATAAAATAAAAACACAAAAACTTGAAATCATATATTTTATATGATAAATTTAAAATATATATTAGTAGTATAAATTTAAAATCATTCAAAGAACGGTATACCACGGGTGAGATCCTAAAATTATTGGATTTTTTAACAATAATAATTTATTTTCTTAGATTTTATAACACTAATAATTTAGCTAAAGGGATAATATAGACGGGTTTATATGGAATGACGGGTTTGGGTCGATATTAATAAATAACGGTATATCACGGATGAAATCCTAAAATTAACAATCAAAATACAATTATACAATCTTAAACACAAAACAAAAGAAACAATATTAACAAAACAAATACAACTTAAATTAAAAAATTTTAGTTATAAAAAACCGACCCACGGTATACTGCGGAGTAAAATATTCAAAATTTTAAAATCGACCATACATCGTTACTTAAAAAAAATGTATGTTTTCGTATCTATACTTCAAAAATTGAAACCTAAACAATAGTAATCATACACTAAATAATACATAGATAGATATCTACATTTAAAAATACAAATTAATATGATATATCTTCAGTTAATCTTTAAAAAAATAACATTATATTTTTTTAAAAAATATAGCCCCGCGGTGTACCGCGGGTTAAATTCTAGTTATATAAGTAAACCTCTAAAATTTTGGGGCCACATGCAAATGTCTTTTTTGTTTGTGCGCCAACCCGGCCCTGATCAAATTAATTACTACATCAAAAAGGTAACGAGATTGCGACTAGATTACCCTGCTAACAGAGTAAACAGTTCATCGTCAAAGCCAAATCCAATCTGGAAAAAATGTAAGAATGATAGATCGATGTACAAGTTCCAAATATATTGGGCCAAAGTAGTAAGTTTGATAAAGAAAGAAAAAAGATACATATGAATATAAATCCTTTTCTTGCGGCATTGAAAATACTGATTACCCTTGTAAGTTGTATTTCCGTGAAGCATGAACGCCATATATAATACTAAATGCCAAAATGAAAAGAATCAAAATAATTAGAGACTTTTAATAGAAAAAAAATGTCACGAGAATAGTTTTAACACAGATATCTGCATATATTAGTTAGCATCTAAATGTTAATTTGTTTGCTTTAGTCTTCATCTTTTTTTGTCTCTTGGTCGCAAATTGAATGATATATGGATTTTTATTCAAAAATGGCGACTAGATTCTTGCAGAAGTAGTTGTGGCGAATATAATCGGTCCATGTTATTGGTGGGTATCTTCATTTCTTTTTTCGCATTTGTTAGCCGCACGTGGCAAATATAGCAACAAGACAAAAAAAATACACTAAATTAAGACCCCACCACTGTTCATATATATGAACAAACGCAGATTAACATTTTATATCTATACAAAGTAGACAAAAACTTATATTTAAACATGATTGTTAAAAATATACGAAATAATATAGTTTTTTAATATGGAAGTACTAAACTTTGAAAAACAAGGATTTGAAAGATAATAGAGAGTACATAAAATAGAAAATTTCAACAAAAAGAAAAAATGAATAATTTCAGATCAAATGTTAAGACTTGGGAGTATTTGTCTCAAATGACTCCATTTAAAGATTATTTTTTTTTTTCATTGAAAGAAAATTGCATCGTTATTTCACAAAAATTTTGTTCACCTAATTTTTTTCTTAAAAAACTGTAAAAACTCTTAACTAGTCTACAGTCAATCCTGACACACGTGACACTTCCTAAGTCCAGCGCCGGTCAATTGAAACCATCTTATTTTCCCACAAGCCATCTTTTAATATCTAGTACTTTAGAAAATAAAATCTTTTGTTTTTTAAGTCAAAAATCAAATAGCTGTAAGAACAAAAAAAAGTCAAAAATAAAATCCTTTGAATAACAATAAACAATACAGAACAAATAAATAAAATATCAGCCGCCAAAAATGTCAGCTAAAGAAGCTCTATAAAGAAAAAGGTAGAAGAAACATATATATCAAATCGTTCCTTTATAAATAGTCACCCAAACTCAATCAAATTAACAGAACAAACACAAACTCTTTAGCCAGATGTTAAAAAACAAGAAATCAGACAACTCTTTGTCTCGAGACACATTACAAATCAAAAGAAGAAAAAAGACCACGATGGTTCAAAATGGTTCGAACACCACTGTGAAGCTGATAGGGACATGGGCAAGCCCATTCGCTTTAAGGGCTCAAGTGGCTCTACATCTTAAGTCCGTAGAGCACGAGTATATCGAAGAAACCGATGTTCTGAAAGCAAAGAGCGATCTCCTTATTAAATCCAACCCTATACACAAGAAAGTCCCTGTCCTCATCCATGGTGATATCTCAATCTGCGAGTCTCTCAACATCGTTCAGTATGTCGATGAATCGTGGCCGTCCGACCTTTCTATCCTCCCTTCCCTTCCCTCTGATCGTGCCTTTGCTCGTTTTTGGGCTCACTTCGTTGACGGAAAGGTAACAAACGAGTTAAGGATATAAATTTTAATTAGTGGATTTTTTAATATAAATTTTAATGACGATTGGAACAGTTGTTTGAATCGATCGATGCGGTAGCGGGAGCGAAAGACGATGCCGCGAGGATGGCGTTGGCCGGTAATCTGATGGAGAATTTAGCGGCACTTGAAGAAGCGTTTCAAAAGAGTAGCAAAGGCGGGGACTTCTTCGGAGGGGAAAACATTGGGTTTGTTGATATAGCTGTTGGGGCCATAGCAGGCCCAATTTCTGTCATCGAAGCGTTTTCAGGTGTTAAGTTTTTGCGTCCAGAGACAACACCGGGCCTGCTTAAGTGGGCTGAGAATTTCAGGGCCCATGAAGCTGTGAAACCTTACATGCCTACCGTTGCCGAGTTTATCGAGTTTGCCAAAAAGAAATTCAATGTTTAGTGATTGCATCTCTAATGATTTTCTTAAAAAGAAATCTGATTCGTGTATTGATAAATGAGTGGAAATCTGATTTATGTTTTTTTGGTTTCTTAAATTGATGTCTGTGTGAGGGTTCGTATTTGCGAGAAACGTAATAAATCGAGACCAGTTAATATCTACTAGACCAATTGATCATTCTCTGATGTTAGTATCTACTAGGCCAATAAAAATGAGACTTGCAGAAATCATTATTGTTATTGTTCAATCATCTTCGCAAGGACTTCATGAATCATCATTATTATTGTTCAAACATAGAAGATGAGAAGATAGAAAAAATTGCATTGATCAAATAGACAATTCAATTAAACTTTATTAGAGAAGACAATTAAACGTTTGAGATAAACGAATTACGATTTTAACCTTAGGTAACATGTTTAAAAAATCCGAAATATATTTGGTGTTCTCATACTCATACTCATAATTATTTATTATTTGTTTGCAGGACATTGCAACAATGTTTAAACGAAATAACTTGCAACAAGTACTCGTTAACCAAAAAACTTATGGTGAGAAGGACGAATATGATTGAAAAATGAAAACTCCAACTATACATTTTGGCACTTATCATATTAAATAATTATACAACAATCAGAAAAGATCAATGATGCTTGAAATATATGAGAAGATCGACAAAGCTATTGCCAACATAAGGACGTACTTTTAACACAAAAACAAAACCAGAAGGAACTACTCGTGATTAGATATTATTTCATGTTTTTGCGAGTCTGTGACGTGAAAAATTATTAAGAAACAACACACCGTACTCCTTTATTTCGTAACCCAAAGATACAATTCATAAGAAGAGATCTAGAACACCATTTCTAGATTCATCCTCTGCAAATCTCACACACGAGATTTTTTACAACAAATGCATGAATCTCTCTAAACAATGAGAGTAGCTATTTATACTAAAAATATAAAGGAAAGTTTGTTACAGATTAAATTCCAAAATATCTTCTTCAATCTTCCTTCTCACGTGACTCCGTCGCACGTGACTGCCTCACATAAACTCTGTTGGGCTTATCAAAATTTGTGTTGTGTTTCAGTGTTTGTATATAGCGTGGACGTGGACGTGGTGGTGTCTGTGAATTTTTTCTTTTGAGTGCTTCGCTTGACGTTTTTGTTTGTTGTGTTTGAGGTTTGTATTGTATTTAGTTTCGTGCATAAGTTTTTGACATTTTGTTATGTGTGTTGAGTTTGTTTTTTATTTGTTTGTTTAATTTGTGGTGTTTTAGTGTATTTGTATTTTCGAAAATATGGGACTTGTGCATGAAGTAAGAGATTTGAGAAAGTACTTCACTTGAGCCCTTCTTGACTATGGACTCGCCTCCCCAATATTTTTCTCTTTGCTCTTGATTTCACCCTACAAGAGATCTGAGAAGAGTGAATAAGGCTCGACTAAGAACATACAAAACTACAAACTACAGAGAGAAATATACTTACTAAAAACTAAAAATCTTACAAAATCTACTCAAGAGAAGTTTTGGCCGCTGCTGCAAAATCCCCTGAATTATCTAAGCTAAGTTTAATTATCTGCCAAATCATGCAAGATAATCAGTAGCGTAAACATGATAGAGATCAGAGATGCTCGAGCATGAGAAAGTAACTTCACAAATAAATAATTGAAAAGTAAAAGACCCATGTATAAGATAGACAACCTTAATCTGGTGCAAATCCATGGGTAAGACAGACAACAGTTTGGGTTGATATAATTCTCTGCATCTAACGACGAGATCAGTACTGCAATGTATTGAAGTGAGGAAGATTATATGCAGCTAATAATCTCCCAGGGTCGAGAAAAATTGTAACATATTAGAGAAAAACACGGTAAATGCGGATCTAGTACCTATAGATACTAAACTCAAGTTGCTACACTGTTCTGGCCTTGGGTACACCATTTTTGCAACAAGTTTATGTTCATCTTTTGGTTGTATAAGCTCCTACAAAAGAAAAATGCGAGAATAAAAACATTAAAATCAAACTTTAAACATGAAGTTTCAAACAATCTCACAATCACAATGACAACCTAAAACTATAAAACTACCAAATGTCTTAGAAATCTTACAGAGAGTACTACAATGCGAGATTTGCGTCATGTGGCAGAAAATGCTAACGAACTTTTTAACCTGTCACGTGGTAGAAAACTTTTGGTGATTCTAGAGACCAAAGACTCTTGCATTATTGAATACATTATGGTAAAGAACATACAAATTACAATGTAGTCTGAGACATAGCCCATTGGAAGGGCTATATTGATCTGAACCATCTTTAATAGATTTCTAGCCTTAATGAGACAACACATAATGAGATTCGAGCCTTAAATTTGACTATGGAACTCTAGACAGAGTTATACACATCTCTATATTGATGAATACCCTGTAAACCAACAAGTTATACCCTGAGTCCTCTAAGAAATTATATAACATAACATCATAAATGATTAGCCAAGTTTTTAATAATTATCCATCGTTCATCAGGGATTCCAATTAATTATCGTGGTCAGCTTATTCTTCATTCACAAGTTTGATCAAGCACATACCTTCAGAAGAGATCCGAGAAAAAAGGAATATGCAGAACTCTAGCAAGCATATCCGTTTATTCCCAGCAACTCTGACAATAATATAGATAATAAACAGCAAGAATCAAAAACAATTAGATGTGCCCCATTGTTAGATGGGTATAACAAGAGGAAGTAATTGTAACTATATACACAAGAGTAAACACGGCGTAGAAAATAAAAAACCTTTTATGATGCACATCCATGAAAAGTAAACCCTCAATACGAAGAGCAGTAATAAGTCATTCTCTGCAGAAAAATCAGTATCATTCCTGCTACAAAATGCATTGAATCAGCGGCCTTTACACACAACCAATAACCTAACACAGTAAAGAAAAAACCTGATAGCTTACGAATACAAATGCAATGGCTGTTTGGAGCTCAAAGATACTAACCTTCATAACATTTTTCTGATCGTGAGTACAACATTTTTTGCACCAAAGTTTTTTCTGAAGTTGCTGCACACAAAATATCACTAGCCAAAATTACTTATAATCAAATGAATCAAGTAAGCTGCAAGCTTGAGTTTGAGTAGTAAATTCAAGAAAAGCTTACTTTGCCTCTGTTTGTTGAGCTTGAGAAAAACTATGAAAAGGATTGAAACCTGAATTTAACCACAAAGTTTCAGAAAATAACACAATCATCTTACTTTGAGGCTGAACCATAGAAGAGACTTACAGTCAAACATGTGAGTAGTTCCCTAAGGAAGCTGCAAATTATGTTGCCGCACTAACTTTACTTGTGTATAATAAACGCCAAAATATATAATTATCTCAAACTATTTCAAATGAGTTTTTGTGATTGGATAAATAAAAATAGTTGATTGTGAGTCTTTTACGTGCACATTTCTGGTATTGTGTTTGTATATAGTGTGTAGTTTGTGAAATTTTTACTTTTGAGTGATTAGCTTGACGTTTTTGTTTTGTTGTGTTTGACGTTTTTGTTTTGTTGTGTTTGACGTTTGAATTGTATTTAGTTTTATTTTAAGTGGTTAGCTTGAAGTTTTTGTGTTGTTGTTTGGTTGTGTTTTTTTTTTTTTTTTTTTTCTGTGTTGTGTTTTAGTGTACGTATTTTTCTAAAATTATGGACTTATGCATGAATTATAGAGAGAAAGAGAGAGTCACTTCACTTCCCCAATTGTTGATCGCGTCTTCGTTATGAAATCGCCTCCCCGTTTTTTTATTCTCTATCTTTAGTCCTCAAAGATCCCTTTGCTGATTCTGCGACGAGTGAATAAAACTCAGTTAGGAACATACAAAACCACAAACTAAGCAAAGGAATAAACTTACTAAAAATCTTACAGCATCTAATCCGAGGGAAGTTTTTGCTGCTTTCTCAAAGACATTACAGTTAAATTTGAAAAACTGCAGCCCAAGCTTGAGCCTATAACGTGATAGAAATGTCTCAGTTTTTCGAAAAGAACAAAGATTATTGCATTGAAGAGTAAGGTGTGGTGAAGAACATACCGTGTAATATGTGAAAACATGTTAAAGTGATCTTAGACACCTTATCATCAAATTCGAACCCAAGCAAAATAATGCCATTCCAAAAGCCAAATCAGTGCCTACAAAAAAAAAAAGACAGAAGCAGACACAGGAAGTTAGTCTTGACAATAAATTCACCTTGAATCCTTGATGATGAATTCAAAAATGTAAGATTAGCAAAGTTTGACATTATTACCCATCGTTCATAAAAAAAATTCCATCAATTATAGTAATCAGCTTCCGGACCAGTAGCACCTAAACGTTGCCCAAGCATAATCATGTCATTCTGGCTTACGAAATGAATAGTTCACTTCAAGCACAGCCAACTTCAGAAGACAAAATTTAGAAATCAGCACTCCAAAACCAGCAAAGCAGAGCCATTTCCACCAGACTTCTCTAACAATCATGTAGATATAGCACAAGGAAAAACACATTAGAACACTTGTACTCTACGTAGAATGTCAAAGAGTTCATATATGCCAAAGCATAAAAGAATAGTTCAATTCACAGAATTTTAAATGTCATATAGAAGATATAGAACCTTGATTTGGTGCACATCCATGAAGATTGAACTCTCGAAAAGAAGGGTTGAATTAATATCGTCGTTCTCTGCAGAATAGCAACATGATCATTGTTCCTGCAAATAAATTGAATCAAAGGCCACATTACAACTATTCATCTAACATGGTAGCGAAAATTCAGGTAGCTTTTCCCGATACAAAACCATGACCAATCTTCCCAGGTACATAATTGGTTCTATATTATACATTTTTAAATAATTGGGTTTCAATTGAACAAACATGTATGCAGCTAGTACATACCTTCAAAAAAGATATCCAAGATAAAATGTAGAAATAAGAACTCGAATAATAAGATGCAAAGCCATTTTGTCCTAGACCTCTGCAAAATCATGCAGATAATCAATAGCAAGAACACGATAGAGCTCATAGATACCAGAATATGAGGATATTATTCAGCAAAAAAAGTTTAAAATTAAAAGATAGAAAACCTTGATCTGGTGCTTATCCATGGAGAAAGAATTATCGAAAACAAGATCATGAAGTAAGACAGACAACTGGATATGATTCCCTGCATAATAACAACAGGATCAGTGCTATTGAAGTGGCGACCATTATATGCAGCTAATTATTAAAAAGGGTAAAGAAAAAATATAGTTAAGAATCTGATTGCCGATCTAATACCTACAGGTAGTACTAAAATCAAGCTGCTACATTATTCTGGCTTTGTGAACACCTTTTTTTCAACGAGTTTATGTCATTGTTTGATTGTATGTGCGCCCCTGCCAAGGTAAAATTCGAAAATAAATACACTTTAAACATGAAGTTTTGAACAGGCACAATCTTTTTATATAATCACAATGACAACTAACTATAGGACTACACAAAAAATCTTACAGAGAGTATAATGCTATATTGATGAAAAATTCATTTAATAGAATTCAATCCAAAATAAGAACTGATGTCAATACTAAACAGAAGGAATTAGACAATGTAACATGTGAAAACAGAACGTAGAATTGAGGCATTATTTTATAGAACGTAGAATTTGGTAGCTGACCTATGATGTGATCAAGATATTACTCGACATTCGTATATTCCTTTTTCTGTCCATTTCATTGGAATGTCCTGAAATGTTCGAACAATTCAAATCCCACACATGTCTTGCACTAACTTCTTCATGTAATACTTTGATTTCCTCGAAAGATTTGATCCTGCAAAATTTCACAGTCAAGAAACGGTTTTCTCTTAACTGTACATCTGAAAACATAATACTTGACTGTGAAGAGAAAACCGTTTCTTGATGAAACTGTTTGGTTAAAAGTTTTGTGATTATACCGAGAAATTTATCTCCCTGGCATTGTACACAGCAATCTGATGAAACTGCGATTACTGCAACTTCTCCCCATTTTTCTTCAAAGAAATGGAAAAAGCCGCACAAACGAATCCAAAGCTCAGTAGCTGAACACAAAAAAAAAAAACGATTAGCCGTTTGATGCTAAACACTGAAACAATGAGAAGTGGAACCTCATGCTAACCTTCTCATCAGTTTTGGGAACTTAAGTTCCAGATTCTTCCAGACGTTTGAATATTTGTCTAATTCCAGAAAGATCTTCCACTTCCGCCTCTCGGGTTCCTTCGTAGACATCAATCTAACATGAAGGGTCAATATCTTTTGTAAGAAAGATTAAAACTTAAAATGAAAATAGTTGTGTATACCTTGCAACCATAGTACCCATTCCATCTCTTTTGAAAAGCTCTAACAATAGCACTCTGCTTTGAGTACCATCCAACAAGTGAACTCTTTTGACACCACCCTTCAATACATCAATGAATAAGGAAGGTTAGAAATAAACAAAACAGAGCACAAGGGTTAGCTAAAGGACTCACTCTGAAGACGAACGCTGCTGCAGCCAGTTCAGAGAAATATCCGGTCAAGCGGCTAAGTCTCTCCTCGCTGCCAATAGCAAAACCTTGCTCTCCAGACCCAACCCATTCCTGTTGTCAAATCCATCTATCTTCGTCACTTCACTAGTTGCTCCAAAATCAAAACCATCAACGTCTCTTCTCTGCCATGATAATTTATCAGACAAAACATGACAAGAATTGACATATAAACTAACACAGATCAAGAAAATGGAAAACTCACCTTTGCTGCAAAGAAGTTACCAGTGTCGTCCCGAAAACCTGTTTCTTGCAAACAACTACTATCACCATGTCGGCGTATATTGTAAATGGAAGGTCCGGGAGATAGTGTGGCCTCAATCATTACAGATATTGCTCCCCTAGCTTCTTTGGCAGCTTGCAGAGATGTAACGACCCACATCCTGCAACTGATACACCTTAGGCTCCATCTGAACAAGCTCAAGGATTCATGAAATTATCACATTCAACTTATTCACATTACAGATGCAATATTCGCCATCATTAACTGATGAAACCATTACTTGACGAGGACAATGAATTACCTTAGATAGATCAATAGAAAGGTGAAATCACTAAACAAGCCTAGCATGATAACTACAAGTGATAGCGAAGTTTAAAACAGGTAAATATAGAGGCAAGGTTGCTTTTCTGACCTCTCTCAGCTACAATCTGGTCGATTTGCAGTTGAGACTGTTGAGTTCCAGGGAACTAGAACAAATCTGGTGAAGAAATGCTATGTCCTGCACATATGTCAAATTGATTTCACTTTGAACTCAAAAGTTAAATTTAAAGCAGATTGAACATTATCTAGCTTCCTCTCAATGCTTAATAGAACATTCAAGTCAAGAGATAAAAGCTACATAGTTGCAGATGAATAAATAAGATCAATGTGCAATCAATACGACGTATTTCACTAAAGAACCCTTGAAAGGATCACTGGAAGACTATAACACTTAAGCTTGAGAACAAAGACAATGTAACATGTGAAAACAGAACATAGAATTTGGTCAAGATAATACCTGACACTCGTATATTCCTTTTGTTGTAGGCTTCCCTATAGCCAGGTCATCTGCATTAAACTTTTTGATTCCAAACACAGCTATTTTGCACTAATGCCTTGGATGGAGAAATATAAACCTTAACACCACAATTCGATGAATTCTGTTCCCTGATCGTGAAGTTTTTGTTTTAAGTGCTGTGTTTTTGTTTTGCCTATTTGAATTTTTTTCTATGCTCGTGAATTTTATGTTTTGAATGTTGTGTTTTTGTGTTTATGTTTTGTTGTGTTTTGTGTTTTTGTATTCTGCTAGTGAAGTTTTTGTGTTTTTGTGTTTTTGTGTCGAGTTTGATGTTTTTGTTAGTCGTGCTGTGTTTTGTGTTTTTGTGTTTTTGTGTCGAGTTTGATGTTTTTGTTAGTCGTGCTGTGTTTTGTGTTTTTGAAAACTGCAATTTTGGTGTTTTAACCAAACATGCCAGGCTATACTAGCCCATGAAGCACGAATAAATATGCTAAAGAACTTATTCATAAGGCTAGAGACATGAGAGGAGAGGGAGATTGAATTACTTACCCATGGCTGATCTAGTAACTTACAAATATAATGAATACATGAAGCCCGAGTTAAAGCTTATTCTGGTTTTGTTTGTATGAGCTCCTGCTTAGAAAAAAGATATATGAAAAAGAACATTAACATTCAAAACCATACTTTAACCATAAAGCTTCAAACATCTCACAATCATCTTACTCTGAACCTTAGATAGATGAGACTTACTGCTAACATGTGACTATTTTTACCTGGAACTGGTAAGCATTCCTGTTGCTGCACCTTCTTATAAAGTAATCCGTAGTGTTTGAAACTCAAATTTACTGCAGTCACCAAATAAAAACTAATATCAGCAACAGTACAACGTTCACAAACTAATGATGGTGCTTTATCTCATCATTCTAAAGTTTTCCAGGATAACCAAATTAATGAAGCAAAGAAATCGGCATAACAAAAGAAAAAGGTAGAACCATCTTAAATTTGAACAAGAAAATATAAAAGAAATTTGTTGCTTGTTATTTATTTGGGGGATTAGCAAAAATACCCCTTTTCTCATGCCCCTTTTCAAAAATGCCCCTTTTAGATGTCCATTTTCAAAAATGCCCCTTTTTAAATCTGAAATTTTTATAAAGTTTTATTAGGTTTATAAGGTACTTATGGATTGTAACTACTACTTGAAGACTCGATCCAAGTATTTATAAGGTTTTATAAGGTGTTTTTAAAGGTTTTACAAGTTATTTTAAAGGATTTTTAAGGTTTTTCAAAGGTTTTACAAGATATTTTAAAGGTATTTAAAATGCATTTATAAGGTATATATAAAGTATTTATAAGATTTTAGATACATAGAAATGTAGTTTGTGTATGTTTTAATAATATTACATACATATTTAGGTAAATCTTATATTTTTAAGAGCATTTTTTATAAGGTTTTTAAAAAGGGGTATTTTTGAAAAGTGGCATTGAAAAAGTGGCATTATTAACAATTTCCCTATTTATTTTCCAGTTATGATCCTAAAGATTGCTAATTCCCAAAAAAAACTGCTCGTGGAAAATTCCTTTCCTATACAATAGCAGAAGCTGTTTCTAAGAACTCTAAGAACTATTGTTTCCTTTTCCTTTACCATCATTCAGAATCCGCAACAGTAAAGTTGGAATTCAATCCACGATTTATCCATAACCAAGGATAACAATCCACGATTTGCAGGTTTTAAAGCGTAACCTAGTTGATAAAAAACAAATAAAAAATCAGAAGACATCGACGGACACTAAAGTATCAGATACAAAGTAAAACCCTAATTAGAAAGCGACGCAGTAAGTACCATCATCATCACATGAAAAAATGGAAAATCAGAAGACATCGATGCACTAAGAATCAAATACAAAGTAAAACCCTAATTAGAAAGTGGCGCAGTAAGTATCATCAATTCATCATCGTCACATGAACAAATTGAAAAATCAGAAGACAACGATGCACTAAGTAGAAAGCGATAAATTCATTTTTATGAGAATTCAAAACCCCAAATGATTTGTTCGAATATTGATGCAAAAATTGATTAAAATCTCAAAACAATTCGCCGAATTAAAAAAAAAAAAAAAAAAAAAAAACCAGGTTTATCTAACATAAATTAAGAGAGAAATAGACGAAACTCACAAACATTTCCATTGAAATCGATCTTCAAATCAACATCAAGAAACAGAGGCGATCAATGGACTTAAGGAAGAAGAAGGACGTTCTTAGAGAGAGAGAGAGAGTTCAAAATCATGTCTAGGGTGCGAGAATCATTTACCGTTGTGATGATAATGGGAAAACAAAAATGCTAATGAAGGATTAAATAAAGATCTACCCCGTAATTTACACTTATTTACCACTTCTGCCCTTGCTAACTACAGCTGGCTTCTTGCTTCACACACGTGGCGCATATAAATTTTGAATTTGGCTCCTAAAACATAGTGCCGTTTGAGTATTATCTAACAGACAACAAAATAAATATGAGAAATTGTTAAAAATGCCCCTTTTTCAATACCCCTTTTCAAAAATGCCCCCTTTGAGAGTCCATTTTTAAGTTTGCCCTCTTTTAATTTTTAATGACCATTTTACCCTTATTTGAAACAAAATTAGGTCCACAAAATACAAAATATTTTTTGGCGGGAAAAGTGATCCCGCAATTTTCCCGCCAAAACACTTGTAAAAAACCTTTAAAATACCTTGTAAAATTTTCCCGTAAAAATTTTTCCCGCCAAAAAATTTTTTTTGCGGGAAAAGTGATTCCGCAATTTTTTTTTTTGGCGGGAAAATTTTTGGCGGGAAAAATTTACAAGGTATTTTAAAGGTTTTACAGAGTATTTACAAGTGTTTTGTAAGGTTTTACAATGTATTTTAAAAGGTTTTACAAGGTACTTATAAGGTTTTATAAGGTATTTATAACTTGTAAAACCTTATAAAAAACTTGTAAAACCTTATAACTTGTAAAAACCTTATAAAATAGCTTGTAAAATCTTATAATATCTTGTAAATACCTTGTAAATACGTTGTAAAACCTTTTAAAATACATTGTAAAACCTTATAAATACCTTGTAAAAAACCTTTAAAATACTTTGTAAATTTTTGGCGGGAAAAATTTAACGCCAAAAAAATTGCGGAATCACTTTTCCCGCAAAAAAAATTTTTTGGCGGGAAAAAATTTTACGGGAAAATTTTACAAGGTATTTTAAAGGTTTTTTACAAGTTTTTACAAGTGTTTTGGCGTAAAAAATTGCGGGATCACTTTTCCCGCCAAAATATTTTGTATTTTGTGGACCTAATTTTGTTATATTTCCTTATATATTTGTGATATCTTTTATTAAAAGAAGGGTAATTTAGTCATTTTGTACATAAAAAGGGGTATTTTTAAAAATGGACAGCCAAAGGGAGTATTTTTGAAAAGGGGTATTGAAAAAGGGGCATTTTTGTGAGTCTCCCAATAAATATTTTGATTTGTTGCATTTAGTTTAATTTTAAATGTATTTGATACTTTGTGACTATTTATATTTTGCATTTTTTTTTGTAATTGTTTGGCTTTTCTAAATTAAATATTAAATGATAGTTAAAAAAAAATATGTGTTTTTAACTAAACCATCATATATGTGATTCAAAAAGTCTCCATAAAGTGATTCAAAAACTGATTTGTAGATGTGATTTGTTGAATAATAAATCAAACAAACCAATGTTTCATATTATCTTTATTAAAACAGCAATTTTACATAATAAAACTAATATATATCGCTTTTAGTTCTTTATATCGCACATATCCAAACATGAGTTCACACACATCATAGTCTTTTTCGCATCTAACTTTGTATCTGTTCGTAACACACGCAAAAGAAAACACACAAAGATATAAATAAATAGTCATAATAGTCTATCATATATAAATATAAACATCGTAAAAATGGCGCAGTAAAAACAAGAGTAATAATATAATTTTATATGAAAAATCCTATACTATTATTTGGGGAGTACACTTTATAAGATACCCTTAACTAACCTTCCCTTTTGTAAGAATTTACTTAAGAATGCCATTACAAAAATCTTCTTTTAGAACAAATTTTATTCAATTTATTAAGGATAAACAAGTAAAATACTAATTTATGTCATTTAATTAATTTAATTAAATTATAAAACGAAAATCTGTTATTTTTTTTTAAATGACCAATCAAAATGAACATATAAGATTTGATATCTAACTTACCATATTAATTTGTTATTAATCATTAAACTTCACCTCTCATCTTAATATGATTATATTAATATGAAACAAATAAATCATCATATCATCTACATAATAAAAAAAAAAGTAATTTTTTTTCTGCATATGCCAAGATTTGAATTTTTAAAAACGCATATAAATTGTTCAATCTATAAATGAAATAATTAAACGGGTCAAAAATTCAGACTTGAGTAATATATTTCTTTTACACAAAAAAAATCAACAAAAATTCCGACTGAGCAACGGGTCAGAATTTGAATATTTATATTCAATTTTATACATTTATTTTTTTGAAATGTATAATTTTATATACTAAAATAAAAAAATTTATATATATTTTAATTTGCAACATTTAAAATAAGTTTTACTTGATATTTTTAGAGAATATCATCAATACTTAATAGTTCAAAAAGTTAAAAATTATAAATACTCTAATTTGATTATTTTTAAAAATATTTATAATAGGTAGCGGGTTAAATATAATATATTATATGATGAAATGTGTTTTGATCCTTATAACTATTTGAATAGTTATATTTAATTTCATATAATTTGTTTTTTGAAATTCATAATTTTATAAACTACAAAAAAAATTAAAGATTTTAATTTGGAATATTTAAAAATAGTGTAGAATGGTTTGACACCTCTAAATATTTGAAAATTTGATTCCGCAAGCAATTTTAGAATTAACGAATAATAGATTGTGCACGCAATATTTTAAAATGAAATATTGAGATTCTAAAATAAAAATATAGACTCCACGCACGGGTTGATTTTGGTATTATTATATACTAAATATATGTTTATAACATATTCGATTATGCGAATAATTGGTAAATTCCGTAATTATAAATCTCAAACAAATTCTGTAATTAGATTAGCTCAAACAAATCTCTATTTCAACAACCTAAGAATTATAAATTGAAAAATAATTTTCTAAATTAATTCAAAATAATAGCTAATTTTTTTAATTAATTCAAAATAATCTATGTTTTATATGCGATTCATTTATGATATTTTAATTTTTGATCTAACTGAAATATATGCAATCCTATTTTGTGGTTGTTAACATAAATTAACTCATTGTTCAAAAAATATTACTTTTTAAAAAATAAAATTATTTTCTGTTTTCATATCTTAAAAAAAAATTATCCATAATTGAGTATTATAGAAAAAATTCTATATTTATTCTAATATTGTATATAGGGACTGACAAAAAAATTAATATTTTTCACTTACTATTATAATATATTAAAACTTAGTTTTAATATATATATTATATAAATTTTGTAATAAATAAAATTCAACCCGTACTTTAGTACGGGTGATGATCTAGTATAATTTATGATTATTGCAAAAAAAACTTACTGTGATTTTCAATAGAAACACAACGATGAGTAACACAACCCATTTTGCAATTCATTTCGGGAGGAGGCTTCCAACATTGTTCAGCACATTTGACTGGAAGTTTATCTCGTAAGGATGAAGTAGTAATACAAAGTTCAAGACACGAGAGGTAATCAACTGTATTTTGAGAACTAGATGTATCTAAACCATCCGATTCAACTATAAGGTTTCCAATCATCAACATCATCACCACAAATGTGGCCAATCTTTTGTTCTCCATTTTCTTTGAGGATACAAAGATTTTATCCATTTTTTCGTTCGGAGTAGTAGGAATATTGTTGAGGTTGATTGAAAGTGTTTGTAAAATATTTCAGTAAAATATTGCTTCCTTATATAGATTGTGATATTTGTATATCTACTATATTATAAAAAGAAAGACTTTTTTATAGTTAAAATCAACTTTTAGTTTGTTATAATTTACACCCCTTGTCATTAGAAAATCTATATAAATCATATCTTTTGACTTTTGCTTAAATTATTTAAAGGGTCTAAAAGCAAATTACACACATACACACAAATACAATTTCTCTTTAATAAATATTTTTGACAAATACTTTTACTAGTTAATTCTTATAATTTTAATTTATAAATATAATAAATTCAATTGATTTTATTATGATTAAATGATTCGACATTAGTTTTCTTTTTTATAGCACTAAATTCATTTTATTAAAGTCTTAAACTACATGTAGAAGAAGAAAGATAATAAGAAGAAAAAAATACTACCTTTAGTTTGTGATTATTTACCCATTGCCATTAATAACCTATATAAATAATATCATTTGCTTAAATTATTTGAAAGGGTCTCTAAAAGTATATTTCACACACAAACAAAATCTATTACATACACTTTAAAAAGATAATTTCAAAAAAAGTATTCTGTTTTAAGTTTTACAATTCCGTTAGTTTATATTAATGATAAGGTAGATAAAATTCATGAATAGATCTTCTCATCGGATTTCCACTTTCTGGGTATTTGTGACTTATTGTGCTTAAATTTGCGGCCATTTACAATCATAAATGGGTCTTGTTTACATTGTTCAAGGGATTGTTTCATGTTTGGTGAAAGTTCTTTGTTTTTTTTTTGTTATATGGGATTAATCTATGGAGCGATTCAATCCATAATCACAGCTAAGTTTATGTTTGTATAAAATATAAAAAAGAAAAAAAGAAAAAAAAGATTATGTTTGTATGCATCCCTCAAAGATTGAAGCCATAAGACACATTATATATATCAATCTTTATATGTTTGATCTCAATGACTTATGATGCCAATTGTAATAAAAGTTTTCTAACAAAATATATTTTCCTTTTTATTTTGACATCTTTGAATCGACAAGACCCGTTCCATAGTCATTCCCTAATATGCGGAGTAACGCGACTTAACAAAATATATTTTCCTAGAAACCGGTGTTTCAATATTTTTTTTCTAGATACGAACTCTTTATTTCTATACATAGAAAACACGATTTGATATCTTATATTTTTTCATATTCCAATATTTATACCTTACGGTTACGGGAAACAACAAAATCATTTTTGCTGATCTCTATTCTCACACATACAAAATCTATAAACAAAAAATACAAACTTCGAGTTATGTGTGTACTACGATTACATCACACACACGAACACATGTGAGGCACCTTCTAGTTGGGATAGAAGGTTTGCAATTCCCGGCAAAATTCAACACGTACACATGAGACCACTTTACTTACATCACATTCACATTACGTCATCCGTAATCTAATCCAACAGTCAGTCTTTCGACGAAGTTATGAACAACCGGTGGAACAATATCGAAGTGAAGATACTCCATAGCTAAAGCTGTTTGTACAGCAATATCTAACCTTCGGTCTTCGGCCGTGATGATGATCGGCCAGACTGCCAGAGTGCCGTTAGTGACGTAATCGTGAACAAGAAGAAGTTATTAATTTCGTTAAAGTTAAATGAGGCAGTATTAAATAAAACTCTAATAACTTATGGATTGCAATAACTCTCCGAATCAAACTCTACAACTTCACAATACTTTTGGAAATCTTAAAAGATAAGGGATATTTTAAGCGGACAACAAATAATATAATTGAACAAGGATGAACTATATAATCGGACAAGAAACTGATAAAGTGCGTTTAGGGAGAAGAATTTTCACTTCTTTGTAATCTGAATGACTGAAGACACTGTCTGGATAAGAGTCATGAGCAATAGACACGTAGCAGCTACGGTGGCTGTCCCTGTCCACAAGTCGCTACAATACACACGCCTGAGGACGGCGTATGACTTATTCCATTTGTTGTTGTAGTGTTTCCTGACTTGCCTTGCGATATCTGTATAGTAAGAGCCGTCGTCAATGACTCCCACACTGAGTTTGTTCACCATCTTCTCCACAGCACGATGCATGGTGCCCAAGCCAATTGGTTATTATCCCTTACAAAAACCAAAACCTTCATAAATCAATCAAAACTCACAAGTACACAAATTGTTAGGATCTCACATCATCATAAAGTGTGAAGCTCGTGATAGCTTAGTAGCTTATATATACATATAGAACTAGCTAATACAATAAATTTAAGGGTTACCTTTCTCGACAAGCAAGTCGACGTCCTTCTCGGTGTCAATGAGGAAATCCAAGAACATGATATAGTTACATACGTGGGCGTTAAGCGGATAATGACATTGCTCAAGTGCCATGATGTTTCTAATTTTCATCTCTGTTTGGTCTTCAGCTACAAAACATGGTATATACAAAACACCATTCTTGAATTTCACCTCGACCGACAACAAGTCGTCTATGGCCTTGAATTTCACTCCCCCGGTGTGTAGCTTGTCCGCACTATACATTTCATACATGGGCTCGTATTTCCCTAGATCATGATCCGGAACTTTCTTGACGCGGACACACCTTAACAAATCAGTAAAATGTCTAAACTTTGAGTTGTTTCCAAAACCATTTCGGAGTCCAAAATGGGTGATGGTTAATTCACTGAATGTCTGCATCCGGATGAGTGTAGGGACAAGTTGATCGAAGAGTTTCTCGAGGATGAAGTAAGGAAGCTGGTTCTCGAGCAAGATGAGATCTCCATCGACTGTGTATTCAAGACAAGGCTCGTCCATGAGAGGATCCCCGATCTTCTTTGGTTCCCATAAAGTATACCTCAAAAAGAACTCTAGCAAGAAAACAGAGTCGTGCAGGATCATGTCCACGAACTCTGGAGATGAAATCCAGGCCGTTGACTCAGAATAGCTTGCCCTGATTAGATCTTCATCTTCTTCGATTATTCTCCTGAATCCATCAATGGTTTTCTTCCCTTCAACCCGTCGTGCGAATTCCACCAAGTAAACTTTCTTGAGCTCCTCCATGTTTAAGTAGCCCATTGACTTCGTGTTTGTGATATCTCCACGAGACATGAGAGCTTGAGATTTTAAAGAATGGTGAAGAGGTCCAATGAGAACCAGTTGAGGCGTGTATGCTTCTGGGTTTACTTGACGCAAACAGTTTGGGACTCTGTAGATACAACAAAGATCAGGATCTCTAGGAAAACGCCACATTCCAGGAGCCGGTTTGTTCAACTCACGGCTAGAGCCCGCATGGAGATCCAAGATTCGTTCCATTGTTTATGGGTCGGAACCAATCTTATCTTCAAAACTCTCTTGAAAGTTGAAGCTTATAGAGAAAGAAGTTTGAAATTTCCCTTTCAGTGAAAGATGGGGTAATGAGGAAATGATGTATATATTTATGTAGGCCATGACCATATGTGGTGCATAATTCGGATAAGTATAACTATACTAGATACAAGACCTCGTGGGAGGAGGTATATGACCACAGAAATTCTTAGCAGCTTCGTGTTGATTGTAATGATTATGATATTTGCAGTTGCAGGTATATGTATATCCGGTGATTCCAAAAGTTCAAGTAGGAAAGGCTAAATCTCATAATTGTGTCTGGGACGTTAACTTGGGCATGGACCCATTTAATAAATGTGTATGTACAAAAAAAATTAACCCATTTAAACCCATTTACGGAAAAATGTTAAATGGGGTTATATGGGTTACCCCAATTAAACTCAATTACTCCCTCTGTTTCACAAAGACTGTCATTCTAGAGTTTTATTTTTGTTTCACAAAGAGTGTCATTCTACATTTTCAATGTGATTTTTCCACAAAATTTCCTAATTTACCCTTAACCTAAAGCTACTTCTCATTGAATTTAAATCATTAATCACTTAATAAATAGGGACATATATGTATAACTCATAGTTTTCTTAATTTGTGTGAAATGTGTCAAAATGACACTCTTTGTAAAACGGAGGGAGTATTAAATGGGGTTTCACACAATTAAATGGGTACCCATTTAAGCCCATTTATGTTTTTTTTTTTATATTAGTTATTTTTTATAATAATGTTAATATCTTAATAACTAAAATAAAAGAGAAAATTATTAAATATATTTAAAACTAAATTATATATTTACGGTTTTGGCGGGAAAATGCGTGTTTAGGGTTTTGGCGGGAAAACGCGAGTTTACGGTTTTAGCGGGAAAACGCGAGTTTACGGTTTTGGCGGGAAAACGCTATTTTATAGGAAAATAATTTTTGGTGATAAAACGCAATTTTGCGATATTGGTGGAAAATGGCGTTTTCCCGCCAAAACCGTAAACCCGCGTTTTCCAGCTAAAACCATAAAATTGCGTTTTCACGCCAAAACCGCAAACCTGTGTTTTCCCGCCAAAACCGTAAACCGCGTTTTTTCCGCCAAAACCGTAAAATTACGTTTTATCACCAAAAATATCATACCATAAAATGACGTTTTTTCCGCCAAAATCGTAAACCCGCATTTTTCCGCCAAAACCGCAAAATTACGTTTTTTCTAAATTATATTATTCTTCAACAAAATATTAAAAACAGTTATATCATTATTTTTCAAATATATTTAATGAAATAGTCTGTAAATTTTAAATAATCAATTAAAATAATTATAGATTATATTATATTGTTTTGAACAAAACAATGTTATATGGGTCTAAATGGGTTTAAATGGGTAAAGGAAATTTAAATGGGAAAAATGTCGAAAAATGCGCCAACTTTCAAATTTGGGACGATTAAAGCATGAACTCTTGAAATGTCTCTTTAATCACCAAGTTTATGTTGACCTGTCTGAAAATAGCTAAGTTTTGGTTGACCTAGCCAAATTAGGCATCCCGTTAAATCTCCGTTAGAACGACGCTGACGCTGTTAACAATCCGTTAGAAGTCTCCGTTGGATCAAAACGACGTCGTTTTGAAGTTTTCAAACGACGTCGTTTCAGCAGAAAATAAGAAGGAAAAATGGCATCTTCAAAGATTCGAACCGCGGACCTGTTACACTAATAAGAGACACTCTACCATTGAGCCACGAGAACATTTTAATGTTATAAAAAACAGAACATGTATATATACTAAAAACTGGCAACATAAATTAGGTAAAAATATATGCAACTAATTTAAAATAAAAAAATTAAAAAACAAATTAGTAACCAAACATATACAAATATTAAATATACTTACCTTAAATATTTATTTCAAAATTTAAATATTTAATTATATATATAAAGATTTTATTCTATTTTGGAAATTATTCTTTCCAAAATTATAAAAACCTAAACATATGAAATAAAGAAAATTAAATATATGACCTAAAATTTATACAATACTTCTCATATAATTAATTTTATATCATAAATTTAATTTTTTTTATATGAGAAGGAATTTCGGAAGGAATAATTTTCCAAATATGGAAGAAATCTTTATGTATAAAAAAATATTTGAAATTTTGATACATATATTTATGATAAGTATATTTAATATTTGTATTTTTGGTTATTATTATTTTTTAGTTTTGTTATTTTTAATTAATTGTATAATGTTATTTTTAATATATATATATATATATATGTTTTGTTTGTTATAACATTAAAATGTTCTCGTAGCTCAATGGTTGAGTGTCTCTTATTAGTGTAGCAGATCACCGGTTCGAGTCTTTGAAGATGCCATTTTTCTTTCTTATTTTATGGTGAAACGACGTCGTTTGAAAACTTCAAAATGACGTCGTTTTGATCCAACGGAGACTTCTAACAGATTGTTAACAGCGTCAGCGTCGTTCTAACGGAGACTTAACGTGATGCCTAATTTGGCCAGGTCAACGAAAACTTTGCTATTTTCAGACAGGTCAACATAAACTTTGTGATTAAAGAGACATTTCGAGAGTTCATGCTTTAATCGTCCCAAATTTGAAAGTTGGCGCATTTTTCGACATTTTCCCAAATTTAAATGGGTTTAAATGGGGAGGATAAATGGAGTGTAAACTTAAATGGTGTTAAATGGGGTGGGTCTAAATGGGATGGGTTTTAAATGGGGTGAGTCTAAATGGGGTGGGTTAGCCCATATTAACATCTCTAATTGTGTCCATTACTGTTGGCCAAATAATAAAGCCCAACTAAATTTAGAATGGATCAAAAAAAAAATTACAAAATTGGAAAATTTTCAGATTTTTTTTTTAATTTACTGACTTTTATATATAATAAATAATTATTAAATTTTAAAAATTATTATTTAAAAAAAAAAACAAAGTCTTGCGGTATACCACAAATTAAAATATTGTTCAATCTATAATCACAACCAAGATTATGTTTGTAACTTTGTATGCATCCGGGGCATAATATACATATCAATCTTTATATGTTTGATGTCAATGAACATTTGATGCCAATTGTAATATCTTTTTTCTAACAAAATATATTTACCTAGAAACCGGTGTTTCAAAAAAATTTCTAGCTATGAAACTCTTTGTTTCTACATTAGAAAACACGATTCGATATCTTACATTTTTCATATTCCAATTTTGATACCTTACGGTTACGGGAAACAACAAAATCATTTTTGCAGATCTCTATTTTCACACACAAAATCTATAAACATAAATACAAACTTCGAGCTATGTGTGTGTACTAGGATTACGTCACACACACACATGTGAGGCTCCTTCTAGTTGGGTTAGAAGGTTTGCAATTCCCGACAAAATTCAACACGTACACAATGAGACCAGTCAACAACACTTTACTTACATCACATTCACATTACGTCATCCGTAATCTAATCCAACAGTCAATCTTTCGCCACGTCATCATCCCTCACACGTGTATGGCTCCTAATCCTCCTCAACTCCTGAACAATCTCTTTAGCGTCCGGACGATCATCCTTATCCGTCGCAACACACCGGAACGCCAACTCAGCAACCGCCGCAACACCGAATCCGTCAGTCACCGCCGCCACATCATCGCCGTCTAACGCAAGCAACGGGTCAATAACTTGATCCAAAAGACCCATCTGGATCTTGGATACAACAAGATCCGCTAAAGCCATGTCCCTCTTCTCACGACGTTGATCAACAGCTTTCATACCCGTAATCAACTCCATCAAAACGACACCGTAGCTATACACGTCACTCTTCTCCGTTAACCGAAAAGACCGGTGATAATCCGGGTCTAAATAACCGGGCGTACCTTGTGGTCCGGTACAAACATAATCAGACGAAGAAGCTGAATTCACCGTCGTCTCTGACAACACCAAGAGCCTAGAGAGACCAAAGTCTCCGACTTTGATTGTCATATCCTTCTCCACAAAGATATTCGATGAAGTTATGTCTCTATGAACAACCGGTGGAACAATATCGAAGTGAAGATACTCCATAGCTAAAGCTGTTTGTACAGCAATATCTAACCTTACACGCCACGTCATCTTCGGTCTCCGGCCGTGAAGATGGTCGGCGAGAGTGCCGTTAGTGACGTAATCATGGACAAGAAGTAGTCCTCTCGGGTCAGAGCAATAGCCATGGAGCTTGACGAGGTTCGGGTGGTTGATTGAAGAGAGGATCAAGATCTCGTTGCAGAAGGACTTCATCGAGAATGCTTTGCAATGCTCGGTGGCGGCGGCGGTTGCGCCGTGGTGATGGTGGAGGAATTTAACGGCGAGGAGTTGTCCGTCGCTGAGTTGGCCTAAGTAAACAGAACCGAAACCACCGTCGCCGATTTTGCGCTTGGGGTCGAATTTGTTTGTGGCGGATTCGAGCTCTTCGAAGGTGAAGACTGGTGGGAGAAGAGCGGCGGAGCGGTGGCGGCGGAGGAAGAGAGCAGCCGGGTCTTCTTCGTTGACTGAAGACAAGAAACTCGCTCTCCGTGATCGGAAAATCGCTACGGCGACGGAGAAAGCAAGCAAGAGACATGTCAAAGCGAAGATAAGAGACAACACAGCGATGTGATTGACTCTTTTAGAATCTCTCTGAGTTACTAATTCGGATCTTGATTTGTGGAAACAGAGGAAATCTTGATTCGGGTGGGTCGAATTAAACCCGCAAACACCATTCTTGATTTGACAATCTCTGCATTTAGCAAAGTAAGGATCTTGAGATTCGTCCCATTCAACTTCAAATCCAAATCTAGTGAAGAAATCTTGCAGAAACCCAAGAAGATCTCCTTGACAGCCTTGTTCAGATAACGACCCGTGGGTTGATTCGCAACCGTGGAGGATCCGACCCGGATTCTTTAGAAGTTTACAGTCCCAAGGACAACGAGAACAGTTAGGGAGAGTTAAAGGAGAACAAGGACGGAGAAGAGAGAGACGAGAGCAAGAAGAGTCAGAGACTCTGAAAGGTGAACCGGTTAAGTCGATGAACCGGTTTGGTGAGGAGGAGAACCGGAGAGAAGAACAGTTGTTGTTGGTCCGGTTAGAGTTTGTGATGGGAGAGAGGGTTAGAGAAGAGGAGAGAGATGAGTAATGGAGGATAGAGAAAGTGAGGTTTTTGATAGTGATGGTGGCGCGTGAAGATGAGCATTGGATCTGGAAGTTTGGGTGGCCACATCCCGGAGAAGATGAGAATGGGTACGGTGGTGAGGAGTTAAACGGTGGGCAATGAAATGAAGAAGAACATGAAGTAGATGCAGAAGAAGTTTTAGTAACAATGGTGAGAACAAAGAAGAGTAGAGAGAAGCATCTCCACGGTGGTTGAGACATGAAAAAGAGAAAGAAAGAGATCTGATTCTAAATCTGTTGACTGAACTTTTTCGATGTGGACAGTGTTGTGAGGAAGAGGAAGAAGAAGAAGAGGCACGTGAAGGTTTAGGAACTTGGAACTGAAGAGTTTCGATTTTGTTTTTATTTTATAAAAATAAATATCTTAATAAATCTTTTTTAGTAATTTTTTTTTAATTTTTTGGTTTTCGACTCTCCATAAAGGCATACACAGTGGGAAACCTTAGTTTTGGGTGTGACCAATATATTTATTATAATTTTTTTTAAGAGAGAGAGATTTGGTTAGAGGAGAAAGAGAGAGGAGAGAGAGGAGAGAGAGGAGAGAGATAGATGAAACATAAAACATTAAAATAATACCCACACCCAAGTGTTATCTCACACCCATGTGTTACACGATTCTATTATTTTTCTTTTTAATAATATTCACACCCCACCAAAACATACACCACTGTGTATGGTCTAAGCACTAGGCAATGAAACTCTAATTCAAATTATTTTTAGAAAAGTTGTATATGAATGAGAGTAAGAACAATATTTCCTTTTTAAAAAAAAATTAGGCATATGAATTATGAAGTTATTGAGAAAGTATATGAATGTGAGTAAAGAGCAAATGGGAATATAGAAGCAAAAAGAAAAGTCAAAAAGTGACGACAGACATAGTAGACAAATGGAAAAAAAGTGTTCAGGTTAAAGTGAATGCTTTAATTTGTCAATAATGAAAATGGATGCTTATATCAGTCTTTGAATTATTGCTAGAAAATCTAAGGAACTTGTACTTTTAGCAGAAATGGTTGGTGAAGAGGCAGAAGAGCCAAAGATCAACGACTCTATAAAAATATGCATATAATCAAATTAAATTCAACTCGTTTAAAGGGTGTTTTAAGTGGTCTTAATCTGTATTGGTGGAGTAAGATCGATAAAGAGCTTTTGAGTTATAGAAATAAACAAGTTTTTCTTCATCTGTTTGGGTCGAGTGATATGTAACTTTGCCTATTTGTATCGGTGGTTTGAGGAAATTTTTCTATGCTAATGGGTCATGAAATTGCATATGGGATAGTGTGGGATTGTATATGCATTTTATTCTCGTTAGATGGGAATTCTCAAATTGGTGTTAATATCGCAGGGTGTTAAAACCGCGGAATCACGTTTAAACCACCCAACCATGTTTTGGTGCTAGTATCGCGAAATCACAATTTGCCGTTAGAATTACGGAATCTCGTTTTGGCATCAAAACAGTTTATTTTCTTTATTTTTTTCTTCAAAGTTTGACTAGTTTTATCTCTAATTTTTGTTTTGTAAACTCACAAACAAACAGTTTTGGATTGAATACTGCATGGAGATCCAATAATTAGTTTAAGAAACAAATCTTCGATATTACATCAAAATGTTAGATCTCGTTGCATATCCGGATGAAGAAACTAACAAACATATTCATTACGATACTCACATCTCTTGGCTTGATCTTGCAGGTCCTGCTCATTGGTCGTATACATTAATGAAAAATAAATTGTAGCTCATTTGTTCACATATGAGTTTTGTCCTTCAAACATAAATCTAAAGGAGCAATGATACATACGTTGATTTGGGAGTTTGGGGCCTTTCCTCCAGTCATGATTCAAAAAAAGGGGCAATTAATGCGATGCGATGCGATGCGATGCGACCAAATAAAGCTGACCTTTTTTGGTGTCTCACTCTTTAATAATGGCTCAGTGATTAAGTTTCTCCATTTAATCATGAGACTTTTGAAAATTCATATTGTACTTTGGGCTTGTACCGTTTGAAAAAAGTTGTATTATTGGGCCTCCATTTCGACCCATACTTAGCAAGCTATTATATATTTTGTTGATCCACATAAAACAGCAAATATAGGCCCATGCCTTGATGCCTAGTGCCACCACGTCTATATCCAAGTTTAGAAGCTTCTTTGCACACCAAAAAAAAAAAAAAAAAAGAAGCTTATAAAATAGTACAATATGTCAGATTTTATATTTATTTTTCAAAATATCATTAAAAAGACTTGACTATAATTGGATTTTTCCATTGTATTTCCTATTTTTTGTCTTCTTATTTATTTCAACATCTTATTTATTTTCAGTTTTTTTCCCCTTAAAATAAGACTCTTAACTCTTAAGTTAAGCCAGTGTTTTTAAGTTATTTATAAGAGATTTTATACCATTTTAAGAAAAATATTAGCAAGCACTAAAATTATTTCCATAAGCTTTTTCATTTTTAACTATTTTTAGATTATATTATTATGTGAAACTAAATACAAAAAGAAAGTTAATTTCACAAATTTACCTTTTGCCCGAAAATTTTGTATTATACCATCTATTAAATTTTAAAATGTAACATGCTAACACTGGTTTTTTTTTCATAATTATTCAAACGCTCATTTAAAAAGAGGGTTGACTTTTGTGATATAGAAATATCACAAATTACAACTAGTTTCATAAAAAAAAAGAAGAAAAAAAAATGAATCTTGCTAACATCTGGACCGAGTCACGGAGACTAATGAGAAACAGCCTGGAAATTATTTTGACAAAATCACTCTTTCTTATAATAACAATATAATTAAATTGAAATAACTAAGAAAACACATATGTCACCAAACAAATCTACGCGCAACATTTCAATTTTATGAAATGGTAATACTTGGAGAACAAATAATATACTAGAAAATGTCGTATAAATACTTATACGATCATAACAAAAATCTCGCCGTCTCCATAACGAAGAAAAAAAGTAAAGAAAATGGAGTTATTCAATAAAGGCACGGCCGTTAGATTACGGAGCTGTCACGAAAAATACATCTTCGCCGTCGACGATGAAAAAACCGTCCGTCAAAGCTCTGACGGAACGTCACGGCAATCGTTATGGACGGTGGAGATGGTGCCACGTAAACCCAAATTCATCCGTCTCAAGAGCTGTTACGGCAAGTATTTAACGGCGAGCGAGTCGTCGTTTCTTCTGGGAATGACCGGAGCGAAAGTCATCCAAACGCCGCCGTTTCGTCAAGCTGAGCACGAAAGCGACTGGGAGCCAATCAGAGAAGAGTCAACGGTCAAACTCATGTCGTGGAACGAGAAATATTTACGTGGGAACGGAGGAGCTCCGCCGTGGAAGAACTCTGTGACGTGTGATCGTGAGCCACATATTTCAGCGACGAAGAAATGGATCTTGTGGTCTGTGGAGCTCGTTGAGAATCCTGATAAGGTTTTGTTTGCTGATCGTTTTTCATCACCGGCTTCGAGTTTTAACTCGTCGGTCTCCGACGGGTCAAATCACGGGTCACCGGTTCAGAAATTACCGACTTTTGGATCTTCCGAATCTATCGGGTCGGATCCTGGGTCACTTGCATCGGTTTCTTCTTCTAAACTTATGTTTACTCCGTCAAGGTCGGGTACATTGTCCCCAAAACCAACAGAGGTATACTTCAATTCTAATTCCCAGATTTTTTTTTTGTTTTGATAAATTTATACACACAATAACGTATTGATTTTGGGGTAATTTGTTTTGGAACAGAGGAAAAGTTCGAAGAAGATAATAGTAGAAAATGTATCAGCTATGGAAATATTCCGGGATGCGAAATCGGTGCGTTTACGAAGCACCGCACACGATAAATATATGACTGCTGATGACGACGAAGAGAGTGTGGTGATGGGCAAAAACGGGTCATCTAAAGAACTCGATGGAGAGTTGAAATGGTACCCGGATCCGAAAAGGCGATCCGGTTAAAGAGCTGCCACGGTGGATACTTGACGGCGTCGAATGAGCGGTTTTTGTTGGGAGCGACGGGGCATAAGGTGGTGCAGTCTAGGAGGATCCGGGCCGGTGAGCCGGCGGGAGAGTGGGAGCCGGTGAAAGAAGGTTCAAATGTTAAGCTGAGGAGTAGAAACGGCGGGAATTATTTGAGAGCCAATGGGGGAGTGCCACCTTGGAGAAATACGGTTACACATGATTCACCAAACCGGAGTGTTACGCAGAATTGGGTGGTTTGGGACGTTGATGTGGTCGATATTCATGGGACCGGTTGATTCATGACTTTAAACTCGTCTTGAGACTTTATCATTATGTTTGCAACATGATTAATGTTCGTATTTTGATTATTGGTTGGATGTCACTGGAATGCGTGTTGGAATTTGTAAAAAAAAATCAGCAAACACAGAGTTGCAACACTTGTATCAAAGAAATCTTGTTCTGATAAATTTTGGGGAAATATTGTTCTGATAAATTTTGGGAGTAATCTTAGAAGAGTATGACTTTTAGTCGTATGGAAACATTGGATTTATTGGATTCAATAAATTATCGGGAAAATTCCCAAAAAAAAACCAAAGTAATTTTTATTTGGACGTTTAATACCCAATTATTTTAGATTGGAATAAAAAAACCTCATTAAATTATTTGTTGTCGTAAAATACCTCGTATATTAACTATTGGTAGAATCGAATCCGCAAGTTAACAGCCGTTAACGGACGTAACGGAATTATTAACGGTGTTAGATTTTAACCCAACACATTTGAATGAATATATAGAATCTGTTTTGAAAAATATATGATTATGTTGATGTGGCATGTTGGTTATGCGTGAGTTCAGTTCCCATTAGACTCGGGTTCGAATCCTTCCAAACGCAGTTGTTTTTATTTTTGTTTTATTTTTCTTTTTCCTTTTCTCTAACCCTAGCCGCCGACCAACTAACTAAACGCAAGTTTTTTTTTTTTTCGACTGTTGCCGGCGGAGGAGTCTGTGACGATTACAAAAATCCGTATCCTCTCGGGGCTGTGGCTTCTTCTTGATCCTTTTCTGCGATCGGGGATGAGAGCTTTAGTGTTTTTAAAGGTTTAGTGAGTGAAGAAATGCTGGGAAATACAAAGGCTATGATTGATGGTGTGGGTCTAGCGATTTGTGACTCGATCTGGGAGAGGAATTGGAAGTTCTTGTTCATGGGTTGGATGAAGCTATCATTTCTGGAACGGTGGTGGTCGACGGCAGTGAAGGAGCGAAGAAAAAAAAACCAGAAATCAACGAAGGGGAAGAAGAGAAAAAAAAAAAAAAAAACTTTAAAAGAAAAAATTAAGAACATTTGCGTTAGTATCGAAGCCGGGCCTAAGGGTACCTGAACTCACGCGTAACCAACATGCCCAGCAACATAATCATAAATTTTTCAAAACAGATTCTATATATTCATTCAAATGCGTTGGGTTAAAATCTAACACCGTTAATAATTCCGTTACGTCCGTTAGCGGCTGTTAACTTGCGGATTCGATTCTACCAATAATTAATATACGAGGTATTTTACGACAACAAATAATTTAATGAGGTTTTTTTATTCCAATCTAAAATAATTGGGTATTAAACGTCTAAATAAAAATTACTTTGGGTTTAGGGTTTAGGGCAATGAGCTGTGGCCTGTAGGGTCAATGGGCTTCAGGTTAATGAGATGACTAGTAATGATGGGCCCAGAGGTTTCTTAATGATGATGCTCTTTTAAGTGCTCAGGTTTGTTACAAATCGGTGATAACAGAGAAAATATAATATAGTCTGTACTAGATGTTTCCAAATTCCACCATGGAGAGTTGAGAATATGTGAGTTCTAGTTTTCGAATTTCTCAATTTGATTTAGCGTATTGTTTGTTTGAGGACGTGCAAATGACTAAATGTAGGGAAATTGATACGTCTCATTTTTAGTTTTTTCGAATATTTTCTGTTTTTGTTGTTCTTTCATCTCCTTGTTCCTTTGAGTAATTTTTATGTATTTTGATTGTTCCAGGTTTGAATTTGATTTAGGCGTTAGTTAGGCAGTCTATCCAAATAACTTCGAGTTCTTTTTTTCCATATGTAACATCAAGATAACATTCGAGTTGATGTAAGCTTTTACCATTCGAAAAACTCTATCAAATGATGCATAAACAAGGTTTTTGTGGTTGAATACATTTATTCCAAAAAAAACATTTGAATTAATATCGTTCTAATTTATTTCAAAATTAATGTGCATAAACTTTGGATGGCTTATTTAGTTTATTAATGAAGTTGCATATATAATGTTAAATCATAGAGAAACTATTCTGAAACATCCGATTTGATTTCCTTAATGTTTTCTTGGTTAATTGATCAAAATCAAGATCATCAGACTTCAAAATTTTAAATTAAAAACGAAAGAAAGCTGTCTCAAAGCAGATTGTGTTAAAAAAAAGTCGATTGTGCTCAAACGCAACTTGTCCAGCCCGTGACAACGACCCTATACGTAAGTAAGAGTAACGTACACTGGCAAAAGTTGGTTTTAGTCCCACACTCGTCACTCTCATCTCTTGTTGTTTCTTACGGGCAAATACATTTAACATTTCTTCTTCATTTATTCACGGCCTCACGGATATTCATTACCTATATTCTTTTGGATAACAAATTTTTCTATTTACTTTATTAACAAACATCGTACGTTTCATTTACTTACAACATTCACTTTTTTATCTTCTCTGATTTCAGCGCAGGAAAAGGTAATGTATACGTGGCACATATAGAGTGATTTGATACCTTAATTGATACTCTTCTTTTCTTTAGGTTACACAAGTTACAACGGGAAAGAATGGAAAACACACGTAAAAGGATGAACATCGAATTATTTATCGATATCTATACGAATGCTGACGTGGAAAACAAAATTTGGTGAAACACGTCAATTAAGCACGACTTTTCCATGCTTAGTGGCTAAATTCGTTTCATCACATGGCTATATCATATAATACTTGAATGAATTCAAATTATCGGTTGAAAAGACGTCCACGTCACGGCGCACCGCTTTGGACTTAGTCTCCTATAATAAATACAACACCAAACATCACATTTCACATTAATTCGTCTTGTGCAAAAAACACTTCTAAGCTTCAACAAGAAAGAAATAGTATCAGCATAGTATCAGAAGATGGATTTTTTCAATCAAGCTAAAGCCGTAAGGATGCGTAACGTCCATGAAAAGTATCTAACGGCGGACGAAGACGAGGAAACGGTGACACAAGACAGGAATGGTTCCGACAAGAGAGCTAGATGGATTGTTGAGCCGGTTCGTGGTTCCTTTGAAGTAATCCGTTTGAGGAGTTGCTACGGTAACTACCTCACGGCTTCGAACGAGCGGTTCTTGCTCGGTGCCACTGGACGTAAAGTGGTCTTGTCTAAACCGGCTCGACTCGACTCGTCCGTCGAGTGGGAACCGGTTAGAGAAGGTTCCAAAATGAAGCTTAAGACGAGATACGGCAACTTGCTTCGAGCCAACGGTGGACTTCCTCCGTGGCGTAACTCTGTCACGCATGACACTCCTCATGTATCGGACTCCTTCTTGTGGGATGTTGATGTGGTTGAGATTTTGGTGGGAACAGCCACTCCGGCTCCGGCTCCAGCTCCAGCTCCAGCTCCAGCTCCGGTGACAACTCCGCCGCCACATAGGAGACCGTCGTACTCGTATTCTCCGGTTTCTAGAACATCTTCAGAAAAATCCGAAGAAGAGGTATTAATAATTGATCCGTTACACTGTTTCACTTATTTTTGAACATTTATCTGCGGAAATCCCAAAATCTAAAATATCTAAAAATTTTGGAATGGAGCGGGTCAAATTTTTTAGATATAATATTGTTTCTTTAGATATTTTTAGAATATCCATTTCATGTCCAAATATTTATTAAAACGATAAATTACGAAAATATCTTTCTGATTTTTTCAAGATTATCGTCTTAACATTTTCTTGGTGTTGGTTTGACTAGTTGACCGTGCCGCCGCCGAAATCTGAAGGGAGGACTATATACTACCACATCGCGGACGAAGAAGGACACGTGGAGGAAGAATCAGCCGTTGGATACGCTTTGACTTTCAAAGGAAATAGCGTGGAACAGTTGACGCAGGCGTTGCAAGAAGAGACTAGTATGGATGATGTTGTGGTGTGTACACGCAATCCTTTAAACGGCAAGCTGTTTCCTCTTCGTTTGCAACTTCCACCAAATAGTGGAACAATGCATGTCGTTCTAGTACCCTCAGGTACTTCTTAAACGGCAAGCTGTGTGGTTTCCCTTTGTTTCGAATGTATTTTAGTAGTGGTCGAAGTATTAGAGGCTCAAGATTGAGGGTTTGGTCCTTGTTTCCATTAGATAAGAGTGTTAAATTTAATCATAGAAAATTTAGATAGACTGTTATTGTGGATTGATGTAATCTTTCATTTTTTTGTACATAAGCTTATTTTGTAAACGAAGCATTTAAGTTTCACCCTCCCATTTTTTATGTGAATTCACGGCATCAAGAATTGATTGTATTATAAAAGATTTTTTTTCTTCTAATGATTGAAGTTTCACGCAATCATTGCGCAAGTCTTCACCAACTCTTCCACTTTGATAAAATGTGTTACTAAATTATTCTTCTACTAAAGTGTTATTGGTGAAGAGATTGTTTACGATCAAAATAAAAGAGAACAAATCTCCATTACCTATGAAAACTTGATACTAAATTCATAAACAAACCTCTACAAATAACTTAACTCGATTCAAGACACTAGTTTACTAAGAAAATTTTTTGAGACAAAAAATACACGCTGTTTTTTCAAAAATTTTATTGTCTTGAGTTTTGGTTTGGAGTGTCTCGATTATAAAAACTATAATGGTTTATGCATGTGTATAATTAAGGGTATTTGAGAAAAAAGTGAAAGAAAGATTAGTAATCCATACAAATCACTGATCATAAATCTATGGTACATAGCAAATCCAACATCCAATTCCTTTACATCACAAACACGTTTTATTTTGTTGAATCGTCGTTCAAACATTTATTTATACATAGTAGTAAACTATATATATATTCTTGGCATAAGGTGATGAGGAGTTTTGTTTGACATGTTAAGTAATTGAAAGCTTCTCTTTTTAGAAGAAGGATTGTGTATATTTGTGGAGTTTCCTCTCTACCTCATCAACCTTCACACCCACAACCCTGTCTACTTCTCTTCCTCTTTTCATGAATACAATCGCAGGCAAAGTGTTAAGGTTGTACTCCATCCATACGCTCTGTATTATCAACCAAACACTATTTTATAACTCAAAAGCAAACACAAATTTTGTTGAAACCTTTTCTTTATTTTCTTTAGACTTTGAGAAATAAGATGAAGGAAAAGAGATTGATTAATTATTACCATTAATACATCGACATCAATCTTCACGAACTCAACATCGGTGTACTTAGCTGCCAACTCTTCAAGCTTTGGTTCAAGGGATTTACATGGTCCACACCATTTGGCTGTAAACTCAATCACCAGCTATATATATATATAAACATGAAATCGAATGTTCATTAAGGTGTTTTTGAAGTAAACCTAAGAGAAAGGTCAGTTTCACTATGTTAAGATTTTCACATTGGAAATAAGATGAGACGACATAGGGTAAATTAGTATATAGATAAATCTACTCAACTGATTTTTATGTTGAAAAACTATTAAAATTAACATATTATCATAGCCTAAATTTGACTCAAATATGATAAGCCAGAATATGTTTCTGACTTTAGAGTGATCTTTGGATCATAATGGACATGGACCAAGCTAATTATTCAATTTTTGTTTTGAGTTCAAAGTTCATATAACTTAATGTGTTATCTTAACCCGTATTAATCTCTCGAATATCATCAAAAGAACCCCGGTTCGAGCACTTATATTAACATTGTAGAAAATAACCTAAAACAAAAATGGCTTTAGTAAGATTAGAAAGCGCTTTAATTAAATAATTTACCAGCTTGTTGGTGTCATTAAGAGCGTTGAGCCGAGATTTCCACTGATTCATGTTCTTGATCTCCACAATACAAGGACTGTTGACTTTGAAAGGATAAACCTCAGGTTGAGGTGTCCATGGCTTCCTTGAACGGAAGTGGGTTACCTGAAATCTCTGCTCTGGAGAAGAAACGTTAGCACCCATTGTGTGTGTCTCTCTCTCTAATTAGCAGAAAGAAGCAAATGGTTTTGAGTAGAAGCTCTTAGTTTGAGCATAAGGAGAGCGGAAGAGTTGGCTTTTATAACGTCAAATATTCTGTTGTGGACCAAGTAGCCGTAATTCGTAACCAATTTTAACACTACATTTTCTATTGGCTCTAAGTTGTAGCGCAAAGCTAGTATATGAAGTAAGCGGAAAGTTTCATGCAAACCTACTTTAAGAAGATATAAAGTCCAACTTTTAAGATCAAGTTGTCTAGAATCAGTTCGTGAAGGCTCCAAAGTGAATTCCAAATACGCTTACCAGTTTTGCTGATCGGTTCAAATAGTTGTTTACACTAAATGAATCGCATGAATCATTTCACCAAAATATATATATATATATATATATATATATATATATAATTATATCAAATATATTGAAAATATATGGAATTGTATAAAACGTTTTCTTATATTGTTTTGTTTGTTTTAAATCTAGGATATAATTTTGTTTTTCTTTTCTTTATTTATCGACTGATTATGCATCCCTAAAATTAAATTCAACGTGATTCCATTTCCACAGCACAAAGTGATAAAGTATATATTTATTTTCCCAAAGTGCATCAAAATTTCTATTTTTTTCCCGTAAGTGTGAGTTACTTTTTCGTACTCGTAAAGGGAGACAACAATGGTGGCAGCAGAAGTGTTTGACCTTTTTACAGCCGTGAAAAAAGGATTCCAAATCTTTCACAATATATGATTCCCTTATAACTTTTCATTTTATTAGTTGATTTTGTATGAAAGCTTCTTTTGGATTTTCTATTTATTAGCCAAAAGTAAAAAAGCATACAAACCCATATATTAATTAACTTTTTTGTTTTTTTTGTCAAACCCCCATATATTAATTAACATGTGGCAAAGATGCAGACACAAATAAAACAGTAGATTCTTTTGCTTCATGTCAAATATGTTTTGGATTTGTTGTTCTAGATGTCTAATATTAATCGAAGGGTCTCTAATAATAATAGTAGTAGTTTTTTTTTTCTCAAAATAGTTGGGGTTATCATTTACAGTCCGTAATCGATAAAGGATGACGTGATCCTCCATAGAAATGATCAATTCAACTATATACAGTAGTTCTATCATGTCATAACATAGAGTATGCTACAATTCCAAATGCAATCCATCTAATTTGATTAGTTTTATGATTTGAAATGTACTTGTTAGAGTTGTTTTTAGGATTCCAGGTACAGAGTATGATGACAAAGTAAAAAAAAAATGAGACAAAACTATCAACTATTGAATACTTTTTTTTTAATGCTAAGAAGGTAAAAATGAAATTTTTTAGGAATATATTAATATAATCAAAGATCATAGACTTATGCTATGTGGAAGGAAGCAATTAATGTGCCTCAACATCAATTAAATCATAACCACAACAGACCATCTACACCAAACACTCTCCAGGAGGTACTCACTCATATTCCTTCTCTCTGTTGTTGCACAGATGCTTCTTGGATAGACCGTCAAAGCAACGCGGGCATTGGATGGACTTTACATGATTCCGCGGGAAGATATATACTAAAAGGTTCTGCTTCAATAGATCCTACTGATTCAGCTCTAGAAGCCGAAGCTATTGCTTTGAGAGAAGCTCTCCTACATTTGAAGCGATTAAACTACCACAATGTCACTTTTTGTGGAGACTCTTTCTCTCTATTTGGGCACCTAATGAAAGCTGCTAATCATAGGCATAAACCTCTTCCCGGGCCTCTTGAGATTCAACACTATCTGGATGATATCATAACATTGGCAAAGAACTCATGTAGTTTCAAGTTCATTGGAAGGACAGCTAATGTCTTAGCAGATGGCTTAGCAAAAGCTGCAAGGTTGCGTAATTTGCCACTAGTTATCTCTTGGGTTTTATAAATGTATGAAGTGTTTGTTTGTACCTAAACGATGTATTCTGTGTTTCTTTTATGTTTAATGGAAATGGCCGACAAAAAAAAAAAATGCTATGTAATGGCAACAAAAGATAAAAGCATGGTAGCGTAAATGAAAAACATATTTTCAGTCTATCGACTCGACGCTAATACCAAAGCTAACGTAGTTACATAAAGTGATTACGATTTTGAAGTTCTTCTAGTTGAGTTACAAAAGACGATAAAGCAACTTGTAAAACGCCGAACTAACTAATATAGTACTTGTACATAATGAAAAGTAAAGTTTTATTATATATTCTAGTTCTTATATATTATATGATACATACATTGTCATAGTAATCATACGTACAAACAACCTCGATAATTTTCTTGTTGTTCCTAAGGCCAGTCTACTAAATCATTTCATCGATTTCTTTGAGGTCATCTCCACATCATCGGAGGACTTGTCCTCCTCAAAGTCTTCAATCTGTAAACCAACCTTGTACCGATACCCCCGAGCACAATACCAGAAGTAAACCAGATTAACCACACCCAAAACCGCAATCAGATAGTAGAAGTAATCCAATTTTCCCGCGTTGAGATTCTTGTTTAGCCAATCCGGACGATCATGCCCACCGGAGAATTTGTGTACGATAGTCACAAGAAAACTACTAAGGTAGCTCGAACCGGCGAAAGATAAAGAGAAGAGAGAATTAGCAATGCTTCTCATGTGCTCCGGAAACTGACTGTTGAAGAACTCTATTTGTCCGATAATATTGAATGCTTCACATAGTCCCATTAGAATTAGCTGCGGTGAAAGCCAAAACACCGACATAGGAGTCATTCCGGTTGGATCTCCGGCATTGATGGAGCGTATGCGTCTCATGCGCTCCACAATGCCCGCAACGATCATAGAAAAGATTGCGAAAACGATCCCTGTTCCTATCCGTTGGAGGAGTGTGATTCCGGATTTATGGCCGGTGATTCGCCTCATGAATGGGACAAAAACGCGGTCGTAAAAGGGAAGAAAGATGCCGATTGTGAGGAGAGATATGACGGATAGTGAACCAGCCGGAATCTCAAAATGAGGACCTAAGTTTCGATCCATTTTCAAAGCTTGAGAGACGGTGAAAGTGCCTTGTGTTGTCATGGCCGCGAGTGAGATTATTCCGGCCGACCAAACAGGAACAATTCGGATCAAACACTTCACTTCTTCCACTTCTTGGACGCTGCATAAACGCCATTTGTCCGCGGGAGCTCCCTCGGGTGTTAGATCACCTTCTGTAATCACCGCGGCTTTGTCAAGAAACCTATAATTTTATGCAATTTCAGTTAGACTATAGATTAAAACAAAATCATGTAATCAATGTTGTCTCAAACTATTTCTAGATCATGTACTAAAAACTCAGGGACATATTCGGTGATTCAGTTGCACATAATAAAAATGTCCTCTAATGTAATAAGGAAAAAAAAAACAGATATAAATCTAAGTACCTGAATTGGTTACTGCGGTGTAACTTGGACAACACGCTAGATTTTATGGCTGGGTCGTAATAGTTCACAGTGCCATTATCTTCCGCCGGGACTTTCAGCTTTCGCTTCTTACGAGCTGCCACAATAACTTGAGCGATCCCAGAGAATATACTCCCTTCAGGTTTAACGTAGATATAACGCTTCATTCCGGCAAAAAACATAACCACCGCAAGAGCCATGAGTCCGGTAGGGATACTAAAACCGATGATCCAACTGACTTGGTCCTGGATATACACAATTACGGTCTGTGTAATGATCAGAACCACAGTGAAAGTCAGGTAATACCAGTTGAAGAAACTGGCCACTCCTTTAGCCCCTTCCTCAGTTCGTTGGTCAAACTGATCAACCCCAAAAGGGATGCTACATGGTCGTATTCCTCCACTCCCTACGGAGAGGAAACAGAGTCCCAATAGCAAAACTCCGAACTGGAGCTTATTCGGACCGCCGCAACTGAGTGGGTTCTGGCTGTTGCATGATGCTGGATGGAGTTGAGGAAGCGATGCTGTGAGTGTAATTGTTATTAGTCCCTGCATGTTGTCAATGTTATTATAATCAGTCATTATTCATTTTGTAACCGATTCTTCATTAGTAGTGATTTTATAACTTAAAGTTGAATTGGATAATTGTTAATTAATTTTTTTTAAAAAGGCAAACAATAGTGTGGGATATATTGAAGTTATGCGATCAAGTACAAAGAAACAATTAATAATCTTTACAATAGTCTTAATTAGGTTTGACTTAATATGACTGAAAAGTGATGTTACCTTGATTAGGTGAAACTGACAATGACGTCGAACCTAATATCATTAATATCTGTTGTAACCCTAATTTAGTAATATGAGCAGTTGTAACAGTTCAAGGTCCTTATTAACGTTTAAGTAATTACGAAAAGACAAAAAAGTGTATAGAGAAATCAACAAGTTGGATGTGATCATAATAATTCTATAATAATAGTGAATGAAAGAGACACTAAAAAAGTAACTATCATTATATACGTAACGTCACTGCGATACTGAACAAATCTATAACATCTTTCAAGTAGCTAGCTAAATCATCAAGAAACTCAAATACTCAATTATTGGACAATCTCATTGTCAATAATCTATATCGACCACTTGCGTATCTCTTCCTTTTCTACGCACATCTCTTTATCTCTAAAACAGAACGCACGTTCTAATACGTAACTCCTTTATTGGAAAATGTTTCATCAATCAACCAAAGTTGTGTATGTGAGATAAATATGGTTCTCTTACCATGCATGTTTTTGGAGGATATATAAAGTGAGCTAGTTCAAGGTAAATACCGACAACAATAAGTGTACTAAAAGTAATTTTAAGTGAGCTAGTTCAAGGTAAATACCGACAACAACAAGATAAATATGGTTCTCTTACCATGCATGTTTTTGTTCTTATGATTCAGATTATAGACCGACCTTATCGTCCTCGATAGCGTGGTCCCTCTATAAGTTCATGCGTTTTCGTACGATACAAAAGTAATTTTAATAGCTTTTGATTTATTTTACTTTTAAAAAGAATAACATAATGGGTCTTTTGCAGAAATAACACATTTTGATAATATATTTAAGGATATAGCACTATAAAGAAGGAAATTAAGTGAGTAACACAAAGGAGGGGTAAAAAATCCCCTTAGTCCTTCTGGCATCGTTTCTCTTTCATCTGGAAGAAGTCACATCCGCTACCACTCCTCCACCGTTTTTCGCCACTGAATTGGAAACTCGTTTACTTTGGCTGCCGCACTTTTTTGCTCTCGGAGTTCCTTCGGAGATCTACTCGAAGCTTCAAGGCATGCAACAATCATTTAAGTCCCTTGAATAGATAAAGAGATGAAATCGTGGAGTTGTCGATCACTCTGCGACATATCTAGAAGACTAGAATCAGGATTAGAGTTAGGGGCTGGCCAGGAAGAAGAGATGGTGAGAGAGGTAGAAAGAAGGAGATGAGAGGTGCGTGTGTTTTAGTAGGGGCAAAAGTAGAATTAATACAGAAAATATTGAGAATATCATCTTCTTTTTTGTTTGGTGTTAGTTTCCTAATTATTAATTTTTTGTTGGTTATAGAGTCAAATTTTCCTAACATAATAGGTATAAAATATTATATAAAGTGTTAATATTATATTGTATCATATACATATATATCCATTTAATATAATTTGTCTTTACGTATTTTCTTATCATGTCCACGTGCGGGGTGAAATTATGTGCCAAGTAGCATGTATCTTCACCACACACACAAAAACACGTAAATTGATCAGTCTATTTAGAGTTGTTATGTTTTTTGTTGGATGCAACTATTCGAACAGTGGACGCTAAAGCACTGACCCATGCTGGCGTACCACTAGGCCGCGAATTGCGGATTTGAGGTGTTATGAACATAATTAGTAAGTGAATACTACTAACTACGTACGTGCGTGTATTTGTAGACACATTAGATTTTTTTTTTGTTAAAGGATTAGATTAAAATTTCAATCAATAAAAGAGATAAATATTATACGTACGAGGAGAGTGGCGAATGAGGCGAAAGCGATGGTCTTGAAGCGGCCAACGTAAGTGTCTGAGATATACGCTCCGACGAGAGGAGTGAGATTGGTGAAACCAGACCAGATGTTGATGACATTTGCTGCGTCGACTTGTTCTAAGTGAAACACTTTGGTTAGATAAACCATGAAGTTTGCCAACAACCCTATCGATCCCAGTCTCTCCAGCGTCTCATTTCCTATTTCAACCCATTTTATTACAAAATATTATCAGCAAATAAATCAAATATCTCTAAATATTAATACTTTAAAAATCATTTAAAATGAAAGTTCACATTTTTGCCAAGAGATAATTTACATTTTTTTCCCGTTTCTGTTATAAACTCGTCAGCAAGGACGAGTGTCAAACATGTTGGACCGACGGTTACGAGAATAAAATATGATATAAATCAATGCTTCGGAAAAAACAAAAACAAACATTGATATAATTTTTGATCGAGTCGAAACGAATAAACGCTCCTTTTTTTTCCTGCCTATTATGTGCAAGGATTATTTAAGCAAACGGCCAATTCCGTCTGTCAATGATATTATATTCACTGGTTATGAACTATATATCCAATTATGGAGATTAACAAAAAAAATTTAGCTAAACTGAGGAAAGGTCAAGGATTAGGTTAACTAAAACAATTATAAGCCTAAAAATAAATTAAATACCTAAAATGAACGAGACGGCTCTCCATCCTCCAGGCTTTTTCTCTACCTTCTCGGCACCCAAAATTGATTCCGGCGAACTTTTCCGATTGTACTGATCAACAACATCCAACTCCGACGGTGACGATTTGGAGAGACTACCGGACGGTCGTGGCAAAGAAGAACCGTCCTTTCTATCCTCCAAAACCATCTCTAAGATATTACTAAACTCGTAATATACTCACTTCGATTTTGGGGTGGATTTTATGTTGTGAGAATATATTCTCACTTTTTTGCAATCAAGGTAACACACATGAAATGATTGATAAATGCAGAGAGTGGGCACAACAAACACACACTTTCTCTCTGTTAGAAGCTTTTTTGGGTGTAGTGAATTATTTGTGGAACTGTGTATATATATAAGGGAGTGAGTAGATATTATATGGTGGGTGTGGGTAAAATTTGAATGACGTTCGCCACTAGTAGCCTCCACGTGAGAAGTTGGAAGCGGAAAAAGAAAACTATTTTAGTGCTATGTTTTTTTTGTTTTTCTTACACTGTACGTAATATTTTTGTTTTTGTTCCACGTATTGTGAACCTTCCATGTTTCATATATACACTTGGTACGTTAAAATACGATGTTAAGTTAATGAACCATCTTTTACAGTACATTTGCATCGTAAGGGTTTGATGGATGATAATTTTTTTGTTCACGCGGTTTTATGTATGTTGTCGGTCATATAATGGTATGATGGGTCTCAATAGGACATCTAATTTTACCTATAAATAATATGATATCTCATAAATAAGCCAGATTTTATTTTCTTTAAAGCATATTTTCTTTTCTTTTCTTAAAGGAAGCAAGATTGGATTGATATTTTATGTTAATCCTTCAGTTGACTTCCTGAAAAAAATCTTAAAATTTAGAACTTTATTATTATTATTATTATTGACAAAAATGAAAAAGAGATAGATATTTAACAAATTTATATGATTTTGATTCAGTGGCGATAGATTCTTCGAAGTTAAAACTCTGTTTTAAATACAGTAAAACCTTTATAAATTAATACTCGATAAATTTATAACCTCTATAAATTAATAAATTATTTTTGTCTCGAGTGAGGATCAGTGTAAAAAATGACACAAATCGATATATTAATTAATATTTTTTTTTTTGTAAATCTTATGTAAACATATGGTCCCAACAATATCATAAATTAATAATTGTATAAATTTGTCAATATATATATATATATATATATTTTTTTTATGTAAAATATTTAGTGAAATATGAATCTAATATTGTTTGTTTTTCTTAAATTTGTATTAATTCTTGGTAGATTTTAATTCTAATACTTTTACTACATCTTAAAAAGTTTGTGTTATTTAATTTTTTTTTTTTGTCTATTTGTAATTTGTTTTAGAAAAATATTGATTATAAGGAAAAAATAGCTTTTCAGATATAATATTTTTAAGAAATTGCAAAATTAGTAAAATATCTCTATAAATTAATAATTTGATAAATTAATACCTCTATAAATCAATAGAATTTCTCAGTCCCGATATTATTAATTTATAGAGGTTTTACTGTAATTAATAAGAGTAGATTTTATTTTACTTCTTTGTGCAATTCACACCAGACACAAGACTTGAAACTTCCAATATGTCATCTTGTCACACAATCGCTTGTTGAGAGTCGTTCAATAGGTAAACAAATAAATAAAACTCAAAACCTACACACCAACACAATCTAATATATTGCTCAAAAAAATATTCGCATTCTAAGATGTACCTTAAACTATTATGGTTTGCAATCAAACAAAGAAACATATATCAACAAAATAATAAAGTTTGAAACAATACACATATAGAGCTGGCCTTGAAACTTTGGAGGCTCATACCAAAAACAAAAAAAATGGCATATCACAAAATAGAAACTAATTCTATTTTCTCGTATCTAATGTTGAATTGAGACTTAAATTCCGTTTCTAGATATCATTTAACTCGAAATTAGAATTCAATACTAAATCAAAATTTGCATTGTTTTATCGTAGTAAAATTAAAAACATCAATCCACTTAAATTTCAAAAACATTAGCATAATGGCATCAGTATTTTTAGTGTGCAAAACAATATTTATGCATGTAAAATATATATTATCTATAGAAACAGTGAAAAATCTTCATAAGATATGAAAATTAATAATAACATTATCACTGGATGTTTATGTAAAAAGGAAAGATTAATAAGTCCACCTGTCCAACTAAACTTGTAAAATTCAAATTGAACACAAACATAAAATCGGTGAGTGAAGACAGAAACAGATAGAGAAATACGAAAAGATGAGGTAGGCTTTTATCTCCTTTTAGGCAAATGCAAGTGCCTAACACTGTCGCATGCGCGAGCCATAAGATTTCTACTCAAACCCTCTTTGTCTTTTCTTCTTTATTATTTTTTTTGTTTGGACCTTTACGTGGGATCCAATACCATATCACCGTTCGATTTTATGGTCATATCTTCTACACCGTTCGATCATCTTATCAACATGCGTCTCTCTTCACCATTCTCAATGGTCAAATGATATGAACCGTGGACTGGGTGCCTAAGGTTTGGACCGCTTTTAATAATCTGTCTCAATATGCTGAGCTGTGTGGTGCGGGTCACTATCAAGTATATGCGTTTTAATGGTCATGATCGAATAACGAAAAATGTATATGGAGTTTGATAGATAACTCCAACTCTTAGAAAGGTCACTTTTTCCTATTTTGTATTTGATAGGATCATATCTACCGACTGCATATGGTTATACTAAGAGATATTTTATATAATATCTTCTTATAAAGTATACCATAATTACTAACTAAAGCATGTTAAATGTGGGAATACATTTTTGACGCTGCTGAAAGAAACATAATTATTAATCATTTCTTATATTACTATCTACAGTATGTTATAGGAAAATACTTGCACCTACAAATATATATACTTTTATCATTTTTGGTAGTGATGTTTTTTTACAAAAATTGTTCTGTTTCTCTTACAGTATCTATTAAGGTTGGTTAATAGATGGATCAATTTTTGTTACAAAAGAAGTTGAACTGAAGCTGATGATTTTGATGTACATATATACAGTCGAAACTGGTCAACTTTTTGTTAAGCTTCTATAGGATTTTTTTTTTTTTTTTTTTGAGTTGATGAAATAAGTGGTATCTCAACATCATATCGAGTCTGATAAATATAGAGTCCAAAGCAAATCAAAATATAGAGTTTTAGCAAAGCCTAGAAATAAGCTGAATCGAGTGATACTTGAAATGAAATCATATAAAATACTTTGGTTTACAGCGCTTGAAAAGATGTACGGATCTAAACCCAAAACATCTTCTTAGTTATTAGAAAAAAATATATACAAGGTTTTATATTTATATTACAAACTAGATTCAAGAGACTTGTTTTAAGAGTGAGATGCATGTCTTCAAGTTTCTAGTGAATTCATTTAAGACACATTAAAATAATTAAAGATTCTGTTAACATTCGAAACAAAATATGAAAAATAGAAAGTTGCTGTCAAAAAAAAAAAAAAAATGAAAAATAGAAAGTTGAAGATTCTATGAAAGGGAGAATATTCTGTAACTTTCAGAAGGCAAGAGCTATAAGCCTAAGAAAGAAGTCAGAGCAATATCAATAAGACACCTTCGTTGACTTGTATTCTGTTTCAAGTGTGTACAAGACCATGACAAGGATCGGTGGACCATCGTATATGCATTCACATTTGTACTCTTATGATTAATTTCAATTTACATTAAATACACTGATCACATCATAATAATATTGCTATGACATTTTGCTTCGATTTTGAATGTTAACTCTCTTAGAATAATTTACACGCCTTGTAAAATTTTAACGGTCACTGTTTAATTTTGTTATTTTCTGTGGGTCTTTTCATGCTGATCTTTATCAAAAGAGCTGGCAAGAAACATGTGACTGGAAAGGTTTTTGTAGTAAGACTTTTGAGAACTTTTGTTTCTTGTTATTCTAACTAACTGATGTTTGTAATATATTTCGTAAATATTAAAAGTTAATGTTATAGTTTTAGTTTTCACTTGCAAGTTCTTTTTTAATTTTTTGATATGTATTATTTATGGTATAAGTAACTGATGAACGAAATTAGAGTTAGAAACATACGCATGTGAGCTATGAGGATAAACAACACTTAGGGTTGATCAAACTGCCCACCAAGTTTTGAATAGTCCACACAAACTTTTGTTGCTGTCGATTAATAGTCGGTACTCCAATTATTGAAGTAAAGATTTTATTTTATATTTAGTTAATACGAATGGACGACTTATAATAACATCACGAATGGACGACTTATATGAAAATTTAGACTAGCTACTCCGTTAGTATATTAGTAGACGTATTCTTGAATAAGATTGTTATTATAATAATAATGGACAAAATATTTTGGAAAAAATATAGGAAAAAACAAAAAAAATAGACGATTTTAAACTTTTAAAATTCAGGAAAGAATTTCTTTCAAGTTTGATTGCATACACCGAAACTTTTTTTTGTTGGAAATAGAAGAAAAAATTTGGTAGTGAAACGAGGAAATATACAACCAAAAAAAAGGATTAAGAACGATTTTTAAGAAAAATGGATTTAGAAATATTAAAAAAAAAATTGAAGTTCAAATTTTTGGCAAATGTGATCTTGTAACTTTCTTTCCAAGAAAATTAGTGATTCCTAATTTTACATCATGTACTTATGTCATAATCATTTTGAGTTACTAAAATTTCGTGAGTCCATAATACAAGTGGTGCTCATATAATCAAAGACTTTCAAAGTTGTCACTTTCGTGAGTACATCTAATTTTATTTACAAGACTATACAACTTAGAGTTTTTATTCTTACAACATGTAACTGAAAATATAAAAAAATAAAAATCTGAAGTTTTAAAAAATGTCAAACTAATTATAGTTTTAAAAATGTGCTGATTTTCCACTCCTCATTTCCAGCTTCATCGTTGTTCATCACTATAGTTTCTGTAACGATACCTTCGAGCACACCAGAAGAAGAAGATGAGATTAAGAGTGCTTAAAGCGGCAATAAAGTAATAGAAATAATCCAACTTGCTTGTGTCAATATCATCCGTTAGCCAACTCTGTCGTCTTCCGCGAGCAGTCAGACTATGAACAATGCTTACCATCAAACTGCTTAGGTAACTGGCTAGAGACAAACCTAAGTAAAGCAACGAGTTCCCTATACTTCTCATGTTGATTGGAACTTGTTTGTTGAAGAACTCGGTGAGACCAACAATCGTGAAGACTTGATAAAATCCCATTAGTACTTGTTGCGGGGTTAGCCAGAAAACCGATATGTTTACCCCAGTAAGCGATAAATCTCTTCTCTTTCGCTCCACAATACCCGATATAAACATCGTCGAGATGGAGAAAATATTCCCAATGCCGACTTTTTGAAGTAACGAGATACCTCCTTCTTGTTTTGTAATGTTTTCAATGGGTCGGACCAAAACGGTTTCATAGAAGGGAAGCCATATGCCTATGGTTAATAATGATATGACGGTTATAGAAGCAGGAGGGATTAGGTAAGAAGTGCCGGGAAATTGGAGGTCCATTTTTAGTGCTTGTGAGACTGTAAAAGTTTGTTGTTGGTTCATAGCCAAAAATCCAATAATGCTCGAAGCAAATATTGGAATAATGCTAATTATAGACTTCATGTCCTCTATCTGTCTCATTGTGCAGATTCTCCACTCCTCATTTCCAGCTTCATCGTTGTTCATCACTATCACAGCTTTGTTCAAGAATCTGGAACCAACCATAAAAATAACTTAGTAACCACATTTATTTGCATAGTATTGACCAACAATGATAATTATCTCATTTCATTTTATGTATCTTTTTAGATTTTTATCTCTAGTTATACTTATAACTTATTACCTCTACTTTCACCCAAAAAACTTTGAAAACTATTATTATTTCTTTTGTTAAATAAATCTCGTATTGACATTTTCATCATAATTAAGATTCATGTTAAAATTCTATTATACCCCTGCAAAAAAAAAGTTCACTTCTTTTTTTTTTTTGTCAAACTATAACAAGTTAACTATTAGTACTTTCTTGACTTGAAGTTAAATTAGGTGCTTACACCAAAATTTAAATTGGAAATTCAAAAGGACACTTATTTTAAAACAACAATGTTGAAAACAACATAATTTGAAATGGAAAAACGGAGTGAGAGCAAAATTAAATTTTACCTGAATTGATCAGTGAGTACGATTTTATTTGATTGTAAATCTGTCTCTAGTAAGGGTCGATAATAGTCAATCCCAGAAGGAAACCGTACATTGCGTTTCTTATAAGCAGCCACAAGAACCTTAAAAATTCCAGAGAACACACTTCCTTCGGGTTTGACAAAGACATAAAACCGAGTTCCCACAAAAAGCAGAAGAAGCGCAAACAAATTGAGAACGGTCGGGATAGCGAATCCAATGGCCCAACTGATGTTATTCTGTACGTACAACACTAATGTCATTGAAACTAACTGCACGATTGTATGAGTGGTATAGTACCAGCTAAAGAAGCTTCTACTTCCTTCTCTTCCTTCTTCAGTCGAATCATCGAACTGATCGAGACTGAAAGGAACACTGCATGAGCGGATTCCTCCTGTTCCAACTGATAACAAGAAAAGTCCTGAGAGTAAAACGTATAACTGCGAATTGCTATAGCGAATACATTTTCCAGTGATTTGATCGGTAGTGCAAGGTGGTGGTCGTAGATTAGGAATCAGAGACGTGAAAGTCAACATCAACATGCCCTGTTGAAGATTTAACTCTTGTCACATTACTTAACATTGATACCAAAAAAAAAAAAAAAACTCTTGTAACGTTCCAAACAAAAGTATGGCCTCATTTGTATCAAACTTTAATTTGTGTTTGTGTTTGCATTTACATGTGAAAAAGAAAAAGAAAAAAAAAAGCAAGCAAATTTTCTTTTATTTTTTAAAAGTAAATTTTAGTTTTGTCATAAAATATTTTTTTTTTGCAAAGAGTAAATGTATAAAACCAAATGCTGTTTTTTTTTAAAATGCTAAAAAGTTGGGTTCATTTGAAATAATACACAAGAAATGTAAAAGCAAACGCAACCGTAAACAAAGTAACAAACAATTGAGATCATATGACATGTCACATGAAAACTCACATCAATTAAAATATTAGAAAATTGTTTTACGGAAAATAAGTAAAAAAAGATTACCAACAACTCAGCGATGGAACCGAAGACAATGGTATTAAATTTTCCGGCGTATGAGTCGGAGATGAAAGCTCCGATGATAGGAGCAAAATTGGTGAGAGCAGACCAAGTGTTGATTAGAGTAGCAGCTTGAACTTGGTCCATATGATACTCTCTTACCATATACACCATGAAATTCGCCATCAATCCGAATGTCGCAAGCCTCTCCAATGTCTCATTCCCTACATCATCAATATTATAAGCCGCATCTTATATTTACAAAAACATGAAACAATTATCTAAAATTTGGACAGTGATGATAATAAGTACCTATGATGTAAGGCATCGCTTTCCAACCAAGAGGCTTCCTTTGTCTCATCGTTAAATCCGAGGAAATTTTCCCTTTCTCATTATCCATGCTTTTTCTAAACTCTTCTAGTAGTACTCGTTTTTTTTGTATTGAGGCAGATGAGTTCATGTTCTAATAGAAGTAAAAAGATGGCTTAATTTATAGTATATAGAATAAACTAAGACAAGACGTGGACATAATCTCAACACAAGATAGTAGAAGATATGAGATATATATTTACACAAATTTCTTTCCAAATCATGAAAATGAATAAAATTAAGATAAGTGGGAGTTAAATGCTCAATCAATAACATTAGGCTATGTGTCACACAAGATCTTTTATTAAATAAAAGAAAGTATTTTAAAAGTATTTAGCAATATATAGTAATATAGTCAGCAAATAAAGTGGTGATGACAACAAATTAATAAAAACATTAAGAGTTTAAAAGTTAAAACTAATAAAAGTATTAGGAGAAAAGGAAAAAAAAAAACCCCGACAATAATGAAATATAGAAAAATAAAAATTAGAAAAAAATGCATTGTGCAAAATATAAATGTTTTCTTATATCCCTTGATTTGTTATTCTAATCCCATGATTATAGGATAAATTTATAAAACAACATCTCCGATTCTGAGGGCGTGGGGGTCAAGCATAATAGGCCTATATACGAAAGCAACATTTCCAAAAACCTATCATTTTATACAGATTCACAATGGGTCGTAGAAGCTCTGGTGGTAAGTTTTCAGAATCATTCCGTTTCCAAAGTTGTTCTTAATTTTGCAATCCTTCAGTTCTAGGGTTCCTGCTTTTCTACAATTTCGCTCTGTTTTGATAAGAATCTGTGGCTCTTGTGTTTCAATTTTGTACCTCTGTTACTCTCTTCTTTCTTCTTTTTTGATTGAGTCGGAGATTTTTAATTTGGCCTATGAATTAGATAGTCTCATTAAAAACACATTTGAGAGTTAACCCTAATTTTTTTTTAAGAATCCCTAATTTTTGCTGGTTCCTAATTAGTTATTAATCTTGAGTAATTCGATTACCATTTGGATGCAGGAGGAAGATCATATTCAACTGGAACAATATGGCCTAAATCTCTCAAGAAATCGTCTCCTAAGCCTAGTAAGAAAAACACTTCTTAGTGACATTGAATAAAACCAAAATTATAGAAATTTTTTCAGTATATATTATGATCTCTAATGTTTAATTTCTATATATGCAGCTAAAGCTAAAGATGAGAAAGCACCTCCTCCTGAAAAAGTTGAGACTACTCCTAGAAGAATCTACTTTGAAAGCTTTAGGTCATCCATAACTGATGGTATAATCTTAAGGACAATTCTCTAAAATATCTTTGCATTTGATCTATTTATTTTCAATTTTTTTAATCTCTTGGTGAAACTAGGTTTTCGTTGGGGGTTTGGAAATGCCTTGGGACACAGATATGCTGAATTCATTTTTGGTCCTCGAACCATTAAACAAGAAATTGTAGTACCAGAAAAAGTGAAAGAAGTTGCTATTGTTTCTGCCAATGATGATAACGAAAAACTCAAGGATTACTCTGAAACATGCGACATTAGCTATAATGCATTTCAAGACGTAAGACTCTCATAATCCACTTATTATCTTTTTGATTGAATCTTCTTTATTTAATTGTGAATCATTTGCAAAATAGTTTGCTTAATGTGTTTATTCTTGATGATGTTGCAGTGCTTGAATGTTGAAGAGAATAATCTAAGCAAATGTCATCTCTTCATGGATTCGTTGTTTGAGTGCAAGAGGAATTCTAGTTCCTTCAACTTCTAAGTTCTTCTTTATTTATTAGTGTTTGGTTTCGAATAAAATAACAAACCAAAAAACAACTTTTATTTGGTTTCCACTTATTCCTTTTTGATGTTTGCTTTTTCTTGGATGATTAATCTCCAAGTCTATGAATAACAAATTTTGTTTCATTTGGTTTGCAACCTGATAACAAAAATTGTCAGATGATCTTATATCAGTCACTTGAAATTGGTCTTTACAAGTAGTAGTTTTTTCGTTTGGGCTAGAGTAGAAATAAGTAACTTTTGGGATGGGCCTGCTTTGAATTGGCCCAAGTGTTTTGGTCATAACACAATCATAATTTGAAAATAATCAAATAAGAGGACGATCGTAATGCGTTTCCATTGATATTTTGTTATATTATTAATTTATTACAACTTGTTTATTACATTAAAATTCGAAAGTTATGAACTCGAGAAACGAAAAAGGAAAAATCATATTATATTATCGATAAGAAAGCAAAACAAATAATACAAATCATGTGAACAACAAAATTTACAAAGGGAAAAATGTCATAAAAGACAAATTTACAAAAGAATAAATGTAAAAAAAAATTATGTGATCGAATGGTACAGGCAAAACTTCCTCCCTGAGCTTTACTCGCATCCCTTGAGCCACTCTCTCGCAGCAACTGCTTAATCAGACTGTAAACAAATGATATGTGATTAAGCACAAATTTCAAATCAATATTCCTATATGCACTGATATACAACCTTGAGCTGTAAGATTTGGTAAATGAGCAAAAACATACTTGGACAATTAGGTGTTCTGGCTTTCTGCAAGCAAATAACACGATCTTGTTCAGCCCATCCAGCTTCTTTAAGGTCTTGAAAACAATATAGACAGAAAGTATCAAGAGAGAGCAATATTATCTCAGCAAGTTAAAGAAACGTAACATGACTCGTACTCCAAATTTTTTGCATCCAGAATTTGTTGAACTTGTTCTTGAGTACGTTTTGATTTGGATTGTGGTTTTGGTGTTTCGTGTATATTTATGTGTACGTGTGGTTATGTATGTGTATCATTTTGTTTGAGTTTATGATTTTGTATTCGTGACATTTGTGGTAAATTTCGTGTGTGTGTTTTTTTTTTTGGGATTATGGTTTTGTTGTTTGGTATTTTCTCGTGAAAGATGTTTGTGTTCTAAATTTTTTCTATGTTGTATGTTTGTGTGATGAATGATGTCCGTGAAAATATTTGTGATGCTGAGAAAATTTTCGATAGTGGAGAAGACTTATAATAAAGAGACAAGAATACTTAGCTTTTCTGTAGTGGAAATTCCAAAATCCCATTGCAATAGCTGTAAGAAGACTGCAAGCTTCAAAGACAGTGAAGAGTGGTACTGTGAAAAATTTAAGCACTGATATTCAAACTTGAGCTGTAAGATTTGGTAGAGGTAAGAAAACAAACTTGGAAGGAAGGCGTTTATGATCTCTACGAGAAATACCACGGTCTTCTTCAGCCCCCATCTAGCTTCTTAAAGTTAACAAAACTGATATAGACAAAGAAGATTTAGCTAGCCTTTGAGTGAATATAGTTTTAGCAAAGATATGTGTTGTCACCAAATTTTCAAGAAGAAACCTGAGGAATCTGGATGGTTTTTACGTTCTCTGTTTTGCAGATGACAATGGTCGTCATGAGATATATAGCCTCTTCTCTAGAATATTTGAACCTGAAACAATAAGAAACAACATTAGATTTATAGCTATCGGACGAGTACATCTCTCTTGAGCTTCATCTACCTCAAAAACATTGCACAATGAAAAATAAAAGAAGGTTTACTAATACTAATACTCTTATTGATAACCTGAACAAGATTATGTTGCAACAAAGTCCTTACATATACTTTGTCGAGAGAGGATCCTCCATTATATCTAGCATTACTACTATGAGAACCTTCACACTAGTCACGTCATGTGCTGCTAACAGGGCAAACGGTATTCTGCGGCAAGCGGCATCATAAGAATACTTTAATACGATTAAGAAAAGTACAAAAACGAAAGAGTCTCATCAAACTTGTATGATCTTACGAATTGAATGATATAGTCAACTTCCTCTCTAAGCTTTACTCGCATCCCTTAAGCCACTCTATCGCATCAACTGCCTAATAAGATTGTAACAAACAATATGTGATTAAGCACAAATTTCTAACTAATACAACATGGAGCTGTAAGATTTGGTAAATGAGAAACAACATACTTGGAAAATTATGCGTTTTGGCTTTCTGCAAGCAAATAACACGATCTTGTTCAGCCCATCCTGCCTTTTCAAGGTATCGAAAACAATATAGACAGAGACTTATCAAAATTTAGAGAAATAACACGGAACAAGAAGATTTAGCTAGTTTTCTAGTTGATTGACTTCAAATATAGTCTCCTATATCAAACTGAGATTTAGCAAGGTAATGGTAAAGAACTTTTACCTTCTCTCTGTTGAGTTCTCGTAAAATTAGATTAGAGTAGAAGAAACGCCATGAAAACGTCGTCCTCACTTGCAAGGTCACAAAACGAAATTTCCACCACAATAAGCACTGCATAATGACAAATAGGAGAATATTTACAAATCTTATTACGCTTATTCATAATTCAAACGAGATTATGCCACAAAAAAGCCTTACATATACTTTTTCATGAGATCTGTCCTCTCTAGGATATGCGAAAATCTTCACACCAGTCACTTATTGTGCTAACAAGGCAAAACATCTTTTTTTGAATCATAAGAATGCTATATACGTAAAAAACTGAGAAAACATTATTAAGAAAAATTCTTAGTCTTACCAAAGTTGTATAAGCCAACTTCATCCCCAAACTTGACTTTCTCATCTCTTCAGCCAATCTCTAGGATATGTGAGAATCTTCACTCTAGTCACTTCATGAGATAACAAAGCAAAAGATTTTAAAGCATCATAAGAATGCTATATATGGAAAAAATCCATATAAATTTTTAAGAAAGATTCTTACCAAACGTTTGTAATCTTTCAATCCATGGGTATAGCCAATTTCATTGCCACACTTGAAACCTGAGGAATCTGGATGGTCTTTTCGTTCTCTGTTTTGCAGATGACAATGGTGGTCATGAGATACATAGCCTCTTCTCAAGAATATTTGAACCTGAAACAATACGAAACAACACTATATTTATAGCTATCGGATGAATACATTTCTCTTGAGCTTCATCTACCTCAGAAACATTGCATAATGAAAAAAAAAAGAAGGTTTACTAATACTAATACTCTTATTGATAATCTGAACGAGATTATGTTGCAGCAAAGTCCTTACATATACTATGTCGAGAGAGGAACCTCCATTATATCTAGCATTACTACTATGTGAGAACCTTCACACTAGTCACGTCATGTGCTAACAGGGAGGGCAAACGGTATTCTGCAGCATCATAAGAATACTTTATACGATTAAGAGAAGTACAAAAAATAAAGAGTCTCATCGAAGTTGTATGATCTTACAAATTGAATGGTATAGTCATCTTCATCCCTAAACTTGCAACTCTTCAGCCACTCTCTCACAGCATTTGCCTAATCAAACTGTGAAAAATAATATGTAATTAAGCTCAAATTTCAAACTCATCTTCCTAACTGCACTGATATTCAACCTTGAGCTGTAAGATTTGAAAAATGAGAAAAAAACATACTTGGAAATTATGAGTTTTGGCTTTGTGCAAGCAAATAACACGATATTGTTCATCCCCTCCGGCTTCTATAAGAATCTAAAACAATATAGACAGAGAGTTATGTCATAGAAATTTAGAGAAATAAACATGAAACCACGAAACAAGAAGATTTAGCTTTCAAGTTGGTTAACTTAGTGGATGGTTTTACCTCTGTTATCTCTCCCACGATAATAGTGGTCACAAGATACGTCATATATTCTCAAAAAAACTTGAACCTGAAACAAAGAGAAACAACACTAAAGTTATAGCATTACATACTCTCAGTTCATGTAAAGATAAAATTCAACGAGACTTTACGAACTAATAAACAGAGATGGGGATATCAAACCAAAATTAAAACCAATAGCTAAACAATCAAGAGTGTATATTGAAAGTGTTGTTGATTTAGGTAAAACTCCACTTTCTACAAACAATACTTGCAACAAAAAATAAAATCAGATCCTTGAGAGTCAATATCATTTATGAGTTTTAACTAGCAATACAAGGTTTTGCAAAATTTTCAGCTCCTTTAGAGCACCATCCCTTTCAAGATTCTAGTTGTAAGGTGTCTGAAAAGAAAATCTATCTCACAAAATATGTAGATAAATTGCATGGAGAAAATACAAAACAAGAGAATATACCATGAACTTACACAGAACTTGGGAGAACTTGTAAATGAAGTAAAAGAGTTGGATCCAAACCCAGAGACTTCATCCAATTTTCACTCCTCCACTGAGAAAAAAATATATGAAAGTAAAATATTGGTTAATGCTTTCTACAAGCAGGAAAGCTAAAAAATGTGGACAAACCAAAAGAAAAAATAGAGGATTACCACTTACTAATACTTTCTTACATAATAACATCTTCAAGCTCTTTCCGACTAATATGTCAGAGAGATATAAATCATTGAAACCCCATTTACATGAAAAAAATGCAAAACTCATGAGTTTTTGCTTGTCTTTACAGCAATGGAACTATGATCACCCTCTTGATCATCAAAACGTGATGACTTCTTCACTGTAGACCACCATCAAGATACTGCTACTCCAACTTTTCTGTAGGGTAAGTAGCTTACAAGTTCAGAATGTGCCTCATAACAAACTGGCATGAAACATGAAATCGTAAAAATGGTTCTAACTAACATACAAGTTACCTTCTAATGTTGAAGGAAAAGAATGGGAAAAGGCTCTTCCCTAAGAAGCTGAGCCAGTTATTTGCACAGAATACCATCCTCCGAGTTAGACTACTGTCAAGAAACCTGACCACATTATTAAATTCAAATTAATAGCTCAAAAATTCATATTATGAAACAATCAACTCAAATGACAAAACGAGAGAGATAAACATGACTCACACTCCAACTTTTTGCATTAAGAATTCATTGAGCTTGCTTTTGTGTACGTTTTAGTTGGGATTTTCGTTTTGGTGTTTCATGTATATTTCTGTGTACGTGTGGTTAATCTTTTTGTTTGAGTTTATGATTTTGTATTTTGGTGATATATT